AGTCTCAAATGTTATTACTCGCTGCCTACTTCCAAAATATATATAACTTTCACAATAAGTAGTAGCCCCCTTTTATGGTCTATAAAAACAGATTTTCTTTATATCAATAAGCTGAAAGGCCGTATATTCGAAAACTCGCTTTATATTTTGTTTGATATCCTTTATCCTTTCTCACTATTTTTAGAGGTCTGCCTATGATGATATAAGCGTATCTATTTTTGACCATTCTAATGCGATCTTCACATTTACTAGGCATCTTTTGTAAAGGAAGCTAATCTGCCTCGGCTCTTTCTTCCCTGATCGATAATCTCTTTCTAGAGCTCAAAAATATTATATTTTAACTAACGTATTTCACTACTAAGCGGGCCACACCAAATACTTTGGTAAATATAAATACGATATATTTTACACTTACACTTATATTTAGCAACATTAGTCTATAAGATTCTCTTATTATAGCCTAGTGCTTTTCTATATTGTCTAGCCTATCTAGGGGGGTCGGGGGCTTTTTTTCAGCTAGTAATTAAGATATTATGTATAATATGGCTTACACTATTGTAATTTTCAAACCGATAGCAATGTAGCTATCTATTTCCCTTGAAATTAGTATATAGTATTAAACGGTCTAATCCATAGTTATCGATAGGTTATTAAATAAGTTGAATAAAGGGTTGTTGAAATATAACTATAAAACATATCGTTTTTACTATGGTGTTTAGGGGTTGCCCGCTCGGTAGGTGGTAGCCTGCTTTGTAGTGGAATGCGTTAGCGCTACACTAGTATAGTCGGGTAAGTGTGCGGGCTAATCTTCGACGTATACTCTACCGTCTCTTTCGCTAGGCAACTTTTCGCATTATCCTATAAAAACATTCTTCTAGAGTAATGGATTAGTACTAGATCCTTTTTAAGCGTCTCGATATGCGATTTTGTAGTATGGCTCTTCCCCGAAAGCGAGTCTTCGTCCTATTGTATAATTATTAATTCTATCCAATATCTAAGCTAGATTATAGCCTAAGCTATTTGTGAAATATCCTTTAGGTAAACATTTATATATATAAGGTCTTTTCGAAGGCCTTCCGAGGTCTTACGGAAGTAATATTATAGTCTAAAGTTCGAGGTTTGTTACACCGAACACTCGTCCCGAGAAGATTCACAATTAAAAGTTTATAAGGCGCTATTTTCTTACAAATTTTAGCTATCTCCTATCTTTCTGTAAGAGAAGGCTTAATTAGTATCTTGCTATCACGGACTCTATAGGGACGTATACCATATCAGTATCAAACTCTTGTGGACTACCCTGCTTCTTGTCAGTGCATCCCTATAGAGTCGTCAGCGCCGACTTACCGCCTCTTTGATCATATTAAATAAATCTTTCTTAGTGAACCTAGGAGTTCCCTAAGAATCAGTCTCTATATATCTTGCAATACCACTTGTTCCGAGATATCTTTGATCTTACCTAGTTAATAGGCTCTATCCTATAAACACTAGACCGCTTTCTTACAATTCTGATTCTTTATTAATTGCGGAAATAACAACGCTTGTTAGTGGTACGCGCTTAAGCCCGTATTCCTAAGCGAACTAATAGCTGACTAGGTCAACTTTAGCTCCGCTATCGAGGTCTACATACGTTTCGACGTTGTTCGGAATTGTGATTAGGATATATAGGCGAGTGGCTGTTTTGAATCGTCCTAATCTTTACCCAGAAAGAACTTAAACTTATTTACTAGCGTAAATTATTAGCGTAAATATTATTCCGCTCGTTAGAAATCCATTACATCGTGTTAGTCTACTCAAAAGAGCTACTTATGCATAGCCTTAAATACCTTACATATTATCCTTTTCTAGGGAACCGTTTTACGTTTAAACCAGTCTATTAACTACTTAGGTTATTCAAAAAGCTTATTGTAAATATAGACTATATAACAAGTGGTAGTGTTCTTTATTTATAGCTTAAGGGTGAAATCGAAGAATAGCTACGTCATCTATAGAAGGAAGTTAATCTAAGGCTATTTATCTAAACTAAGTATTAAGTTAGTTTAATATATTCAATATAAAGGGGATCGAATATTAATCGGAGCTATTTTGCTGTAAGAAAGGGTCTAGTGTTTTCAGGACAGAGCCTGTCAACCAGGTAAGATCAAAGATGTCTCTCGAACAAGTGGTATTCAGGATGTGCAGAGACTAATTCTTGGGGGTATTTCAAGGTTCACCAAGAACGACTTCTTTAACATGATCTATCCGATAGCGACTATTATAAGGCGTTAACTAAGTAAGGTATTATTATTTTATATATTATTAGTATTAATTATAAGTATTTAGTCCTAGATCGAACATTATATAAGTCTATCTATCTAGGAATACAGCGCTAAGGTTCTCGCTAGAGTGCGTTCTAAGAAATTGGTTAGAAGCTAAGTAGAACCTCTCGATAATACTAATCCTTATCGATAAAATAGCCAGTAATAGCTATAAATACCTAATAAAAAGTGATATCTAATAATTAATGACGTTCTTCGACTATATTTGTAGGCGATGACGCAAAGTCTTCGCGGAAGGAGTCTTAGGGATAGAGAGGCCATACTAGGCTATTTAGATTAGGGTATAGAGCCTAGGATACTTAGTAATCCAAAAATGAAGACGTAGGATCGTAAGGAAGGTAAGAAGCTTCTCCTCCTAGGCCTTTTAAGTAAACCCGTGGCTTGTTTAGTTTGTTATATCTCTATTTACTAGATTAATTAGTAAGATATCTTGATAAATAAGAAAGTACTTATTATGTCCTATATTAGTAATACTAGCTTTTTGCTAAGTATTCCTCGCGCGCTATTAATATAAAGTAATATAGAGACACTTTGAAAACGTAGATATACTATGTTGAGTCGTGCTATTAGGAGTCCTGTTAGAAGATAAATATTTAAGAACTAAACTATAGCGCTTATATATATAACCTTTGGCTAGCTTTAGACCTCTCTAGTACTTAATTAAAATGCTGCTATATCTCCGCTCAATAGCTCGTATCCTAGCAGATTTTGCTAGTCTTTCTATAGTTAGTCTTAATCCACTTCTCTACTACCTATTTAGTATATATTATACTATCGTAAAATAGGTAGCTCTTTCTTCGATGCAGGCTAACACGCGTAAACAAAGAAAAGAATAATAGGCGAGGCTATAGTCGGATAAAGTCTTGGTTAAAAGGGTCGAATATTCGCTAACCACTAGACAGTTTAGGAGCAATTCCTTGCAGCGGATCTAATATAAGGTATAGTATACTATCTATATTATTATAGACCGATAAGAGAAATAGATTATAAGACTAACTCTAAGATATCATCTCGTAAGAGAGGAGTAGACTTATAGAGATCGTTTAAAAGTTAGGCGCTATATATAGTAGACTAAATATTTTATCACTAATTGGACTAATAGTATCCTATAATCAGTGGACACTAGATAAATTAAGTTGAAATAAACTATAAATCTATACCTAACCCGCGAAAGCCTTTTTGGCCCTCGAAAATTTAATACTCAATTCTTAATTACTATATTCAATCCTTTTTTGTAGCCGCTATATTTTGTTACAATTTAAAGTAAGATAAGATTAGAATATGTACTATACTATGAGTTATTTAATATAGGTAAGCTTAATATGATAAATAGTATTAAGAATATAATTTTTTTAGAAAATTGATATTTTCTTATAAAGGTGCACCACCTTCCAAGTAGTATCAAATTTATATTTCTATATAATAAGACCCCTTCCTTAATCTATTTTAGTTCCTACTATGATACTATAGCTATATTACTATAAAATAATATAAATAACTCATGGCTACTTGTAATAGCTTGCACCCAGGTCAATAAACATCTACCAACTAGGCCAAAAAGACCACTATGTCAGCCTGACGGCTGACATTCCTGGACCGATATATATACTGACTAAGTACGCACAATTGTCACGCGCACGTAAAGCCAAGGCTACGCCGTGACACTACTATTAATACACAAGTATACAAAAGAGTTTCTTAATATTTTAAGTGATTGAAGTGAAAGATAAAGAATCAAGAAAATTAGAACTAGAACAAACGTAAATAACAGTATTTCATTTTGATGAATCAGCTAAATTATGAATTATGTACGCCAAGACCTGTATTTCTTTTTTCAAAAGTAGGTCCAGGTAGGTTATTTGCGGGTTTGGTGCAATCTAGACGTGGTATAGCTTCTTCATCTAGTAGATTTTCTTCATACGCTATTCGGGCTTTTTATGCCGCCTTTTACGCGTAGCATCCGCGTTAGTGGCAAGTAGTTTACTCATTTACTACCTACCTTGCGATAGTGAAATTATATGTCGTAAGCTAATAGCCTTTCTCTATTTAGCCTATTGTATCACCTATATGCCTAGTGTCATCAGTAGTGAGCTTCCTAATAGATAATCCCTACCTTTTCATTTCTTTCACTATATACAGCTTCCTTCGTGTGGAACTGCGGCTTAAAGTGCTGGCTAGACATTGACATTTCCATATGACTAGATTGTGGCTTTTCCCGTGGGAATTCCTACAGAGGTCTAGTCCCGTGGACCCACTCCCGTGGGAATGTCGAGGTCTATTCATAATATATAAAATCCTAAAATGTAATATATTATAAGGACATGGTGTGATATAGGTAGAAAACAGTAATTAATTGGGATAGATTACAAAGTTATAGGTATATATTAGATTGAATGTATGTAAAGATAGGCGGTAAGGCATTGCCCACAATAGGCTAGCAAATACATATAGACATCATTAATAGGCGGGCCCTCTACTTTCCAAAATACCTAAGGCCTATCGTGGACGGGCAATGGGCTCTACCCCAAGGCGTATGCACGGGCATTGTCCCATTTTAATTGTATACTTCTTATTTATCACCAGCCCTGGAAGTTGGACAACAGACCAAGCGCATGTATACGACATATCGCATTTCGCACTTCGGCTCGAAGCCAGGTAGTAATCCAGTTGTATGATCGCTTGAATTCATAGGAAATTCCCCTTAGAGAAACGTGAGGTGTAATCTCCAGCCTTCTGCACCATTTCCCGGCGCTGCGCACTCGATATCTTGGAAGATATTGCCATATCCTTTTCTCGGTCAAAAGCGCGAGCACTTGGATCATCATCTTCGTCCTTTTGACTCTCAGATGTTTCTAAGCGACTGTTTTTGCCTGTCACGTCCTATGTAAAGAGCATTAGAGAAAGTATATGGCTGAAAGATGCCAAGCTTACCCTGTACTTCTTGATTTTGTCTTCCATCATTTTTGTATTTGTGGCAGGGGTCTGCTTTCCAGTCTGTTCCGAGGTACCGACGCCCATGACTGCATCTTGTAACCGCTTCATTCGCTCCTCCGGGGTCTCCACCCACGAAGCATCCATCTTCTTTGGCGCCGTGGCTGACTTGCCCGAATTGAACTTGCGATTCCGTAGCTGCGTTGGATCAATCTTGGTAGCCCAGTCAGATTGGGCAGGGGGCTGTAGCATCCACTGATCGCGTTGGCTTTCTTTTGACTCAACTACCTTGGGAGCCTCAGGTGCTGGCATAGGTGTTGCGCCAGAAGGAGGAGGTAAACTTGGACCGAAGTCATCGTCGCTATCCCTGTCACTGTCACTTTCACTGGCAGTTGGTAGTGCAGGCCCAATGACCCTCCTTTTGGAGGTAGAGTGGTCTTCGTCGAATTTGCGCTTGTCGGCCATTGATGAAGGAAAGTTGGCTGGATATCTTATCTTTGATGTCATTAACCCCACCGCCCTTGTACTCCCCCAACAACATTTGCATATTCACCTTCACATTCATTCTCCTTTCACCCTCCCTTCACTTCCACCAGTGATATCTTTTTGAGTTTCTTTTGTGTTGGCGTTCTTGTCACCGCTTCCTTCTTACCTGTCCGACACCGCCTTTTCGACCCGTGGTTATCTCACTTGTTCTCCCAAATGGTGTGCACTTTCTTTTAAATGCGCTGATATCAAAGCATGGTGGAGAGTTGTACTAGGCCACAAACATCAGACAATGGGCCATCCAGAAGCCCGGAAAGCTGGTGTGGACACACCCACAGCCAGATCAGAGTACAGATCTATAGACCCCATATCACCTCAAAACCCCTCCCATACGGATAATCCGACTTCTCTGAATGATTCCCAACAGCTCCCGGGATATGCAACTCAAAATGAGACATCCAAGCCTCCTCGGAGATTCTTGGCCCAACCAATCGAAACCGTATCTCGAAGCTCCAAGAACCAAGAGCCTGCTTCTAGAGGAATAGAACCTCAGACAGCTATTTCGCCAGATGAAACTCATTCCCAGGGCCGTAATGACCACCGACCGAGAAGATTTGCTCCTGAGCCAATCGAAACCACCAAATCAAGCAATAGAAGATCTCATACAGCTTCGGAAGTTACTGGGGAGATCCTCCCATCACAACCTAAAACCACGTCCCCCAGAAGGTTTAAGCCTGAACTTATAGAGACCGACACACGCTCAGTTCGAAAAACAGAAGCGACCCAGTTCCCTCGACGACACAACACATCAGGTCCACTGGCTCACGCGAGCATCAGCCCGGGCATGACATGTTGGTCAGATACAGGCCACCATGCCGTTACCTGTTCACCACCTGAGTCTCGGTTCTCGTACTCCAGTCTGTTGCGCCGACAAGAGGGCCGCCGACACTCATTTCGAGTTCCAGCCCTTCCGTCAATTCCATCCAACAGTAGCGAAGAGTCTGATAACTCCAGATCTCACTCAGCGTGCACCTCACTACTTGGGCTATCGAAAAAAGTAACCAGAGATTTACACCCTAGCAAGCTACCCCGTGAAAGTTGCAGCGAGGAGTTCTCGGAATTCTTGCTTTCACTTGCCGCCCGCTCTGCACAGAAGCAGCTGAGGGAACAAGCACTGGCTGCCTTTCCCAACGAGCAGGTGTATGAGCCTGTGGATCATTTCGCCATAGACGAAGACGACAGAGACTCAGACGAAGATGGTCCGTCTTCTCACATGAAGTATCATCATATCAAGTCTCGTCGACAATCCTCGGCGGATCTGTCCTGGGAACTTGAATACATGCGACATCATAAAGAGGAGGCCGAAATGAGGCTTCGGGCTATGATGACATCAGGACAGCAAGAGTCATCTCAGAACCAGAAGAAGTCCGGCCCTAGTCCACCGATGCTTGGAAGTGACATTATTCTGCCACAGAGCTTATCACCGGAGGGGACTATCTGTGAGCATGCTCACATCGATACTGCAGTGAGTTGTGGCCATGACCTTTGCAACAATTGCGAAGGGCTGTGGTGCGCGGCTCCCCATCGACAGGGGGAAAAAGGCGCTGGTTTGTGGATGGGCACTTGTTGCAAAGACGAGAAGCAAGAGCCGGAGGTTACCGGCCTCTTTCCCGGGATTGTGACTCCCATGGCTCGGATTGATGAGACTGGTGTGAGCGTAGGCCTCAGTCCATCTCCTTCGCACATTCACCTGGATCGTCTGGCGGCATCGCTTGGGAATTCTGGCCGGAAACCTGCTAGTCCAAACCTCCAGAAAGCCATTGACGCAGAGTTTCATGATGGATTTGTCACGCAAATATTTAATTACCTCTCGCTGGGGTATCCTTGTCTTGCCCGTTACTATGATTACGAGCTCAGCCGAATCTCAGGCATCACAGTCGAAGAGCTCCGTCAGGATGACTTGCACACTGATGCGCGGGGGTATGTTGCTCTCGACAATAAGGATCTGACCGGAGGGTGTACACGATGGAAAGCATTGCGCTTGTATATTCAGGAGTGGGCCAGGCAAGAGCCTGGCATGGTAGAAGATGAAACCAACCTAGAAGGCTGGGGACTGCCAGAAAGGAAGGGCAGTTGGGCCATTTGACCTAAATTAATTTGTATCCTATTCAGAGCGTGCATTTGGAAATAATTGCATATTGAACTTATTTCAGCTGGGTTCCCGGCATTTTTGAGATTCCTCTTCTGCTCTCTATGGCTTTCTAATTCTGAGCAGGTATGTGATCCGAGAATAACAAGATAGACCGAATATATCTATTGGTGCATGTTTCCTTTGCGAACTCTCTCATGAACGATTCCTGGGAAAATCTTCTGCTCAGGTAACCCATCTGCGCCACCAACACCTCCAAGAGCAGCACTACTTGAAGACCGAGCCAAATGGGTTGATGAAGGGGAGGTTGCCATTTGAATTGGAAGCTCACTCTGTGAGATATCCGTCCCAGACACACTAGAACGGGATTCGGAACGTGGCTTGGATGCAGGAGCTAGATACGCAGCGACTGTCAGCTTGATCATTTCTTGACATCACAAATATCTCAGATCTTACCGTTGTTCGTAGGCATGGTATCTCCTGCTTTGCTCGTAGGCTGACTCGGAACAAAGCCTGGTGATAAACCCTTCTGGTCCTGGGATGCATTGCTTTCGGAATGACTTTCAATACTTCAAGAGACTGCAGTTAGCACCAATCCTAGATCCCCTTGAATATCCAGGTTGTCAACACTCACAGAGATAATTCTCCTAGCAAAGTCTCATGCCGGAACGCCTCACGAATGTCTGGGACATTGCTCTTTGCAACATTGTTACCAGCAACTCCTGGCAATGAGCAGTTTGAACCAAGCCATCTTGCCCTCAGTGAAAGCTCGAATCCACTTTGGAGAACCGAATGCTTAGCGAGTTCGCACATGTCGACTGCGCTAAATTTGTAGATTTGCGCCGCGACTGAATATTCCTCAATCAAGGGCTCCTTCGTAAAGGCAAACTGCAAAGGATCATCCGTGGACAATGATACATTGAGTCCTCGTCTGAAGAAGCTAGCGCATGGGTTCTTGTCATATGTGAGGAATAGCGCATTGTTACTGAGTGGCGACATGGCAATACCGATTTGATCCAGATAGTAGAGGTATTGCAGAAGGGGTACTTTGCGCAGCAAAATACCGTGACTGATACTATGGCAGCAGAGGAAGCCAACGGCCAAATGATCTGGGTCGCCTGCCTCACCGCAGTGTGGCCGAAGCACAAAGGTGTTGAACCCGCGACGCTTGCGCCAATTGTTGAGGGAGGCGATGTTGGCAAACATGAAATAAAGCCAATAAGTGTAGGGCGGATTCTGCTTGGTATTCCATTCTCGAGGAATTGGATACTTTCTGTAGAGCCGGCGCTCGGCCTTGCTCTCGTCATCTACACTGTCAAATCCGACCACGCGCTGGAGGAAGATATGAAGCTTGGGATGACTAGAGGGATCCTTTGTGACTTCGAACAAGGGCTGGAAGACGTTGGTGATGACCTGCTCATAGTTCTCCATCATACCACTGGACTTGTACACATCATAGAGACGAGGCACTTGGATCAGCCAACGAACATTAGGCGAGAACAACTTGTTGTCCACCACCCAGGCCGCAAGCTTATCCCATTCTTGAAGGGATCGACCGTAGATTGAGATCCGCCATTCCACCATCTGATATTTGCTGGATTCTAGGTCTGAGATCACCTCCTTGGTGATTTCGGCCAGGTAGCGGCCCTTGATGTAGTTGTCGGTCTTGAGGAAAATTTCACGCAGACGCGATTCGCCCACCGGATTATATTTCAGATTGAATTTGTCGAAGCGATGGAAAGAGTCAGTATGTGCCTACATGGTCAGTCAGTGAGTGTCGCTAGGTAGCATGAGGGTGAACCAGAATTGCAAATGAAACAGACAAGCGGTGGAACAAGAAGAAAGACTAACATGCATGTCCAATGTATCAATGCTGAGGTCGTAAGCAGTCAAATTGATACTTTCAAAGACCTCCCTCAAGGTCAGATGTTTCCCATCTCGGAAAAGAACAACTTCATCTGGAGACTTTCTCATCTTACTCTTGATGAAACGGAGAAGATGCTTCTGGTTCATGCAAGCAGAATGGTGGACGTGAGTATCCACCTTACGCACGTTGTAAAAGTCTCTGTGAGGGACCTTCTTGCTGTCTGCGATCTCCTGGTATTCGTTGAGCAGCGTGTAAAGTTGAAATTTGCCTTCCAAGTATGAAAGCCGCTTAAAGGCAAAGCTCTTAGCAGGTCCATCTGTTGATACGTCCACAATGGCATCCAAATCCATATAAAAATCGCGCAACGAGGGTATCTGGACGATAGGCTTTTGCTCGTCTGCGGCCGTTTCAGACTCAAAGACCTGATACACGCTGTTCCCATCAAGTCTATACGTCCATGAAGATTCCTCGGGAAGAGGCATTACTTCCTCTATGTCGAAGTCCTCTCCAATGTCTTGACCCATTTTCCTCTTCTTGCCATTGACATCGGATGGTCCACCAACATTGCCGGGTTGATATTCTTTGCCATCATCCCACGCTGGCTCTGGGGGAGGCGGGTAGATATCCCAGTCTGGCTGATCCCTTGGGTCCATACCTGGACCTTGCAACGAAAGCTCCATGTATTGGGCACGACGATCAAGGAGCTTCTTGATCTTGCGGTAAATGGCATTTAGCTCCGAAGTCACGGTATCATTGCCCGGCGCAAACCCGCTAGGCACCTGGGGTGCTCCAATGCCCACGTTCGCGCTGTGCAGACTCTCCGCTGCGGCAAGGTATGCGCCCTGTCCATGAGCTGCGCCTAGGTGCGCGGCCTGAGTTTGGGCGGAAAGATTGGCGACATCCTGGTCCTCAAAGTAGTGCGCTGAAGCATCATGATCTTTGGGCGGCTGCAGGTGCAGTGTTGTTGGATCCGAATCAAGGACCATGGAACTCTCCTGGGAGATATGGCTCTGCAACGAGTCCAGTTGGTGAACTGGTGATTCTTCGGGGTGCGAATCGGCCGTCGACCGGGCTGTAAGGCCCGGGCTCGGGGGCAAGGGGTTGTCACCTCGCGAGGCTAACTGGTGGTGCTGGTAGAATAGTTTTGCCTCGGCGTGACTCATGGACTTCTCATAGGCATAGTCGTAGGTAGCAGTCTTTTGCTGCCGATCTCTAGGCAGGATCTCTTCAGCTGGCTGATCTAGCGGAGAATCCACGGGGCCCTTGAGACCTGGGGACGAAGCAGCGGATACATCATTTGACGAAGTGGCGGACACGTTGACATTCCGACCGGAGCTGAAATCAGAAGATCCCATGACTGGATCCGAAAGAGATGCAGAGGCAAAGCAAAGCAAAGGCAAAAGTCCAAAAGTCCAAAGGTCCAAATGTCCAAAGGTCCAGAAGTTTTCGGAGCTCCCCACCTTTCGGTGAGTAAATCGGAGAAATTGAATGTGATAGGTGTTGGGTAGAAGTATACATGAATATGCAAGTCAGTAGTAACGTTCATAACATTACTAGTGTACTAGCAAAAACTTATAGTATATTATAGCATAGTATAATAGTATATAGTTAGCTAATAGTAACCTATAGCTGACCATAACCATAGTTTAGTAGGCTAAACCGTATACATATCTTAGGCGACCACGTTTTGTCTTTCCTATTCTCTACTTTTACTCTACTGTCTACTGTCTACTGTCTACTCTATATCACTCCTACTCTTCTCTCTACATTCTCTCTACTATATTCCCATACTCTCTATTTACTCTCCCCGCAAATATCCGGTCAGTGTTATGGGCCCCACCTACGTCAACTCCCTCTTCCTCTTCCTCTTCCTCTTCCTCTTCCTCTTCCTCTTCCTCTTCAGTTTCCTCTCTCCTATCCACCCCTCACCTCACTGACTCCAAGTGTAGGACCCTCTCCCACGTGGTCCTCAATTTTGTCCCCTAGTCATGGCTTCTCTCAATCTCTCATCCAACGGTCCCTCGATATCCAAGAGCTACCAGACCGTGGTGAATGCACCTCCCCCATCTACAGCTGGTTCTCCGACCTACGGTCAATGGGCTGTCTTTTCGGTTTCTACTCCCCTAGTCAGCGCTTTTCAGCAGGATGCAGGCAAGGAGAGTGTACTCAAGGTTCAGAGCTCCGGAGGTCAGTGATCAGGCAACCCCATCGTATCTCACCCCCATTGACATCTCATTCTGGCAGAGGGTGAATTGGCCGATCTCATCGAAGAATTCTCCGAAGGGAGGGTACAGTTCGCCTATGTGAAGGTGACAGACCCAAATACAGGTCTCCCCAAGAACGTCCTGGTTGCGTGGTGCGGAGAAGGTGTGCCTGAGCGAACCAAGGGCTATTTCACCAGCCACCTGGCTGCAGTTTCAAAGTTCCTTCATGTGAGGAGTCACTTTCCCATCAAGTACTTCATGCGAGACTAATGTTATTGGTAGGGATATCATGTTCAGGTTACTGCACGGGCAGATGGAGATTTGACCCCCGAGGCCATTGTCCAGCGAGTGGCAGACTCCTCCGGCTCCAAGTATTCCGCTGGGGAGACTTCTATCCCCACCCCCGCCCCCCGCCCTCCTGTAGCCAACAAGCCCGCTTTCACACCGACAAGATCTGGAGGAATTGCCCCCAACCCCGCCCGACCACAGCCGGCCTCATCGAGAGCCCCCGTGGATGATGATGGATGGGGTGCAGATGCCCCTCCAGTGACCCGGACTCAATTGGAAAAGGTTCAGCCGGCCTATCAGCCCACCAGAGTGAACCTGCAAGAGCTCAAGGCAAACCCCACAGCGACTCGCCAAGCTCCCGCCCCGATTTCGGACGACGCTGGCGTTGTCAAGGGTGGATACCAGCCAATAGGCAAAGTTGATATTGCTGCCATTCGGAGACAGGCCGCCGAATCTGGTCAGCTCAAAGATGAGCGCCCGGCCCCCGTCAAGGGGTCCTATGAGCCGATTGGCAAAGTGGACATTGCTGCTATCCGATCCAAGGCACAGAAACCAACCGGTGACAATGTCTCATTGAGCCCCGCTGTCAATGAGCCTTCTACGACGCTGCCTGAGCGTCCTGCCCCATCCAATACCTCAGAGCGTTTGACAAACCTACCTAAGCCTAAGGTTGCCAATAAGTTTGGCAGTGGCCCTTCTTTCCCTGGAACTAAGCCACCTCTCCCGACTGCCCTTGAGCCTAAGCCGAGCGCGAGCGCCCCAATTGGTGTTGCAAGCCGAACATTTGCAGACGAAGGAGGAAAGACACCTGCTCAGATTTGGGCTGAACGCAAGGCCAGGGAGCGCGGAGAGACACCACCATCGCAGAGCGCTGAACCCACTCCCATTCAGAGCCAGGCTAGTGGTCAAAATGAGTGGAAGAGCTCCTACGCTGGAAAATCCTGGGCCCCTGTCCAAACCACACACGAGAAATCCCAACTTGCCGAACCACCAGTTGACGCAAGGACCGTTGACCAAGCGGAAGAATCCCAGCCTAGCGTCAGTGATATCCGCGGTCAATTCGCCCATGATACACCCGCACCACCCGCTCCTCCGGTCCCACAGGCCAGTCGTCCCGTTCCTGTACCTGGCCTATCCTCTGGTCCCGACCCCGAGCCCGAGCATGAGCATGACGCTCAGCAAGTTCTTCCGACGCCCCCGCAACAGCCTCGCTCTCCACCCCTCCCACACCACCAGTACGCGAGAGCTCCCCTATCCGGATTGCTATGCCGGTGGGTCAGGGTGTTGCCGATGCCCACGAGGAGCAGAACTCTCCGCCTCCAGCTCTTCCCGTTCAGAGTCTCCAAGAGGCAGTTCCAGACGAACGGGATCTTGAGGAAGATTCGCACGACCTTGGACGTGCTGCGGCCGAAGCCACGGCACCAGAGAAACCTCAGAGTGGACTGCGCGCCCAAGTCCAATTTGACTATGAAAAGGCCGAAGACAATGAAATCGAGCTGCGTGAGGGGGAGTTTGTGACCGACATTGAAATGGTGGACGAGGACTGGTGGGTGGGTGTCAATGCCCAGGGCGAGCGTGGTCTCTTCCCGGGCAATTATGTGGAGATTGTGGAGGACGACAAGCATGAAACTCCTGCGCTGGTTGCTCATGGGTACGAGCCAGAGCCGGAGCCTGCTGCCGCCGTTCCTGCTCCTCCCACGCCCGCCGCTGCCCCTGCGCCCGCCGCCGCCACGAGCTCCAAGGGACCCACTGCCACGGCTCTGTTCGATTATGAAGCTGCCGAAGACAACGAGATTGGCTTTCCTGAAGGCGTGAAAATCACCAACGTGGTAAGTTAACAAAAACTTTTCTCAATATCTATACAATGCTAATAAGCTCGCAGGAATTCCCTGATGATGACTGGTGGCTCGGTGAATACAATGGCGCACGAGGACTCTTCCCCGCCAACTACGTTGAGTTGGACCAGTGATCGGCTTCAGGGTTTTATTTTCATATTCTGAGCAACAAGAAGTCCTGGAACCTCCATTCGCCGATCTGTCTAGTATAGAAGGTTTCATAGCAGATCCTAAATCAAGTTTTCGCATTCGATATGCAAACACACACATCCTGTGACTTTCAGCTTTCCCGCAGCTTTTCGCCTTGTATTTATTCCAATAGCAACCCGACCCGACATAAAAAGCAAATAAGAAATCCCAAGTGTATGCCGGTCGTATAATTGATAATATTGTCATCGACGTCATGGGCTGACCTAAGCTGTTAGGTCAGCATCACGTGCACCGAAAAAGTGCCCATAAACAGCGTAACCAAGCAGTGCATGGGGATCCGGTGACTCTGCACGCGACTTGGCTTTGCGCGTCTATTCCCTTCTTCTGCTTTAACTTCCATATTCTCCCTCCGGATCCCGTGTGTGTTTGTGCCATAATCATATCAAGGAGCCCGCTTCGGTTCCCCCCCCCCCCCAAACACATCATGGCATCGCTGGGCGAGGATCTGCTTGTGACGGTGAACAAGCTCCAGGATCTGGTCTTCAACACCATTGGAAACGATTCCCTCGACTTACCCCAAATTGTGAGTTATTTTGGGTAAAGCCCTTGCAATATGGGGGGCAACCCCCATCGTGGATGCCGGTTAGGCTAATCCGGACCTCCTTACTAGGTTGTTGTTGGCTCTCAATCCTCTGGAAAATCCTCGGTCCTCGAGAACATTGTCGGACGGGACTTCCTACCAAGAGGCAGTGGCATTGTCACCCGGCGGCCTCTGATTCTCCAGCTTATCAATGTCCCCAGTGAGCGCGACGATAAGCCAGAACATGATGAGATTCACATCCCACACACGGCTGCAAGTGTTGCCGGTCAACACGAATGGGCCGAGTTTCACCATCTCCCCGGACGCAAATTCGATGACTTTGCGCAAGTGAAGCAAGAGATTGAGGCCGAAACGGCGAGAATTGCAGGAAACAACAAGGGCATCAACAGACAACCCATCAACCTCAAGATCTTCTCTCCTCATGTGCTAAACCTGACTCTGGTTGATCTGCCCGGATTGACTAAGGTGCCCATTGGTGACCAACCCTCCGATATCGAAAAACAAACGCGAACCTTGATTCTGGAGTACATCGCCAAACCCAACAGTATAATTCTTGCGGTCTCACCAGCCAATGTCGACTTGGTCAACTCTGAAGCGCTGAAGCTCGCTCGCCAGGTAGATGCAATGGGCCGAAGGACGATTGGTGTTCTATCAAAGCTGGACCTCATGGATCACGGAACTAACGCGATGGATATTCTGTCCGGACGTGTCTATCCCTTGAAGCTTGGCTTTATCGGTGTGGTTAACCGATCTCAGCAGGATATCCAGTCTGGTAAATCACTTTCCGACGCTTTGCGGGCAGAGTCAGAGTTCTTCCGCCATCACCCAGCCTACCGTAACATGGCTAACCGGTGCGGGACACACTTTTTGGCCAAGACGTTGAACACAACCCTGATGTCGCACATTCGAGACCGGCTGCCAGACATCAAGGCTCGTCTCAACACTTTGATGGGCCAGACACAGCAGGAGTTGGCCAGCTATGGAAACAAGCAATTTAGCGGCGAGGAACACCGCGGGTCATTGATTCTCCAGCAGATGACAAGATTCGCTGCCTCATTCATCTCCTCCATCGATGGAACTTCCTCGGAGATTTCCACCAAGGAGCTCTGTGGTGGAGCAAGGATCTACTATATCTTCAACTCGGTCTTTGGAAACTCCTTAGAAACCATCGATCCTACCCACAACTTGACTGTTTCTGATATCAGAACCGCCATCCGTAACTCGACTGGCCCTCGTCCTAGCTTGTTTGTCCCAGAATTGGCCTTTGACCTACTGGTCAAGCCTCAAATCAAGCTTCTGGAATCACCTAGTCAGCGCTGTGTAGAGCTTGTCTATGAGGAGCTCATCAAGATCTGCCACACTTGTGGTAACCAAGAACTTCTGCGATTCCCTCGCCTTCAGGGAAAATTGATCGAGGTTGTGTCTGACCTACTCCGTGAGCGTCTGGGACCTTGCTCGAACTACGTGGAATCTTTGATCTCGATTCAAAGAGCCTACATCAACACCAACCACCCTAACTTCCTTGGTGCTGCGGCTGCTATGTCTTCCATCATGCAGAACAAACAAGATGAGGAACGCAAAGCCTTGATGGCGGAGGAAAAGCGGAAGCGCGACAAACGCCGCCAGAAGGAATTGGGAGCTGCCAACGGTACGGCCAACCCCGAAGAAGAGGAGCACGCCGATTCCAAACAGAACCTCCCCATCCGAACCCAATCCACAAAGGGTTCACGGAGCATGTCCCCGCACGTCGGCCGCAACGGCGAGAATGGCATCGCTGCAACCCTGAATGGTGCCCATCCGAATCATGCCGCATTTGGTGGTTCGAATACTGCCCGCGATTCGTTCCTGAACTATTTCTTCGGCAAGGAGGGTACTCACAACACGGCCATGGCCCCACCATCTGGAATGAACTCCAACCGGCAAGCGATCCATGCCAATGAACCCAGTATCAGCCAGAGTATTCGTCGCGCCGAAATACGGTCTCCCGTTATGCCTGCCGAAGAATACACGGCACCAACCGAGTATGGTGGCGAAGTTTCTGCTTTCGTGAGTGTCAATATAAGCCCTTCCACTATTTCCATGTTCTATTAACTAACTTTTGTGCCCTCTTTGCAGCCTAATGAGAATACCGAGCCTGCACTTACCGACCGTGAGATGCTCGAAACCGAGCTCATCCGCCGACTCATTTCATCCTACTTCAACATTGTGCGCGAGAGCATTGCCGACCAGGTTCCCAAGGCTGTCATGCATCTCCTGGTCAACCACTGCAAAGATGTGGTTCAGAATAGACTTGTAAGCGAACTTTATAAGGAAGATCTTTTCAGCGAGTTGCTCTACGAAGACGATGGCATCAAGGCCGAGCGAGAGAAGTGCGAGCGGCTCTTGGAGACATACAAAGAAGCCGCAAAGATCGTGGGCGAGGTTTTATAGATGTTTTCCTTTTTTTATTGTTCTGGACTCAAGAAACCCTTGAGACATCCTGATTATGCGCCATGCTTGATGCGTTACCAGCCGTATGGCGTGGAGGATCTTTGTTACTCTTAACTCAATTTATGTACAATTATCGCGGCCTGCACATGATATCGATCTATCTTCACCTCTTTTCGAGGAGTTCCCACCAATCCCGATCAGGATGTACTCATAGTCTTGCAGGTTGATATTTATATTATCTATATCTATCATTGATTCTTCTTAGTCGCACTCCGTAGACGAGCACCCTCGAAGCCGTACAGACCACCGCCAACAAACACCAGGGCTGCTCCAGCCAAGACACCACCAGCCAGATGGTTTCCAAATAGATAGATCGACAAGAGAAGTGACACCAGTTTGCGGATATTCAAAAAGATGGTGACTGTCAATGATGACGACTTGGCGGACAAAAGGTGAACACCACGAATACATAGATACTGCGTCAGAGCATTCATGATCAAATATGCTACTTGCACTGGGAGCTGTGCAAGTATAGACTGGACAAACGGGTGGTGTTGGATTTGACCCAGCACCGAAAACGCAGTACTCTTCACAGAACTCGACATAGACGGATCCAACAAGATATCACGGTTGAGATGAGACAGTAAGGATGGCGACGAAGCTACCACTCGCCACTGAGACAGCAGCTGCGCATAGCTTGTGAAGAATATAGGCAGCGAGAGCGTGTGCGAGTAGAAGAGGGCTTCTTTCCAATGGTCCCTGCCGTAAGTCGCATATAGGCGGTCCGCATAGATTCCCTGAAAGGCAGACAAGATCATTGCTAGAGCGAGAATGGTGAACCCTGTCACAGTAGTCATCATGTCGACGTCGCTATCAGTCGACTCGACTGTGATGGACAACCCCTTGGACTGGGCATCGGCCAATGCTGCGGCTGCCACGCCCACGGTCAGCATGCCCACCGAAGCGATCTGACCCCGGGAATAGCGTTTGCCATTATGAATATAACCAATTACCATGGAAGCTACAGGACCAGCAGACCGCAGGATGATGTGTAGCGGCACAGAGATCCTGTATGCGAATGCCCAATTGTTCAAGAGGTTGACCGTGACAAAATAGGCCGTATATACCACCCAAGACTTCAAGGGGATCGCGCGAGCACTAATGAATAGAGATTGTGGTCCAGCCGAGAAGGAAAGGAAGCTTGGGAGAGTGAATAGTGCGCAAATCACGAATTGCGCAAATGTGATCAAAGGACCTGTGCGGAGGAAATTGAGTCAGATGGCATGAAGTGTTTTGTGGTTCTGACAAATGATAGCATACCGGCAGTAGGTTGTTCTCTGTTAGACAGGCATTAGTACAGGTGCCGGAAAGCCGTTGACTCGATGGCTTGATAACTCACTTGATAATTGCCTCCAGCGCAAAGACCTACATATCACCTATCAGCCTTTTTCAACAACCCACAAGCTGAGGAGTCTCACATTTGCACAACAGCCACCAAAGATAAGGGAGACCATTAAGACCATGGTTGTCCAGTTAGGGACCGCCGCATGGGCAGCAGCAGCCGCTAAGCCGGGGACATCCTTCTTCAATTGACCATAATCAACCTTGACTTCAGGCTTTCGCGATTCAGGTGCGCTGGGCGATACAGCGTTGATATTCTTCGGTGTGTTGACAGAGCCAGCACGGGAGCGAGTGATCAGGTAGGAGTCATTGTGTCCTCTTCTCATGGGAGAGTCGTTGTCATTGAGCATTCTCCCTGTTTGACTGTCAGCGCGATATCTTTGAACCACAGCGAGGGACTTGACCTGGACTGAACTTGCTATACTCATGGACGTATGCACAGGAGGAAGTTGACAGCACGCTGGACCGCGGGAGACAGATCGGCGCGTACCGCCCGGCACTTTAAACGCTACACATACTACGTGCATACTGCACACTATAATTTACTACATAAGTAAGTCTTGATATCTAAGATTGAACTATACACAAGTTAATCCACAATGTCATCGTCGCTGAGAAACAACTTCTCTTCTTCCTGGGGAAGTCGAGGTCCAAAAGCATTCCCACTGGGCTGCTTCAACCATTGTCGTAGAGGTTCCTCTACGTCTTCCATGCCATCATCGCAAAGGCTATCATTGCCCCGGATGCTGGTGATTTTATCCAATTGCCAACTGTCCGGGTCATGGCGCCGAATTATGGCCATGTAGGGCAACTGATGCAGTAGAAGGTCGTGGCGAGGCATCATTGTGATCACACTCGCCAGCTTGTCTTTACCACTTGCATTGATTGCTGCCGACTTTCCTACCCGGAGGTTTTTCCAGGACTTGACACCTGTCAGATCAGAGCCTGAAACCGCCAAAGGCTGGCTGAAAGGGTTGAGTAATCGATTCGTCCAGGAATCAATTAGTCCGTCGATTTCTTCAGACTCTCTCCATAGTCGCAGAGATGCTGGGTAGAACATTTTGTGCGCATCACCTGCGCGACTTCGGACACCCTCTGACCCTACTTTCCTCTTCACTGGGTATGGGAGCGCGAAAAGAAGGCCACGCGCTGCAACCTGGAAGCTCATTTCCTCCTGTCGTAGTACATCGACACCGCTACTGAATGATGTAGCTCCGGTACCGACTCCTACCCTCGCGCCTCCTATTCGGCGGTCAGCACTCAGGATATCACTGTCGGAGAGTGCCTCGATGCAGTTGTTGAAAGAATCCGTAAAGTCGATTCCGTCACAAGACGGCGGGTAATTCTCATGAAGAGCGCTGACGAAGGTTGAAATATCTGTTCCAGTTTCATCGATCAGATCATTCACCAAAACTTGCGAGGCCTTGGGTCGGTAGCAGTGAGGCAAGTAGCCAGGCGGTGGTGGAAGGATCTCGACATCATCCTCGACAAGACTGGGGTCCATCCGCTTGTTGTATACTATCTTTCCAACGGCGTGGAACATACCCAAGCTGGTCTCTCTCTGTGTAACTAATTTGAGAGACTCTTGCTCCATCGCCGTCAAAGCCACTTCGGCTCTGGCCTTTTTCGTTTTGGCCGCGTTGCCACCCCATTTACCGGCACCCTCTCTCTTCAGACACAAGAATTCAAGTGATGATATTGCACTGCGAATATCTCCGATTTCTGAGATCTTGTCAATCACTCCTGGCCCCGGAAGTTGCACACGTTTGGAGTCGCGCGCTTCTCTTTCGAGAATAGATCGTAAGGCTTTTTGCATGAATGTAGGTGCAATGGCATTGAAATCGAGGATCGTCGTCCCGGGGTGATTGTAGATGATTGGCCCCAGTAACCGATGAACTGTCAGGTTGTCTGAGATTGAGGATGGAGACCCCAGCAACGTTTCCGATACGATGATAACAATAGGTGGATGGGCCAACCCAGCCATGCCAAGTGCATGATCAGTGGCGGCAGCAGCCAAATAGCGCTGAAGAGACGCTCGAAAAGCAGTGATGTGAGAAGATCCCCGAGTAAGTACCGTTGGAAACTCTTCAACAAGTAAGATTCGATTATCTCGAGAATTGTCTTGCTGGACCTCGAGATTGTCGGTACCCTCGAGGTCAAGTCCTCCATACTTATCACCACGTCCAAGAAATTCCTCAAAGTGGGCGCTCACAGATTGATAGTCCCGGGAACCAAAGTCCAAGACAGGTGGATTCTTCCATTCGATAATATCATAACCAAGTGATTCGGAAAGAAGATTGATAGTAGTAGTTTTCCCACAGCCTGCCGGACCACGTAGGACGAGTAACCTCTGCTCATGTTAAAACCAATTTGTAACCAGAAGCATAGGCATGCTCAATTTCTTGACACTTACCTCAGGCTTTCTCCCTGAGAAGGCATCTTCCAGCCAATGTCGTACATCGGAGACCTTTTTCTTATGAACAGCCAACTCGCCTAGATTGGCTGGGGCGAATCGTTGAGCCCATGGTCTCCTATCAGGTTCCTTAGCCGGCTGTGGGGTTACCTGTTTCTCCAAAGCTCCATTTATTCCATCTGGGGGTAAGATGAATCGTTTTGTTTGTGTCCTTTTTCGCGGTTTGAATGGTGGTTTAGGCGCAGGAGGACGCGTCTTGGAGCTCACGCTAGCTGCCAGACCCGTCCGCTCTGTGGCCAGATGCTGGGTGAATATTTCATCATAGGAATCGTAGTCGTCTTCGATCAAATCAACATCCACGGTCTCTGTGCCTGGTGGGAGAGCTGGCTTCTTCTTCTCGGGCTTCGGAGGAGCCCATCGTTGTCCTTCCGTCGCTGGGTGGAAAAAGGTATGCAAGGTCTTGGACTTGGTCTCTGGCTTCGGCGAAGACTTGGTTTTCTTAATTGGAGAGGGCGTGGACGAGGGCAAACGGTGTGATGTACGCGATTCGAGTTTAGGACGAGAGGAGAGGGCGACAGGTCCAAAGGCTTCATTAGTATCTGTGGATTTAAGAGATCGAGACCTTGACATAGAAGGTCCATCCTTGTCGGATCTGCGTCTTTTCGAGGGACGACTGTCCATGACCTCGGAGTTGGTCTGGAGAAGTTAAGATACGCGATAGATAAGCTATGACGCCAAGCGTGGAGATATACTTATATAAGTATATAGTTGGTGTGTTGGTGTTTATATCCGTTTACATTTATATTATATGTATACTTACATAGCACCTATATTGGAAAGTAGATTCACTTGTATTCATATATTATCTGATTTACAGTAATGCGCACATCCAGCCATGGTGGGTATATTGACCAGATCCCCAGAAACAAATCCCCCAATTACAAAAAGTCCCGCTTATGCGCCGCCAAATACATCATAATAATAGTCCTCATCTAGGCCACCGCGAGCTGGAACCTGAGGAGCCTCGCCGGCAAAGGTGGCATCGTCAAAGCGAACATTAAGAAGACGGATTTTCAAGCCGTAGTTGCTGACCAGGTCAATCAGCTTGGTGGTTTCTGCCGTGATGGGTTGCTGGTTGAGAAGCATCAATAGACCGTCCAGCCATTCGGATGCAATGCTGTGTGATGAGGGCCGCAGCGTAAGCAGGACTACCTCTTTTTGGGTTGCCCTGCTGGCCGAGCGGGTGTGGCCATGGCCCTTGCCTTGGCCATTAGAAGTAGATTGGGCATAACCGTGAATTGTGATCTTAGTTGCTGGTTGACGGGGTGCAGACTTCACTGTAACCGAAGAAGCATGGTCTGGCGTCGTGGAGATGTTAGAGACTACAGATGACACGATTGAGAGATCGACTGTCCGAGTTGTCAGTATCAAACATACGATATTGGAGAACAACTCTTACTTTTCTCTGGCAAAGTATCCAGCTCCGGAGCCCCATCACCCATGGAGCTGAATACACCGAAGTGTAAATATCGTCGGTTGTGAGAGAGTTGAGCAAACTGATGCGACCCTGTCGACTTCGGCACTGCTCCATCAGATTTGGAGCCAGAGTCCATGGCGAACCAAGCACCTCGAAGCAGACATCGGATCCGCTGCTCCTTGACAAACTGAAGGGCTTCGTGGTGGAGTTCCTCGCGCACCTGGCGCAAGTGCTGACCCCATGCATCCTCATACGTAAGTTCAAGAAGTTCCATCTGTAGCCCGCGCAGACGGTTATATTCGAAATCGGCTAGCTCCTCTTCCACATCCTGTACATCCTTGGTCCGAGAAGCTCCACCGACAACGGATTCGATGAGAATGCGCACGAGCTCGATGAGCTTGTCCAAATCCTCAACTTCAGCAGCTGTTGCCTTCCACAGGCGGAAGAATGCCTGCAATCCGGCGACATGTAGACGGGTCCAGTGTAATAGCAATGGCTGGAACAGTTTATCAAAGCCCGAGCGGGATTCCGAAATGAGATATGTCTTGGTATCATCCATCTCGGACTTGTCCACCTCAAAATGCTCATATAGAATCGATGTCACAGCCAAAGATGCGCGTGCAATTGGGCAACGTTGTCGTGCTGACTTTGTAGAATGCTCCAAGAGCATCTTTTGGAATTCATCCTGGTGGCTGCGCACATAGTCTGCCAGATCCATCATACCTAGGAAACCAACCTCGTAGAACTCCATCGATGGGCTTTCCGTCTCGAATCCAAGCCGCCTCCACTTCTCCGGATGGTGTCGCTTTGAGCGTCGCGTGTCGTCGCCATTCTCAATAGCCTCGTCGGGGTGTTTCGGCGGGTTACTGGCCAGGTGAACCCCTTTCAGTGCGCGGCGGTGTTCAGGCTTCTCTTGGTTGACTGGAATGTCGCGCCATTTCCGTAGCAGCACTTTGGTCAACGACTGGAATTCAAGTAACGGATGCGCCAGGTCGTGAAGAGCAGAGTCTTGCATAAGCACATAGACAGCCCTGATCACACCTAGGTCCTGCAGCTTCTGGATAAACTTTGGCCAATCTGCTTCGGCGTCGTGTGTAATGGAGTCGCGCATCAGGGAGTTGATCAATTGCAGCGCATTGGCGCACAGGGCGTGGTCGGCGGAGGAGAGGCGGCTCACTAGCATTTCCAGGAACTGCGGGTATATGGCAATAGCGGGCTTCAAGGCACGGAAACCAAAGTGATCGACCTGGGATGCACGATTCCCGATGTACGGATGAGAGACGACGGAGACGAGAATTGACATGGCGCCTCGAAGGATATTGACTAAGGGATGGGTGACAATCAACTCGACAATCTATAAGAGACATGCATTAGCTTCTGATAGAAGAGGCTTAAATCTCAGGCAAGACGTTGCAGTGCCCAAAGAGCGACAGAGAGCTCACCCGTTCCACCAACTCCTGATCAACACATTCCCACCCTTTATCCACGTCGAGCAGCCTGGCAAAACTCGTCAAGCTATAAGCCAGAGTATTTCCAGTCGCATGGAGAGTTAAATAGCGTAATCGGACCAGACCCCCCTCTGCAATGAAGAGGTCCGCAAAGGACGGGTCGCCGATGTTGCCCTGGAGCTTGAAGACGGCCATTTTGCGCACGGCATCTTCGTCGCTGCCCAGGCGCTCGACCAGTTCAGGGACATTGACGTTCTCCATGACTTGGGTAGGGGGAGAAACGCGGAGATGAAATTCGGATGAAAGATCAGGGGCTGTGGGGCAGCTGAACGATCTACAAACGCCCTATTGTTAGAGTAATTAATTCATATCCAGTACTTTATATTGAGTAGGGAAGATTAGATATTAACTGAAGAATAGAGTATAGTGTATAACTTATGAGAATAGTAAGGTATAGAATCGTATTAATTCATTTTGACATTACTTCGTTATATTCCATACATGGGAATCTATACACCTCCTCTTTTCCCTTTCATTATGTACTTTATCGTCGCCAGCCCACGTTCCAGATCACATGGGCTATGTCTCGTGCCGTGTTCACGGTGTCCGCGACTCGATCCAAGATGCTGGAGCTGGGTCTTTCATTCTCTCCTTCAGGCATGAACATGCCCGAGGCTGTCAACCGCAATGGACGGTCAGAAGTAGGATCGTCCTCGACAAACCAAGGGCGATCGCGATCAGGGTAATTACCCGTAAAGTCCAGACTGGGATCTTCGTCATCATCCAAGAGGAAATTCGCCGAAGGTTCTGGCCGCAGGGTTTCTACAGAGGGGGAGGGTGATAATGTGGAAGCATTCGCATTCAGGGTTGACCAACGACACAGTATCGTTTGGGGACGAGGCTCTGGGGGGTCACCCCGATACTTAAGCGTGGTAGAGGGAAGGGGAGCGATGGTCTTACCCTCGCTAAAACTGTTGCGAGGGGTGCTGCGAGTGCTGGGCGACCGGTCTGAAATCTGCCTCATCATGACCACGCCATCATCAGATGATTCATCTGCAAAGGTTGCTGGCCACTCGTCGAACCCCTTGGCTTCGACCGCAATGCATTGCACGACTTCATCGTTGAAGTGAATATGGCGGCGCTCAATCGGAGATGTCATGCCAGATGATGACGAGGTTGTGAGAGTGCCGCCTAGGGAGTAAGTTGAGCTGCCGGTCCGGTGATGTAGCTGATCTAGATCCGTATTGGATCTCGGGAAGGGAGGACGAGCCCAGCCATTCTCGGCTTCTTGGGCCTTAAGAATGGCACCGGCATGCTGTAGTAATGTATGCTGGGAGAGGGACCGTTGGAGAATAGCCTCCGAAGCGGTCTTCTTCTTCAGAATCGGTTTCCGATCTAAATAAGAGTTCGGGGTGTCCAGGCGACTAGGAGGAGGAGAAGGGGTTGCACGCTCGCCAGAACTTTTCAATGGGCCGTAGAGCCAGGTGACATCACAATCTTTTAGCCTGGTTGGAGAGTCAGCGTAAGATCTAGTACGAAAGGGGTGAGTTACTACTCACCAGTTCAGGCTCTCTGGCGAAACAGTCTTGAGATTGTGCTTGGCTTTGGCCCATGTCCTCCATGAGGCATTCTCCAGTCGTACACCATTGCTGTAGTCATTCCTCCGACTGGTCACATAGCGCCATGAGGACCAGATATCTTCTTCTTTCCAATCATGCGACAGATAGTCCACATGCCTTGAGGGCTCATCCTCGATTGAAGTGTCATCCACGGCAGGTGCTGCCGTCAAGGCAGGGTGTGATTCGGTAGAGGCATCACTCTCGTCTTCCTCTGGAGCATTGCGCATAGGCTCGTCGTAAGAAGGAAGGACCAGTTCATCTTCCAGGGGTAAAATATTCAAGGGGCAGGCGAGTGGTTGAGAGACGGGCATGAACGTAGGAGAGGGAGGAGCGGATAAAGTGGAAGGGGAGGAATCCCTTGCCCGATAAGCATCTTGCATGGGTGACTTGCTATCCAGTTCTTCCAAAAAATATCGTTGCACGGTGGGACACCGGCGAGGATCCGGGGAAAAAAGCGAAGGGGATTCGCAGGGGACTAGCAGCGCCGTCATTGCCGTATGATGTAATGACAAAGGGGGTCACGCGGGTAAAGCCAAATTCAAAATCATCGGCTATTAGATGACCTGGAGAGGAAAAAGAGAAGAGAGAGGAGAGAAGGAAGAGAAGCAGAGAGGAACAAAGAAAGAAATAACGAGCGAGAGAAAGAAACAGAGAGAGATAAAAGTAGAGAGGAGAGTAGATAGAGAACCAAGGAAACGGGAAATGGGGGCAGAACGTGGAGAAGCGGAGAGAGATGGAGGGAAAAAGCAACGAACGTCCAACTTGATATAGACGTTTTGATATTCTCGCCACTTTGTTTTCCTTCTATGAGGCTAGACCGGACGAAAATCTAGTGCAACACCATTCTCCACATCTGCAAGTCGTCAACTATAACGGGTGGGAGTGGATCTACGCATCTAGAGGGACCGAGAGTCTACAGGCCTGAGCACTCCCTGTTTTTATTGTGTTTGCTATTCTCTTCTATATTCTGGTCTATGGTCTCTATCCTGCTCGGCTGCACTCTATCCATGGTCTCTGCCTGGTACGTCTGACTTTCTAAAATGCTTTATGACGCAGACCAGGAATCCTGTTGGTCAACCACACGATCGACGGGCCGATGGGATCAAAGCCGAGCCATCCAGGCGAAACACGGACGTGTGTGAACCGGAAGATAAGCGGGATCGAGATCATTCAGGATTGGGCTGATTGGAAGGTTGCATGTCTATTTCCAGGGTTTACAAGTATAGGAAGTTAGTGTGGTGGCGTATGCAAATGTCGGAACCACACAGACGGCAGAACAGAGACAAGAGATAGGAGGGCAACACACAGAGAGAGAAAAAGCTCTTTTCGAGTCGGACAGGAATTGCCTTTGTCTGTGCGCTTGCATTGAACCTTTACATGCATGAATGGCCTCAAACTAAACCCTCAACAGACGCCCATTGTTCATACCAATCGACCAGTGGGATCTGGTCCTCGCTGCATGTTACCGTCAAGCGGGTTCAGGCCCTCTGGTTGAAACTGTACTTCGTGTTCTCGGCGACATATTATCTTCCCACTACTGCGGACCCCAGTTCCTCTCCCACGGGCCCCTAACGTCTGTCACCACGACGAGCCATTATTGGCTCACTTGGAGGGATTCAAAGTGGGCTTGCTTCGACTTTACAAGGGGTATATCGCCAACACAGCTAGCTGACGTAGACTATATTCCCCTCTTCCCCTGGCGCCTGGAAGCTATCTTATCAGCCTTGCGGATCCTCACACCGGGCACCAATAGATGCTATCATGTCATTGCAGTCTTAACGGTTCAGCGTCTGCATTCTCACCCTGGGGCCTGGGGCGGGGCCCAGTTGCAGGATGAGCTGTCAGAGAGATAGGATGTCGTGATAAAGAAGGCACAATGTGTAGTTTGCCACTTGAACTGAACCATGTGAAGTCAAATGTTGCATGTTTCCTCCGAGGAATTAGAAGCAGATGCAGGTCGTAGATGATCCTTACACTCATATCAATTCCGATCCATTATCGACCCCACGTGATTTCTCAAAGGAGCCTAGCGGGCAGAACTGCCCCTCCGCCCCGCGATGTGTTGACTTTGAAGCTGAGAAGTCTAGACTATCCAGGACCATTGTCAAATCATGGAGGAATCAGGACCAGAGCCCGCAAGACAAGTGGTCTACTGTGGAGGTGAGGACCCGTGGCGCAGAACCTTGAGGAGAATAGTGCTGACGGAATGTATTCCGATAGTTTGCACATTACCCCCAGAGGTACGATCGTGTTTTTGTCCCTCCCTGGACGTGAAGGTCCAGCCCATTCCCCCGCCCTTATCATTCCCCAGATTTATTGCGTGGCATCACTTCTGGCCAGATGATAGCGCCCGCAAAGCTTACTACCCGGATCACTTACATACTCTGGTGCTTCAAAGCTAACTTGTGGGGGATAGTACTGTGAATTTGGAGGCACTGCTAAGAAGTGTGAAGAATGGCTCAAGGATAACGAGTCGGACCTATGGGATAAGCTATACTCCGAAGGTATGGAGCTTCCAGGGCCATGTACTCCTTGACATGCAGCTAGTCAACCGCCAGCCCCCCGCATACCTGATAGCTGACTCTCCACTAGATGCTTTGAACGCCAACCTCTCTACCCTGTCTGTCTCGGCGCAAGAACGTGCCGCCAAGGATGCCGCCAAGAAGGAAGCAAAAGCTGCTGCAAACGAGGCGCGAGATAGCGAGCGCAAGGCTGCCTCCAAGGTTATCATTAAGCGGGTGGAACGGAACAAGCGCAAATATGTGACTGTGGTCATCGGTCTGGAGGTCTTTGGTCTAGAGAACAAGAAGATTGCAAAGGATCTGGGCAAGAAGTTTGCCACTGGGTCCTCGGTGACCCGGTCGCCAGCAGGCATTGAGGAGATTACCGTTCAGGGTGATGTCAGTGACGACCTTTCCGACTGGCTACTCGAGGTGCACGGAAACAAGATTCCCGAGGCGAACATCGAGTTCGTCGAGGACAAGAAGAAGAAGAAGAGCGAAGCGGCCCTGCCGTAATGACGACAACGAATCCATTGCAGACTGGGTATCATGAAATCTAAATTAAAAAAGTACAAATGCAAGACTCCATCCTATGCAAAGCTCCGGTTCTTGTTTCCCGGAAAGTCTATCGTGACAGGACAAGCATTTTCATAATTCATCCAACACTTTCAGCGGATTATGCTCTGTAGGCATTGCATCGGGTCCCGACCGGACCTCCGTCGAAGTAGGACCAGCCCTTGCCAGGCTCTCGCGGCGATCTGCAAGGCTGGACGGGTACGGCGAGGCCCCTGCAGCAGACCCTTTTCCTTTCCCATCTAGACCGAGGATTGGTTCCCATGTATCGGATTGGGGTGGCACAGAAGATTGGTTCAACGCTGTCAGACGTGACAATTCTGCGTTGGGGGAGTGGAATGGTGGCCAGGTCTGGAGGACGAGAGCGAGCACAAGCACAAGCAATGCACTAGTTGCAATGCCCCAGAAGATACGCAGACGACGACTGGTGCGTGTTTGCCACTCGGTTTCGCGCTGTTCCCAGCTATCAATCTCGTGTCGTACGGTCTCAAGTCTCTTGCCTAATTCTTCCACTCGCTGTCGGCCTGCTTTCATGCGCTGATCCAACGCGTCTGCTTTTTCAATCTGCGGTTCAAACCCTTTGAGGTCGCTAATCTGTTTTCGAATATCTTGATCTAACCCGGCAGTTTCACGTTCAAAGTTGCCGAGAAGCGTCGAGGCAGAGTCGGATAGTTCCTGGAAGGACGAGATGGTCGAGTTGAGAGCTGTAATTTTCTCAAGCAGATTGTAATAGGTGTAGTCCAATCGACGCGTAAAATCTGTGGCCAACGTTCCAATTGAAGCCAGCGCAGACCGTAGATACCTGCACGCCAGTTAATATATCATGCATTGAAGCTGCACCCACAGCAGAGATAACAATTGCATACTCTTCACCTTGTTTCCTCCTCTTTTTGACCCTATCTAAATCCTCCGGCGATTGAATCTCCTGCCGTCGTATCGGCCCCAAGCGCTCTTGCTCAGGCGGGTCAAATAAACTCCCTTTGCGACTCCCATCCAGACTCGTCGAGCCAGATCCCCATCTAGACCTCGTGGTCTCCCTTGTGATCGGCCGCAACAGTCCATCATCCCCATCACGGTCTTTGTCCCTCCCACCAGACCACGTAGGCAACAGTCCTCTCGCACTCGCCGATGAAGCCAGATGGCTCATATGACGAGGGAACCGCAATTCCCGCGACTTGCTGTGTTTATGGCGGTGGGAGCGTGAGCCATCGTATCCCGCGGGCTCAGTAAGTTGTCGAGGTGAAAGGGACGGGCGAGTTCGTCGTGACGAAGACGAAGCGTGTGATGCTTCGCCCTTTGGAGAGACTTCGCGATCTTCTGAGCCATACCGATTAGGGCGGCGGGAGTGCCTATTGGTTCTGCTTTCGCGGGTGTTGACTGCGGAGAGTTCCTCCGGTGTGGATTGTCGGTCACTGGGTTGCGCTTGGCTTCGGGTAGAGCTCTTCGAGAGAGGAAATGTGGCTGATGTCGCTCGAGAACTTGCAAAGGATGGGCTGTTGTTGTACGGAGCTTCCATAACGACTCATGGCGAAAGAAAAGCTTGGGGAAGCTTGTCGATGTGGAGTTGATAGGGGGACTGATGACGCCAAGGATCTGCGGTAGCTTAATAAGATTTTGTACTTCCACATCTACTGCAGTATCTATTCAATGTGTCTATACAAGTTATTCATTGTTATTAAGAGGGTCTAAGAGAAGAGAGCAGAGTCAGTTTATCGTGGGATTCTCGCTTTATGTCTCTCGCCGGACCTTCTACATGTTATATTTCTTAACTTATAGTCTTTCCATCCTCTTGACTCACTATCCTACTTTATGACAGACTAAATGCCATTTAAAATTTGATTCGTAGCCTGCTTAAATTGGCAAGCTGTTGAACAGACTTTCTCTTCATTTGATGAGCAGGTGAGCTTATTAACTATGCTCCGCAAAGACCCCCCGGCTGTGAGCCAGAGTTGGACAAAAAGACAAGGTGTGGTGGATTCACCTTAGACCTTGCATCTACAGTTGTATCCTGTGGCCAAAGGCTTGGAAGGAATAGAAGACTACAATCTCGGGTCAAAAAAGGGGAAAATCACCTGCAGGAAGAGGAAGATATCGTTGATCATCATAAGTACACCTGAAGTGCTAGAGTACAATCATGAAAACCACACCTCTCAGTTCTGACTGTAGTGCAGATTCGAGCTGCTAGAAAGCACTCGACTTTGCCTGCCAGTCACCTGAATCGTGATCTTGTTAGCTCTCGAACTTTATGGCTATCGATTCAAGATTCGACGGGCTTTATATAGCCCCGCTGGACCAATTTGACTGGACCAGATTGTGCTACCGCTGACGATGGCCGTAGGTGACTTGCAGGCATAATACACAGAACTATGTAGAAGCGGGTTGTAGATCGATAGTCGGAAACTAGCTAGTTTCTGGCCTCGTCCTGTCAATTATAGAAAGCGTAGTGCGATTGCAAGTCCATATAGATGCGTCGGTTTCAAATGAAATCAGCATGGTAGTCATGAAAAATATGTTCTACTAATTTTGGCTATCCCATGAGAGTATGAATATGTAACGAAAAAAAAGTTGGTTTAACTCGCTATTGTAGTGACCTAGAACCCTCAGAACGCCTGTAACAGCCCATGCCATGAGTCTGTCGCCATGTCCCAGCCGATGTATATACACATGCAAAGAAGGGTATGGTGATATGGAAAAAAGGACCTCGATAATCTGGCTACTCACGAGTTGAGCAACTTGTTGCGCTTCTCTCTGCGCTTGAGACGCTCAACCCTCTTGTGGTGCATCTTCTCAGCCATCTTCTCAAAGCGAAGCTTCTCCTCCTTGGCCTCGCGGCGGTCCTTGATGCGTTGGATATGGGCCTGGGTAGACATTCTCGGTCAGTGATACCATTCTTGGAAGGTGAAGGAGATAACGCATTATTATGGAGATCACAAGAATGGAGACAGTCAAAACCACAGAGATGAGACAGTACGGGAAGCAAAAGGTTCACATACTTGACGTTCGGCCTCCTTCTCTTCTTTCATCTCACGCTCCAACTCCTTAACAGCGTCCTGGTGCTTACGCGCCTCTTGACGCTTAGCGTAAGAAGTCAAACCGGCATTGGGGCGGAATGCCTTCTTAGTGCCATGCCAGTTTTTGCCTGTAAGTCCGATCGGGTCAGCCGAGATGAGGAACAGCAGGGAAGTGGGGACTGGGCATTAATTATTTTTTCACTGACCGTTTTTCCGCATGCCCGTTGGGGGCACGGTTGGGGTCTCTGTAGCGGTGGACATGGTGAGGGACCTCTTTGAACAATGTCGCTCAGAGGTAAAATTAGGTGGGAGAGTGTCGCGGGAAGGAAACGTGAAGCGGCAGAGGTCTCGGGATCCGAGTTTTTCTTGATTATCTCGATCTGATAAAATGTCTTGGCACGAGGCGCTAGACAGAAAATGCCACTTCGACTCCACCCTTCACTCGTCTTCACTTTCTCCAACGGGCTTTTCGTCTCTTTTTACTCCGGTTTCCCTCACTTTGCTTTTTCGCTTCTGACCTGGTGGCTTGGCAAGCCTCGTAGGTCCATCAAATCCCTCACACCGCCCCTCCCCCCACTACTCTCGACTCGACTTAATCCCTCTTCCCCTCTTACCATGTCCTGCCGATAGCCCTATTCACCTCTTTTGAATATACTTGATGGCGACGGAGCATGCGATCATTACTGAGCGGCCGATGGAGCTGCCATCGCTCCCGCCCAACCAGGGCCTGGAGGCCATGAAGGACATCGTCTTTGGATCGGTAAGGAGTCTTGGGCCGCATTGCATGAGAGAACAGACACTGACATACGTCCAGGCAGCAGGAATGGCAGGCAAACTCATTGAATATCCCTTCGATACCGTCAAGGTCCGATTACAGTCACAACCCGAACACCTTCCCCTTCGATACTCCGGCCCGCTGGACTGTTTCCGTCAATCGTTCGCTACCGATGGCTTCCGGGGACTTTACCGAGGGATCAGCGCCCCGATGACCGGGGCCGCCGTGGAAACTAGCTGTCTCTTCTTCAGCTATCGCCTCATTCAGGACACTCTGCGCGCTACGGTGTATCCTAATGTAGAACACCTACCGTTCCCAGCCCTCGTGGCGAGTGGTGCCCTCTCGGGATCAATCACCTCGTTGGCGCTGACTCCGATCGAGTTAGTGAAATGCAAGATGCAGGTACCCGCCGAGTCGGCCACGAAACCATCCGGTCCCATGGCACTGGTCGCAACCATCTTCCGCCAGGAAGGGTTGAGGGGATTTTGGCGCGGCCAGATGGGAACACTTATTCGCGAGACCGGTGGCAGCGCGGCGTGGTTCGGTGGATACGAAGGTGTATCGTCGCTCTTCCGCAATTACAACAAGTCACAGGCCCGACCTGCCTCTGACTCACTCCCCGTCTACCAACAAATGATCGCTGGTGCAACGGCTGGTATCAGCTACAACTTCCTCTTCTACCCCGCCGACACAATCAAATCCAGAATGCAGACCGAGGATGTCTCCCGGCTCCCTGCCAGCGCCAAGCGACAGACCTTCTGGAGCGTAACCAAGGCGTTGTGGCGGCAGCAAGGGCTTAAGGGCATGTACCGCGGGTGCGGGATCACCTGCGCACGCTCGGCGCCCAGTTCCGCCTTCATCTTCTCTGTCTATGAAGGGTTACGGCAATACTTTGGATAAAAAAAAAAAAAAAGAGAAAATCTGTTAGACCTTGCATATAGACTTGTGTCTTCTTGGGACAATTGTGTTTCCCGATCCCCTCACGGACTTTCCATGACTTATATTTCGGTTTTTTGCACCGCGTTATACCCCGAATACATTCCAAGACGATTCTTGACTACACTTTCCACTACCTTTGCTTATACTGTTGCCGGTATCTTCAATTCAAGACGCTGTCCTACAAGCAGGGTGGACACTTTGCCTGCTCCGTTCATTGGAGCCATTACGTTGGCTGACGAATTCGGACTTTGATCTATGCGTGTCAGTTCAAGAGTTTGCTGGATAAAAACTTCATGTCATGATTTGATTTTTACACAAAAGATATTGTCAATAGAGCTTCTTTTCTTGATCTGCAAACTTATCCTGACACAGCAACAATACTGATACCTCTATGATCCACGGTTTCAGCAGCCTGTAAAAAGTCATTGACCGTCATCTCCAAACCATTCTCCGAAAGCAGATCACCCTCCAACTGGCCCCTCAACAACGGCCCATTCATACCCCCATTCAGCTCCCAAACTTTGCCCTCCTTCCGCACAAATGCCACGAAATGGAACCCACAGTCCTCCCGTGGCGATGGAACAATGGAACAGCCCTGCGACGCAGCATCCATATGTGCCTCCTCCAGAAACTTGGACTGATACAGCAATTCAGCTCTCTCCGTTGGTTGAAGCTCAACTGCCTTCTTTACTAAGGCCTGTAGCTCTGAACCAGTGACATGTTTCCCCGAATCAAGATTCAAAACAACATGTAGAACCGCCATCAGGCCACAGGCATGACCAATCGTCTGCCTCATCCATAAGACTGGCTCCTCAGGCCCGCTCCCTGCATATAGATGGATGGTAGGTTCCACGGCGGAGCGAGTAGCTAGATAGATGGGAGTATCGGCGAGTAAGATGAGGGCGTTCACGGGCCGAGGGATATGAGATAGCATGTCGGGGGTTGTAGAGAGAACATCGTGGAATGTCAGGGTTGGAGAGATACCGAGGCTTCTACATAGATGCGTGATGGTATCGGGGTTGTTTTCTGGATTGTGAGATAGGATTATGGAGTCAGGATCAAGAAATCACCTAAAGGAATGAACGTTTTACGGCCGTTGACGACCTGCACACCTGGGTGTGCCATTTGTAGAGAGGATGTCCAGGTGTTGAGAGTTGGATGTTGATGCCATGCGGGGGAAATATAGATTAGTCATGTCAGCTTAAGGCTGACCAGGTGATCTCAGTCTTTATATAAACTTGTTTTCTGTCTTCACTATCAAGTCCTGGAATCTATCATTCAATCCATGGCATGCTGTGGTGTAGATGTGCCGAGATGGTTTAGGCACACCCTTGATATAATCATCTTTCACGCACTAACGTCATGTCTGGAAGTGTCTGTCGGCAATGCCCGACGAGAACAAAGAGAATCAACAGGTACTTGTTTCAAGGAAATTTTACAGAGGAGATAGACTAGCCCCCAGGGTCCCCAGGTCGGTGGCCTGCAGTTTGTTTCTATCTGTTCTTCGCAAATAGCGCCAATTCCAGGAGTTGAATTGATTACCAACAAGGCATATCGAGCTGCTAGCCAAATCCAACAAGCTAGCATGTTTTCCGAGCTGTAAACTCCATTGCAAGTCCAAGAAGGGCAGTGTGAATGTCGAACCTGTTTGGAAATACAGCTCCACTCGGAGAATTGAACCCAAGGCTAATCACGAAGTAGGTAAAGTCATATTGCACGTCGACCTCCACAAGATTCAGCCCTATGGGCTTCTGGTCTCCGCCCTAAGGTCCCCCTGCACACGTATGTATTCCGAGTGATTTAGCCGATGTCTGGCTCGTGGATAAACCAGGCAGCAAGTTTGAGGTCAATATCAGATATCCCCAAGGTACCCATGACAATGTTATAAAGTCTGTTAGTGATAGTTGTCTTCCAGGGCTTCCCAAGCTTCTTTGATTCAAGCCAAAGCCAGTCACAATGGCATTCGATCCCGACAATGTCAATCTCAACACGGCAAGCAAGGAAGATGTCCTCTGCTACTTCGCCATCTCCGAGAATGACTACAATGGCCACCTCGGGGCTCGCATTTCTTCTATCTTTGTGATTCTCTTCGTCTCTTCTGCCTTTACCGTCTTCCCTGTGCTGGCCAAGTGCATGCCCTCGTGGAAAATCCCTCAGAACGTGTATCTCTTCGGGCGTTACTTCGGCACCGGTGTCATCGTCGCTACGGCTTTTGTCCATTTGCTCGACCCTGCCTATAAACGAATCGGACCCAAGACTTGTGTCGGAGAGTCAGGATATTGGGGCGAATACTCATGGTGTGCGGGTATCGTGCTATTCACCGTCTTTGTCATCTTTCTATTAGATCTTGCTGCGGAGGTCTACGTCGAACAGAAGTACGGCGTGCACAAGAATGAAGAAGCTACCAACGCATTCATCACCCATGAGCATAATCTGGATGTGCAGCCTGCGCCAGAAAATTCAACCACTGTTCTGGATGAAAAGGAAAGACGCGTCGAAACATGGGCATCCGATGGTGACTCCACGACTGCCGAGCGATCTTTCCGCCAACAGATCGCAGCCTTCCTCTTACTGGAGTTTGGTATCATCTTCCACTCCGTAATCATTGGCTTGAACCTTGGTGTGACCGGCTCGGAATTTGCTACTCTCTATCCCGCGTTGGTCTTCCACCAGTCCTTCGAAGGACTCGGAATCGGAGCCCGCATGTCGGCTATTCCATTCGGAAACCACACTTGGCTGCCATGGATTCTATGTGCTGCATACGGACTGACCACTCCTATATCCATTGCAATTGGCCTTGGATTACGAACAACCTATGTCCCAGGCTCGAAGGCATCCCTGATTACCCAGGGTGTGTTGAATGCCGTCTCGGCTGGAATCTTGGTTTATACCGGGTTGGTGGAATTGCTGGCTCGCGACTTCTTGTTTGATCCCTGCCGTACTAGACGTCGGTCGAAGTTGTTGTTCATGGTGTGCTGCTCTGTGCTCGGTGCTGGAATTATGGCGCTCATCGGAAAATGGGCCTAAGGTCTGAGCAAGTTGCATGACCGGTTAGTCTATGGACTAACGAAGCAATAGATGCTCTTCAAACCTGTATTCTTCATGTTCAGTTCTCTTTTTGCTTAATTTGAGGATAATCTCGTGAATTACTCCAACTCTTTCACTTCTATCACAGTAAATATTCATGGACTGGGTAAGAATTCCTATCTATAGGCAGTCTTTACCCATACCCGCAATATCTGCAATACAATTGAGATCCGATCTCAGACGTCGGCTTATGCCAAACCAGTCCATGTCCCAGTCCATGTCCGAACTATACTCCGATCAGCGCACTCCGACCCGCGGAGTTTCCGAGGAAAGTCAAAATATAAGATCCAGAATCAAATATTAAGATCTCTTCATCTATAGACATAGAGAAACCAATTCATCACGCTCAATTATATCCTCCTATTAGGCAAACTGTTCATGGTAATCATCCGAACGGCCATCTCGCAACTCCGTCTCAAAGTCTCCTCTCTCGTCCACCGACATGCGTACGTCGAACCCGCAGAACATCGTTGTCATTGGGGCTTCTTTTGCAGGCTACCATGCCGCACGCTGTCTAGCCAATCCCCTGCCAACTGGACACCGAGTATTTGTTCTTGAGAAAAACAGCCACTTCCAGTTGACATGGGTACTGCCTCGTTTCTGTGTGGTAGAGGGACACGAACACAAGGCTTTTATTCCATAACTAAGATCACACTTGGGCTGGTAAGTCCCACCCTAGTCAAATTGAGTTCAACTAACGGGAGTAGGGTAAGAGTATCGTTTATCTCAATGATGGGCGCACTGAGATGATACTTGGGCTCCGTGATCAAATGATCGAACTTGATAGCGCTGCAGTCTGGAATCACCTGGGAGCAACGCCATCCAAGGATGAGTGTGAGGCGTGCTGTTGAGGTATAGAGACAAGATCAAATCACATCTCTGCATAGAGGACCATTTTTCGGAATGGTCTTGGGCTGAGATGTGCCAAAAACTGTTGAGGTAATCCGATGCAGATAATCCCGAGGGCGGCTTTTGATCAAATAATCAACTCAGATCATCTTCTATCCAACACGTACTTGATGATCTCGTCATATTTAGGAGCGATTATTTATCTTTTGACATGGAACCTCGAAGACTTGCTCTTCTTTATAAATCACAGTTTCATTCGAGAGTCAAGTGGCGCAAAGCGAATACAAATATGCCGTAAATCCCGAGATAGAATCAACATCCATCATTCTCCATCTCGTCTAATATCATTAACTCTGAATCCCCACGTCTCAATGACTTCCTCCCCATCTACAGTCCTCATCATTGGCGCGAGCCGCGGCATTGGACTTCAACTGGTTGAGAAAAGTGTAGGAAAGCCATTCAGGAAATGAAACTGTTGCTGACAGCCATATAGCTGGCCAAGCATCCCAATGCAGTGATTTATGCAACAGCCAGGAAACCCGCAACCGCTATTGATCTTCAAAAGCTGCACAAGGTCCATCCCAACCGGATGCACATCCTTCAAGTGGATGTTACCGATGCTTCCTCTATCAAGCAGCTGAAGGAGGCTGTTTCCCAGACAACTTCAACTTTAGACCAAGTCATCTACAATGCTGGCGTCCTCAAGGGCCTCGCACCCCTGACTGCAGTCGGACTGGATGGCTTGAAAGAGAACCTGATGGTCAACCTGTTTGGTGCTTATGCTTGCGCCATGGAGTTCCTCCCCTTTGTTGAGCGGTCTACTTATGCCAAGAAGGTCTTGACATTCATTGGAAGTAGTTTTGGATCCATCACTACTTACAAGGAGAACTTTGACATGCACAACATGGTCTTCGGCACAAGTGGCGTGAATGTGACCGCTGCATACGACATCTCCAAGGTATGTGGTCTTTGAGTTGGTGGTCCACCTGTATAACTCACATTTTTCATTTCAGACTGCCGTGGAGCGACTTGCCTTTGAGCTTGATTTGGAGCTTCGCTCCAAGGGTGTTCCAGTGCTTCTCATCCATCCCGGTCTTCCCAAGACTGATATGAATCCCATGGGTAATATCACCGTCGATGATAGCGCAGCTGGAGTGTAAGTCAATATCCGAGCCCTTGATTTTGCGGATACTAATGAGAATAGCATCAATGTTATTGGAGACTATACTGCGGATCGCGAGGAAAGATTCCTTGATTATGAGGGAAAGGCCGTTCCTCTGTAAGAAACAGAGCGTATTTAGTCATGTAACGATAGCCTAGCTATTGATACAGTATTGTTCCCTTCTACTTATACGAGATAACTCCATTCACTTTGTATCGAATCTCTTATCTATTCTCATAGCATCGCGTTTCAGTAAACTCAAGCTCCAAAATTGGATCAGCTGAAGAAGACCCTGCGGCCAAGCTGGCTGGCTCTCCGGTTTTTCCTGTCACAGTTGAGCTTGTTTCCTTCCAGTAGCAAAGAAATCCAAAGCGAAGTCTGCAATTCAGACCATACCGGAGAAGTCATCCCAATTGACTTTAGCATGACACTCCTAGAGGGCTTTTCAGGAGAAGGAAGTATTCTGCCCCAAAGTTTCTCGCCCACCAGGCAACCCGAAACATCTTAAAGCAGTTTCAACCACAATATACGCTGCTTACGTTCCATCTAACCTTTGTGCTTAACGGCATGAACGCATTCCTTGGGACATCGGTTTTTTTCTCGGAGATCAAGCATGCTTGAGTCCCCGTTCGTGATGTCGCCGGGGTCCATGTCAATGCTCTGGGTGCCTTTAACAAAATCGGTACTGGGTTTTTCCTATCTGCGCCTCCTTTGAGCTGGGATAAGGCTCCAGAACTGATCAAAAGAAGGTATCCACAGCTGGATTGTAAGATCTAGCCACCGATTGAAGATGGATGGATAGTTGAGACTTCGAGTGCGAACTGGATATTGATGGAAACAATCGCCAAAGACGTTATGGACCAACAATTGGGATTCAAAGAGACGGACTGATGGTCCGCCCTTGTCACGGAGCTTTTTTTAGAAGGCAAGCCAACAGAATATCTATGTTAAACAACATATCACTATAAGTATTATTATGTATCAATGAGGAAGTTTCATTCAAACTTTAGGCCATCATTTCATACTGTCTGGATATCAATGACATTTGGCTTGATGCACCTCTCAAAGGAATAGCTCTACTGAAATGACTATATGAGGACAATTTCTCTATACAAGTTCCAATGTTTCTTCGTTGAATATCACATAGTAATTGCTGTAGAGTTTAGTGTACTTGTGAATACTTTACGTCCCGACTTCACATCTGGTCTCACTGCGTAGCCCCTCGAGCCAGGATCGAATCTCTCGACTCACTACAGCTGGCTTATCCTGAAACGACCAATGCCCTGCCCCTGGTACTAGCACAACTCGGAGTCTCTCCAAGAGGTACTCGGGTGGACCATCGAGCAGCTTTGTGGAGAAATATTCCTCCTCAAGATCCCAAATGATCAACGCTGGAATCCTAAAGAGCATCATAGATGTATCGACTTTCTGCCCGTAAGGAGGTGCTGGATAACTCTTCTTGTAATAGCTCAACATTCTATGCATAGGAGATTCGGTGAGATAGTGAAGCAACTCTTCTCTGCGCTCGGGGTTCCGGATGTTTCGTACTATGAATTCGGCATTCTTGGGATCTCCGTCTTGATAGCGTATGCAAGGTATCGTGTACTCGGATAGCTTTTGTTGTTCGCTGTCATGATTGACCAGATCGTAGAATTTCGGCGCAATAGGCGAGTTGATGATGATAAGACCGAGGACTCGTTCAGGGTGGAGGAATGTGGATGTTTGGATGGCAGCTCCACCAAAGCCGTGTCCTCCAACAAATGCTTTTTCGGCGCCAAAATGGTCAAGGATAGCAAAAAAACCACTAGCCACGGTCATCAAGTCGTAGGCGTCGGTATAATCAGGGACGTCACTTGGAGGATATCCGCGGAGGGTAGGACAGACAACGGTGTAGTTATTCGCGAGCGCTTTTGCTTCGAAGTCAAACGCCGCTGTATTGTCAGGAAAATTCATGTTGGAGAATGAGAAGAGGTCCCTTTCCAACAGTTCGAAGATGGATTCTGACGCCGTTGTTGTCCACAAAATGTTCCTCCATGATTATTCTATCAGAGCGAATTCGAGTGTGATTCAGACCGAAAATGATGAATTGACTGTCGTAACAACTCCTCTCTTAGAACATATCACTAAATTTTCTTCATTATGGTCTTCTTACAGTGGCAAACTGTAGTGCATATTCAACAATGTCCCGTCGAAATGCAGGCCCTGGACCAACACAAATGGCTTGGCCAACAAGTACTGAATTTCGTGAGCAATTGTGTAGGCATAGATCATCAGCGATCATCAGATTCCTGGGGACTTACTATTAATGAAAGCTGTCACATCAAGTTGTATTAAGGATGAAGAAGCAGACTTTGGACGAGATCCTTCAGATGTAGTTACATCCTCCTTCAATCGGATTCTCTTTTCACAAAGAGCTTTCTGTACTCCATAAACATCCATCCAACCCATGGTAAACCCTTCGATTGCCGATCTTGTTGAGCCCGAATCCACGGGAGAATTCAAGGAAGAGAGTGCCTTCGCCCGATGCTGAAGACTCTCTAGATCGTCGGCTAATATCGCGTTGCATAAAGAGCTGGCTATCTGGCTTCGGCTTGAAGAAGGTGGTATATACCCAAATATTTCTTGGGTCCTTGGGAGATCTGGCAAATGTACCAATAACTGATATGCAGTGAGACAGTATTGACGAACCAAACGGTGCATAAACTCCGCCCCTTCGCTTGAAGATATGGTCTGAGTGAGCTGTAAAGACACACTTGTAGGCGATGAAATAGGCGAGAGAGAGCTGCTGTCGAACAAAGATGGTCTCTGTACACGATAACGCATCTCAGAGGGTGGGGATACAAGACCTAATTGGTTCGCTTGGACTGATCCCTCTCTGCTGGGCGTTGAGTCACGGTCTATCATCTATCCTGCATCAGGATGGTCGGCTGAATCATTAAGATGTACACAATCGGAATGATTGGAAGCATTTTCGGTGGAGTCTTGAGAGGAAGCCGATGTGGGAGTCTGTACAAGCTCCGCTAGCGATAGGCATTGTCGAGTCACTTCTCGCAAAGCCGAAGCCAAGTAAGGACGAGTTTGGATCGCATTCGTGTCCAGTAATAGTTTACTGATGTCGAGGAAAGCATCATTGATTTCTTGAACTCCATTTTCCAGCTCATCCACACGCTTTTGTAATCGGTTGTATTCGCCTCGTTTTCGGTTGCGATAGGCCTTTTGGGATATGCGAAGCTGTTCACGACGTTTCTGCACAGTTATGAGTGTGTATGCAGCACTTCTCAGATTCTGTGAACTTACCGTCAGCTGTGTATGTCTGTCATCCTGTGTGGACTGGCCCATCTTATATCTTTCTTTGTTTCTGGATTTGAATAGATGTACAAGAGGTGACTTAGTTCAATCATACATGGACGTGGCGAGTTATTTATTCCAATGGCGTTGATGAATAATCGGGAATTCACCCAAATACAGAGATACCCTCAATCATTCAGCTCGGCATTTACACATGTCCGCTCTGGAATACACTACATGGATATTTGAGCAGGAAAGCACGACAAATTGAGGTTGCGGGACCGTGTCGAAGCCATTCTTTATCCGTATACCAACACTTCGTCGCAAGTTTCAACATATAATCAAATTGAACTCTGCGATTCAGACTATCTATCAGCAGTCTACTGGGAAGTATATGCCCAATGCCCATCCTTCTTGGGGTTCTTTGTAGAACCAGATCTTCAGTACAGACCGTGGACTACCGTCATACTGTGTCTTTTTCATCCAATCCTCCAAATCCTTGATCCTAGAAGGTAGAATCTCGTCAAGTCGCTTGAAATCTCTCGTCGCACCCAAGCCCCCAGCCCAATACCTCCACCAGGCAGTGAAGTTCACTTTCCAGGTCATGGTAGCTTCGTCACGCGTAGCCTGATCGCCTGCTGTCTAGTTGACCGGTGCACCCGGGTATGGCTCAGCGGCGGCGATGTATTTGTCCATTGGGATGGCCCTGTGAATAGCCGGCTTTCCGGTGACACGGGTAAAGATCTCGGCGATTATGTTGAATGTGACTTGGTCTGTGGCCACTTCAAGGTCCAGGCCGGCGGATTGATCAATGTTGTCAAAGATCCAGAGGTTGTAGTTTCCGACATCCTCGAGAGCTATCAAGGGAAGCTTGCCATCTTTTGCTGGGTTTTCCCAGACAACAGTGCCGTCAGACTCTGTCTTGGGCACGAACATGCCATCCAAAAGCATGTTCATATATGGACCAGTGGTGAACAGTGTGCTCTTCATTCCTTGTTGGCCCTGCGCGAGAATAAGATCTGATCCTCAGTTAGCAAAGGTTCCCTCCTGAATAGTGCATATACCATACCGCCAATTCGGCCCTTGGCATCATTATGACCCCAGTGGAATTTCTCATCCTACCCAGCCTTCCGGCGTGCATAGTCACTGTTGGCCCAAACGTAGGGGCTAATTTTCTCCTGGCGGGCAATCTGATAGGCACGGATTCCGTAGAAGACTTCGTTCCTTCTCCAAGTGTAAAACCATCGATGTTGACCCACGCTCCATACACTCCACGGAATGCGGCATGCAGATCCTCCTGACTGGTCACAGCGCCTTGGAATAGAGTCACATTCTGTAACGCTGCCAATGACTTGACTCTAGTGGAGTCCGTGTCTCTTGTCAAAATTCTGACTCGGTATCTTCCACTATCAGCCAAGGCTAAGCTATACATGAGTGATGATCCTGTGCATGTTGAATTCATATCCCACCTTGAACGACCGGTGCGCCCTGGGCACCAGTGCCACCAATAACGAGAACCTCTGGGAGGTTAGCCATGTTTCGAGGTAATTTTAAATGGAAATGAGTTGATTGAAGAAGATATCTGTCAACCCGATGCCTTAAATAGCTATACTCTTCCTTACAAATCGAGGCTGCGTAATACTTGAGACCTACCGTTTTCTGCAGTGGCGTATCGTCTGCTGGTACCGATTGATCAAATGATATAAAGTTGACAGTGGCTATTTGAATATCCCCGTACTAGACATAGCTCAATTACCAATCACAGATCCAACAAATCCATCGAATCTGCGATCAAATAATAGGGCCATCCTGGGTGTTATTGACTTTGGCATAGTTGCTTTGGGTGTGGTTTCGGAAGAACGACAGTCAAAATCCAATGAGTTGATGGACTGGGTTGGTGCCTATCTTGGAGTTGCCGGTCTAATCCTGTTCAACTCTGTTTGGAAGTACATGCGTTGCTCTCCTCCTGATAACAACCTCTGACAAATTTCATGAAATTGGACTCTATTGCACAGCTAGCGTTACGCCTTTAACGGTTCTCGGCGCAGTAGCAGCAGTCTTGTCATCATGGCTTGTTCCTCGGCTTGCGGCTCAGTACATTTAGTGAAGTTGGAAACACCTCCACATGCGAAGATAACGCTGTGAGGGGAGTTGAGCGTGGAATGGTTTGTACCGGCCAAAACGGATCTGTGCAACGAGATGAACATATCAGCGCAGATTGCACTACATTGTGAATAGCAAATCAGTTCTAGACATTGCATAGACATCAAATCTACACACACACAAAATCAAAGGGGAAGAAAACATCAAATTAAAGTCCGGCGGTTATCGCCGCCTATCAATGACCGACAGATGACTTCAACTTCAACTTCAACTTCCCTTCCCCTCCACCTTTCCCCTCCACAGTCCACAGACACAAAAATGAGCCTCACAACTCAAGAACTGGAAATTCTCTCTACAAAGGCCATTGACGCCAAGGCAACTGCCTACTGTATGTTCTCTGTCTCGCAGATTTGCCCCGACTAATAAAAACAGGCCCATACTCCAAGTTCCGCGTCGGAGCATGCATTCTCACTACATCCGGTGAATTTATCTCGGGTGCAAATGTCGAAAATGCTGCGTACCCTGTTGGTACATGCGCTGAGCGAGTAGCAGTTGGAACTGCTGTTGTACGTTTCTTTCTTTGCCTATCAGCTTTACTACACTAACGCCAACGAGGTGTCTGGCCACAAGGACTTCAAGGCCCTGGCTGTCGCGACGGATATCACGCCTCCTGCGTCGCCCTGTGGAATGTGCAGACAGTTGTGAGTATCTATTCTCCGCCTCTAGTTGGGCTTGTCTGATTATGCTAGCATTCGCGAATTCACTTCGCCCTCGTTCCCCGTCTACATGTATGACGGCGAAGGCAAGTACAAGATCATGACCATGGCCGAGGTAAGTACCTTGCAATGGCTTGGATACCCTAATATATTCTAACCCACACCAGCTACTGCCCGACTCGTTCGGACCAGACCACCTACACAAGAATGAGTAAAGTATCTGAGTACCTATTAGTCCAAGTAATGGGCAAGTCTATTCATGAACTCGAAACTCAACACATCTTCCAACTCTGTCCAAGCCAAAGCAAAGCAGCGTGTAGGTTGCGCATACCAACAAATGAACCAAAAGTAGAAAACCAAGTAAAAATACTTGGCACGCTCATAATGTCACATCAAAATCTGCCCAGATATCATTCCAAATCTGCGGTCGTCAAGAGACGACAGCTACTATATCAGAGGCATTGAATAGATCATGCCTCCTCATCTTCATCAAAGTCATCAGCACCAAGTAGTTCATCCTCATCGTCTACAACATGAGCGTAATCACCCCGACGTGCTGCGAACGAGCCACGCGTCGAATAAGGCCGCTGGTATCCCCGGCCACTGGAACGGAACCAGCCAGACGCGGTACGCCAAAGGCTCTTAGCCAACAAAGGTAGGGACTGACCGACCGCGACAACACCAGCGATGATTGCCACGGGCACTGCGACTAGGACGGAATCCCTGGAAAGCCAGCTCGAACTGACGCTGCCGCCTTCGCCCAGACGGATCTGGCCGAACTTGCCGTCCCAGTGTGTGTACACGTAGTACCCGATACCGGCGGCGACTGCGATCGGAGTGACGATTGCGAAGAAGAGACCGACACCGCTGATGCCGTGCTGCTTGTTATATTCGTCTTCCTTGTTCGGGCAGGCGTGGGAGACGTCCTGGTCTAGAAGGAATCCGCCTTCACAGGTTGTCTGTGGGATGCGGCGGTATCCGGTTGGCTCCCAGTACTGGACCATCTCGGGGTCTTCCTTGCACTGGGCGCTGTGGTCTGGCTTGGGGAGGCCGGGGACCAGACCGCAGCTACCGTCATTTTGAATCTCGTAGTTGTAGTCACATTCGAAATCAGCGCGGGTGCAAGTGCAGTTCCGGCCAATGCTGTGAATATGAGGCGTGCGCCAGGGGTTCCAGCACTCCGCTGTCGGTTTCTTGCGGTGGTACTGCTCGACATGACCGAAAAGACAGTTCTCTTCCTGGAGAGGGTGGCTAGGGGTCCAGATCTCAAAGTCGTTCTCATCATCCTTGCAGTCTCTGCTCCAGATGGCGCTGAAGTCGAGAGGGATAGACACACGCTTGCCGGAAGTTTTAGGGTCTGTGCCCCAGAGCAGGAAGTTCTTCGAGGTGTCAGAGGGCACGGTTGAGATATCGTCAATGACCATTTCGGCATCCGAGAACTGGAACTCGTTCCAGGTGGCGCCCTCGTCCAGGGAATAGTGCACGACCTTGGTGGCCTGTTGGTCTTTGACGAGGACAATTACAGAGCCGGCGGCACCATATTCCCACTGGTACCGTCCCTTACTGACCTGAGTCCAGGTGATACCGCCATCCCTGGTAAGGAAAGTGTCAGATTCTTCCTTCTTGCCGAGATACTCGCCGACGTTGCCTTGGGCGAGCATCAAGCCGATCGCAGAACCGGAATCCAAAGTATCACGGTCGTCGCGACGCTCCGTGTAAAGGTGTAGATGAAGCGCACACTGCTCGGTGCCCTTGCCCTCCGTGACGGAACAGCCAAACTTTTTGCCATCGACACCCTTGGAAGGAGGAGCCAGTAGCATCCACTGGCCACCGTCGTTGTGGGTGATCTGAGATCGCACCTTTTTGCCAGCTCCCTTGGCCTTCACTTCGTCCTTGTTGGCCACGACGTTGGCGAGCAGCACGCCCTCCAACCCCTCCATCTTTTCAAAGTCGGCATTACCTCTGTCATTCACGTTGACAGCCTCGAGGCTGGAAACAAAGTAGGTACCGTTGCTGTTGCTCTTGACCAAGGACCCGTAGCTACGTCCTTCGGCCTTGAAGACCTCCACGATCAGGAATAGTGCGTGTGGGGAGCTGGGGAGGATTGTATAAGAGGGAACGTCAATGTTGAAGGGGAAATGGGCATCCGCGAAGGTGCGACCATCCACGCTGACACTGGCATTCAGATACATGTTCTGGTTTCCACTGTACCAAGCTGTGACAATGAACTTGTCCTTGGTTCCGTAATGGGCGATGTTCTCAAAGAGGGTCTTCTTCGTAGAGAAATTGTCATCACTGATCACCAGCTGTCGGTTGTTGGCCGTTTCTTCTTTCTCATATTGTTCGCAGAGAATGAGCTTTGTGCTGTTCTCCCGACCCTCTTGGAATGCAAAGTCACATTTACCGACACCAATAAGCATCGGGTCCCAACTAGCGCCCCGTTTATCGGTAATGTATGCCTCCGAGCGACAGTTCTTACCCTCACAGCTCTCATTGCCAATCCAGATAAGTGTGTCCTGGTACTTCTCATTGAATCTGAGAGGAATAAGGGGCTCCTTGGTTGGCGTCGAGGGTGCCTCGAAGGAGTGGAAAGATTTTCCATGGTTGATGGTATAGTAAATCTTCTTTTTATCGGTGAGGAAGAAGGCAGCATCACTGAAGTATGGATGCTGAACCATCTCCATAATTTTAACGTCATGGTCCTTGATAGCTTTCTCCCAAGTCCGGCCATGGTCGTGCGATTTGAAAAGCTCGAACTTATCCGTAAGCATCATAAGAGTCTCATCATCTCCGCTGTTACTGGCTTGTCGTTCGAGGTAGAAGTAAACGGTCTCCTTGGCAGAGATCGAATGCGGCTTTCCAGCACGAGGTTTGCCATCGGCAACAATCGGGGCGGTGACATTCGAGCAAGAACGCTCAACCTCGCGCTCGAGGTCTTCGCCACCATCGCGGATGCATGCGTTGCCGGGGATGAGACGCCACCCTGAAGGACCCATGTACTTGTCGTCAGAGTCCTTGCACTTGCCAGCCGGAGGCGTCAGGGAGACAGCTGGGACACATTCTTTGCGGTCTTCACTGCGGACAAAATTGTAATCACACTCAAAGTCCTCCGCAGAACACTTGCAAGGCTTGAATTCGGGGGCAGAGATGGTGAATTCCTTCTTGATGAAGCAATCCGCGTTGGCCTTGCGGCGGTAGTAGAACTGCTTGTGGCCCATTAGGCAATCTGCTTCGCCTTTTTCGTTGAGACGGGCGGTCCACTCTTCGAGATCTCCTGATCCACACTGGCGCTCGTGGAGGTTGTCGAAATCAATAGAATACATAATGATCTTGTCATCAGCCGAGATTCCAACCAGAACGAACTTCAGACTGGTCGAATCCGGTGTCGTGATCAAATACAAAGGCCTGATCTCATCCTCCAATTTGAAGGACTCCCACTCTTTACCATGATCGATGGAGAATTTGACCTCCTTGGTCTTAGTGCCATCAGCAACCGCCACAATCACACCTCCCTGGTCACCGAATTCAAAACGGTGTGGGCCCTTAAGTGCGTGACGCCAGGTGAGACCCGCGGTGTCGGATACATAGAGATCACCCTCGGAGTATTCCTTGAGGTGGCCTCCAGTATTACCAACACCCATGACCAAGCCAGGTGCCGGGCTAGAGAACATCCGGTGATCAGGCATGGGGATCTCGCGCAGCGCGACATATGTTGTCATCGAGTGGATGTGCAGCTCGTCGCCATCAGCCTTGAGAGACTGGAAAGTTCGCGCATCGTCAAAACTAATACTACTGATAAGTTTCTTCTCCTTGGAATCGGATTTTGATGCCTCCTCCCAGTTCTTAACAGTGTTGACAATCGTGATACCCTGAATGTCTGTGACTCTCTCAAAGTCCACCAGACCGTTCAGATCCTGGTTTGTGTGCTCAATGTTTCGAGTGAAGTAGGTACCATTCGAGTTGGAAGACCAAAGGCTACCCATGCGGTTATCGTGCCAGGTGGTTTGCACGTCAATCTGAATGCTGTAGTTGGTGCTTTCCAACAAGGTATAGGCATCCTCCTCGATGCGGTGCTTTCCGAATTCGGCCCGGTGCCACACATTCGTGTCATCACTAATGTACAGAGCCTGCTCTGCGGTGCCTGCAGATTGGAGTCGCGCAACCATGTACTTGGTGACGGAGCGAATCTGCACACTAGCACCGCTCAGTGGTTGACCGTCGCTCAATTTCGACGCGGTGCCCTCGGGGCCATCATGGAAGAAGTTATCGGAATGGATCAAGACTTCCCTGATCTTATGATCAAAGTGTCCTGTCAATGCCGGCACCACACAAATGATGCGATCGCCCATCGAATCCGACACCTCCAAATCCAACGCGAACTGCGGGCGGCTTGCGGCCCACATACATTGGAACGCAGGTTCTCGCAATGGCTTGACGGTTTTGAAGTCATCCACCGTGTAGTAGGCCACAGGCATACAGCCAAGAAGAGAACAATCGCCCAGGCCCATGAAGATAACCTTCTTAGGATCCCAGCCATTGAACTCCAGTGGGAACGACCGCATGGACGCGAAAGGCGCGACATCCACCTTAAAGGAACTCCAAGTTTTAGCCTGATCGGTAGTGATCCAGTGTTTTCCACCTTGGCCGAGGATGTAAGCGCGATTCTTATCGTAAGGGTGCTTCCAGATCAGCTCGGCCTTGCCTGCCATGCTATCATCTGCACCATTGATCTTATCCCATTTATCGCCGCCATCGAAGGAAACGTGTGCGGTTCTCGTCTTAGTGTCGCGGTATAGGATCGTGTTCGTGCCGTGGAAGTAGAACAGGTCGGCGGGCGCGCTGTCCAGTTTATGGGAGATGACCTTGGGTTTGTTCGCTTCCGCCGCTACTGGCTGACAAGCCAATGCCAGCAGCAGGCTCACTACAAGTAGCAGCCACCGAGGGATCATGATCGGTGCTGTGTAGGCATCTGATGGTATGCGGGCTGGGTGTTCGGGCGGACCGTTCCGGGAAAACGGGGTCAGTCGATAGGAAGGGAATACAAAGTCGTAAAGGAAGGGATTGAAGTCAAGCTTCAAGTGAGAAGAACAATTAAGAGTGCGAATGAAGTTGAAGGTGATGACGGAGCTGCGTGGCCTCTGCCTGGAGAGCTCCTTGTCACGTGCCTTATCACTATCAATTGACCCATGGATGAATTGACGCAATAGGAATAGTCTACGAAGTATGAAATATGAAAGTGTGATGTGAAATATGAGGGGGAGAGAAGAATAGCAGATCATATGTACAGCTGCGAATTGAATAGATACAAATGGGGGAGACAATTCAACCCCGGGGATCACAATCCCAAGACGCCATTAGAATGATAAAAATGTCCCAGCCAACAATTGCGCGCTAAACAAACGATAAACACCTTGGTGTTGCAAAGAAGGGGAATATGTATTAAACGAAAGTATGTCAATGAAGGCTCTTAAACACGACGTCGAAGTTTACGCCACATCTTTTTCATCATGCCTTGTTCATCCACGTCTGAATCCCAGATCGACTGGGGGCGATCCGCAGGGGGAAGCTCGGCCAGTCGCAAGGGATCTTCCTTGGAAGATTGAGATGGAGTAGGAGAGTCGGTCCGTAGATCAGGCCGAGTGAGTGTCATTTTCAATGTCATCTCGCGGTTCCCTGGAAGCCGCTGTGGAACTCCCTTGGCACCGGGTAGCCCTGATTGGCGTCGTTGAATGATAAATGATTCCACAGAAGGGCGAGGTACATCCCGTGGTGATGGAATAGAAGTAGGGGAAGGTAATGCCTCATGGACTGATCCTCCAGGGCTCCCGACCATCGTGCCATCGTCATCTTCGAAGAATGTGCCAAAGTCCTGGTTGACTAGAGTTGGTCTGGGAGAGTTCTCCGGTGCCACATTCTTTTTATTGTTTTGTTCTAATGACGGGAAACCAAACTCAATGGCTTCGTCGAACTTTTGTGGTGAAGCAAGATAAACGCGCAATTTGAGGCGGGCATCAGGGTCTTGGTAATATTGTGCAGATGGATCGATGCTCGATGTAGAGGATTTGGGTTCATGTTGGAAAGGTCGGTGCCGGGAGCCTGGACGGGATTCTGAACGATTGGAAAGAGGAGTCAAGGGTTGAGATTGGCTGACTGGAGGCAGTCCACGAGCAGAGATGGGGACGATAGGTTCTAATTGTTTGCGGCGTAATTGAGTGCTGAAGGACAAGGAGCGGCGGAAAGAGGGACGATGGGATTTCTTGCGTGTAGCGGCGTCTGCAACATGAGCATGGTACTCATCTAGAGACAGGTCGAGATCGCCATCTTCGTCGAGCCACCGGAAATTGTCGTAGAATGTTGGATCCATGTTGGGGTCTGCCTCGTCGTCTGACTCGGAGTCTGAATCCCAGAAAGCTGTTGATGTCTGGGCAATGGAGATACTCTCGGAGGGGTGACTTTCAGTGGATGGACTGTCGGTGGTAGTACAGGGACGACCAAGGTCTCGACGGTAAGCAACGTCGGCAGCGTCGTAAATGAGACTTTGCCGATAGGCCTTCCGGAGACGCCGTTGTTCTTCGGGAGAGAAAAGCCTTTGTTGGATCTTAGCGGGGAGGGCATGGAAGCATTGCGAGTCCGCCTGGGCGGCCAAGTAAGCTAATTGAAGAGATCCTGGCTTGCGTAGTTTCTTAGGAGACGGAGAACGTTTCTCAAGACCGCGTCTCCTCAATGAACCTTGCCTGCGAGTGTAGCCAAGGCGAACGTTGGGTCGAGCCCGGCCATTGTAGTTCGTGGAGAATGCAGGAGAACCGTGATCGCTCTGCCCTAACCGAATGCGCAAACGCTCGACATTCGAGAAGAACTGTTTGGATTAGCGATGAACAACAATTTGGGGGGTGGAGTAATCAGCATGGCATACACCAATCTCAATGCGTATTGAGTGGCGCCACAGGCGATAGTGCGGACGGTAGTCTCCACCGAGGGTTCAGGGGCAATGCAAGGATGAGAAAGGGGAAATTCAACGCTCGGGCTAACTCGTATCGAACTCGGACTTTTTAGGAGATGATGATCCCACTAGTGGCGCTATGGGGTATAGTAGAGTGATAGTGATGTGATGGTGTAGATATGGGTGACGGGATATTAGGGATGTTGGGATAGAACATTGGTGATAAAACAGAGTAATTGCAAAGACTTGATCAAGAACGAAATGAAGAATGCAATAAAATAAATACCCTTACCTTTCGTCGCACTGCTGGTGGCAGTGACTCAAAATCCTCCTCACTGTATGCAGACATGATTCGAGGAGATCAATAACCACTATACTCAGTACTCGTGGGTAAGTATAAGTAAATATAAATGTGTGGCGTCCTCACATATAGAATGTAAAAACTAAAGAGAATTGTACAGACGTGCAGGAAGTCAACTAAATATCAGAAAGTCCGATCCCCAGTCTATACATACATTAGCGCTAAGCACGGACAGTGTGATACTTCTATTTCGAGACCTGTCACTTTTCACTCCTTCTGTGATCTATCGCGAACCCCTCGATCTAACGCTACTGCGAACACGTCAACGAACACTTGATCGGTTTCAAAGTACGTATAGATGTGAATATACGCAGATTCGAACAGATTCGAAATAGAATCCTGCAGAAACCAAATGCCGTCGACATCAATTCAGGCCCCGCGTATCGCCGTGATTAGCCTCAGCTCCACCGATCATCCCCCTTGAAAGGGGCCAAGTCTTGAAACACGGATGTCAGTCTCGGAGTCGCAAATGAAGGCGCCTTGCATCCGGACAATTTGGAAAAAAACGGTAAAGGCTTCCTTCTGAAATCAAGATACTAATGTGATTGTCCATCAACGTTTGGTCAGAATAGCAGGGGAAGATACGAGAACACTGCCAGCGAGAGATGATCTATCAGCTGTGGGAACCCGCAACAAAGCCAACACTACCGACGGTGTGTTCATCAATGATTTGGCCAACGGTCGATCTTCGGCAGAGATCCCCACTTGGCTACGACGATGAGTCTTGCAAACAAAGAAAACGTTGGCGCTTGTACTTAGTGCCTTGCTAGTGTCTCCAATCCTGATCTTGGTCTTGCGTTTGCAACAGTAGATAGCTCATATTATTGTACTACTTTACCTTTAGATTAACATAAGTGATCTATACTAAACTCAACTAGATTGGATTACTACGGCTTTAGTTCACGGCCCAGACTTGAACCAAGTTATTGTAGATGGCAATGCAGCCCTGAAGTCCTCTGGGAACTGTGTTGCATCTAGTATCTAGTTGTACATGGAGTTCTCTGTCTTAGACTAACGTCAAAATACGGTGTAATGGATAAATGTCTATCTTGTAGAGAGACAATCTTGTCTGGATGGACGACTGCATTTTAAGCCAGTAGCCCTGATGACAATACGTTATGAGTAATCCGTTTCAAGCTCTGTGCTTTATGCCGAGGTTTTCTAGACTCCGTCCACTTAAGTGGCTTAACTCACATAAATTGGAACACGGTGCGAGGCGCTGGATAAGCCCAAAACATCGTCATAGACAATTGACTTGGTTTTGTACGTCCCACTTCAGCTCTCGTATAGAGCGGGTATGGACGCATCATGACATGCGGGTTGCCTTTCTTTCTTTTTCGGACCCTAGTAGAATTTAGTTTCTTGGATGAGGCTCGGAGATTGCAGTCCATCATGATTGAAAGAAAAAGAAAAGAGAAAACAGGCTAAGTATACATTTTGGGCCAAATCCGATGCAAATATAGAGCACTTTGTAGAGCAGTTTCTTTCATCACATGGTCTCGTGGCGTAGCGGTTTATCGCGTCCGGTTTTGATTCAACACCACGAAGTGGTTATCACTTCCGGAAGGTCGCCGGTTCGACCCCGGCCGGGACCTTACTGTTTTGCTCGTGACAATTCTTGATCCATCAGCTTCAAAAGATTATTGTTTTTTTTTTTTTGGTGTGTATGTATGTGTGGCTTCTATATAGCTTCTATATCTTACGTTACTAGCAATGGGAATGTACAACAAATATTTTGTGAAGTGAATAAATAGGTCAGTTTATTTGTACAGTCGATATATATGTCTCGTTTAGCAGCATGGGATCTTTATCGGTTGTCCATAAAGTGAACTAATAAGCGAACTAATGGCAAATGGAAACGATCTGTTTGTTTGATCTCATCTGACCAGGAAATCAATGCAGGTCTATTTATTTGATTTTGATTCATGAGTGTGGTGTATGCTCACAAGTAGGTAATAATGTAGTTCTCCAGGCTCCCAGCGTTGATGGCCAAGGTGGTCGAAATATCAAAAATCAAGCCAGACCAATTGTAGCCAGTTCCAATAATTACTTAGATTTAGGCCAAAAAAAAAATCAAAAAACTAAACCATTACCCAAACAGTGGAAATGATGAGAAAAAAAATAAAAGAAAATAAATAATGGTTGAGGTCCTACCCGGATTCGAACCAGGGTTGCCGGTATGTGGCCCTGTTAAACAGGGTATACTCAAAAACCGGAGGGATAACCACTACCCCATAGGACCAGAGATGGAATATTTTGGGGACATTGTGTTTTCTATCATTGACATGTTTTACCAGCAATGAGAGCGTTAACACTCCGTTTCCCTCTTCACCCTTAGGTAAATAAAAATTGTTATAATTTTTGTCACTCTCATTCTGCAGGTGCATCGATGAAGGATACTTGGTCATTGCCAGATAAACCAACTTGTTCTTCTTGACTTTGTGCATATTGTTTGTAAACCACTCATAAGGCTAAATCCAATTTATAGTGTAGATATTCAAACATGGCCAAATCGCACAGAATGCAATAGTTAAATATTCTACAATCACCAGGCCAAAACCTCTTTCTGAGCGCCACAAGCAAGGGAAGCACAAATTGCCTCGTCCTTGTCACTAACCTCCGTGTCACATGGCACCTTGGCCTTTGCCGGCCAGATCTCTCGCCCTTCCTTCTTCTCGCGCTCAAAATGCTCTGTGACTACATCCCGGACTGTGCTCTGGAAGAACAACGGGGCCTTCTCGTATTTCGGGTGAAGCTGGCCGTTGGTAAAGACACCTCGGTCGAGGTTCCTCTGGGCGTTGTTGCAGAGGACTTTGTCTTCGCCCATTACGCGGGCGTACATATCAGCGATCAGTCTAAAGTCTTCTTCGGAGGAGTTTTTGTTCCGGTAGATCTCATAGGCCATTTTGGAGCTGTCTTGGCTTTTCGGTAGGAACTTTTGAACCATGATAAAATGCGGTCTGCGTGTGTTAGAGTATAAATTGAGCAATGGACCGTGGGAGACTTACGAAACAACCATGGCAGACATGGGGAAGTAGTAGGTGCTGGCAGTGTAGAGACCCTTGGCCTGTTGTTCTTCTGTAGACTCGCAATGGTGCTGGATGTGTCCATCCTTAAGGTCACTGTCGAAGGATTCGAGGTTGAGGAAGGCAGGAATATCGGCGTGTGTCGTTGGGCAGTGGTAGCATTCGTTGAAGTTATCGGCCAGAATCTTCCAGTTGTAGTGGCCTTCTAGCTCGTAGGCGTGGTCAAGATCGTAGTTGTTGAAGTCGTAGGCCTTGTATCGGTCTTGCTTGTCGACGTCGCGGAAGTGCTCTTCCCATGAAATTTCCGGGGTTTCATTTGCATCGAGATTGACCCAGATAAAGCCATTAACATCAACTTTGACATGAATTCCAAACAGGTTGTTCTTGTCTTTGTCGAATCCATTGAGCTCTTGATATCCGGGGGCTTTGGCAAGTTTACCATTCAGTCCGTAGGACCAGCCGTGGTATCTGCAGGAAATAATCTTGGAATTGCCTGAGCCCTCCTTCTCAATGACAGGATATGCCCGATGTCTGCACACGTTGTGGAATGCATTGACATTGCCCTGTCGGTCACGAGTGATGATAAAGTCGTAACCAGCGATCTCATAGCGAACCCAGTCACCGGTGTTCTTCACTCGCATGCTGTGGGTGATGAATAGCCATCTCTTGGAGAAGATTGAACGACGTTCCAATTCATACATCTCGGGAGAAGTATACCATGATGCAGGCAAGGCCCGAATGGGAGTTTCTTTGGTAGGCTCTTGAGTGACAGGAGCATCCTTGCCGAAGCCGAGATAGTGCATCATCGAGGTAGCCATGATGAATTCAAGTGAAGTATGATTGAGACATAGAACAATGCAAGCCTGAACAACTTATATCTTTGTCCATTTGATATCCGACTGCTTGTAATCCGATCACCTGACCTCTATAGTTCCGTTTTGGCAACGAAACCCTACGCCAAGCGGGTCGATCCCCCGAGAACAGACATCGAACCCGCCGCAACCTTTAGAACCCGCCAACTTTAACATGCATCTTCCACATTGATGATATACTATAGGCAAACCCGATATATACACAGACATGTTTCCCGCCTACGCTGCCCAACCTGATAGCCTGATTACTTTAGCCAATCGACCTTCTTACAATTGAGGCGACAAGATCCACATCCCCAGGGGTAAATGGCAGAGCCCCAGGTTTCGGCTATGATGCAGATGAGGAGATGATGTAAATCTGGCTTTTGACTGTAACATAGCGCTCGGTTCCGAGCCGTATTGAACACGTAGGCAGTCTGGGTTATTCGAACAATGTGCAACACAGCTGACTGAATATAGAGAGCGGGAATACCCTGTACATCCCGATAATGTTTGCAAGTCTCAGCTTATCTAGAGCGCGTGATCTATCATGCATACAGCAAATAAAGACGATGTGGATCTATTTTAGACGAGGGCTAACGGTACGAGAGAATGCCACGAATGGATATATCGAAATCGATGACCACGCGACTTCGCTCCCCGAAAGATATTGTACCCGAACTATGCGTCAGATGCCGAACCAATAGTAAGGACCGAGTATTCTATCACCTCCTATTGCCCCGAAGTAAAGATAAAAAAAATGCATAGTCATTACGTAGATGCTGTAGTCTATATTTAAACACCAATCATGCAAAATTCAAATCTATATCCAACCACCTTGGGTAGACTTCTCCTCATATTGAGATTGAGGGCGTGCGGGTTTCTTGCCAGCCTGCACCTTGGTCAAGGTCAACTTCCGTCCCAATCCACGTCCAACCTCTCCAACCTGGGCATCGAGCGGAATAACATCATCATCCATCGACGAGCGTCGGCTATCCTGCTCAAGACTGAGAAGAACCTCTACAGCCTGTCGGTCTTCAATAACCTTCGGGTGACGCTGAGCGAAGTATCGAGCGTACTTGTAGAGAGACCAGTAGCAGCTGAAGACGTTGATGACTGTCAAGGCGATCTTGTAGAATGTATAGTAGAAGAAAAGAACCTTCCAGTCAACGCGCTCCTTTTTGAGACGGAGGTGGATCTCGTTGAAGAGTATCGTGTTGATCAGATACATAGCGATCGTTACCCCTAATAGCATCCCGCAAAATCCGGGGCGCACGATGAAAGAGATTGGGAGGACAAAGGGGGCGAGGAGGTAGATGAGTGTTTCGTACACCTGTAAAACGTTAGTAGCTGGCTATGATGAATTAGTGAAAACATTTCATACCTCTTGGAATACGCAAAGCTTCGCACCGAGTTCCCACCAGCCTAGCTTCCAACTGGTGAAAATATATTTGAGATCATAATAGATACCAATCACGAAGAAGAAATTCCATCGCTTGAATCTCTGCGAGAAAATAGTCATTTCGCCAAATCCGCCACGACTGCCACTGCCACTAATAAACACCGAAGAGGGTGTCTCAGTTTCCACAAAAACCTGGGAGCACATAGTAATTCGTCCGCCAAGACGGCGACATGCATCGCCGAAGAACCAATCTTCCGAGACCGAGAAACCGGGGTGTTCATGGAAAGTCGCCTTCAGGAATTCCAGATTCCAAAGTGAGATAGCACCGTGAGGGAATGTTGCACTGCCGCATTTTCCAAAGAAGTCTCGTTGAAGACCGGACATCTTATATTCGAGATCCTGTGCTTGCTGACAATATGTTCCCTTGGAGGAGTTCGGACCAACACTCTTGATGGTATAACCAATACACCGAACACGGCCTTTGAGCCGATCACTGACAATTGGGAAATTAGGAGGCAAAAGACAATCATCGTCAATGAGAACGGCATTTTCAAAGTCTTTGGCAGCGTAGCAGCCCACAAACTGGGCGACGATTTTCGATCCAATTGGTACCCAGAGATGATTGACGCCGTATGGATTGCAGACTTCTTCTGTGTTGTCAAGAGGTGTTTGGGAGTTTCCATTTGCAATGACGAAGATATTTTCCTTTGGAAAGATTTTCAAGGCTGCGTCCAATGTAGGGCCGATGATACTGGCTGATTTGTAGCAGGGAATAAGTAGGGCTGTTGATTTGACATTATCGGAGTTTTGTTCGAGGTCCTGTCCTTCGACCGCAGGTGGTTTTGGGTCTTTTTCAAATAGAATGAGGAGCGGACAGAAGGCATATCTGGTAATGGTTAGGCAGGAAACTCGACAATATAGAGGGACACTCACAGTGCGGCCAATCCAATCACAATGGCATATCCTCCTTGGATAACGAATTTGTTTTGGACAACCCAGTATAACCACCACACTGCACCCTTCCATAGAGGCATACCGACAAGGACGAAATAAACGAAGAGAACGAGGAGTACATAGATACTCCATTCAAATAAGAGTCGCACCCAATGTTTTCGTTGGATAGCAACACCTCTCAATTTTGCCTTTTCATAAACTTCTTGTAGACTGCTATCACCACTGGAAATAGATTGAGAGCCGGTCTTGCTAAGTGGCTGAGGGCTAACTTTTGCATGTGGAGGTGATGATACTGCTTCGGTTTCGAGGATTGGAGTTGCGGGTTCGAAGGCGGGTTTCTCAAAGTAATCAAACAGACCATCTAATGAAATCGTTAGATTAGAGTATAGATTTGAGATATTGGATTCAATTACCCTGAAACGCCGGGGGATCACTGCGTCCGCGGGGCCGACAAATTGCAGATCGTGGTCTTGTTACAGATCGTAGAGCGGATAGACTGAGGGGACGACTGGAGCTGGACTGGCTTGATGCAGGATATGATATACGATTGTTGTCGGGGAGGGACTGTTCCCATCGAGCCAATTCCCATGGTGAATTGAATTTGGCGGTCGTAAGCAGTTCTTTAGGGATGAAAACGTCTTCCACAATGGAATTTCTCTGGCTCTTTTGTTCAGCCATTGGAAAAATATATTGGAGTCTCCGTTATATTTTCGGGTAAGATAAATGAATGAATAATAGCCTCAAAGAATGGACAGCAACGCGAAGTCACCTAACGAAGTGGTTATTATTTAGCCCGGAACAGGATCTCAGGGCATCTACATCCTTTATTCAAATCAAATCAAACCAAATCGAGACCCTTCCACAGCAAATCTCTTGCCCAAGACTGTGGGCCGTGGCTCGGCGACCTGGCCTGTAGCCCCATTTATTCTCAGGATTAGACTAGGTGATGGGGCCGAGAATTAGGAGCAGCTGAACCTAGAGCTACTGTATAGAACGGAGCAGAATTTGGGTCAGGAACAGGGATTCTGAATAAACCAAGGAACTTGCCAATTCGATGGTCTTTCTTGGCCTTTGCTACCATTTTTTTTTTAATATGGCGAGAGTAAGCGAAGAAAAAATGTTGAATGATATAGTCACACGGGACTAGCTATTCCTTTCACAGTGGGGGCCAGCAGTCTGCCTCACTGATTAGGGCCAACATTCTGCCTCTGATCGGGGCCAGCAAACTGCCTTCTAGATACGACTAGCGCGAGAATTAGATGCTTTTTATGGAGACACCTAAGAATAGTCCCAATGAAGACCGGTGGAATTTCATCGATTCTGTTAGTCTACCACGGACCGGCTGAATCATTTTGATCCACTCTTGCCTCTTATTTCTTATAGTTATTACGAGAGGCATTGAAAGGCCCCAAACTGTATGAATGTTGACATTAGTGAGAACAAAAGCTATAGTCGGTGTAATAGCTCTGAGTTGCTACGCACCCGTGGACTCATAAACTCACACTACTGTAGGCACTTCGCTTCGCAGTGGGTACCTCTCAGAGATTTCAGCGCACCAGCCTTATGAACCACTGGCTGACCAAGCGGAAAACCAACCCGAAAGATCTGGTCCGTTGATCTACATTTGAATTTCCTCATTGAAATGGGCTAAAATAGGGTGCATTGCACTCGAAGCTCGCCAGAGCTTTGATGTCGTACTTGACCGTCGTAATGGTGGAGACTGCCGAGCCGGCTCTTGCATCTGGAATCAACGATCCACCGATAGTTTTCTAGATGTATCCTGTAGGACGTTTAAAATGTTTAAACACTCTAAACCTATGCTTATTCCAACTCTGGGATGCTTGGTTATAAAAAACCAAAATGTACGTGTAAAAGAAAAACTCAAATTTTAAGCTTTCGGGCCGAACGCCTCAACGCCTCAATGCCGTAACTGCCGGTAATGTCTGAAAATGGTGCCTGGAAATGTGATTTCAGTATTACCTGATTTTTTCTTTTCCCAGACCCAGATTCACGCTTAAAGGCCTGGGCAAGGGTTTCATCTTAGATTCCCACTTCTCGGCCTCGATTGGAAATGATCGGTCTTCCGGCACTATGGAACTTTGGGGTTAAAGCCTAGATCATTGTTGGATAACATCAGAATGTCAGTGATGCAATCGGCATATACATATGTCTAGTTGACGGCCTTGTTTGGTGTTGGTAAAAACCTGATTTAGATTGAAATGCAACATAAACGAGCCCAGAGGCTTTTGGTTCCGTGGTACTGAGCTCAAATTCTGGTGGAATTGCAGAGTTGTGGGTCTGTAGCCTTACATCCTGCATTATTCGACAATTTTCTCGGAGCCAAAGCTAGAAATTCGGTGGTCGCTTGGATGTGACCCTTAACCGGATGTATTGAATGAATTTCGTTCCATGGTCATTACGCTCCATAGTGGAGAGTACTTAGTATTTCCAAAGGAGAAAGATCAAAACAAGGTTGAAAAAGCCTCGGTATAGTACCGAAGGAGGCGAATAATTTCGGTTACATGTAGATGGAGAAGTATCTGATTTTTTCCAGCTCTAGAAGATTACTGGATGCCTAGTTGTCCTTGTTCAGTTGGCACAACTACCCATACAGTGGCGACTGCTATCGCCTTCCATGTCTGAAATGTAGAGGCTGTTTTAAACCTTGATCACATAATTCGTGACCTCAAAGATGACTAGCGCGTAAACAATTTGCCTTGTAGCAAATCAGCCTTTAGAAATTTGAAGCTTGAGATACTGGTATACAGATACGGGAGCCTAGAATTACAGACTGGAAGATTCTATGCAACCCGGTAAACATAGCGGCCTTTCAGCAACAATTCAGCAAGGAATCAATAAAAAGTATATCTCCTGCTTTTTGCACTTCCTTCGCTACAGAGAGCCGGGTGCTTTCCTAGAAGTCCGTTCGGGGTCAAGTTGAGGATTAAGGCCCGATAACAAGGCTCATTCGTAACCAACGCCACCGCTTTCATTTTGCTATGTTTTTGGACAGTTTTTTTTAATTATAGAACAGAATTTCCAACCCTTACCCGTGAATTCTAGCATCCTGTGCCTTGCCTGGATGGATTCCACAGGACGTTGATAAGACCATCATAAACAAAAGATATCATGAACCACGAGTAAATCAACGCGAAACATGTCAAGAATGTCCCAATATCTCACATAATCATCTTAAGCAATTGACAGCGGCGCAATGGTATAGAAATTGTCACAGTTGTCCTTTTGGTTCAGGTCCACCCACGCCGCTGTCACACCCGGGGCCACCGCCTGTCGAACATAAGTGCTTCCAATGCCTCGGTTGTTCGTCGTCAATGTTCCACCCCCAGAGTCGCACTTCCCACAGTCCACGTCTGCTCCGTTCTTGATCTGAATCAAGCGAACATTGTAAGCTTTGTTAGGGGTTCCCCCTAAAAGAACAGCAACCGCGACAAGCTGATTTCCAGCTCGAGTAAGTTCGACGGTGCCGAAGGTCTTTGTCAGTTGAGGATCGATGACAGAACCGTCACAATTGCGGTTTGTCTGCGTAAGAGCTGCGTTGTGGAATGATATAGCTGCCGCAGTAGCGGGCGAGGTTGTTGCAGCCAGAAGTCCCAATAACGCCAGGAGTCCCTTCATTATATCGTTGGTAGCCGTGCGCTTATACTAAATATTCTCGGTTTTGTGATATAGGATGTACAGAGGTAACTGAAAGCCGAATTTACTGACCCAGTGGGTAGCTGAAATTATTAATGTACTCTAGGTAGGGGGATAGAGGAGCCACGTCCGACCTTGCCATAGTCATTACGGCCTCAACCATAGTACAAATCAATTCGAGATGTCATTTGTGATGGAGACAAGCTCATACAAACTTATCCACTTTCTGAAAAAGGACGAATAAAGCCCAGACCTCGGTTTTTGACAAAGATGATCTCACGTACATAAGGTTTACTCCCAGACTTGTAAGAGTGGCGAGTGCAACACGAACTTCTCGTATTTTTTAGCTTTCGAACTCTATCTCTGTATCGAGTAGCTTCAATTCTTGAGGGCACCACAGAAGTGACGATAATCCTCAAATTGAGGGGGTTGGACATGAGGTAAGATAAAATTTAATAGGTTGAACACTGGGAATAGTTTGGAAGTCTGTTGCATTCACTAAGTGTATTGAGTATTTCATGCCCAAATTCCTGCCGTCCTTTGTTCTTCCTTTTTTTTCTTTTACTCGAGCCTTGGAATGACTGAAATTTCTAAATTCGAGCCACAGAAACGGCACTGCTATCGAGCGTATCTAGTTTAGTTATCTGCTTGTGTTATAGCCAGCCAATAGCGAGTATTTGTTTCACCAACCCAGTAAAATCCAACCAAGATCAGATGACGGCCACGTTAACCAATCATATTGAGAGTGATGCGTCGAATGAGTAGCTCTTGGAGTTCAAACAGAAGAATCTTGGGCATTTCTGCACATCTAAAGCCAAAATGTTAGAATTATAATACAATAAAACGTACAGGAAAGACTGTATTGCTGCTCTGGAGCCTATGCATGTTAAACTGAGCAAGTATTATAGCTACAACCGGCTCAGTGCTTTCTACTACACCGTAGCAGTAGGCACGGACATTATAGACCAGGAGAACATGCGACGAATTTACTGGCTCACAGCTTCTAGGCTATAGAACCCAGTAGTTCAAATTACTAGGTCTCCATCTCCCATCTTGTGCCTCGTACTTATGTCACTCCTTTCTCCGCACGCCCAGCGTGTACAATGGGCGCATCCACTCTCCCGCAGCTTCTCTCAAATTGAGGGTTTTCAATTGGTCTCGGCTATATGAAGATAGAACAGTATTCAATCTAACCCGGCTGTCATACCTGAAGATGGCAGTGGTCGAGTCGATCGTTTGACAGATGGCCTTGTGCGTTGGACATAAAAGCGACCAGCATACCCGCAAATATGGCTTTAGTCCCAACCTAGAGATTTGGACAAGGTTAAATTCTTATCTTGAAACACTTCCCCACCATGGAGACAACTAGTCTAAAGCTATACTCGGCCTATGCAATCATAGCTGTATTTGTTCTACGTTTGCTCACCAACCGATTTAAGCGAGGGATTCAGGATATCCCTGGCCCAACATTAGCAAAGTACTCGCGTCTATGGAAACTTCATAGTGTTTGGAAAGGTGATCACCACCTCACAGACATTGCTCTGCATCGCAAGCATGGATCATTGGTGCGGATTGGCCCAAATCATATTTCAGTCGGCGACCCGAGCGCGATTCCTATTATCTATGGACTAAATAAAGGATTTACCAAGGTATGTACGCGTTATATCTTGGATACCTACGGCGTGGAAGACATTGATTCCAAATAGACAGCATTTTTTCCTCTCCAGTCAATATCATGGAACAAAAGGCCCCAAATGAACCTCTTCTCGACGAGAGATGAAATCTACCACCGCAACCAAAAGCGCAACATAGCCAACGCTTATAGCCTCACATCTCTGCTGGAAATGGAACCAGCAGTTGACTCTTGTACTGCAATTTTCACCTCCCAACTCGCCAAATTTGCTGATAGCAAAACCCCAGTCGATCTCGGCAGCTGGCTCCAATACTATGCCTTCGATGTCGTCGGCGAAATGACATTTGCCAAAAAGCTGGGATTCCTCCAAGAAGGACGTGATATCGACGGTATGATCGAGGCTATTCAGGGTATGCTTATATATGCCAGTTTATGCGGGCAGATCCCGGAGATGCATAAGATTCTTCTTGGGAATCCTCTTTTCCCGATCTTCGTGCCTAGCATGGAATCTTGGAACCAAGTCGTGCAATTTACCCTGAAAGCTATGAAATCTCGTGTATCAATCCAAGGAGATGGTGAAATTGGCCAGGATGAGAAAGATGGCGGGAAGGATATGCTGTCTCGTTGGATGGCAATGCATGGTGCCGATCCGGAGAAGTTCTCAACAACAAATGCTATTGTTCATCTATCCGCGAATGTATTTGCTGGATCGGATACTACGGCCATTGCACTCCGTGCAATCCTGTACTTCCTCATGAGACATCCGGATATCATGGTCAAGGTGCAAGCGGAGATTGATACTGCAGTCCTCGAGGGAAAAGTCAGCAATCCTATTACCTACCGCGAGTCGCTGGCTCATCTGCACTACATGAGTGCTGTTATCAAAGAGGCATTGAGGCTTCACCCGTCTGTGGGCTTGATTCTTGAGCGTGAGGTACCGAAGCCAGGCGTGACGATCTGTGGGAAGTTTATACCTGCTGGGACGACCGTTGGCATCAATGCTTGGGTTGTAAATCGAAACAGTCAGATCTTCTATGATGCAGACTCGTTTATACCGGAGCGTTGGATTGATAGTTCGCCAGAGAAGCTGAAAGAGATGGAGCATAGTATCCTTACTTTTGGAGCTGGACCGCGGACTTGTGTTGGGAAGAACATCTCATTCATTGAGATGCATAAGATTGTGCCACAATTGCTGCGAGAATTTGAAATCCGATTGCATAGCTCGGAGGGATGGAAGACGAGGAACATTTGGTTTGTACAGCAAGATGGGCTGGTTTGTGATCTTGTACGGAGGAATGAGACATAGACACAGACCCCCGAGAGAAGTCCAAGTTCAATTCATACGTCAAAGAGTCAATATCCCCATGTATTCTCATTACGCCAGTCTATAATCCTATCCCCAGATCAAGAACAGCCCGCTCCAAACCAAACCAAAAAGAAACACAGGGGAATAAGATGCCAGCCTCACAGGGCATTAAGAACCGACTGCATAGCAAAAGTGTTCGAGTCTTCGCGACGCGAAACATAAGCCCGCACCTCCTGCACGCTCAACTTGCCCTCCTGGTTAGTACCTGCGCCCCGGCCAGAAGTTCCAGACCCGCCAGTCGTGCCACTAGCAGCGCCACCGCGGATGCGCTCACGCAATGCTTCGACACCGATTACGAATAGACTGCCCACTTCGAGTAGCACGTCCAGCGCGCCACCGGGGCCCTTGACCTCTTCATCGATGTCCCAGGACTTGAGGAGGTCCGTGTATTGTGTCATGTCCTTGGTTACCATTAGACCACCTGGTCCGCTTATGGAGAACCGTTTGAAGTGTTCTAGAAGGAGTCCGCGGATGCCTAAAGCGATCTCGGTGAGGACTTGGCGGACGTTGGCTCCACTAGAGGGGAGAGATGTTCGGGCGATGTTGTGGAGGCGGGTCAGGAATGCACAGATTGATGCACAGGTCTATGATTTGTTAGTTGCAGCGAAAGTATATTGAGCAGGGAACTTACGGGGGTCTGTAGCATCTCTAGCCATGCAGCATTATCGCTTTCTCTGGGACGGAAGTCATTCTTCTTTTGTCCGGATAGGAGCCTGCTGACCCAGGCAAATGTGGCATCGATAGTCTTCTGTTCGATGGTGTTGACCTTGTCTTCAATGCGTGATGTCGTCTGGCTGGTCCGTTTCTCCATATCCCGGCGAGTTGTAATGCTGCCGGTTGATAAGGGCAACAGAACCGCATGCACACACATTACCATGAGAGTGGTGATGCTAATAGTTGTGCGAACTGAGAGAAGATATGTAAAGTCGGGCTCTGCCTTACCAGACTCTTGTGCTGTGGCCGCCTCCAGAGCAGCATCTAGACAGACGTCTACGTATCCATCGCCCATGGTGACAAGCAGGAGATTCAACAAGGCAGACACATCTTTGGGAGTGTCACTGTTGACACTAAGCTCCAGGCCTCGACCCACAGCCTCAGCCAGCCATTTCAGCATCCGCTTAGCATCGCTGAGATTCGGTTGCCCGTCTTCTTCTGTGAGCTTTATTTCGGTCAACCGTACGGTTTCCGGTAGATCGTTCAACTTGGCAATGTGCAGCAGCACTCTTCGCTGGGTAGGTGAGACCTCGGGCGAATCCAAGCGATTGATAAAGGCATCTCTGGTAGCTGAAAGAAGCTCCGTTCCAGCTCGGGAGAGTGAGGCCATGAAAGTAGTTGCTGCCTTCTTGCGCCGGGCATGATATGACGTAAATTTGAACAGCAAAGAGTTGAAGAGTTCTTCCAAAGTCCGCTTCTCACGTTCAATGTATGAAGATCCAACGAAATAGGGAACGAATAATTCCTCCAATTGCTGGTCCAGAAGAACTGCAGTCTGCGATGAAACAGGATCCGGATGCTCAGTCAATCCATGCGCTTTCAAGTCTTCGATCAATGCACTGATATAACCACGCGAGCTCTGTAAACAACGCAGGAAAGCGAGTGATGATGCGCCACTGGCCTTCTCCAAGACCATCTCTAGTCGCTGCTGGATCGATTGTTGGAAGACACGCTGCAAGAATTTGCCCAAAACCTGCTCATAGTAAGGAAACGCCCTCTTAATAATGGCAGACTCTTCCTGTACCACGACCTTGACCTCATCGATCAATGACTGCAGACTGGACTCGACACCAGGAAGCTCGGCATCCGGGTCTGCCAACTTCTCCCAAGATTCAGGATCACCACCAACTTCTTCAGTAACCAACTGACTGCGATCAATGAAGAATTGATGCTGATTCACGAACAGCGCAATAACACTCCCACCGCCATTGAAATCCTGCAGCACAGTCGCGCAATCCTTCATTCCATCGAAGTTGGCCTTGCGGTAGAAATCATCAAATTGCTTCAACAGGTCTTTCTCCAGCGTCTCCGAGAACTTCTCAATAATCTCCCTTGTATTCCGCCGCGGAGTACTGCTCTCGCTCAGATCCTCTGACGACGAACTTCCCCCGTAGCCTCCATTTGCACGAGCTGGATGTTCCTGCCAGCTCTGCGGATCTAACCGTTGACTGATGCGCAGCAGCTGTCGCGCGATATGTGCCGACCGCACCGCGGCCTCGCCGGTACCGGACCGCCGCAGGTTCTCCAGCAGTGAGATCTCGCCGCGATTGGATACACCGTCCCAGCATTCAATGAGGAAATGAGCGTCTAGAGCTCGTCGGCGTTGTCGGTCCAGCTCTTCCAGTCGTTTTCCAGTCTCCACGGCCATGTTGCCAGTTCCTCCAGCATTCTCGAGACCGCCGCCATTGAGCGACGTGTCGAGTTGCTGGAACGATTCAATGGTATGGCGGAGCTTTTTGCCCAAGGTAGTCAGGTTCTGGGAATGCTGCGCTTCGGCGCGTCGGACTGCGGCGGACAGTTCATTCTCGCGGATCTCGAGGTCACCGGAGAGCTCACCCAGACGGCGTTGGGCGCTCTCAAAAGCGCGAATGAGGGGTTTCGGATCGAAGGGTTGGTTTGCGGCGCCGGCTGCTCCAGCTACTGAACGGCGGGTTGAAATTGCTGTGTCGGAGAGAGCTTCAATGAACTCCTTGACAATGAAGTCACGACTGGAGAAGTCCTCAAGCGTGAAGCTGGGCCCTTGGGGGAACACGGTGCGGGCGGGGTTCGCAGTGTAGACGGATGCATTGTCCATCATGATAATAGGATGCAGACATGGGTTGCCTGACCGCGATCAGGACTCCCTAAGAATTGTATTGGAAGAATCCCGGGGAAGAGAGGGAAGTTGGGCGGAGATGCCAAGTATATCGAGGTACCGCATCAACGACTATGGAGTGTTGTATGATGGCATTTACTATAACATTTTTATAATTGAGGTAATTGCGGTATAGTCTAGAATCCCGTAATTATCTCTCACTTCAAAGTTCTCATCTCCAATTAAACTTCACAAGTATAGAGTCCTTACTACGCCGAGTTTCTAGGCAGCCGTTCTGAACAACTGGCAAGATTGAAGGCAACAAATGATATTTATAATTTCACAGCCTCTCTGACAACTTCCATCTTCAAATATTCACATTGGACCAGCTGTGTACAAAGTGGCGGAGACCGCATATACATGTTCAACACTCAACATTTGCAACTTCACTTTCTCTCCACTCCAACCTCCAACTCTACGAAATGGTCTCCCAACGAGACCGCGATCTCCTTCGAGATGACATCCGGCAACGAGGCTCCAAATTGAGCAAAGCAGACCGCGAACATCTACTAAATAATTACCTTCCAAATCCCGCCGAGCTGCCCACCCGATCCAGAGCCTCAACCGCAACCTCGGAGCGTCGCAAGACGCGCAAGAAGCCCATTCGGTCGTTCATCAAGTCCCGGCTACACCATTTCGTCTATGCCGTGACGCATATCATCTTTGGAATCATCGTGCGCTTGTTGCAGGCCTACCATGCGGTTGTGGATCGCGTTTTTGCTATCGTCTATCACCACCACCGCACGCCGGAACTTATTCGCAAGGATGTCAGAGGGTTGAAGCGCTTGCCGCAGCACCTGAGTACTATCTTGACACTGCGGAAGGAAGACGATGCTCTGGCTGTTCTTATGGATGAGGTGGCCGAATTGGCTGCTTGGAGTTCTTGCGCTGGTATTCCCCAGTTGAGCATTTACGAAAAGACTGGTAAGAAGCAAGAAGAGTCAAGACAGACATCCTTTTCCCTGATACCCCTCCGCTGATATCCCTCCACATATACTTGGGCCCATGTACTGACTCATCCAGGCGTTCTCAAATCCTGCCTCCCAGCCCTCCACCAAATAATAACCACCAAACTGGCCTCGTACTACGGCACACCCTCCCAACAACCAAGCCTCCAACTCTACGCCCCCCACCACCCCGTCCACGGCAAACCCGCAACCCCAGATAGCGAAACCGGTTCCTTAACAATCCTCCTTCTATCCTCAACAGACGGCCGCGAAACCCTAGTGGACCTGACCAAGACTCTGGCAGAGATGTCCCAGAACGGCAAGCTCTCGCCGGACGATATTACACCCGAACTGGTCGACGCTGAAATCAGCGAGATCACCACTCAACCTTTGGCGGCTGATCCGGCGTTTAGTGAGACTGTCTTGAAGCCTGAGCCGGATTTGTTGCTTGTTTTTGGACCGTTCCTTAAGCTGGATGGTTACCCGCCCTGGCAGATTCGTCTTACTGAGATGTATTGTACTGGCAGTCGGAGTCATGGACTCAATGGGGATGGTGAAGCTGTTGAGTATCAAGGGTATATGCGTGGTTTGTGGCACTTTGCTGGTGCGCAGATGAGATTTGGTCGGTAGATATTGATCTGATCTTGGTCAAGTTGTGTGTAGTTGAGTGCGATAATCTGCATGTTGTTTTTTTGTTTATACCCTCCTATTATCTAATAAATATTGCATTGAGAATAGACAATTTGTATGCATAGTTTGGTTTCTATTCTGTCTACAACTAGAGTCTGCACCCATTAGATATCCAGGGCTTAATAATCATTATATAGTCAATTCTGGTTCTGGTATCACTATGCTATGTCTGAAAACCAGTCAAATCAAATCACAAGTTCGCCATGCCCAAGTTAATATAGATAAGAGACCCAATAGTCGACCGCCGGGTCCAGTTCAATCATCCAACTCCAATTAGCCACTCAAAAGCAGCAGAAAAATAACCCCAAAGTAGAAATGGAATAAAAGTAATTATCATATAGTCGTTTGTGTTGTGTTTGTCGTTCTGTCCTCAAGTCCTGTGACTCAATCGAGGAAGACGGATCTCATCCAGTCATATCCTCATGTCTCATATCATCCAAAGCCCACCCAGATGAAAGATTATGCGCAGACCAGGCAGCATGTGCATGCCCACGCACGCAATTGAGGCAACGCACGATCTCCGCGCCAGTTTCAAGGACGTCCTCGACGGCACAGCTGGAGCAGATTTTTCGGCGGGAGGGTGCCTCTCCACCCGCGTCGTAGCCGTTTAACGCATTGATATCGGCATCGTGCATGCCATCTGCAAGGCCGAATGTTCCTCCGCAATTGACTGTGTCGCATTGTCGGAGACAGATGAAACATGCCCGCTCGTGGCAGAGATCGCAGTCTGCGTAGGCGTCGAGGACTTGCCGGGTCGTTGGGCGTCGGTGACAGATGTGGCAGGGGCGCAGGGCTGATGGGGATGCTGAGGCTTGGGTCTGGCCTGGATACTTAAGGGGAACGAGAGTCCGTGGTGAGACTGGGGGGGAGTAGGGGTCGATGTTAGGGGCGTAGACGTTTGGTGAGAGGTGTGTCGATTGTTGGGATTGGTGTTGGACTTGATGTTGGAGAGTGTGGTAGGGACTTTGGACGTTTCGACGCTTGCGTGGAAGGCAGCGTGGTCGGAAGGAAATGTCAGTCCCTTCTGGGTGTCGTGATAGAGGATGTGAGCAGCTGTCGAATTCGGGGCGGTCTACACGGAAGGTGGTTGGGGTAAATGTTGCTCTGAGTACTCGTTAGTTCAAGTGATCACAAATGAGAGAGAAATTGTCTGACTTACGGACGAGTCAGCGTCACTGTCTCCTCGTGGTCCCGCTTGCGCTTTTTCCATGTTGCCGTTATCGAGTCGGTCTGCTCGGGCGAAAACCCTGGCATTAAGGTATCACGGTAGTCAAGCCAGGTCATGTATAGATGTATGCCTGTAATTTGACAGTGGTCAAAGGTAGAGGAATGATCAAGGAGACATGAAACTCGGGTGGTGAGTGCAGCCAAACAAAAGAAATGAGGGCGGTGAGGCGATAACACTATCAGCCCACGTCTGATGGTTTACAGTTGAGTGATACAGTCCATGGAGTAGATTTCATGTTATTTACTATTTAATTCATATGACAGACCCTACACCATCCAGACGAGCCTGAATAGTCTTCTCATCAAAAGACCCATTATCACCGACGTAGTTCCGTAGAACTTCATAGGTCATCAATCGCCGAGGTGCTTTGCGGCCTGTCATCAACTCGAACTGGGCAATGCCCTGTTCAGTAACGTTCTCTAATCCATCTGACAGGACCCAGGGTCGTCCAGTCTCACTGCGGACTCGACGCATTTGTCGAAGAAGTGGTGTATCGAGGGGTTTGTAGGCCAACTATATTACAGTTAGTAGATGTTGCAAGTAGAACTTATAAACATAATATTACCTCCAAAATTACACCCCCCGTGGGACTTCCGAGCCATTGCACCGGCATCTCAAAGTTCGCTGGGGGTTCATCACGGTCCGGGTCTGCCGGTACGCAGGATGCGACGAGACTAGGCTGAGTGGCATCTGCAGGCCAATCTTGTTGGAGAGAATGCAAGACGCGAACTACCTCTGCGGAGCCAACTTGCGAGGAAGCCCAAGAGTTGAAATGGCGTGCGACCTCTTCAGCCCGTGATTTGGTACGGTTATAGATGAAGATCTTTCGACAGCCCAGACGGAGCATGGCATAGATGGCGGCCCGCGCCATACCACCAGCACCAATGACTAGGCCAGTTGTCTTCGCGCTGATTGCGTTGCGAGGGGAGAGATGGCGGGTGATACATGTCATGATGCCAACCCAGTCCGTGTTCTCACCGTACCAACCCAACACGCGGCCAGCCTGGTTGCGACGGCTGGCTTGTTCCTGAAGCGGGAACATAGTGCCGTCGGCGTGACCACGGAGTGGCATGATAGTGTTGATGGCACCAATTGCTTCGGCGTGTCGACTTTTGGAGGCGAGTTTCTGATATACTTGCACCCGCCACGGCTGAACAACACTCGAGCCTCCAAAGTGCGGGTCCCGGCCCAGCCGGTCTAACACTGCCAGTGAAGGCGAGTCGGGAATGGTGTAGGTGTGACCCATGCCACAGTGTTGGTGTGCGGCATTGTGCATGGCCGGAGATAAACTGTAGGCTACATTCTCTCCGGAAATGTAAAATTTTAATGGATCGAGCATGTAGCTCTGGAAGAGGGCGCGGACAGCATCACGCGATGTTATTTGCGGGTCGAGCTCATTCTCTTCTGACCGGGTGATGGCTGGGTGTGTCACTCCAGTGAGAATTGAGTTGAAGACTTGGGATGTGCGGCCCAAAGCTCCAATGTTGTAGGCGATGAGCGGTGGGTGGTCGCCTGCGAGTGAGCTGATCTTGTTAGAGAACTCGATCACAGCTGCGTTGTCCTCGCGCTTCGTTGCTATACGGAGAAGGCGGACCAATTGACAGCCAGACGTTTCAGCTTCGTGATAGAGGGCGACACAGCCCTCGCTGTCCCAGGTGATAGGAGAAGATGGTTTAAAGACCTGCTGGCCGATGATCTTGGTGTTTCCACGGCCACGGATAATCCCAGCCAACCGGGATCGGTCCTCGGTCAGGTCTACCACGAGGTATTCCACCCCCAAGCGTAAACCATGCTCAAGGACGTCGAAGTAGGTTCGAGAGTTAGCCGTTTCACTAGAGTTGATACCGGTAGAAGAGGTGTCAACAGACAGAACCACAGGAACCCGCGCATTTCGACGCAGGTCCGAAACCTGTTTACTAGTGATAGCTGCCATGTCTGGGCCCCAGCGATCCACACATAGTTCGATGGCATCTCCACCTGACTCGAGATCAGCCAAACTCACCGAGTCGGCGATCAGATCTGAGGACCGTACAAATATAGCATGGGTGAAAGAGCGAAATTCCGGCGGCGTCTCCAGCAGCACAAAGGGCGAGTCATAGCTCGAGTAATTGACATCGAGCCCAGTGATGAATTGCACGAACCGAGTGAAATCTTCCTTGACTTCCTGCAGCTTGAATGAATAATCAGCCGACCGACGATCCGGGCTCCCGTCGTCCGCTGCGCGGGTCCGGTCTTCCAGGTTGTAAAATTCGAAGTTTGAACACATCCGATGCATAGGATCTCCTTCACGGAACAAGCGCACGGCCTGATTCTCCAGTCCGAGCAATTGCTGAATGCGATCAATATCGCGCAGCAGATGAACCACAGGATTTGATCGGGCATAACGACGCAGATGCTCCTGAACAGGTCGGGTCAGACTACCCAGTCCACACTCCATGACACAACCGGTGCGATGATTGTCCAGCATCATCTTGAGCACTTCAATGTCCCGGCGCTGAAACTCCTGGCTGCCATAAGTCTTGAGGTAGTCCTGTCGCGTGACCCCGGTGACTTCTCTAAAATAGTGGTCTTCGGTGATGAATCGTCGCTTGAGCGCGGTGGCTGCGACAAAGCCCAGTGAGCGCTTGCCGCAGCCGCGAATGCCGATTAGAACGAGGGATGCATCGGGAGCAAAGGTTCGCGGGGCAGAGTCGCGGGGCATGATATGAGGGACAGGTTCGACGATGGGGAGACCGGAGGGCCTCACAGTAGGTGGAATGGAGGGCTTATAGTCGAGCATGGCGGCAACAGATCAATTGGTCTATGTCGAGACGAGCGCCATGTTCACCGGCGCAAAGTAGAGAGGTCGAATGTAGATTTGTAGAGCTTCAAAAGATGCGAGAGCGAGGAAGTTGTTCCACGCTCATACCCGAGCCTATCAGTGCAAACAATAAGTGTAACTTGGTGTCAGTCTATGTTCATGTAGACGTAGATGAAGATGTACCTTGGCAAGTAGACTATTATTTCCCCGGATGAGGAACTGCCGACCGCCTGGGGTCATCCGGCAGAATACTTTTCCCTTCCCCTCGGAGACTTCGGCTTCATCCGAATCTCTATGAATGACCGAGTTACGCGTTTGTCTCAGGGTTCGGGGCTAAATATCCACTTTGCGGAATCCCTTCCGTCGAGTCTCTGCTTTGCCTCCATAGTTCAATTGGAGAATCTAGAAGAATCTGAGTCATCTCTTATGTGATCATGTTCAGCTTCATCTGGAAGTGTAACTGCCGATGCTCGGCAGTTTTTGCGGAACATCGGGGAGTTCGGCTTTTCCAGTATATTCAACGGTATGTCTATATGTATCTATAAACATGTATACTGTATATTGCGTCAGCATTGAAATTATTGAAGTTAGAAATAGAAATAGAATAGAAATAGAACACTTGATATCAACCAGCACAGCCTCTTATAATTATAGAAGTGACGTCCTGCAGTCAAACGTGGAGACGTGGGGAATCCCGAGCCGACTCAACCTCTCCCGAACATCAACTCCGATATCTTCCTCGGACATCTCGAGTCTTTGCCGTGGCCGAGATCGCGAGTCCACTCTTTTGACTTCCACTTCCACGATTTTCCCTGACTTCCGATTGCGTCGGCATTCCTCTTATACGGGAAATGACCACGGAAACAACGTCAATTTCGCTCTTTGCTTTCGCCTCACCTCTGTATGGAAACTTTGAGTAACTAACCCTCTTCATGGACGAGGGCTCAGATAAGACCCCTCTGCGCAAGAGGGTGTCGCGAGCCTGCGATCGCTGTCGTAGCAAGAAGGCGAGTCGCATGCGCCTCTTATCCCCCCCTGCTTTTGCCTGATCTGACGCTCTTTACTTCTAGGACAAATGTGACGGTATTCGTCCTACATGCTCTGCCTGCCGAGCATCCGGTCAACCTTGTTCATACGATCCCCATGCGAAGAAACGCGGATTACCCGAGGGCTACGTCCGGGGTCTGGAGAAGCTGTGGGCACTGTCGATCTGCAACATTGACGGGTTCGAGGACACCATGCTGGCTATGCTAGGAACCACCGCCGAGTCTGCCGGCCGTCGCGAGAAACTAATGTCGGTGTGGTCGGATGACAGTGCGTCAGAAAGCTTACACGAATCGTGGAAGACGAGTCGGTTATATGGGGCGCTGGAGAAGATGCTCTCCAATTCCGATGCGCCACAAGGAGCGGTGACGGGGAAGAGGCTGCGAAACCCGCAAGATGGTCAGGATGGTCGATGGCTTCGAGTAGCTCGCAGCTCAACTCCTCTCGGTCCGGATGCGCCGCGCGTGGTGGGGCCTTCTCCTGCGTCTCCGAGGGTCAAACGAGCGCGATTGTCGCAAAACCCAGAGACTCGGGGGGCTTCGACTAGTCTCCACACGTTGCAGCTACCCCCGCAGACCTCACAGCTACTCGATATCTATTTCGCTGTTACACATTCATGGTTCCCTATCGTCGCCAAACACAACATTCTTCGCGCTTCTTACCTCTATGCCAATTCTCCTGTCTCTGTTGGGACGACGTCCCCGGGATCCGGAGATCATGCCGCACTGTGGGCAATCCTAAGTTATACCATCACCCAATCTCGAACAAACTCACGGGCCGGTCCCGCTGGAACCGTTGCTCTCGTGAAAGAATACTATGCCGTGTCGCGAAGCCTCATTCCGACGGAGAAAGACCGTTATGAACTTGGCCATATCCAGGCATTGTTGCTCCTGTCCTTGGTCAATATGGGCCTGGAAGACCTGACAGCAGCTTGGTTGCTAAGCGGCCAAGCAGTGCGCATGGCTCTTGCCATGGGCCTGGGTACTTTCACCGACAGTCGGCGGTCTGATGAACTCAGACAAGGCAAGGCTGTCTTTTTGGGATGCTTTGTCATTGATTCATTGCTTTCTTTCCGACTATCTCGAAGTCCCGCCATGCCTCCTGGTGATATATCCTCTGTTGGTCTTTTGGAGGAAGACGGCCTAGAAGAATGGAACTCTTGGGTCGATGTTCTACCGCCCACAGGTGCTTCACAAGGCAGCAAAACTCCTCCACGTCGAGGGCCACTTATGGCTCTGAGTTGCTTCAATCGCTTGGTTGAATTGGCGACTGTTCTCAATAACATTTCTAGGAACATGCACTCAGGCTTGAACATGGGGACCTTTGCTCAGCAATTAGTGATAGAGCTTAAACGATGGGATGACCTTCTGCCACTTGGTTGTCGTCTTATTGGACCTGAAAGCATCTATCCAGAACGGCATTCGGCTTTGCTTCCCCATCAAAGCTACCTCGGGCTGACTTATGTGGCCACACTACTTTGGCTATACCTGCAGCTGATTTCAGGAGAGCAGGGTCTACACCGCTCTCAGCGGCCAGCTACAGAGGGAGCCAAGAAGCTTCTTTATCGCGGCTTGTCCATGATCACCCAGCACCTCGAGAACTTCCCTGTTTGTGGACTCCCACCTTTGTTTGAGTTAAGCCTTCGCACAATTGCCGAGCAGGCATTCTCACTGCGGCAGACTGCCGACTCGGCCGACACATTCCCTTTCGCTAGATGGGCAGAAGAGTTCAAACACAAAACGGCTGGATTCGGTTCCACCTGGCCAGCCTACAGCTCTTTGGTTTCTGCCATGGAAAGGTGGCAACAATCCAAAGACGTAGTTGGACCAGCTGCCTTTTCAGGGCAAGCCGGCAATGCACCAGTGTTCCCATTCCAGGGCAGTTCATCTGTACCAGGCTCCATGCAACCTCCGAATGGAGCTCGTGGCCTAGTCTCCAATGGCGAAGGCGATTACAGCTCTTCCATTCTTGGCATCAGCATGCCAGTCGACGCACAATCCATAACACTTAAAGATACAGTCATGGAGAACGCAGATATGGGTATGATGGACGTCTCCATGCATCGGCCGATAGAACCCCCACAAGTCTTACCGGACCAACCAATTCCGCGCAGTGGCCCAGATTCCATGTATGCCCCGAATAGCACACCATCACAGCCACAACAATCACAACAACCTCAAACGCCCGACTCGACAAGCTCAGGCTCGATGATGCCCGGAAATACCGCATCCATGGGTGATATCGATGCCATTTTCAAGGATCTCGCATACCTTGATACCACGGAGTGGGCCACCAACCGTGAAGCTGGCCTGAAGGACTTTGGCTTCCTGGATGAAAGTACTTTCCAGGCTTTCTGTCATGATCCGGATCGATTGGTTGGATCACAGCCTTTGGTTCATCCGCCTTCCATTGCAGATATTTGGCCGCCTCCTGGATTCTTCCCGGAGACTTTCCAGGAGGTTCCCGAAGAATCTATGGCTGGCTGAGATTGCAATAACCAGCTTGCCTTTTGAAAGGCTAACTCACTCTAGTATGGTCTACTCTTCCCTATCAAGAGACTCCTGTCTCGGCATTTGATCGGTGTCCGTGATTTATCACAAGAAACCCGATTCCAGGTTCTCAGCGATATGCTCCAGCAAAAGGAGCACAGGAAATTCCTGGCCCATATCACAAGCATTCTCAGAATTCAAAGGGTTCCACCTTAAACCTCACAATACTACATGTGTGAAAGACCATCTACTCCGAACCATAACATGTTCCCCGCAACATAGGAGAAGCAAGAGATTCTTACTCCATCGGAACAAACAGTTCCACAGATCGATGTACATATACTCGCGTTACTGGAACTAAGTCCAGCGCATTTGCAAAAGTCCTTCCGTTCAGGAACAGATATAGCCTTGGGCATACTTTTACAATCTCTTTTGTTGATATATAGTTCAGTAAAGTAGGTCTCAATCTATGAAGATCCTATTCGGCCTCCAACTCGAATTCGATCTCGAAATTGACCTCGACTGGACCATAATCTCAAACTCGGACTTGATCTCAAACTCAACCTCGAACTCTTTTCCAATTTGACTTATTGCCTGAGACAAATATTTGGCAAGATGATTAATTCCAAATCAAACTTCTGCTTCAGACAGAAAAATTATATTGATACCTTGATACCTTGATACCTGAAGTAAACCTTCTGTTTGCTCCTAAGGTTAACTAGTATCATATATTCTTTCACTATACAAATTGGCCTCCGGGCACTGGCAGTGGTCTATTGTTTGATACCACCTGAACTATGCCTACCTCGTACTCCTTACTAAAGTGCTATATCCTGCAAGCGTTTCCGGGTATTATAAACCTAGAATATACTGGAAACAGTCTGTGATATACTAGATACATCGATAAGCCCTGAGTACTTCGAAAGTTACAAAGTTACATATTCTGCCTGTTCTATCATACATAAAGAGTGCACAGGACTCTCCCACGATATAATCCACGGAATCCCATACAGTGGAAAAATTCATTTGCGAGCCGAATTCCGGACATATGTCTCCCGTACAGGGTCACCTTCATACCCAGAGACCACCCAATTCCCAACCCCCCCGTTTTCAGTATCCTGACCAAAAATCAAATTATCGGGACGGTAAGATGGATCAGCTTTCATCCGCTGAATAGCGGAGACATGTATATTGGCTCCGACAGGGATACCACGAGTCTCACCACGAGATGGCGGCCAGCGCTTCGATTCCCAGTCTCCATTTGGCTGTAGCTCCATCCGACGAAGTGGGAGGTATTCAATCAAGCGCCAGGATAGAACAGAAATAGGAGACCGCCCGCTTTCATATGAGAGTAGATCGTGAATCTTTCCTTTGGTAGCGCCGACTTGCAATGAAGCTTCAAACTGTTCATTGTTAGTCGCTTCTCCGGGTGTGTTTGAACAGGCCGAATGATCGATTTCTCCTTTGCACTGCAGCTCCTTCATGACATCTTCATTCAGTCTCAGTCCTCTCTTCTTTGCCTCTTGTATCACCCAGACAAGCGGAGCATGGCTCAGTTGATATTCTTCGTTCTCTGCCCTGACGAATCCACCTCCGATGTCTGTATGGCAGCCCGGAAACCAGACCTCCTCCTCATCTTGTGTGCCATCATCCTCTTCTTCGTCCTTAGAATCCTCCGAAATGGTGAGACTGAGAGGTTTTGTTCTATGTGAGTTTTCTGGGGCATCAGAAGCGGCTATCCCCTCGGTGTCATCCACAGGAGAATGTTTAATCAAGTCCTCTTCATGTGGTTTTGCAGATTTGTCTTCAGAATTAGCCCCGAAAAGATTCCGGTGTTTGCTTTCAGAGCCATGCGTTTCAGCTTTCTCGGACCGTAGCAAAACAGGCCGGAACTTGACACGTCGCTCGTCGATGCTCACTGCATGTCGGATCACTTTGGCGCTGGGAGCGCGGTCTATGTTGACCTCAAAGTCAGCCACGCTGTTCACAGCATCAAACATGCCCAGAAAATGCACGCGTGGCAGTGGCCGCGAAAGTATCTCTCGAGAATCTTTCATGATCTGATATAGCCTTCTCTTCGCCTCACTCTTCTTGTTGTTGATACTCAATTTCCAAGAAGCCCAGGCATCCCAGATGAACGGAAGTACTTCGTCGTTATCAGGGCCAAGAAGGCCTACAAAGTCGAGCATTTCGTTCAAGAAACGTGCGACATACCCTCCTCGAGAGAAGCCGAAGATGAAGATCTTGTCCCCTGAGCGAAAATGGCGCATCAAAAACTTATATCCGCCCAAGACATGAGCATCGAAAGACTTTCCTAGTGCCAAGTTCAAAGCTTTGCTGTTACTCAGCTTACCACCCTTCTGCAGGGTGTTGCTGGCCAGTGAGCCCGGAGTGATGTCGGTTCCAATTCCAGCTAGTAAAATTAGCATGTATGCCGTACAAGAGAGAACACATCATCATACGTTGATAGTAGCATACTGCCCATGGTTAGCAAAGTGATTGACCCAGAAGGCGAGACAGCTTACGTTGAGAGTCCGACCGATCCAACATGCGACAAATTCTCAAGACATTGGTTTCGGTGCCATCTGTTTTGAAGGTATTTCCTGTACCATCAAAGCACAGCACCAGCTGTCTCGGACCTTCAGAGTTACTCATAGTCCAGGGTTAGAAGAAGAGATTTAGTAATATGGGCTTAGGATTTGAGGAGTAACAAGGAAAATGATCCTCGTTATATGTCATTTCTTCAGCCCGTGTTAACTCTCCACTTAAGTCATAGGAAAGTTATGTATAGGGGGGGGGGGGGGGGGACATGAAGATCATTGTCGGTGCACACCATGCTATAGATTGATTTAGAGCCAATCCAGGGTGAATAGTTCGTCTGAATTCAGAGGTGATTTACATCGAGTGACATGTTTGTTGTAGATTGAACAAAACATGATCATCGCCAAGCCAGCTGAAGCTAAAAAGCGCAGTAGCTCTCCGAATCGGGCGTCGTGCAGCTCCTCCATGCGCTAGAGTGCACGAAGTGGAGTTGTGAGGTTCGTCCGCCTTGAATTTGAGAGAACGAAACTGCAACCTTGGAATGGTCATTCAAGCCTATCTAAAATGGTGGGTTTCTCTATTCCAACAGAAATGGATGCCCCTAAGTTGTGACTCCATCCAGCTGATCAAGTGAGAGGCTTTCCCAATCTATTCTGATCCGAACATGAACTCTCATTTACAATTTACGTCGGATGGGGCAGAATGGATTCGAGGCGGATTCGGCCTCTTTTAGTGCCTTGCAGCACAAAGCTTTTACTTACAAGCGGGCAATGGGGAATCTTTCATCCCACGCCGCCACTTTGAGGACTCGACAAATAATGGAAATAAAACCTCTCTTGCAATTTGAAAACTGCCATTATCTTCTGAAAGTGTGCAGTAGATTGGTTGTTTGGTCAGAGAAATAATTCATATGCTGCTGGAGAGCTCATGAACCTCCTCTTTGTCGGGGAAAGTGTACGCATTAACAACTGGAGCTGCCTGTTCTCCCCAAGCCGTAATCTCTAGTTCAAAGACTCGTTTTTGGGCTTTCTGAATGGTTTCGTGAGCTGCTGCAAGTGTCTCATACCTCAAGGTCAGACCTCGTCTATACCATTCTAATGCTTCAAGGAAATAGGAATGATGGCCATAAACAAGGTCAATACCAAGAGCACCCCGTAAGCACTCGCTAGGGTATCTTCACCATCCGAGCCCACAGTGCGATTTCAACCTTCAAAAATGATAGAATGATGTTTTGTCGCTTCGTCATATCGTATCTGATTGGCATATGCGAGGCTTAATCTGAATGGTGCTGTACCAACAACGTGTACAATCCTAGGAAGCCAACTGCCACTGATGAGTCAAACTTAGATGTGTGCGCCGGAATCTGTATCCTTTCGACATAGATATAATGCCAAAAATGATGGTTAAGTAGGCAACTGGGGATCGGTTTGATATAGATGTACCTATTCCTCCAAACGAGGTAAAGGCTTGGGTCGGTTGTAAGGATGGCCCGACATTTTATTTTCTGTGCATGAAACGCCTCGATATTCTAGCCAGATCTTCAAATCGCCATCCAGAGATGCTCATGTAGTTCGTTCAATACCGGAGTCTCCAAGTCTCGAAAAAGGAATTCATCGACGTCTCGCGGTCGAAGTGTGACTGATGAAAACCCTGGTATATGGCCGACTAGGCTGAAAACTTGAGTATCTTTCTTGTTTGAACAATCATAATCGGGCTGCGGGTTCAATTCTTCCTTGTTCAATGCCTCTGAAGGTGTGAAAGGAGGCTGGGAAAATATTATTGTAGTCATAGCTATGAATTCTTGGATTGAAGAGTGGAAGAGTTGAGCTGACTCAAATACAGAAGTCGTACAGACACAGGCCCATCTAGCCTGGGTTTAAGGGGCCGCTCATGCACCATCAACTTATATAGCCTTACACATGAAATATTCTCGACTGCGGACTTCGGTCTCTCGAGCCAATGATCTGAGAACTTTACCGCATACGCCAGACGTACCCCAAAATAAACTGTTGCGTAGGTATCGACCCCAAGACTGCATAATTATCTGTATGAGACGTTTTCAAGCCATAAAGAGCTGCTACTTCATTGTATTGAATACGACTCGTTATGCGTGTTCCGCTACAATTCTATAGAAACCTTGTCCAAACCATCTCCCTTGAAGTATCAAGTTTGTGAAATCCACTTCCAAATATTGGACATTATTAGTATTAGTATAATTACGACTCATCTCATAATCGGAAGTAGACTACAATGTAGATTTTAATTAGATGTTTTAAAGTTCGCCTCAGTCACCGTGTTGCCCATGGATTTTGAAGGCTTGAAATATTTCAATTGAAACCTTGGTATCGCTAGGAAGATCAATAAAAAAATGACAATAGAAATGGAACAAAAAGGAAAGGATCCAAGGATCAATGTCGTGTATTTTGTCTGCTCGGCAGACGATGCCAGAACTGCGCCGTTGTATAACGCCTCGCCAATGAATTCTCCTTCGCACAAAATTGTCAATGTGAGAGTGCATGCAAAGGAAGAGATGAAGAACGACAGGAAGGTGTATATGTACAAGAATAAATCCACAGAAAAGAAAAGAAAGCCAAATGTGAATGCGATCAGACGTAAATGTATTGGACCTCGGCACAAGAATGCTGGAATGACTTCAGAAGCTTCTGTACGCGTGATCCCATCCAGCCAGAATGTGTGCCGTTCTTGGCGACACCAGCGAATGTTGTAGGGGCATGCTTGCAGGTTCTGTCTTCTTCATTGAAGGTGTACTGTAAGCACTCCTGATTGCGAGCACAGACTTCGGCACAAACATCCACAGTAGGTATGATACCGGCCGCAAAGTCAATCTTCGCGCCAGAGAGGTTGTCCCAGTCTTCACGAATGGTGAATGAGTCGTCATAGATGAATTTCTGGTAAACATCGGCGTGCAGCATGAGAGCGTTCTTGCCGCTTGCGAAGAAACCGCGGTCAAATCTCCACATTTCCTCGATATCCCGGGGCATCATGTGGTGGTAAGAGACAACCGGATAACACCAGGGCTGGCGACCATAACCTTCGGAGAAGTGGTCGATCTCCCATGGGCGCGAGGTCATCATCATCGGCCAAGCCCAAGTCAACTCGACGCTCACATCATGCAGAGCTCGTGCCAAGGCACAATCTCCGGCCCATTCATTGGCAGTCATTTCTTCCAACTCTTCTTGAGCGCGGGCGCGGTAGCTGCTTAAACGTTGCATGGTTTGACTGGATAGAACAATGCCTGCCCCACCATATCCGAACAGCGTCTCTCCAATTTGCATGGGACTGCCCAGGTAGTACTGGCGGCTGTTATCGAGGTGGGACAGCCAGTTGACCAAGTTCGGCCACACCATATACGTATCGGCTTCCAAGAAGACATACCATTTGGCATCTGGCATGACCTCCAGGGCCTGGTCGATCATGGGAAGGAACTTCCACTTGTCCAGCTTCCATCCGGGATTGTTGACTTTGCCTAGCGGCCCGTTTGTGTCATCGCCCCACTCTGCGTCGGTCAAACCTTCACGACCGACTTCTTGTAAGCGGCGATAGATGTTAAATTCGGGTTCACGTGCCATGGTAGCATCGCTAACATTGCGGAGGACGTCATAGGTGCGGATCCCGTTGATGGTTTCTTCATAATCGGAGAAAATGGCGAAGTGTGGAACACATTGGAAAGTAGTGGCGAGGTGAACGGGGACTTTTTCGAGGGATTCGGTCGCTCCGGTCTTCAGGACGACCATGACATCGTCGAGGCCATGCAGCAAATGGCCGCATTTGTCTTGCAGATTATCCGAGTATGTTTTCTCCGGGGAATTATTTGTCTCTGGCTTTTCCTCTCCTACCACGATGGCTTCCGCACCGGATGAGGTCAATGGCTCTGAGCTGGTTACTGGTACGGGGTTGGATTCAGGCAGTCGAAAGAGATAATATATCAAACAAAATGTAAGGAGCGGAAAGACGACGAACAGCCATCGTCGCTGCGAACTGAACATGGTCGGCAATTGAATGAAAATTTAGGCGAGAATTGAAAAAGGATGTGGCCATCCAGCTAATGAGAGGATGTCGAGGGCTAAAGAAGAGAAATGCAAGCGCCTGAGCAGAAAAAAGGGACAGTAATCGCCTGAAGAGCAAACCAGTTCACCTCGGCGCGTAGGACGATCCATGGGCCGGGGGAACAGGCACACCCCATTGCATTCTGGTAGCAGCGCAACCTCAAGCTTGATAGGCCAACTGCCAAGTTCATTGGGGAACGATCAACAACCACGCGGCCCAGGGGCCAACGAGGCTGTGGCGTCTCGCAAGGCCTGTCCGCTGCCCCACGGGAAGCGTCATCGCTTGCGGAACTTAGGCTCATGTCAAGGCAATGATCGACTTTGGACAGTGGGGGACATTCAGGAGGTTGAAGATCGTAAGATCAGGGGTTCATTGTTTCGAATCTACATATTGACGCCATATGAGAGAATGGGCAAAGTTAAGCCAAGCTTTCTCGTCAGAATAGAGCTGAAGCATGGAATGACAGACGTCCTGAAACCGGATCTCCGGCTGTGGGATCGACACCCGATCGGTCAGGCATAAAATCACGTGGGTCTGTTTCAGGTTTGTTTTGTTCGTTTGTCCAGTTTGCCGGGTTTGCTCGGACGTTAAGGGGTTCACCGTTCGCTGTGGAGTCAACTAGTTTCAACTTCCATTTGAATATCCCGCTTTGTTTATTCAATACATGTACACCATGTCACTTGACGTCTCGGTTCTAACAGCTTTGCCCAAGATATCTCACCATGTAAAGTTTGGCTAGCTAGCTAGAATAGAACAAATTAGGATATTAGTACACTGTTTTAATAGAAGTAACGTTACCAAATTACTAGCCACATGTATGTGAACGTTGAATAGACTCATGGCCAATGTTTAAGTTTGGGGTCGGGCTAGATGTGGAGTCTGACTTAAAAAGGAGGTGTAGATTTCACTGCGAAGGACCCCTATATAGATATTTCCATAAATACTGTACATACATGTATGGCTGGAAGATAGGGGCATGATCTAGTTTTGTTGATGTTTTTCATATTAACTGATTTGAGAAAAATAACAGCTCGATAAACCAGGCACACATATAATCGACTGCTATGTCTCTTGACTGTAAGAAATTTTCATCAAACAGTGTATTTCAAGGTATTCTAGCTACATTTGATCCCACATCCATCTCCCATTTCATGTCTGTAAAGCCTCCAGTTTGAGGGACAGGTACCGGCATATTCATGACTTCATCCTTGCCTTTTGTAGGTAGTCATCTCCTTAATGAACAGGAAATCTCGATGATATAAACATATACGGAACTTATCGATACAACTTCAATACAAAGCACGTCTCATCACAATCATTTGTGTTAAAAGGCACATCCAACTATGCCTCTTGAGCTTGGCTGCGTCTCTTGCGTTCCCACAAGAAAACAGGAGTAATTGTCAAAATAACAGCCACACAAACAATTGCAGCCTGGATCCCAAAGACCAAGCCGAGTCCATTGCGCACAATCCAAGCTGGCTGGAAATATCCCACCGCAAATCCACCGCAGGTACGCCACATGTTCAGGATTGCTGAGACACAGGTGGCTTGTCCGGGATATTTTTCTAATGCATAGGCAGATATGGCGCTGTTCAAAGTAACGGTTAGTCAAGTATTTCAATCCAGCAAACCGGATTTGTCAACTTACACAATAGTCGCTACCATGCCGATGTTTACCATAATCCAGCCAAGCGCCAAGCCTATCCAGTGCTTGCCAAAATTCATGGTGAGTCCGTATGTCAAGAGACCACAGGCCATGCTAGCAATTGGGAACCAGACACCATGGAGTCGGAGCTCGGTTCTCCAGGTATTGTTGTGCCGGTTGAAGATCCAGCCATTGAAGAAGTGACCAAAGGCCCAGCCTGAAAATCCGTCAGAGAAGTAAATCGAAGAATTTTACGGACACATACCACAAAGAGCCCCAATGACACCAGCAAATCGCATAGATGATGCTTCAATTGTGTCAAAGAGATAGGGCGGGCTGTGCAAGAAGGTATCGATAGTGGTTGTGATTCCTAGAAAATTAGCACGAAAGCAGTACACTTCGGGACCAAGGATAGCTCACCAATGGGCCATGTAAATGTCACTAGAATAGCAATGCCTACAATTCGTTGTCAAAAAAATATCATAAAGCGAGATCACTGATCCTTACCAGTCATCAACAACGGGAATTTGAAGATGTAGACCACAACCATTCGACACCAATATGTCAAGGTCGACGCCTTTGGAAGTAGGGTGTTTCCAAAGCCAAAGTAAGAGGCAAGACGCGAGGGACTGCCTCGTTGACCTTGCACATAATAGGTCTCATAGCCAAACAAGATGATCATGGCCGTGGACAAGCCATAGATGGCTGTGAGTACTCCGAAGGAAGTGCGCCAGTCCGTTCCAGCACCAATGTATCCTGCAATCGCCGGGCCGAGGAAAGGACCGACTAAAAAGGTAGTTCCCCTGTTCGGGTCAATATCAAGCTATTAAATTGAGGCAAGAAAACATACCAAATGTTGATCATGCGTGGCCATTCTGCAATGCAATCAGTATGAATAGGTAAAGAGTATGAGACAACATACCGGCCGAGGTATACATATCATGAATGATAGGTAGGCCAATAACCTGAGGCACAGTTCCAAACAGACCTTGCAAGGATCGAAAAGTTGTAAAGGTAGACCAATCATTGGAAAGAGTAGCACCCAAAACCATGAACATTGTGATCACCTGAGGCCATAACCAGATCGGCAGACTACATGCAGCTATCAGTGAGACAAGTCCCGCAGTCAAACAAGGCTGATGATGCATGAGCATAATCAGCAAAGTAAGCCACTCACCGGCCGTAGGCTTCGATGAGGGGTACTGCAAAGATACCCCCAAAGCCCTGGAGCAAGATGCCGTAGTTCATACTCGTCGCCGAGTGAGTAATAGAAACGTTCCAATCCATCGCTTGCTCCGTGATTAGAGTCGAGCCCCAGACCATTGCCCTGTAATTCCCCTCAGTCAGAATTAGAATTCTTATGTCTGAGCGGGAGTTGTGAAACAAAGAGTGCATACCCATCTGCCAGCAACGAACTGGTCATTAGCGATATGAAGAGCAAAGTTTTTCTTGTTGAACTCCAATTTCTGGGATTCAGGGGATCCTTGGACTCAGAATCATCCTTGAAGTCCCGAGTCTCAAAAGACTGCGCTGAAGTGGCATTCTCCATCTCGCGCATGCTTTCCAGCGTGAACGGTTTCTCCATAATGCAGTACTATGTACACTACCTATAACAAGGATAGACCCGAATCAAGGAAGATAATTCCGAAAAATCGATAGTCAGGCAAGGAGGTGGAAGAAGGAATAAGGATCATTCTTTTGTTCCGTGTGACGGGCATTGAAGGTTTTATGCATGGGCGGTTTTCGGATTCGACACATGGAAATCTCGCGTGGCTTTTGTCGCGCAGATGAAATCAAAACGAAACCCCGGAAGAATGGGAGAATGGCGTCGGAGAGATCAAAGAGGATGATCCATCGCGTCTGAGATCTGTTGGATCAGAAAGTATACACGAATGAATCTATCACATCCCGGGCCCCCAACAAACCACACTAGTCGATCCTTGCAGCAACGCCATACAAATTCCACTAATTCTATTTTCTACGGCTTACCTCTTTCTTTGAACTTCCAAGTTCTCGACATGACTCTGCCAATCAGGTTTGTGACGCCCCCTTGCTTGCGCATAACGACCCGGCTCCTTTTCTCCAATTATGTCTCAACGCGAAACCCTTCTGTGCATTGTGAGATGAGGTAGGATTACCCGTAACTAGCTAGTAGCAAGCGCAGACTACAGACATCAAGCCTCCACTTGTAATCTGACATTCGGAATTCTAGCCGGTCGCAGATCTGTATACTTCGTACTTTATAGATAGAAAACCATCCAGGCTCCGTATTATTAAGATTTACTTCCACAAACTTCCTCACCAGACTTGGCCAACACAATGTCTCTCTTAACTCGTATTGCCAGTCTTCTGGGCCTATCATCTTCAGCCCCAATTGCGCCGCCCGGTGCAGCGCTCGCAGCAACGGTCACAGTGGTAAGTGTAACTACATCTTGGGCGTGTTTGCCATCTGACTCGATTGCAGCCAGCTTCGTTGGGATTTGTACCGGTCGCGATTCATTTTGATCTTTTTGACATCCTTGTGACTCTTGGTACTTCGGCAACTGCCGAGGAAGTGACGACGACCTGCAATGCACGCATCAAAGCTCGAGACAACAATGAGCCAGAGCTGAGTACGTGTTTGACGCCTGTTGGCTGGTCTGCTTATTATGCTTTTCATATTCTGTTATTGATATTACTTGGACTTTTATACTGACAAGGGTTATAGGTACGAGATTAGCCTGTAAGCCAAGCCCGAATCTACAGTACAGCACAGTATAGACCTGATTATGTACTGACACGCCTCTTCTACAGCGGACACGCTCTACATAATGGCCGGGCTGGGTTTTGTCGAGCGCGTAGACGAGGACAGGTTCAATGCAAATGCCATCACAAAGCACATGGTCGCCATGCCCTCTGCCCAGCATGGTGCCTTACACTTGTATGTCCCCCCTGCATATACACCACCATCGGAACAACGCTAATGGTCATAGCACCACCGAGGGCTTAATGGCTGGAGCATTCCTGATGAAAAAGCTCCAGGACACGAACTTTGCTTACCCCTTCGCAGACGCAGATGGCCCCTTGCAATACGCGTATCAGCTGATGGGCCAGCCAGAACTGGCTGCACGGCACACGTACTCGATTATGGAGACCCAAGGCCGCATGGACAGCTTCAACAATTTCATGGTGGGTAAGTTCCTCAAGTTCGGCACATTCCCCGAGCGGGTCAAGTCTATGGGATACGACCTGGACAGTGCATTGGCCGTGGGTAGGAACCCGGGCTCGGCTGCAATGGTGGACATTGGTGGCGGTCGAGGCGAGCTCCTCCTTGAAGTCCAGGCTGTCTATCCACAACTAAGAGCAGATGAGCTTATCGTGCAGGAGTTCAATGCCGAGATTGACAGTGTGCCTGGTGTGCGCCTCATGGAGTGGAACTACAAGGAGTCAAGCGAGCAGCCTATCCGTGGCGCGCGTGTTTACTCCCTGCAGCATATCCTGCATAACTTGCCTGATTTGGATGCTGTGGCGTTGTTGCAGAAGATTTCTAAGGCGATGGCGCCTGGGTCACGGATCCTCATCATTGAGTACGCGAAGAATTTGACCTACACCTCGCTTCATGCGAGTATGATTGCATTGTATGGTGGACGCGAACGGAGTGCAGCAGAATGGAGGCAAATTGCGAGCTTGACTGGATTGAAAGTGACATTTGAAGCCTATGTCAGGGCTGGCGAGTCGCTAGTTGAAATGAGGCGGGATATTTCGTAGTTTCATAGTTTGCGAAAATTAAGCCTTGGCCGTGGCAATAATATTTAATCCGTGTTCATATCACTCGTTACATCACCTAGACTCATCACATTGATCACCTGGAGCTTACTCTTCAAGCGATCAAAAAGCGATCAACACCCCATAGTTCGCGCCAACGCCGATCTGAGGGCCCGAGAGTAAGAATTCCAGATCCACGATCAACAATTTTCATCTACATCTACTTTCTGTAGATCTGAATGAGGGGCAGCAACACATTGTGTTCCTGTTGTTTTCAAATGTGACAGTGTCCAACGTCGCGTTTGTTGTCCCATTTCCACGTCTTCGGGTCACGCTATTGAATCCCAGTCTGACATCCCTTGCTGATAAAACATGGCTATTGCATTCACTCTGGAATGTCGCTGGTGTCACGCCTCCGCTTGGTCCCTGGGGAGGGACCAGGCGATTTGCCAGTCAATGTGGAAATAATGTGATAAAAAGGTTTTCCTAGTGCTCGGATTGGGCTGGACGTGCATGAACTCCTACGGATCACGGAGCAATCTCCCTTTCCACAGGAAATCAGTTTCCAAATCAATAGTCTGAATCTGTGTGTGGCGGGCCCCGATTCACATCCCTTGTTTAGAGACCCTGTCCTGTCTTCGGCTCTCTCCGAACCCAGTACCAGTCTCTAATCTGGTCCGCTTCTGACCTATAGATCTGTTAGCGAGAGACCGTCGGCATGAACTCCATTCCGAGAACCTTCATGACAAACCTTGTGCCAGACTGGTTCTGACATATCTGATCTCTATTTGCATCCATGCGCGCCCGCATCATTCACTCGCTGCTCCATCGTATCCAAGCAATGAGGAGTATTTGAATTGGCTACTCGCGCTGCAAGATCTCGTCAACATCTTTTGACACTCACTTGACACTTGACACGTCTGGCCCTTGCGTTTCACCTTCATTATGGACATTCCAAGGCCTGCTGAAGGGGATGTTGATATTGGTATGTTTCATGTTGGCGCGTGGCGTCATGGCTGTGGATGTCGACTGATGTTTGATAGGAACTGGGACGTTCGCGGCCTGCTGGGTATGTTGTCATATGCTTGGCTCTACGGGATGTGTGCTAACTTGCTTAGGTCCTGACGGCCGTGGTCGGCGTGGCATTGTTGTTCCGTTATGCTATCAAAATATGGGTTCGCTGGGCTTTGCCTCAGGTTACTGCGCCCGGGAGAGTTTGGGGTATTGAAGATTTATTCTTCCTCGTCGCGTATGGCTTTGATGTAACTCATATGGCCTTTATCCAGAAAAGGTGAGTTTCTTGTCTCGTCATCACGCTGCTAGTACTGACTCACTCTAGCGCCAATTGGGGTCTTGGTCGCCATTTCTTCTACTTGACCAATGTAGAAAGATTCCATGCCATGAAATGGGACTTCCTATCCCAGCCATTGGCCGTCAGCTCAGCCATGATCTCTCGAACGGGGATGATGTGGTTTCTACTGACTTGTTTCGCTGCAAGTGACAAGAAAATCCGTATATCTATCATCGTCTGTGCTATTGTACAACTTGTGGCAAATATGGTCACTATTGTTCAGATTGTTGTTCAGTGCGGTCCAAACCCGTATTATGTGGTTCGTATCCAATATCGCCATGCTTTGACTATACTAATGCTGTCTAGACTAATCGCGTACAATACTTCCACTATATGTGGACTCCTTTACCTGAAGATGGCTCCGTCCAATGTCAATCACCGACTGTCCAAACCACTGTCGGCTTTGTGCAAGGAGGTGCGTTACTAAATCTATCAAACTGTACCCTGATACTGACCAATATAAGGATTCAACACCGTCATTGACTACTTCCTCGCTGTTCTTGCAGCTGTGGAACTATGGCAGTTCTTCCTGCGAACCCTTCACCGCAACCCTAACTTATCCTTCTGGTCCCAGTTTGGCAGGATTAGTGGCACTATCCGATCCCGTCGTATTTGGCAGACCCTTACTCTCAGCGGACCACTACTTCTTTCCGGTTGTGCTTCTATTGTTAAGACCTATGTAGGTGCCATCCCTCTATTGAATTATACAGCCACTAACACATCTTACTAGAAACTGAAATCCCTCGGTGACAGGGCGGACTTCACCTACAACATTGTTACCTTTGTTCTTTGGGTAAAGTAAGTAGACACAGCTCCAAGTTCTTTATGAATCTCACATGCTAACCCCTCCCAGAATCGAAAACTACAGCATCCTCCTCGCATCTTGTGCCCCAGTAGCGCGTCTCTTCCTCCGTGCCTTCGTCGACCACCGACGCGAAGGCCGCTCACACGGCTACTGGTCACGCTCCCGCTCATCAGAAAATAAAGACCATGACACAGAGCTAAAACGTCGTCGGGCCCGCGCCAAAGATCAATGGCTTGACTCGTCGATGACCGGAACGAACATTAACGCGAATGATGAAGAGAATCCTGCTACTCAATGGGAGGGGCATGGATATGAACGGTCCGAGAGCCGGGTTTCCAAGGCTAAGATGCCTGAGCATCTTGATGATGGGTGTGTTACTATTAAAACTGATATTGTTGTTCAGGTGGATGATGGGAGGTCTACTTCATCTGGTGGAGCGAGGTTGTTACCTGACGGTGGTGAGGGGCAATCAGATCGAGGGTATCATTGAGGCTTATATGGGTATGGATTCGGCGTTGTAGTACATAGACCTTGGTATATAATAATGGCAGAATAATTTTGAATGTCGTCATTGTATTCGGACTGTTGTTCGGCGCAAGTTAAGCGCGCATGAAAATCTACAGAAAGCTCTCGAGATCTCGTATTCAAGTATAAGAACTTGAATTCCAACAGCGCAATATATATAAACTGATAGTTGAGCCACAACTTTTGTTCGTTCCCGTGTAACACTGATCAAGAAACGTATCTTGGCCGATTCCTCACATCGGTATATTGGGTCAGTACATAGCATAGGGATTTCTATCCTCGTGAGATACACTATATACAATTTGACTTCCAATACTTCGTGGCGTACATGTACATGTACATATATCCTAAGTCCTAGACCCCAGCACACACAAAGTAGCGAAGCCGACCTAGAAGTACAGCTGACACCGATCAGCCAGGATATATCAGTCGGCTTGCCGATCTCTGACGAATCCTGCAACCTCACCAATAAGCACCGTCTATCAATCTCACTCGGCTATGTCGACGCTGTTAGGTTCTTGTCAGAACAGCCATTCGACTTGTCTCTCAATGGACGATATGTGGACTGGTGGTGTTGGAAGCAGTTGGGATTCTGGTGTTGTTCGGGCTGGGCATTGCCCAAATAGTGACAGCATCGCCAGATGGCTGCAAGTTGATAGGAATTGAATATCGACAGGAATATCAGAGACCTTCAGGAATAATTCTATAAAAATCCCCTGGATGGAAAGCGATGACATAACCATCACGTGTGTCCATAAGAGACGCGCAATCGACAGCTTCACACTCCAACAATGCCACCAAAGGCCTTCCCTTATCGCCGGAGCTCAAATGCCTCGGAAGATGACTTCTTCGACATTCCCGACGAACCAGTATCATCAATAGTCAAGCGACAGCTACGTCGCATCCGAACATGGGTCACACTCGCCATCCTGGTCCTGTTTATCATGTGGCAGCGCCGTGAACGACCGCCGCCGCCACCTTTACCGCATATCCATTACGACGAGGTAGATTGGACACGATTTGCCTATACGCAGTATGCCACCTCGGAGGTCTACATGTGCAATTGCTTGATGGTGTTTGAGGCATTGCATCGGCTCGGGAGTAAAGCGGACCGCGTGCTGTTCTATCCCGAGGAGTGGGATCTCATTGTTGAGGATGATACTGATCGCGTGAGCCAACTATTGCTGGAGGCAAAGCTCGAATACAATGTTGTACTTATCCCTCTCAAGATTGAGGGAATCAAGGATCCATCTGGTGAGTTGGAATCGGGATTGCGCTCGCCCATTGCCTGGAAGCCTCGTACTCACATTCATTAACTAGGTGCTGGATCCGAGTCCTCATGGGATACCAGCAACACCAAACTCATGGCTTTTGGCGAATCCCAATACGACCGAGTTATCCACCTCGACTCCGACGTGCTCCTCCTACAGACAATGGACGAGCTCTTCTTCCTCCCTCCTACCACCGTCGCAATGCCGCGCGCCTACTGGCTTCTCCCAGAAGCCAAGCTCCTATCCTCCCTACTAGTCGTCATCCAGCCTTCCTACCGCGAATACCTTGTTGTAGCCGGAGCCGCCGAGCCAGCTGTGAACGGTCAAGTCCAGATGAACCTAACCGATCACCGATATGACATGGAGCTTTTGAATGGCTTGTACGGGGACTCGGCGATGGTTCTCCCGCATCGGCAGTATGGTCTGCTCTCGGGTGAGTTCCGCACAAAGGATCATAGTCGATTCTTGGGCAATGATCACGAGAAGTGGGACCCAGATCGTGCGTTGGCTGAGGCCAAGTTCATTCACTTTTCAGATTGGCCTATCCCCAAACCTTGGGTCATGTGGCCGCAGGAAATGTTGGCAAAGGAACAGCCTAAATGTGATGAGAATCCTGGGACGCTGCAGGAGAGTGGATGTCGGGATCGTGAGATCTGGAAGATGATCTATGATAAGTACCGGAGGAATCGAAAGGTATGTTCACATATTACCAAAGAATTCCATTCTTCCCAACTAACGCATCACAGGAAATTTGTAAATTGCTCAGCTATCCAGCGCCAGTTTGAGCAACCCTCATTGTACAATATGAAGTGGCGTTTGGCTATGTTGTACAGTACAGAATATGAATATGAATGACTTGATGATGATGATGCTAATGAAGTAGATCGAATTGTAGGGATATCATAGAAAAGTAATATACACCAAACCCATGCAATGTAAATGCGTCAAGAGTCACGCATATCCCATGCCTCTCCTCCACCAATGCCACACTCCCCTCTGGGCCATAATACTCCCAAACTCCTTGACACTCTCAACCTCATCAAGACCAAGTGCAATCCCAGTTTCCACTTTGTCTTTGTCCTTGCCCAACTTATTGTCCTCCCTTCCACTTTTTGTGCTCTCCGATTCCTTCTCGATTTCCAAGGCGCCAGGCCTCGTAGCCAATTGAAAGTCCTTATATCGTAATCTCCTCACAACATCCACCCACATCTCCACGCGATCCTTCCCCACGCCCTCGACGTATATGATGCCCGGACACCCGCCAGACCGGAGGAGCACGGCGCATTGGTGGGTGTCCGCGGCGCGTTTGAGGGCGGCGACCTTCTTGCGGGAGGTGATGTGGTGGGTGCGAATGAGGGCGTTGTAGAGCATTTGGGGCGGTATGCGCATGATGGAGGTTGTGAGTTCGGAGGAGCTGGAGCTGGAGCTCGGAAGAGGCTAAACCACTTTGGGAAGACCAACTAATTCACGGATGTCGCTGTCTTATTTTTGATGCTGGTCTAGATGGTCTACGCGAATGGAAATCCCCAAAATCATATGATGCTCGTATCGATTCTATTTCATGGTATTTTGTCTTGGACAAGCGATGATATGCACTAAACCCTGCAGGTGTATGGCACATTAGGCACAGTAATCAGCTCTCAACTGCCTATATATCTGCCCAAGTCTATTCTAGGCAGTTCCTAGTGTCCACAAATCTTATTTCAAGCTATATAAAGCACAACCTCAGCAACTATATCTCCCTGTAACAAACGTATAGAGTATAGAAACATACGCTAGACCACGTTAGGCGATGACGGTGTGCGCAGAAGTACGCTGAGCGGGCGTTGAATGTAGTCCGCGAATTGCGCAGGAGGCGCTCTTGACAACTTACGGTCTCTGCCTGGACACAGACTCGAGGTCAAGCTTGGATCAGGAACGAACCCTGTAGAGTCCCCGTGCAAGCCCTATTCTGCAAGGCCTCATCAGTGGAGCTGCAGGATCGCGCATTGGCAGTGCGGGGGATGACCTGGAGAACAGGCTCGAGACTCGGGACTACTGCACGTCGAGTCGAGACTACAGGGTAACTTAACAGTTGACAATATGTGGCGAATCGGCGGACTATGTATATACCGCTCTCGAGCCCCAGGCTGGAAATATCTTTGTACTCCGTCAATATCCCAGTGGCCGTCTATGGAGTTGATATGAGCTTCTCTCCAATGATATGAAAGTGAATAATCACCTAGTAGATCATGCAAGATCTAGACCACAAGCAATTTAGTGTACGATGTACCAAGGTGAAACAAAAGTACACGAGTTAGCCGCAAAAAAAGCAAGCTTGGTTCCGATCCGAGTTTTCTCCAATGAACAACCAACAATGAAATATTGTGGATTACAGTGGACTGTCGCCGACGGACTGGTGGATCAGCCTCTCCTCTTGGCTTCCCTTTTTTGCAAAACTATCGCGCGGTGGCCGCGGAATCCGCCAGAAAGTGAAGCCCATTGCCATATATCTGCCAAACTCGGGGAAAAGAATGAAGACTCTCGTGGACACTTCCCAGATCAAAAGCTGATTGGTGCTATTACGTCCGACGTGCATCAGATCTGCTCGCTGGGTCCATCGATGCCCTTTTGCTTTTTTGAACGCCGTTCGGATTGGCCCATGCTTTATTTTAGTTCCGTGAAGGCGTCGCAGCTTGGCTGCCCTTTTCGTCGAGCTGATTGACTCAGGTTTTGTTCTTATAAATATGATTCTTTTGATTTCGCTATTCTTCTTGCAATAACTACATATAATGCTGTGCCTGGGGACTTTGACTTGCTCTTTATAACATCGACTAAAGGGTCGACATGCCCGCTCCTCTTCACCCTCACCCGCAACCGAAGCATACGGCTTCCTTTGCTTCTAACTCTACTAACAATGGCCCTCCGAGAGTGCAGGTCTCGCATGAAGACGAAGACGCCATTGCCGATATTCATCGCACCTTGACGGAGAAGACTGTTCCAGATCAAAAATACCCAGAACCACATTCATCATTCGACAAGTTCCTCGAGGAACAAGTTCAGGGAAAGAAACGCTCCAACCTCGGCGTCTGCTTCCAGTCGCTCTCCACATGGGGCGAAGGAGATAGCCATGCAGATGTCAAGACCCTCGGCACAGCTCTCTGGCGTACCTTGACTATGCAGGATATCTATGAGTGGACCATTCAGCCGTGGATCACGAAGAAGAACCCTGAAGATGGGCGGCAATTGATTCGCGACTTTTCTGGTGTAGTTGAAAGTGGCGAAATTATGCTGTAAGTCTATCTAGTCTTCATAATTAGCAAATCTAACGAATGTACAGGGTCCTCGGACGTCCCGGTGCAGGCTGTTCAACATTCCTACGCACTATCGCTGGTCACCACTCCTCCTTCCTAGGTGTGACCGGTTCAATCGACTACTCGGGTCTCAGCCCGGAAGAAGTTCGAAAGCACTATCGCGGGGCCGTGGCATACGTCCCAGAAGATGACGTCCATTTCCCGACACTGAATGTGCGCCAGACCCTTGAATTCGCTTTGCAGAGTAAGACACCTAAGCGGTACCGAGACCGGATCCCCCGATATCTCGAGATCTATGGCCGTGTCTTTGGAATGACGCATACCATGAACACCTTGGTTGGAAATGAGTATATCCGCGGAGTGTCTGGTGGAGAGCGCAAGCGTATCTCTATTATTGAATCGCTAGCTAGTGATTCCTCTGTGGCATGCTGGGACAACTCGACCCGAGGATTGGATGCGTCTTCTGCTCTTGATTATGCTCGCAGTTTGCGCATTATGACCGACACCTGTGGCAAGGCGACTTTGCTCACTCTATACCAAGCGTCCGATGCTATCTATGAACTTGTCGACAAGGTGCTTCTCATCGATGAAGGGCGCATGCTTTACCAAGGTCCTGCCAACCAGGCAAAACGCTACTTTGAAGATCTCGGCTATGAATGCGCCGATATGCAGACTACCTCCGATTTCCTGACTAGCATCACTCTACCGGAGCGTCGACGCTTCCGTCCTGGATGGGAAGATCGTGCTCCTAAAGGCCCGATCGAGCTCGAGGCTACTTTCCGCCAGAGTGCTGCATTCACCAGAGTCGAAACTGCAGTTGGAGGTTATGAAGATCAGAAGTGTGGGAGGGCTACTGGCACTTCAGACTCGGAGTGTGGCAGTATTGAAGAATTTAAAAAAAATGTGCAGAGCGATAAGTCGCGCTTTGTTTCTTCCAAGTCGCCGTATACCATTTCCTTGATCCGCCAAGTTGTGCTTTGTGCGAAGCGGCAGATGTGGCAGTTGAAGGGACATCTCAGTCCGCTATATATCAAGTTGATTTCTTGTGTTGTCTATGGTTTGCTGATTGGCTCCATGTTTTACAACTTGCCTCAGACAACGGAGGGTATGTACGCCCGTGGAGGTGTGCTTTTCTATTCATCCATCTTGCTCGCCTGGTTGCAGATGTCGGAACTGGAGGAAGCCATGCAAGGTCGGGATATTCTCAGCCGACAGAAGAAACTCGCCTTCGTGCGCCCCAGTGCTGTCTGTTTGGCCCGAGTTCTTTCTGATATGGTTATTTCTGCTCTTCTTACATTCTTATACCTCATTGTCATGTACTTTTTGGCTGGTCTTCAATCTAACGTGAGTATCACAAAACCCACTAAAGAACATCTACTAACAGCTACAGGCTGGTGCATTCTTCATCGATTTCCTCCTCATATATATGTGCACGATCTGTCTGACAGCACAATTCCGCGTCTTCGCCGCCCTGTCTCAAAACTTCGAAGTAGCCCTCCGCTACTGTGGAGTCAGTGTTTTGTTCTGCATCGTCTTCGGTGGCTACGTTTTATCAGTCGACAAAATGATTCAAGACGTGCCCTGGGTTGGATGGATCGCGTATACGACTCCCGCTTTATACACCTACGAGGCTGTCATGGCTGCTGAATTCCACAATGTCAACTTCACCTGTGCCACTGGATCTATTATTCCGGCAGGATCTGAATATACCGATCTTGCATATCAGACCTGCGCATATGCTGGTAGTCAGGTTGGCAGTACTGTGGTCAATGGCGATGAATACCTGGCTGTCAAGTATGGATTCTACTACAGCAATGTGTGGCGCAACTTTGGTATTCTCTGTCTTTTCACTATTGTTTTCATTGGTCTCACTTGCTGGTTGAGTGAAGTCTTTGAATGGGAACTTGACAGTGCCGGACCGATTCAATACAAGGGATCGCAAAAGTTGTTCAAACGGAAGAGGAATATCAAGTCTGACGAAGAGAAAACTCCTGTTTCAGTTGACCCCAGGGCACCACCTGCTGGTTACGACAGCAAGCCTGATCAGACAATCACAGCTACGGAATCTACCTTCACCTGGTCTGATCTTGAACTCAATGTTCAGATTGGCAAAGAAACCCGAAAGTTGCTGGATGGGGTTAATGGTTACTGCAAGCCAGGAACTTTGACTGCTCTCGTGGGTGCCTCTGGAGCAGGAAAGTCAACATGTCAGAGCCCCTCCAATTAACATGAATTGCATTAACTGACTTATTCCAGTGTTGACTGCGCTCACCCAAAGAGCAAGCCCTGGCGTCTTGTCCGGCTCGTTATTCGTTGATAACCACTCGATCGACCAATCCTTCAATCGACAGATCGGATATTGCCAACAGATGGATATTCATGACGAGAGCAGTACCATCCGCGAAGCATTCGAGTTCTCTGCCCATCTCCGCCAAAGCAATGATGTCTCAGAAGCAGAGAAACTGTCATATGTGCAAACAGTGCTTCATACGCTTGACTTGGTCGAATTGCAAGACGCCATCATCGGATCGCTGGATATCGAAAAGAAGAAGCGTGTGACAATTGGAGTGGAACTCTGCGCCAGACCAAAACTGCTATTATTCCTCGATGAGCCTACAAGTGGACTTGATAGCCAGGGCGCGACCAGTATCGTTGCTCTTCTTCGACGTCTGGCAAACCAAGGACTGGCAGTCCTCTGTACCATTCACCAGGCTAACCAGCAGCAATTCGAAGAGGTATGCATGAAGTCATTCTCCACCATAGGTCAACACTAACAGATCCAGTTCGACCGTGTCCTTGCCCTGAGTCCTGGCGGCAGCACATACTACTTTGGACCAGTAGGCAAATCTGGCTATGCAATCTTCGACTACTTTCAAAAGCACGGTAACACCCCAGAGAAGGTCACCAACGCAGCCGATTTCCTCATTGAGGTAGTCGTCAATGGCATGAAATCGTCCGGAAACCAGGTAAGCTGGGCGTCTGTCTGGCGCGACTCTGAAGAATGCAAAGAAGTCAAGAATGAGATTGCCTCTATTCGCGCCACCAACACTCGTGCACCATCCACAGCACCATGCCCCCCGCCCCTCAGCCGCCAGATCAAACTTCTTACCCAACGAACCTGTCAGCAGTTTTGGAGAACAGCTGAATATCCCTACTCCCGACTCTATGCTTCTTTCCTGCACGCTCTTATCAACGGTCTTACCTACCTCCAGATTGGGAACAGTGCTACCGATCTGCAGTCGAAGGCTTTCTCTTGTTTCTTGGTTCTTATGCTGGTTCCGGAGTTCATCAATGCCATCTCTATGCGATTCATTCTCAACCGGGACATCTGGCTAGCGAGAGAAGGCCCCAGTGGCGTATACAGCTGGGTTGCTTTCTCGACTGCCCAGATCGTCGCTGAAATCCCCTACGCTATCATTGGTGGAGTGGTATTCTTCGTTTTGTATTATTTCATGGTTGGACTGCCACTTGGGTTTGCTGCAGGCTATAGCTTCCTCATGTTCTTCTTGTTCTTCCTGTTCGCCACGTCGTGGGGTCAGTGGATTGCTGCTATGAGGTGAGTTAACCAACATCCCATGTTGAGCCTGATCACTGACAACAGTTAGTGCTGATTCCCTAGTTGCCGCCACACTTATGCCATTTTTCATCATCCTGGGCGAACTCTTCAACGGCATTCTCAGACCACACGAGCAGATGCCCGCATTTTGGAAGTACACCATGTACTACATCACGCCATTCACTTACTGGGTTGGAGGTGTGCTCACGTCTGTCCTGCGTGGTACAGAGGTAGTCTGCACCCAGAGCGAGTTAACTATCTTTGAGAGCCCACCAAATATGACATGCGGTGAATACGCGGGCTCCTGGCTTGATACTAACGGTGTTGTTGGCTACTTGTCCAATCCCGATGACTTTGGACGATGTGGATACTGTGAATATAGTGTCGGTGATGATGTGAGTTTTTCCAGAGAACAAACGGTTGGATTTTATACTAATCTTGCTTCAGTATCTTTCTGGCATTGGCCTTGACTCTTCCAAGATCTGGCCGTACTTTGGTATTTTCCTTGGCTTCACTGTGGCAAATTACTTGATGGTGTATGCGCTGGTCTACGTGCGCTCGGTGATGAAGCCTTTCTGGCGATCAAAGTAAATATTGGGTGATTTGCATATATATAGGATAAAGTAGTAAAGTCTGACGGGTGAGTCTGCTTAGTGCGGGTCATGCTCTTGCTCAGTGAGCATAATCATTAGTTTCTCTTTTCCTGAATACCCTAAACAGAGTATGCTTACCTTAAAAGTTTCCCGTAGGTGCATTTAGACCTTGACATTTCCCGTGGGCCGTCCACCATGGACCGTAATTTAGGCTTATATGACCGCTTTTGGTGGGACTAAGATCTCTGTAGGAGTCCTATGGTGGGATTAGGATCTATGGAAATTCCTATAGGACTGTAAACAATGCAAAACATTTGCTTACTGAGTCCCAGTACCCGGTATTTCAGTTTCAGTACGCACCCAGTATTGGATTTTTCAATGGCTTATTATCTGGATCCCGTGACCCTCGTAGACCTGATAAATAATGTCTCTCCCCCCTCCCCCTTCCCTTTTTGTTCCGTCCCTTTCACTTCAATCGAACAAACTTCATCAATGCAGTAAAGTTTATGTTCCCATATTCACCAATCTGACACAGAAGGAAATTCTGATCCTCCGCATGCACCAAATCGCATAGGATCTTCATATGGCAAATTCATCTGGGACTAGATCATACGCCGACGACCCGGGAGTTGTTGTCTGGAACGAGCTCCAGGTCCCTACGGGCGAGGAGCTAGATACGACTAGATGGGCTGGATATTTTCACCCGCTAGTTCAGGCTCTGGGCTATAGAGATTCTTGTTGGGCAAGAGTTCAGGGACGCCTAGATATTATTATCCTAGCAACATGTGAGTCTATTATAAATACTAATTATTACCCTAATAATCTAATCTCTAAAAGTATGGGAAACTACCTCGGGTTTGAGGAATTTTACAGCCTCGCCCTCCGCCCAGCTATACCGGGAGAATCTTGAGAGTAGATCAATAACGCTTTTATCCTCCTATGAAACACCCTACCGCGGCCTAGCAAACTGGTTCCCCTCTTTACAGCGATCATACGTTCAACTATTCTGGGTTTACTTTTCGACGCCAGTGACCGAAGCCCCAAAAAGCTCGAGTTGCGAAGCTAAGAGGTATTCGGCCACCCGCTCTAGGACCTGGGATCCCAATTAATATGCACCTTCAACGGCATATCCCCGAGAAGCTATGGACCACCAAAACAGAGGATTTGCACAACAAAGAAACTCAATTAATGCTATGGCCGCATTTCTGGTGGGGTGCGGAGAAGGCCCAATGGAGATACGGCCCGACAGAAATAATGGAGGGCAGTCTTGTAGTCGGTACTAGAAGCAGAGAGGAGGATTTCAGTGTCAAGCTAGAGGCAGTAGGCCCGCTAAACTGGAAGGAGAACATTTGTGTTTTTAAGCCGTTCCATCGTGTTTAGATACAAATGATTAGATTCGAGAGAGATATCGAATTCAACGACCATCTAACTATTCGTTTTCGATCCTCTGGAGGATCCCATTCTCTGCATTTCCTATTGTCTCTCGTTAAATAGAGACTAACTCGGCTACCCCGGACTGGAAGCTCCATCGGTTATTTGCCTTTTTGCTCCATTGGGTCTGCTGGAAATGCCAATACCCAACACTAAAGAACACATAACTTTCTGGGTTGCGCCGAACGAGCTGCTCCCAGGTCTCATCGTAGGGTCGGGGATAGGCGTATCTGATTAGCCAGCCACTATACTCCGAGTTCAATCAGCCCAATGGGCACCTCCAGGACTGCATGTTCACGGCTTTCTAGTTCAACAAATCACCGCAACTTCATCTCTTCGGTGATGCATTATCTTTTTTTAGGTAAAGGTTTGGTGATACATGTCTCTGTTGGTCATAGATCCTCTTGGATGTACATAACATTAATCGTGTCTGCATGATTCTACAAGAACATAAAAGTGGCCGTAGCCATCGCCGCGACCAAAGCCACCAGGCTTTTTGCACTGGCCGACTCCTTCAATAATCCACTCGCTGCTCCAGTGTGATTTGCGGAACCATTGACTGATGTTGGGGTAGCTCCCAAGCCATCTGGTAGTCCCTGGTAGCTAAATGTCAGATTTTGGGGGATGGACTTGTTGTAACAGTCTCCATTCGCGAGATCCAAGTTGGTCAGGTCATCCGCGTGCAAGAAGAACATGTAATTTGACTGGTTGAGGTCCTTGAACCCAGAAGTGTCATATGGGAATTTATCGCCCGAATCGGTCCCGGAGGTGTTGCGGAGTAATATGCACTGGACCTGTCCAGGGAATTCGGTTGCCATTTTAGGGTAGTCGCGCATGACATCACTGTTGCTGGTGTCTGCCACCAGGATAAACTTGCGTTCAGGGAAGGTTTCAAAGACCTTTTGTAATAAGAACTTGCGGATCGAGAGGGTGGCGGAGACGTCGCTGAAATTAAGAGGGCGTGTGTCGAAGGAGCCGCCGGGGTAGTGGGTGTAAATGAACTCCATGTAGTTCCTCGTGATTTGCTCAGGCGTGGTAGTCTGAGGCGACTGTTAGTCTTGAGAACAACAGCGGGTAAGCAAAAGGGACTTACAAGATAGTGGAAATGCAGGTCTGGTAGGCTGGTAGACCAGTTTCGGTAAATGTCAGGCATGTTCTCCCAAGCTGTGAATGGACGAGCGAAAGAATTGATCAATCCTTGCTCCGGCTCGTAGATCTTGGTGACACGCAGGATATCGTCAATGTCGGAGACAATGGTAATTCCAGTAGGAGGTACAAGATATGCAGTACTATTTCCAATGGTGGCGTTCTTGACATGAACGTCAAGTCTCTGGATTGCCGAGGTCTCATTTCCTGCGGTGAGGCCCTTACTAGCGATTGGCACAAAGGTATCGAAGTCTCCTTCGACGGTTGTGTTGTAGGGCAACGTAACATCCTGGGTGCCACCAGTCGTGTTAGATGACCCACCGCCGCCTGGCTGTCCGCTTGATCCCTGGCCAGCTGCAGGCTGCAGGTGGATCGTGTTCACAGCAACTTCTGGCTGCTGAACAACAAAGATCTCAGCTGTCAGGTTACGCGCCTGATCCGCCTGAGACTTTGGAAGGTCTGAGATACTCGTGTTGACCAGGAAGACATCGGCAAGCTTGTTCAAGGTTGAGACAGACGTGTTTGGCTGTTTGTAGACATTTCCATGGAACCGAACGTTCCAGCCCGAATTGGTCCAATTGGCGTAAGGGTCAATGTTCAACACATTGGTCGGTAGTGCGGCCAAATCGTCGTCGTCCAACCCGAGGGAGCTCGCAACTGCGTCTCCAGTGGGGAAACCCTGGAAGAAATTGGGTACTCCTGACGCGACCCATGAGGGCAGGCCCGACCCAAGCCCCGAAAGCACATTATCGACATCGGATTCTACGTCGCTCAAGATGTTTCGGGCAACGACCGGCGAAGGATTCTGCTGGACCGGGGAAGCTGTAATGACGGGATCGGCGGGGGCAGCATTGGCGAAAACAGTTGGAGCGGGAGAAGCAGAGGCAAGCGAGAGAAGAGAAGCCTGTACAAAGGCACGCGAGATGGTAGACCTCATTTTCTCCAGTATTTACAACTCTGAAGCGAAAGAACAGAAAAGAGAACTTCCCCCAATTTAACAAAATTCACGGTAAACAGAACCGACGTCATCGGGAGGGTTTTCCAAGTTTGTCGCAAATTAAGGGTCTTTGAATCTCTTACACCTGCGTCATTCATGAATATATCTAATTTCTATACTTTATGCATGATTTCAGTCAATCCCCTTGGACCATATAAAATGTGAAAAGAGAAAAAAGAAAAGGTACAATATCATTGACATGGAAATACTCTGTTGGGCTAGTAATCAACATCAAAGCCAGGCCCCAGCCCCATGTGCTAACTCTCCCTCACATTTCTGAACCAGCGAGTCTCATTCATCAGGGTCTCCTTCAGCGTCGCCTTCCCTCACAGTTTCCTCTTTTTCTGGTGTCTATGTCTGAAGGCCTTTGCACCTTGGTGAGAATGACCCTGAGCGCCCTCATAAAGCGCCGGCACCCTAATCGGGCAATTCGCGGCCATGGCCTCAAATCCGGTATATACGGCCACATATATTTTTGACATTAGCATATCGACATTAGCATGGCGACAGTAGCATAGCGTTGCGAACACCAATGTATATCAAAGTCGGATCTTGAAAAGTTTGATGGAAGACTGATGACCAACAATATCTAGTTTCGGATTGAGGGATGAGACCCCTGTTTCTCTAAGCCTTTTAGTAGGCCATAACCCTTGTTCTGCTCTATTCGGACTCATTTGATGCCTGGCAAATCCACAAAACTTGGCTTTTCTTATCAATCAGCGCGGGGTTAAGCGGGTTTGCCGCATCAGGTAACTCCGAAGTCCGAAACTACTCCTTCCAGCATCGCATCGCATCGCCTTTACATATACGCCAGTGTCCTCGAAGCTTGTGACTCTATCAACTCCTGTCGACTATTTTCAGATCTTGCATTGTGCACTCTGATGCTTGGAATGGCCACGTTGCTCAAAAGTCTTCTCTTTGGCCCAACGTCTCACGCGCATCACTAGCGTCGTCGCAAGGCTACCACGAAAAACAAGTCACATTTCACCATTGCTACCATGGAGGCCGATGCAAATTTCTATCAAGATCCTCCCTCTCCAGAGAATGCAGAGGCACCAGCACCGCAGCGACGGCGTCGCCCACCCCTGTCTTGTACAGTGTGTCGCCGTCGTAAACTCAAATGCGATCGCTCACTTCCATGCGGGCAATGTCTACGCTCGAAAACACCGCACGAATGTGTTTTTGTCGGACCTCAGCCAGGTCCTGCAGAGCCACAGAAAATGTCACCACCTGTAGCAAAGCGAGCTAATAACGAGCCAGATCGCAAAAGTGGCATGTTTGTCTTTGACTCGAAGTTGGGGGCCAGTTTGTCGAGGGGTACTAAGCGTGCGCGGCCTGATGAGCTGCATGAGCTCCGAAATCGGCTGCGCACATTAGAGAATTCTGTCGGCAGGCCTTCTGTGCTTCAAACGCCTGAGACGTCTGTTGGTGATGTGTTCTCCCCCTCTGAGGAGGGGACAGTTAATAGTTCGGAGAATGTCGGTGTCGAGGATCGAGTGCGGTTTTTACCTGACTCGAGTTTCCGGGGGAAGAAAGCCAAAACGAGGTATTTTGGCCGCAGTCATTATACAACAACTGTTTCATTTGTAAGTTCCCCACCCTGGAAAGGTGAGACCCGTGCTAACTGAATGTAGTTCCAAGATATTGGTGCCTTCTTGCGCCGTGGTCACGGATGTCGACAAGTCAAAGATCAGGAGTATACTGATATGAAAAAGTTCAAAACTGAGCTTTGGTCGCGCGAGACGCAAGATCACCAGCGCTCGTTCCGTGAACAGCCGTTTAACTTGCAAGAAATGGTGCCACCGCGACAGGTCGCAGATCATTTACTACAGCTCTATCTGGATACCTTTGAGACGACATACCGTATTTTGCATACTCCGACCTTGTTGAGGCAGTATGCCGATTACTGGGTAGGCACTGAAACCCCCGACGCGGCTTTTATTGCCCAACTACTAGCTGTGATGGCGGCCGGTAGCTGCTTCTATGTGCCAACACCAGGCCAAGACGAGCGAGACGCATTTCAGAAACCCGCCATGAACTGGATCATGGCTGTGCAGTCTTATATCTCATGCACATTTGTCAGTCCGGAGATAGATCTGCGAATGCTGCAAACGCAATGTCTCCTTCTTGTGGCCCGTCTTGGAGTCGCAAGTGACGGCGACGTAGCTTGGGCGTCTATGGGGTCTTTGATTCGTTCTTCAATGATAATGGGTCTCCATCGCGATCCGACTCGGTTCCGCAAATGTACACCGTTTTATGCTGAACTGCGACGCCGGCTGTGGGTTACCATTGTCGAGCTGGATCTCAAAATCTCCCTTGACCGTGGGGTTCCACCATCGGTTGATCTAGATGAGTGCGACTGCGATCTACCGTCTAACTGGAATGACGCAGATCTAGTACTGGATATGGAGCAAAATCCAGCGCCTCTCAGTACAGCGCTCTATACGCAGAACTTCTACCAGACTCTCTTAATGAAGACTCTACCATTGCGTTATCGTATCGCCAGGAAAATAAACACCCTTCGATTCAACCTGTCTTACGATGATGCCTTAAGAATGGGCGACGTACTCTCTCGCAGCATGCAGAGCGCATCATCCTTATTCGAAGACAACGCATCGAGCACATTACCCGAAGAATCAAGTCGCCACCAATTTGCCCAGTCTCTACATTTATTCATAATGCGCAAATTTCTTCTCGCCCTCCATCGCCCCTTTTCTCTCAGTGTGGTTCGACTTCCCAAATGCTCATACTCACGCAAAGTCTGCTTGGAGGAGTCTCTCGGCATAATATCGCAGATGGAACTCCCTCTTTCACCTGAGGATATCCAGTATCCCCATATCACACAGCTTGGCAGTGGCATGTTCCGTGATGAGACTTTCCATGCTGCAATAACGGTCTGCGTGGAGTTATCACTCCAAGCAAATGAAATGAAAAAATCCACCTCCTCAGGAATGGACGGTGTGAACTCTAGTGTTTTGATGAGTATGATTCAATCACAGCAGGGCGTTATGATGCAGGCAATCGAGCGCACAGCCGATAACTTCGGGAGACGCATTGGTGTTGGTGGCAAGGGGTGCAAGCCATTCTTCTTTTTGAACATCGTCATGGCGTCTGTCAAATCTCGTGTCAGGGGTGAAGATCCTTTATGCAACGTTGAGTCTGCCGCGAAGAGAGCGGTCCGAATTTCTCGATTGGTGTTGGATGGGGCTTCATATCGTGATGCTCAGATTACTGTGGACACTCGACCGGTTCAGGTTAGTATCTCCAGCTATGACTATTTCCCAGTCATTTCTAATCTGTTCATTCAGACGCCCATTCCTTCGGGTGCCACTCCTATGACTGGGACACCGAGTGATATTGATCCTTCGTCCTTGTTGTCCACTGACTTCAGTGATTTCACAGTAAGTCTCTCAGCCAACGGTTCTTCAACAAACATACTGACCATAGCAGCCAATGGATCTAGGAGGCTGGTTTGACAGCTTGGATTACACTGGCCCAGAGATGTGGGATGCAGATCTTTTTAAAAATCTTCCAGCATTTCCCTAAAGAACAGAATGCTGTATTGTTATACCGGCTCAGAGTACGGCGGGGTTGATTTGAACTATCCCATTGTATATATAAAACTCCTCTATAATTAAACCGAATCACACATGATTCTCCAGCCGTTAGGCCTTTGCCATCCCCTTACTCAACTCCCTTGCGACAACCTGCGTGCAAGGTTTATCCTCACACATGGTCTTTGGGATCATGACATGACTCTGAAGTAGCCTACTCACGAGATTTTAGTCAAATCATTAAATCAAAATATATAACGACAGAAAGATGAGACTCACGCTTGATACCTCTGAATATTCTTCATCTGCAACTCCGCAAGGGACCTCAGCGCAGCCCGTATATCCCCCACGAGATTCTCACACCGACTCAGACTGAAGTCTTCCCTGACAACAACACGCAACATACCCAGAGTCTCACAGTCGGCCGCCATAGTATAAGCAGGGACAATCCAGCCCCGTTCACGCAATTTTCGAGAAAGGGCCCACTCGTCAAAGAAGACGTTTTGCGTAGGATTCAATCTGAAGGCTACCACAGGAAGGCCGTGACCACCTCCTTCACTCATGATGATGAAGCCGAGGTCTTTGAGGTGGGTCGTGAGGTGGTCTGCGGTTTTTGTGAGGTTGCTCATGATTGCCGTGTATCCGCTTCGACCGAGTCGAATTAGTTGGTAGTATTGGGCGATGATGTGTGAAGCTGGTTTGGAGAAATTTAGGGTGAAGTTCAACTGGTCTGCTCCGAGGTAGTTGATGTTGAAAATCAAATCTTCTGGAAGGTCGGATTGGGAGCGCCAGAGCGCCCAACCAATGCCTGGGTATACCTGGATGAATCGTTAGTTGCGAGAATGTACCAACTGGGGCTCTCAATTTACCAGTCCGTATTTGTGGCCGGAGACATTGATCGAGACGACATTTGACAGTTGGAAATCCCATTGCAACTCAGGATCGATGAATGGAGCCACGAATCCACCGCTAGCTGCGTCTACATGGATAGGTGTTTCCAGTCCCCGTTCAACGAGAAGGTCATTGATTGCCCGAATATCTTCATACTGTCCGGTGTATGTGGTGCCTAGAATGGCACAGATGCCAATAGTGTTTTCGTCGACCAGGTCAACTGCCTGAGTGGGATCGATCACGTAGCGTGTCTCGGTACATGGCACCAGTTTCTCGTCAATATCGAAGTATTTGCTGGCCTTTTTCCAGCATAGTTGCACCCCTGTACTCATGATGATGTTTGGCTTGGAGGAATCCTTTCCCTGGGATTTGCGGTTGTTCTCCCATTTCTTTTTCATTGCTAGGACTGCTAGCATGATAGCTTCGGAGGATCCAATGCATGCTGTGCCTACGGCTGTTGGGATTCCGTTTGACATTGGAGAGTGGAACAGATCGGCTAGAATGTTTAGACATCGGTGCTCAATTTCAACGGATTTGGGGTATTCTTCGTGGTCAATGATGTTCTTGTTGGCGGAATCTGCGAGGAGTCTCAAGGCTTCATCCTCCATGTAGGTTGTAACAAAACTGGCAAGACTATGATACATTAGCTAACATTGACAAACTCCGGAACGATGCTCACTTCAACATGGGCTAGCCATCAAGTACAAGATCATCTTTGATGAGCTGGTAAGCTACATCTTTTGGCATCTCTCCGTCTGGGAGTTGTTTGGATGGCATAGGTCTGGCGGCATAGCGAGAACCATACACTTGAGAGCAATCGCTCTTCATTGAAAGGGCAGAGAGCTTTGATATTGAGCCCATTTTGTGAATGAGATTGAAATTGGATTTGATTGAGTAAAGATTTAGTTCACTGTGATATTGCCTTATTATATAGTGTTACTTTCTAGACTTGATCGTCGACTGCTGGAAAATCTCTCATAGTAGACCGAAGCCCGTGGTGGAGCTATGAGGGATTTTGCTGCAAGACATCTCGATCAGGACAATTCTAATAAAGGGGTCATTACGCCATCCTGGGGCTTGTTTTGCTCCATTCCACTCTTCACATATACTCTGGAAGGATATAGGCTATTGCTTTTTCACTGAAAGAATCTATAATGAAGCCATCTTCCCTCGGACAGCAGAATTATACCAAGATCTCTTGGCAAGCCTGGCCAAGACCTTCCAGAAAGCATTGGAATTGTTGCAAAATGGCCTGGCCAATGTTTTAACTCCTAGCTAGACAGGCTCCAGCATTAGCAGTGCATCCTTGTATCCCTTGTTCTAATTTTAGAGCATTCTACTCCTGGATTGTTGATACCGCGTTGCTGTAGATGTTTCATGCATGTATGCAAATACCAGGCTTGTCAATAAATGAAATTCATGCAGCCTATGAGGTATGAATGATTTCAATTATGGCTTCTGGTGGGTTGCCCCTGTAGATCCTTGTTGGCGCGTACCTTGGTGCAAGGAACCGTTCAGCCGTGCGGCTAAGCTTCTCGGGACTGTCGATCCCGATTCGCGAAGGCTGACATGGATGGTGATATGCCGTTGTTATTGGTTGGATTGTCTCTACTATTTTAGGGTAGACGTCGTGGCGCCTACGATGACGAGGCTGTTACCCTGCCACCTTAGCGCTGTCAATTCTATAGATTGATGCATAAAGATTGCCACCTGGGATTTATTAAACAGTCGATGGCCAATCATCTAGCCACATTTCTTTTGGATCTTCACGAGACCCATCACAAGTACCGTTGTCCAATCCATTGTTTAGGTGCGTGGAATTAGTAGCTCTTATCTATGACACGTAAACAGTGACTCTGCAGCAAGGGATACATGCAGTTGGCGGGAGTGATACTCCATCATGATAAGAAGACCTTAGTGGCCAAAGAAGGAGAGCATTCCTCGGCGCGAAATTGACATAATGGCGGCATTCGCGCAACTCACAGTGGCATGGCCCATATCAAGTTCCGACCTTGACCTCTTGGATTGCAAACGTCATTTGGCCCAGATCACCACACATTTCTGGTGCGACAAGAACGATCTCCGAAGACATAGCCATATCCCACCTGCATGGAGAGCAGACATCCCACGTTTCTAGCCAGAATCCATCGACTCGGCTCTTAGTTCTTCGCCTTTGCGAGAACAGGATGCTTCATCCGATTTTGGATCTTAGCAGTGTAAACGTCGTCCTTGCATTGTCAGGTGAGACCTTTGCATACTACAGACATGAGGCAGTCTACTGACCTATTTAGGAATCTACATTTTGGTCTTCGGTTTTATTGCCGTGAAGATCAAACAAAGATGGTACCTCGGTGAAGCGTGTACGTGTCGCATTTCCTTGTTGAACAGTAGTCACTAACTACATGCAGTACCCTCTTTTATAGTGGGTGCTATGATAGGGCCGTTTTGTGCCAAATTCATCAACGTGAGTCAATGGGGTGGAGACTCTGAAACAGATGTCGGTGAAATTGCCTATGTAAGTATCTCGCAATCACAAGCAAATATACAAGAACTAATAATTTCAGGGCTTAAGTCGACTTGTGATTGGTATCGCGATGGTGAAGGTTGGCTATGAGCTACCGAAACGATATCTCCGACTTCGCCTTGTCGAGCTCACCATCTGCTTGCTACCTTTGATGACCATTCAATGGTTGATCACATCGGCGTGTATCAAGCTCATGATCCCTCAGTTGAGTTTTGTGAGTGACGATGTGGCTTCTTTCAAATGATGTCGTGCTAAATCTCGCCAGTTGACTTCGCTCATCATCGGATCTTGTGTGATATGTATCGACCCAGTCCTCTCGCAGGCCATCGCAAAAGGCCCGTTTGCAGACCAATACGTCCGAAGATACCTTCGAGAATTTATCTCGGCGGAAGCAGGCGGAAATGATGGCTTCGGGTTTCCGTTTCTTCTACTATCGATCGCTCTTCTTCGCTATACCGACACACCACCGGGTGCAATGAATTCGATAAAAACCGACCCCACAACACAAAAGCGTGATTGGATTGGCGAACCTGATACTGGTAGGCTTGGTGGTGATGTCAATCGCGCTTTGGCTCATTGGGCCGTTGAAGGCGTCTTATACATGTTGGTCATGGGCGCTGGATATGGCATACTTGTTGGATTTTTGAGTCGGAAAGCGTTGAACGTGGCCTCAAAAAGGTATTGGCAATCAAGATATGGAGTTGTGATCCAGTGACTGACAAATACGCAGACGTTGGGTTGACAAGGAGAGCTTCGTTCTATACCCCGTTGCTATTGGAGTGAGTGATGACGTCCTTAGCCCACCAAATGCCGCCAACTGACAAGTTTTCAGCTTTTCATTGTTGGAACCTGTGGCTGCTTTGGGTCCGATGAAACCCTCGCCTGCTTCGTTGCCGGTTGCGCTTTGAATTGGGACGGCTCGTACCATTATGAAGTAGAGGAACGGCATGACTCTTTCAACTCCGCGATTGAGAATGTCCTGAATATTGGAACATTTATGTTTCTTGGTGTCATTATGCCCTGGGACCAATTCCATATGCCCAGCCAGAATGGGATCACCATCGCCCGGCTGGTCGGGTTGGGATTCTTGATTTTGATATTCCGTCGAATTCCGGCGATCCTGATGGGATATCGATTCATGCCTAAAGTGTGTAAGGATTGGAAAGAGGCGTTATTCATGGGGTATTTTGGGCCGATTGGTATGTTGATTCACAGGTTGCCGGATTTTAAAATGCTGACAACGCTAGGAATTGGAGCGATATCATATGTGGAGTATGCACGCAGACTATTACCTGACCCAGGAGAAAGCGATGCCGAGATTAATACTCTAACATCGACTATGATTCCCGGTATGATGCCGAACTCTCCGGTTTCTCATCCGAGCTTTTCTCACATTCCATCTGATTTAGTGGTTTACTGGCTCGTTTTCTTCTCCATCGTTATCCACGGACTATCAATACCAGTACTGAACTGTCTCTACAAATGGTTCAGGGTTCCCACTATTAAAGACCACCCAGTAGAGATCATCCTCCTCTCAGAGAACGAACCAGTGCCTAACAATAGTGTGGTCGATCGCCAAGGGCACTCGATTGTGCTCAACAACCGCTTTTCTTGTGCTTCCGGCCACCAACCTCATTCAGATGATGGTAATAATCAAGAGCCAGATACTATCATGCTGCGCCGCAGTGGAGATACAAGTTATACGGGCTCCCTGGGACGAGAATCGACCAAGGCGTCTTCGCGGGAGCTTGAGCGGACTATATCCTCAAGAAATGTTGTCTAGATATTAGCTTTGTACCTATCGAGCAGTTATGAAGAATGACGACGAATTTCAACTGGATGGTATTGATATATGTAGATCTCGGAACCTGGGATCTCCGCTTCCGCTTAGTCGTCGGGATGTGGAATGGTGGATAGCGTTGACTTGTACATTGGAGTACGTAGTACGTATGTTCCGGTGAAGGTATACTTAAACCCCCTCATTTCTGACAAGGCTTGATGACAATCTATTACCAACGAGATGTCTTCCTCAAACTTTGACACAGCTTGGAAACAGCTCCCCCATCCTGCTGACCACCCAGCGTTCAGTTACAATGGATTCCATCCAGCTCGCGTTACAAATCTCCCCAAAGGCCATGTAAAGAAAGCGGGCTTTCAAGCGTTCCCCGTGGATGTGATATGGAAGCAGGATTGTACAATCACTATGCGCGATGGGATTAAGCTCTATGGTGATGTTTTCCGGCCGAGTCAGGGGAATAAAGTGCCCGCTATCCTTCCATACAGTCCATATGGAAAGGTTGCCTCGGGTGTTCAAAATTATGACCGCATGGGACCCTTTCGTATGGGAATTCCATACCAGCGTCTGAGTGGATATGAGACGTTTGAAGGTCCCAACCCTGCCGAATGGGCTGAACGTGGATATGCAGTTGTTGATATCGATGCTCGGGGATGTGCGCATTCGGAGGGCAACATCGTTTTTTGGGGTCAACAGGAGGCAGAGGATATCTATGACTCTATTACTTGGGTATCTCAACAGCCATGGTGCAATGGATCAGTTGTTCTTGCGTGAGTCCTTACCAATATATTTTACCACCAGTACTAATGAACATACAGAGGGCACTCGCATATCCCAAACCAACTTTGCCTCCCGTTTCACTCATCCAGCTCTCAAGGCGATCGCCCCATGGGAAGGTCTTTCAAATCCTTATACCCAGCAAAACTGCCGGGAAGGGATACCCAACCCGGTATTTATGAGTTTGATCATGGGCGGATTCGCCGGCCTGGCTCACATGGAAGATTTTGCAAAGATGTTACAGGAACATCCGATGTATGATGCCTACTGGGAGAGTAAAAACATCGACACCAAGAATATTCGCGATCTTCCGGTGTACTTCACAGCCTCATACTCGACAGGCCTTCATACTGAAGGATCTCTTGGGGGATTCCAGACAGCAACTACTTCGAAGAAATGGATTCGGATTCATGCATCCCAAGAGTGGCACGATTTATACACGGTTGAAGCAAATGACGACCTTCAACGCTTCTTCGATTACTATGCGAAAGGTATCTAGAACGGCTGGGAAAAGGATACTCCTCCTGTGAGACTCACCTTGCTTGGGTTTGAAAATAGCCCAGCAAAGACAATTGTCGAGCGATCTGAGAAGCAGTGGCCTTCTGCCCACCTGCGCATGGAGAGGTATTATCTTGACGCCGCCACAAAGTCACTTAGTTCCTCCCAACCGGAGGCCATCACAGCGACTACACATGAGAGCCACTCGTTCACTGATTCGTCGGACTTCAGGCTGATCTTCCCCGAGTACACGGAGCTCTCTGGGCGACCATTTGTCAAGCTCTTTATGTCAGCCCCCTCACATGATGATCTCGACGTTATTGTGCAGATTCGCAAGCTGTCTGCTTCGGGCGAAGTCCTAGAGTCGCTTAATTGGTCTCCCATGCCACAACCGCAGCCAGAAGTGCCCAATGTAAATGTCGCCAAGCACCTCGGTCCTCAGGGAATGCTTCGCGCCTCTCATCGCGTTAGTATGGCGCCTCGCGTCAGTGACGATGAGTATCCCTCATATGATCACCACTCTCGGCAACCGATTACGCCTGGTGAGATCGTGGAGCTGCTAATTCCCATCTGGCCCATGGGTGTTGTGTATGAAGCAGGCGAGGGATTGATGCTGAAGATTGCAGGCCACGATATGTCATTGCCAGAGGTTGAGATGTTGAGGCCAACTGAGCCTCGCGATGAGAACAAAGGACAGCATATCGTTTACACGGGCGGAGAATATGATAGTTACCTGGCTCTCCCGCGCATTGTATAATGGCAAGAGGATTGTTGATTTTTTGCGAATTCCAATTTATCGAAGTTTTGCTGTTCGTGGTGAGCAATGAAAATTCAGTTGGAAACTTCGTATCGACCCCTGAACCCCTGTAAAGCCCAGCGAGGGGGTGAAATCCCCACCAATTGTCCAATTATCAGTTCGCATGGCAAACTTGGCATAAGCACTTGATCTGCATGATCTCATCGCCTCGGTTTGAGTCCACATGCGCCGATCGCCGTATATAAGAGGGGCAGTTCCCAACATCCCGAGGCTCACCCACAACCACCATGTCGTATGTTACCACCAAGTCGCGTAGCTGAGAAGAGTAAGACTAACTGTCGCAGTGCCCTCTTGACAACCCTGGGCCTCCGCGCTGCGGCTGGCCAACAGCCCGCAAACCACGCCGCTGGTCTCCTTGCAGCCAACTGGTTCCTCGCATTTTGCTTCATGAGCATCCGTGGTGAGAAGGTGTACTACGGTCTTGACCATAATGTCTCCCCACGTGAAGACCTTTACAAGTACGGCGAACGCGCCGTCCAAGCAGGCAAGATGAGCCGTAGCGCCCTTGAGAAGCTCAAGCGCAAGGAGGCTGCGCATGCGAATGCACAGGAGGGGTATCCGCTGTTTGTTGCGGCGAGTAAGTGTTTGCCTGTTGATACAGTGGTCGGGGTTGACAAAAAATGTAGTGTTGCTCTCCTTGTACGCCGGTCTCCCCAATGAGACCATCAATGGAATTGGTCTTTGGTATACCGTTTCGCGTGTCGCGTACAGCTTCGCATACTCGTACATCGAGTCGCCAGCTTTGAGCTATCTTCGTTCTGTGACTTGGTGGTCGGGTAACATCAGCTGCCTCACTGCTCTGGTGTTGGCTGGCCAGAAGCTGTAGTCGAGACGCGTCGAGTACACCATTCATGGTACCAATCCTTTTTGATCAAGGTATTCTCATATCAAGAGCGAACCTGAGTCGAAAGCAATTGGATTGGGGATTTTAGACTATTAAAAACGTGTCGCAGATGGGTGATGTTTGAGTCTGACGCGTCGTTTCTGGCAGCTAGTTAGACTTAGGTACCAAGCAAAATACCAAGCACAGCCAGCCGTCTTGAAATTGGCATCGAACCTCGTATTTGTTTATCCGAAACGGCGTGGAAGGTCCGCCGTCGGTCAATGCTCACTCCGGACACTGGGCGCCCAGCCACTCCAATAACACAACAATACCAAGACGCAATATCTTGCAAAAACCCGAGATCTTACCCCAGATCTATGCATGATCAGACCAGGTCCTGATTGGTGGAAGATCCCATTCCCCAACGTGTAAATCAGCCCAAGACGGTGGAATGTATCCCGGCCACAACAGAGATGTATTGACCGGCAAGTAAACATGATATAGCTCTTTTCAAGCTTGCCCTGACTAAAGTCTCTCCGCATCCCCGCGCCAAGTTGATCTTGGCAAAATGCGGAGAAATCATTTCATCTATACGTAGTAGCACCACATAGTCCACGCTGTATACTGCCGCACGCATTCCGCACTCCTTGCCGATCATGCTTGTCTTGGAATCAAGCGATGGATAGTTTCTTATAGGCGGAGAAACCTCTTCCTCCTCCGCCTATTGCCGTTCCTCGGTTTCGTAGTAGGGCTCAACATGAATCCGGCTATAAAAATTGACAATCCGGAGTGGTCTATAAAGTAAACACAACGCCTGCCTAACTTGGTTGCCATTGACTCACCAATAAGTTCATCAGTCACTTGAACTAGTCATGAAGTTCCTCGCTATTGGTGCGCTGCTTCTCAGTACGGTCAGTGCTATTGCTACAGAGCATGTTATCAAGGGAGCATCAATAATTCCTGCAAACCACAAAGGGGAACTGAAGAAGATTGGTGCTCATGGCCAGAAATACAAGGACCGTCGCACGGTGACAATTCGTTCATCAAAGAGCGACACTGATGATATTTCCGATGATTTCCTTTGGGGTATCAAGGCGGCCAACCACGGAGGCCGACTCATCCTCCAGAAGAACAAGAAGTATATTATTGGCAAGAAGCTTGATCTCAGCTTCTTGGATAACATCGAGGTGCAGCTCGATGGTGAATTGAAGGTATGCATTTTGCCCTGCAGAGATGAGCTACGCTGACAATCACAGTTCACCGATGATATTGAGTACTGGCAAGCCAACAACTTCTACTATGCTTTCCAAAAGTCCATTACCTTCTGGGTTTGGGGTGGCCAAGACATCAAGATCTTTGGCAAGGGTACTCTGAATGGAAATGGTCAGGCTTGGTATAACGCCTTTGCTGGCATGGAGATTCTGGTAAGAATGAATGAAATACAAAATTTGAGGTTTATTGTGCTAACATGCGGGAAAGGACTCATCAAACACCTTTTACCGCCCCATTCTCTTCCTGACCGATAATGCTACTCGAATCAGTGTTGAGGGAATCACTCAATTGAACTCGCCTTGCTGGACTAACTTCTTCGTTCGCACCAACGACGTTGTTTTCGATGATGTTTTCATCAATGCGTACTCGACCAATGCATCGGCTCTTCCCAAGAACACCGACGGATTTGATTCTCTTAACGTGAACGGCTTGACTGTGACCAACACCCGTGTCGACATTGGTGATGACTGCTTCTCGCCTAAGCCCAACACAACCAACATCTTTGTGCAGAACCTGTGGTGCAACAACACCCACGGTGTGAGCATGGGTAGCATTGGACAATACTCTGGAGTTCAGGACATCATTGAGAATGCCTGGATTGAGAATGTCACTCTGCTCAATGGACAGGTATGAGATGCTCCTCCATCAAAGTAATTTGGTCCTAACAAAGTATAGACTGGTGCCCGTCTCAAGGCCTGGGCTGGTCCTGATGTGGGCTATGGTCGCATCAACAACATCACCTACAAGAATATCCACATTGAGAACACTGACAAGCCCATTGTCCTGGATCAGTGTTACTTCAACATCAACACCACTACTTGTGCCGAGTATCCATCCGCTGTCAACATCACCAACATCACTTTCGAGAACATCTATGGTACCTCATCGGGGGCTGAGGATGAAGTAGTTGCTGACTTGACCTGCTCGCCTAATGCTGTATGCTCCAACATTCATCTCGAAGACATCAACCTTGTTGCCCCCGATGGTGGTACTGAGATTATCTGCGATGGAATTCAGGGTGACATTGGTGTGGCATGTGTGTCACATACGAGCTAAATGTTGAGATCAGTAAAATGAGTGACATAGATAGCTTATGATATTGAGCGATTGACAACATAATGGAAAGTACCACTCTGAGAAATTATGCAGAACAGAGCAGAATAGAGGTTAGAGGGAAAAGTCGTTACTTCCAGCTGACGTGGCTGCATATCTCCGAGGACACACCGAAGTGATAGAAAACAATCTCCGGGATCATCGGACATTCAACAATAAACGCCACAACCCCGGTAAATCAATCCTCATGACTCCCAAATTTCAGGCAAAGGTACGAGATTGGCCACAGGCCAGTCATTTATCCTACACTCGCCCGTGCTCGGCCATACGGAGCTTTGACAAACGCCCTCGTCTTAGCCCCTTGAAGGCGACACAAAAGCCAAGTGTTGACTGTGGGGATTCACACAAGCCACTGTTTGAAATAGCCTTGCCCAGCCAGCCAAGACGGAATAAGCATTGCGTGTCGACGAAGTTTGTCAATGAGAGGAAATGGTGAGGATGTCCGTCCCGTCAAACCACATCACAATATCGCCTGGAATGAGGAGGCCGAAGGCAAATGCAAAAGTCGAGCTGTCACCACGGAGTGATCTTTCTCTTTGTTGAGACCGAGTAGCTCTTGATTTAGGACATCCTCTCTCCACACCCCACACTCTCCACGTACTCCCTTACTGGAGCGGATGAGACTATACCCGCAAGCTCAAATCTACTTCGGATCTTGTGAATTCGACCATTGAGGTGTCATCCTGACAGTATCTTGGCTTTTCATCTGCCTGCAAATCCCTGGGTCTGGTCTGGGGGTGGAGATGAGTCCACGTTCTTGCCCCCACCCCCCAGATCCCCCGGAAAGATGGAGTACGGGGAAATTAGCTCTCGGGGATACGTCTGTGATACTAGGGGATGGCTTATATAAAAAGCCAGGGATAGAAAGCGACAGACCTTTCTTTCCTCACGGCCCGTTGTTGACCATCTTATTCCTAAGTATTGGTCGACTTATATTCATGATGGAGAAGACTGATAAGCAACACATGCATGTTGAAGGAGCCGATCCTAGTCCCCAGCGAACTGAAGCTGGGAAGCACTCTGATTTCTATATTGAAGACCGAATTGCTCATCTGTCTGAGGAGCATCGCCAGTATCTTCTCGCACGACATGGTACTTTGGATCTTGATCCTATTCCTGACATGAACGATGCGGATCCATACAATTGGCCACGATGGAGGGTGAGACCACTCTTCTATGAAGTATACCCGCAGAGCTGATACTTTCGTTCTATAGAAAAACATGAACCTTACCCTCGTCGCCTTCCACGCTATGATGGCCACCTTTACAGCCGCTGCCATTCAATCTGCATTCGAAAACATCTCCGAGGACCTCGAAGTCAGCATGCAACGAACTAGTTACTTGGTATCCCTGTTCATTGCCGTACTGGGTGGTGCACCCCTATTCTGGCGTCCGCTGTCCAATCGATTCGGTCGCCGTCCGATCTTTCTGATCTCGTTGGTCTGCAGTCTGGTCGGAAACATTGGTTGCGCGAAGAGTCCTTCATATGCTACAATGGGTCTCTGTCGTGCCATCACTGCTTTCTTTATTAGTCCTGCGGCGGCCATTGGTAGTGCCGTTGTTGCAGAGACATTCTTCAAGAAGGACCGTGCGAGATGTTTGGGTGCGTGGACATTGATGGTTACCATCGGTGTGCCGGCTGCCCCGTTCATTACTGGCTTTGTCGCTTTGCGTGTTGGATACCGGTGGATCTATTATATCCTTGCGATTGTGAGTTCATCAGTATTGCTTTATCATGTTGAAAAGGTACTGATGTGGTTTGCAGGTCAACGCTGTCCAGTTTATCCTATACCTCTTCCTCGGATCCGAGTCTCTCTATGTCCGCAGTGAACATGCCTCGCACAATGTGTCTAGTGTCAAGGAGAGTCTCTTCAAGTTTGGCCGCATCGACCGGACTCCTCTCAGACTTTGGGACTTCTTCCAACCATTGAGCTACTTTGGCAAGCCATGCGTTGTCCTACCAGCAGTTGCTTATGCCATGATCTTCCTTTGGGGCAGTGTCATGCTCACTATCGAGATCCCTCAGCTTTATCCAGAGATGTTCGGGTTCAACACGCAGCAAGTTGGTCTTCAGTTCTTGGGCTTGGTGATCGGCTCTGTCATCGGAGAACAGATTGGCGGCTTCATCTCCGACCGATGGATGTTGATGCGTCAGAAGCGTCTTGGAGAGCCTCCTGCCCCCGAGTATCGTCTTTGGCTGAGTTATATCGGTCATCTCCTTACTATTTGTGGTATTGTGGTATTTGCCATCCAGCTTCGGGATGCTGGGACTACTTGGAGTATTACTCCTATTATTGGCGCAGCCATTGCTGCTGGTGGTAATCAGATTGTGACTACTATTGATATCACGTATGCGGTTGATTGTTACCGCGAGGATGCTGCGAGTGTGGGTGTTTTCATTACCTTTGTTCGTCAAATGTGGGGATTCATTGGTCCTTTCTGGTATGTTCTTATCCCATTTGAACACAACATGTACTAACTGAAATAGGTTCCCTCAGATGTTTGAGACTGTTGGATGGGCTGGCGGTGCAGGCATCATTGTTGCGCTGATTGTGACTGTTAGCATTATCCCTACCATGTTGGTACAATGGCGAGGTGCTACATGGCGATGATTTTGTACTGAATAATAGTCCTCGATTAATGTGAAAAGCCAAATCAGGTTATTTTTCTATATGATATTCCTGGATTAGAATATAGTGATAGCGCGCTAAGGCAACTATCAATTTACGTTCCGTTTATATTCAGATCCGTATTGATAACTTGCTTCAATGCGTACAATTCCACCTCCCCCTTCAATTTATTCACGTTCATATGCCCTTTTTAGTCTGCGTAGCCATCAACATCTCCAGTCTTTTTGACCCAAAAAGACTAAATAAAATGAATATTCATAGTAAAAGAAAGACTATCATAAAATCATATAAAACATGACCAATTCCGCCCGTAAGATGTACAATCTACCACTCATCAACCCTCTGCATTCTCAAATTCATACCTTCAACCGGCTTCGTGGTCACAGCCCCAGCAATATGAATCTCCTGCTTGGGATCCTGCATCTCGAACTTAAACCGACCAACAACACCAGCGACAGCACACCTCAGCTCAGCACGTGCAAAGTCTTTACCAATACAAGCACGCTGGCCATGCAAGAATGTAATCTGAGCAAAGTTTGTAGATGCGCCTCCATTGTTGTTGGGAACTTGGTTTCCATTTTTGTCTGTGTCGATCCATCGCTCGGGGAGGAATTCGTCGCCATTATCACCCCAGAAGAGAGGCGATCGGTTGATGGCATAGGGGCAGAGAATCACTCGTGTTCCCTTGGGCACGTGTTTGCCTGCGACAACGGTATCCCGGACTGATTCGCGGATCGTGGCCGGAACTGTTGGGTATAGACGGAGGACTTCTTGGCACACGCCGTTGAGAAGTGGGAGGGATTCGAGGTCTTGGTGGGTTATTGGGCTTGTACCGGATGGGATTTGAGTGCGGATTTCCTCCCGCAGACGGGTTTGGTACTCTGGGTGTTGGGTCAAGAGGTAGCAGGCCCAAGTTAGGGCACTAGCTGTTGTTTCATGCTGAATGATTGTTAGCTGTTTGCTATTGGAAATGAGATCATTGGCTTGCACTCACGCCGGCAGCTAGGAAAGTTAACATCTGATCAACCAACTCAGTATCCGAGAAGTCTCCCCCAAGCATCATTGTACCCAGAATGTCAGCCTCAAGGTCCTTGGCAGAAGCCTTGGACTCAGCAAGGGTCTGACGCTTCTCGTGGACGATATCGTTGCACAGATTCCGGAGGAAGTTGGTCTCATTCGTGATCACATCGTTCATACGCCACGGCACACGTTGGGCAATCCATTGAGGCAAGGTGAAGTTCATCGCCAGGAAGGCCATCTTCTCCGTGGTCGGCTCGAGAATATTCAGGAAGCTCTCTGCGACGCGGTTGTCCTTATCCTGAAGCGAGCAGAAATCTCTACCCATAGCCGCAGGACCAATGATATCGAGCGTGAGACGGCTATACGGGGGTTAGCCTCTAGTTGACCACAAGAGCCTGTTTGAACAAACGCACCTAGCCCATTCTCCAACTTCCAATTTGCCAATTTTCTCATCGGCATTCGTCCCTTCCATAGGATTATGCATCAACTCTTTCTCCATTTCATCCAAAAATTGACCAGTCTTCTCCCACATCAGCGAGTACATGGAGCGGATATTCTTGATGTTAAACGCGGGAGTGAGCGCTTTACGCTGCTTTTTATGAGCAGCGCCCTCTGAAAGAATCATTCCAAAGCCGATGATACGAGCCAGGAAGTTACGGAACCGCCATGGCTTTTCGAAGTCGTAGGTGTTTGTGCTCATAATGTCCAACAAGGCTTGGTGGTTCGTTGCGATCACATAGCTCTTGCATATCATATCACGCATGTGGATGAGGCCTTCGTTAGGGATGGTCTTCATCCAGTGCAGAGGCATACGGCCTCGAGGTGAGTCGAAGATGATCGAGGCATGGTTCATCAAGCCCTGCAAAGGTTAGTATGTGCGGTATGATGGAATATTTGATTTACTTACCGGTACTCTGGGCAGATGGCGCAGCGGGTTCAGGAAGAAAGGCCAGATGATGATTCCATACAGAGCCTTGATAAAAAGATTCACTCCTAACGCACCCAGACATACTGTACGGAATGTCTCCTCCGCGAAGATAGTGCGCTGTAGGAAATAGGCCTCCACGAGAGTAAAGGCCGCCAAGGCCGTTATAGTATCGCTCATATTTGCAGTTTTCACACACTATGAAACCTCGGAGTGTGAAGACACAACATGCAGGCCGTGGGGGGAGATCATATTTAGGGCGACCCATTCGCGCCCATGTCATGACTCCACAAGATCGACATTTGTTAGTCTTGTTGGGGGAACCACTGCGACCTCGGCTTTGTCGTGTAAATTCATATGAGATGAAAGAACTATGCAGTGAATCTAGCTGCCTGTTAGTTACTATCGATCGAATAGGAGTGTTTAATTGAGTATATACTGAAACGTGATTGAATGGCGGTTCAGGGGTCACATATGATTTCATCCCCATGAACCCATCCACAGACACATGCGTTGCATCATCGTGGATCCTGTAGATCCCGTCGCTTAACGCTAGAGTACCTGTACTTCACACAGTCACGAAACATACGTGAATGCGGGGGAAACATGTGAACTGCAGCGAAACATCCATAATCCCCGACGCCACCAAAAAGGAAAACGGTGGGAAGATCCCCGCCGAAGTGGAGGAAAAAAGGCACTCGCATTGCTTTCCCAATGGGCAAAGATCAACCTGTGAAGCCGAGGCATTTTATTTTATTCAAATATCCTTGACGTCCGTATAGGCTAAAAGGACTACTTGGAAACATCTCTATACTCCCCCGACTTCTTTCCTCCACTCCACACCCCACACTCCGCCATGTCTTCTCTCGATCTGATTCAGCAACATGCCCAAACAGCCCTCGCGGCTCTCCCAGAACCTGCGCAAAATCTTCTAGGCAACAGCGTCGCGCAAAAGACGGCTGCTATTATTCTCGCCCTCGGCCTTACTCGCTCGGTGAACCGATTCTTCTCCAAGTGGACTCTGCAGAACTGGACTACCAACCAGAAATGGGAGTCTTCGCGCGAACTCATCCTCCTCACCGGTGGATGTAGTGGAATCGGAAAGCAAGTCATGGAGGATCTGTCAGCCACCGGTGTGCGCGTTGTCATTCTCGATATTAATGAACCGGACTTCAAATTGCCGCGTAATGTCGCCTTCTACAAGGCGAATATTACTTCTTCGGCGGATATCGCTGCCGTTGCGGCGACGATTCGGAAGAATCACGGCGAGCCAACGGTGTTGGTGAATAACGCTGGTGTCGGTCATGATGGGACTATTCTTGAAGAGCCTGAGTCGAAGATTCGTCAGACCTTTGAGGTCAACACTCTTTCCCATTTCCTTATGGTGAAGGAGTTCTTGCCTGCTATGATCAAGGCCAACCATGGTCACGTTGTGACAATCGCCAGTATGGCTAGTTTTGTCGCTCTCGGTGAGATGGTCGATTACTGCTGCTCCAAGGCTAGTGCGCTTGCTTTCCACGAAGGTTTGCGCCAGGAGTTGCGCTACTGGTACAACGCGCCCAATGTGCGCACTAGGTGAGTTCATTGACTCGATCGATTGTCATAGTGCACCCCCTAATTGTTTCTAGTGTCATTCACCCTATGTGGGTTCGTACCCCGATGATCAAGGTCTTGACGGACAACGAGCGTCACTTCAGCCAGCCCATTATGACCCCCCAGGTTGTCTCTGCCGCCATCTGTAAGCAGATCCTCAACCAGCGCAGTGGACAGGTTATCCTGCCTAGCAGCCAGTCTGTGGCCTCATTGGTGCGCGCAATGCCCACTTGGATGCAGGAAGGTGTGCGCGCACTTGCGTCTGGTGCTTTGAAGAAGATGCGTCTTGCCCAGCAGGCTGAGCAGAATGCGCAGTAGGTATCTCCGGAATGACTCTATGCGATTACCCATTTCCCAAACTATGTTTTGAATGTAAATAGAATGAATGCCTTGTACATAGGTGACTTTGTACTCAATATCCATGTTATACCTTATCCGTATTCTTGAACTGCCTCGGTCTTGTGATAATCTAGCCCGCAGAAACGAATGCTAGATCTAAGCGTCAGAGGCTTGCGAGACTTGCGAGGCACATCGGAATTCTCTCAATTGCGTTCTACCATTTCGAGTTAGAATATATACCATCACCATAAAAGTGCTGCACCAGAACAAACCAAAGCAGTCTATACAGCACCAATGCGCCAAATCTTCATAAAGGATCAAATGATTCATATTCACAATTCGAAAATGTGCAGTAAAATATGTCCACAACTATATACATTTCCCGTTTAGACTAAACCATCATCTCAGTGAGGAACGCCTCAACCTTCTTCCCCTGTTGAGTCTTTTCCGTAGAGCCCAGCTCCAAATTATAAACCGGCGCCACATGGCACTCACGATGTCCAACAAACAACTCAACCTTTCCAAAGCCTTCCTTGAACTTAGCCGCAAAGTCCTGGATAATAGGAAGCATAATTTCATTCCCTCCACCGGTGATCAACACCGATTCGACCGGGAAGGTCGAATACCAATCTACCGGCGCAGTCGATAGATCCGTATAGTAATCGCGCTGTGCTTTGCCGAGGTACGCACTCGACCATGGCTGTGCGACTGCCTGCGTGATTAGATCGCCGCCGTGGTAGATTTCCTGGTCGGGGAACTCTGTATCCATGAGTGTCCATGGCGCGACAAGTACTGCGCCGCCTAGGTTGCTGGATAATTCAACTGGTGTGATTTCTGGGTGCGGGTGTGCTAGGTGGGAGAGGACGCCGCCGACTAAATTTCCGCCTGCCGAGTCTCCGCCGATGAAGACTGATGATGGGGAGCGGTTTGGTTGGCTGATAACGTGGCGGAGACATTCTACTGCCTGGCGCAATTGGGTTGGGTATGTTGCTATCGGGGAGAGTGTGTAGGTCAAGCTGAAGACTGCGACACTCTTTCCCTGAGCTTTTAGGTCCGCGATCAATTGCGCGTAGAATTTGAAGTGGCCCATGCTGGCGGGGAGGCCGAAACCACCACCTGAGAAAATTAGCGATTATTCTCGGATACTGGTTTCTTTTGACATACCGTGATACCAAACCAGGACATTATCGGCATTGCGATCCCCGACCCAGTGGCCTAAAGCGCCATTGCCTAATTCGACTGATTGAGCCGGTGCGCCAGTCTTCTTTGTATAGATTTCATAGATCTTGTGAGATGGCGGCGACACATATTGCAGTTGACTCGGAGTCAGGCGAGCAGTGGCTTTGCGGAATATTGCATACCCCAGATGCAGGAACAGGGTCTTAGCTTGGCGCTCTGTGCGCCAGAGACCTGTGAGGAGCGCATAAAACCCGGCCAACAAGATGGATGCCAGGGCTGGGAGGAAGTCCAGCTTCTCTTGAAGGGTGAGGGTGACTTTGCTGACTTTGGAGAGTGACATGGTTACAGACGAAAGCCCGTTCCTCACCCTCGTACTTGACTGATTATTGAAGCTCGCATGTTTGACCGAGGATGTTCCCGGGGTCGCAAAGCTATCCTTTTTTGGAAAGGATTGGCTTTGTGGGGGCCTCGGCCGCCCTCGGCAGCATATGGACTTGCGAGTATGAGATTTTGTATTGTTGCGAGACTGTTATGAGGTAGTCTATGCATGTTTCTTGTATATTTCGTCATATGGTATGATCTCTACTCCAGGCAGTTCAATACATACAACTATACAATTGTCTCACTAGTGGAATGCCGGAACAAATCATAGATCGTGTGACAGACATAAGTACATGTACGCGGGGAATTATTACTACCGACTTGAGTTATCTCCCCGATGTCAGATCTGCACAGTCCTATAGTTCGCATTCTCTACTCCAAACGTGCAGTTCCCCACCGCCGATCACCGTGAAACCGAGGCATGTGAACAAAATAAATATAATATAGTCCACTTGCCATGTCTTCTCTTCACCATCCACACCATGAACGGCACCAAATCCCACCGCTACGATGTAATCATCGTTGGCGCCGGTATCTCCGGCATCAACGCCGCCTACCGTATCCAAGACCAACTCCCCGGCTTCAGCTATGCCATTCTCGAAGCCCGCGATGACCTGGGTGGTACCTGGGATCTATTCAAGTACCCTGGTATCCGCTCCGATTCAGATCTCTTCACCTTTGGCTTCCAATTCAACCCCTGGAGCCGCGACAACCCCATTGCCGAGGGGTCAGCCATTAAAGAGTATGTGCGCGACACGGCGCACAAATTCGGCATCGACGAAAACATTCTCTTCCGCCATCGACTCTCTGCAGCAGACTGGTCGACTGCTGAGAATACGTGGTCTCTCTCTGTCGACAGCGAAGGCAAAGAGCAAACCTTCACCGCCCGCTACGTCATCTTCGGCACGGGCTACTACAACTACAAGGAGCCTCTGAAGGCCGACATCGCTGGCCTCGACAACTTCCAGGGCCAGATTGTGCATCCGCAGTTCTGGCCCGAGGATCTCCAGTACAAGGATAAGAAGGTCGTCATCATCGGGAGTGGCGCGACGGCCGTTACCCTCCTCCCGAACCTGGCCGAACAGGCCGCCCGCGTTACCATGCTCCAGCGCAGTCCGACCTACATCCTTTCCCTCCCGAACCGAACAAGTAGTCGCTGGCTGTCATATCTGATGCCGGCATCTATGTACTGCCGTCTTCAGCGCGTCATCTGGATCTACACCTCGCGCATCTTCTTCCTCTTCTGTCAGCGATTCCCGAATTTCTCGCGCTGGCTGTTGAAGTTGAATGTGCGAAAGCAGTTGCCGAGTCATATTCCATACGACCCTCACTTCAAGCCGCGGTATAACCCCTGGGATCAGCGATTGTGTGTCTGTCCTGATGGGGATCTGTTCCGCAGCTTGAGGAAGGGTAAGGCGGATGTGAAGACGGATACTATTCGTGAGGTTACTAAGAATGGGATTACCCTTAATTCGGGAGAGACACTGGAAGCCGATATTATTATCACAGCGACTGGATTGAGGTTACAGATTGCTGGTGGTTCGGCGTTGTCGGTGGATGGGAACAAGATCGACATTGGCGACAAGTATCTCTGGAATGGAGTTATGCTGCAGGATCTACCCAATGCCTCGTTTGTCATTGGATATACTAACGCTTCGTGGACGTTGGGTGCGGATGCAACTGCGCAGTTCGTTTGTCGCCTATTGAAGAACCTGGAGTCGCGCAAGTTGATTGCAGCTACACCGCGGTTGAAGGAGAAGGACGCTGGCACTCTGCAGGAGCGTCGTCTTCTCAACCTCAACTCGACTTATGTTTCTATCGCCGAACGGGCTCTCCCCAAGGCTGCGGATCGTGGCCCGTGGCAGCCGCGTGATCACTACTTGAAGGATCTGCGGTTTGCTCAGGGTGGTGATATTGACACTGGATTGGAGTTTGTTCAAGGGCCCAGTCTGCGGCTGCGCCCTAAGATGTCGTGACTTCAAAGACACATTATGATATGATACCGCTTTTGTATATATTTTCGGATAAGGCGCTTGGATGTACATTGTTTGGACTGAATGTCAAAGGTCTACTCTGTCTTATAATTAACTTGATAAGCATTCTTGAGGCTGTCATTATGTTGATGTCAGTTGAGAGCTTGATTCTCATCATTCCAGGATGATGTCACACATCATACACAATCGACATGTCATCGATATTCCCTGTATAAGTCCAATTCCAGGTTTTCTCTGCCAAAGTATATCTATCGATTCTTCCACTGTGCTTCAAATAACGTTCTCCCATACAACAATCTGCCAAAATGCCCCCAAAAGACAAATATACAGACCCCAAGCTGCGGGACAAAGTCAAGACAGAAATCCACAACAGCGACAAGGGCGGAGCACCAGGACAATGGTCTGCACGAAAGGTAGTCCTCTCCCTCTTCTCTCCCATCACCGACGTTCAATCCAATGCTAATCTGGTACAGGCCCAAATGATGGCCTCAGAATACAAAAAGCGCGGCGGAGGCTACAACACTAGCAAAGAAGACGGCAAAGATGAATCACAGAAACATCTGGACAAATGGACCAAAGAGGAATGGCAGACGAAAGAGGGTTCTGGGATTGCGCGGCAAGAGGATGATTCGCGGAAGAGATATTTGCCTAAGAAGGCTTGGGAGGAGATGAATGAGGATGAGAAGGAGGAGACGGAGGATAAGAAGGTTGAGGAGTCCAAGGGGGGAAAGCAATTTGTTGGGAATACTGAAATTGCGAAGGAGGCAAGGAGGAGGGTCAGTTTTGATATTAATGGGGAGGGCAAGGAAGGGAAGGATGAGAATGGAAAAAAGGAAACCAATGGTAAGGGTGAAGCAAATGGCCAGACTGAAGAGGATGGCAAGTCGAACAATACCAAGTCAGACAAATCCCAGGGAAAGGATACTGGGAGGAAAGCTGGCGCTAAGCGCAAGGCAAAGTCACAGCCAGCTGAAAATGAAAAAGACAATGACAGGATTAAAAGTCTGAGGAAGCGAAAGTAATTAACAATAATTATATTTTCATGGCTACTGTTCAGCATGTCCGTTCATACCATAGCACGTCTCATATACATAAAAGTACTTATTTGACTTCCTCGTCTCTCTCTTGACGTCCTTCGTAGTTGCTGTTGGGCAACATGTTCAGGGAATCTTCCTCTCGGTCGGTCTTGTAGTTGCTCAGCCAGAAGCCGGCAGCACCGACAAATGCCAAGATCGCAACGATGGCGTAGTTCCACACCAAAAGAGGATCCACAGACAGTCCAACGAGGGCTTGACCGATTGCAGAGGAGAAGGCGTTCATCACCAGAGCCACGGCCTGCACCAGAGATCGCATGTTGCGGGGCGCCTTGGTGAAGGCGTACTCCAGGGAGGTGATCGAGGCAAAGATTTCGGAGATACCACCGAGAATGTAAGTCAGGGCCTGAATCCAGACGGAGATGTTGGTGAATTTGCCCTCTTCCTCCAAACAGTAGTTGGCTTCCTTGCCGCAAGGGCCCATCTTGTAGACGTAGTACTGAGTGACGGTGGCCACAATCATGGACAGACCGGCGGTAATGAAACCGGCAGTGATACGCTTCACAGGAGTGAAGTTGAATCCCATGCGGCGCAAGCCAGGGTACACAAACCTATCAAAGATTGGGATGAAAATGATCAGTGCGAAAGGATTCAGATTGTTGATAATGTCGTTGGGTACACCTCCCAGGCGCATGGTGGCAGCTTGAGAAGTCAAATTGTTGAGCATCTGGTTGTATGCCAGCCCTGCAAAGGTCAGTCAAAGAAGTCTATGGGGTGGGCATATCACATACAATAAAGAGGGTACCAGAGGAACACTTTGCAAGCCAGCAATCCACGGCGAACTTCGTCAACCCACTCGTCGTCAAAATCCATCCAGGCTGGCTTGTTGGCACCGAGGGTGCTGGGCTTCACTTTCGTCCAGAAGTTATCGGGACCACTCTTCTTGAAACTGCATTTGGTCAGCGATGTTCGCAACTCATGGTAATTAAACCTACAGTCGCATGGGGTTGAGAGACCAGTGGCCCGTCATGGCCAACTTCCACAGCTTGAAAGCCTTGGTGTAAACACTTCCAGTGGGCTCCACGAGGTAGTACTTCTTGCGACAGAGGAACAAGATTGTAGGACAGAGACAGAACATGGCCGTGGGCAAAAGGTAAGATAACCAGAAACCGACATAACGTTCAGCGTAAACCATCGAAATCTGACCAACGAGCGAACCAATATTGATCATCATGTAGAAGTAGAGGTAGATACGGGCGACTGTGGCAGCCGGATCGATGATGATACGCTCGCCGCTGGGCAGCGTCTGGATGTAAGGCTTCTCTTCACGGTACTGTTCCGCAATGAGAGGGGAGATGTTGGACTTGAAACCACCAGTACCAACACCCATGATGATCAGACCGATGGAGAAGCATGCAATGGAGCCATTGGGGCTAGCGATGATCTGAGGAATGGCGGAGATGATGAGAATAGTGTGGCCGACCAAAGCACAACCAATGGACGTAAAGATGGTGCGGAATCGACCCCAATATTGATCAGCAACCATAGCACCAAACAAAGGCATGATATAAGACCAGAAGGAATTGACTGTCCAGGTTAGTCCTGTATCCTACGCTGACATCCGAGGCACTTCACTTACATAATGTTAACCCAGTGGAGGCTTGTTGACCCATGCCGAGGGCACCGGGTACACCATTGCTGAAATCGGAGCCTGGGACTAGAGCGCCAGTGGTAGATCCGTCAGGCAGAGGGCGTTGAATGAAATTGACGACTGTTCTAGGTTAGTCTCGTGATCACTTGCTACAATGATGAAACGAACAAACAGCAGTAGTTCCGTAGTAAGAGAATCGCTCGCACAGTTCCACAAAGGCGATGGTGTATGCAGGCCATGGAACCTTGCCAGCGACTCGGCGCAGGTCGCGGAGATCCTCATCACTGGGATACTCCCTGCCGGTCTTATCTTCCTCAGTGTAAAAGGTTCCCTGCTGAACAGGAGCCTGCTCAATGCTTAACTCATCCTTTTCATTGATACCGACCTGAGAGACGGCTTTGGACTTGGCAACTTCGGCCACGTCGACGGGATCGGAGGCGTTCATGGTGTCAGGGGTGGACCGTGAGAAGAGAAGGAAGAAGAGGAGGAGGAGGAGTAGAAGGGAGGTTTTAAAGAAAAGAGGCAGGTGCAGGGAAGACCCTGGACTATCCCAAACGGGAAGGAGCGAGGCTCTCTCTATCAGCCACGCCGCCACTTCTTTTTCTCTCACTCACTTCTCTCCCTCTTTTCGCCTTCTAGAACTCCGGAGCAATTTCTGCATCAGGATATGCCACTAAAAAACCGTCGATAGCCGGCCAAGACTTTGATCTGTGCGACATCTGTGAACCTGTCAGCGTGATAATCGGCTGGAACCGACTGGTTCCTCGATAACCAACGTTGATATCGCCAAATTATGGAATTAACAAATCACCAAATCAACACTCGACAAGATGCTAATCTTTGCCAAGGCTTGCGATATCCAATCACTTGGCCTCACCGAAGCGGCTTGAGAGTTCAAATTTCGCCCCTTGGCGCATCTTGGCACACCATCTCCCCGCGCCATCCAGCTTGGCTGGTAGGGTACGCTGTAACATTAAACTCTTGGCCACTTGGATCCGCCTATGGGAGCAAGGGAGATGCTGATAACCGAGGCGGAGAGATAAGTGAGTGGTCCGTCCACATGGTCTCGAAGTTAATAGCAAATATGCAGGGACCCCCACAATGATTAGGCTCAAGCTAGTCTTGCCACTCTCCCTGTCTCTTCCTCATGTGATGTGAACTCACGTCCGGGGTTGTCTTGGGCCGTCGGCGTCCGGAGAGCTACCTCGTATAACTTGATTGAGCTGACTATGGGATGATGCTTTGACTATGCTTCACCTATGAAACTCGCGATTTTGCCTCTTTGTTGCGCTTGGCACTTCCTTCCAGTCCATATAGTACATCTTCCGACATCCCGGGAATAACCATGTCAAATGTCTCCTTTACGACTGTGTACTGATAGTACCCGCATCGAGCAATGGGCTGGGTCTTCTTGATATCCAGAATTCCATCCGTGAGCACCTCGTCTTTGATGTGAACAGCGATCACCCGGCCGATCACCACGTCGACCGTGCCCATGGGGGGGTTACCAGGAAGGCGGACGGTGGAGTGATATTCGCACTCAAATTTGACGGGTGACTCTTGGACCATCGGGACGTCCATCAAAGTGGCCTGCTCCTTGGTCACCTTGGCACGCTCAAACTCGTCCACACCGTATGGCACTTGCTCAGCAGAGATGTTGACCGCTTCACGCAGGTCCCAAGTGGCCAAGTTCCAGACGAATTGGCCTGTTTGCTCAGCATTGATCACAGTATCTTTGCGAGTGCCTTCGACGGTTTGATTGGACGAGAACATCACATAGGGTGGGTCGAAGGTGAGGTTGTTGAACTGCGAGTAAGGGGCCAAATTGGCTTGGCCCTGTTTATTCTGGGTGGAGATCCATCCGATAGGACGGGGGACCACGCACGCCTGCATGGTCAGCTATTTTATGCAGAGCATGGAGAAGAACTAACCTTGAAAGGGTCGTGGGGAAGGTTGTGCTCTGTGACTCCTGGTTGATAAAACATTTTGCCCGCCCAAAGTTGGTTGGCGCCAACCCCTCCTTATGTACGCGTGGGGTCTTAGCCGACACAATTGCCGAGTGGACAACCTCACACAGGCAATATTTCTTACATACATGTATATAGTGTCAAAAGATGGCATATGGACAACGGCACGATATCCGCAGCCGCCCTACCGAAAATCCGTCCTGGGATACTCGGGTCTCGGTGCCTTGGGACCTCGGATCTCGCATCTCGCAGTCTCGGGACCATCACGGCATGCCACCATCAAGTCAATATGCCTTGGATGAGCCGTCCGATTTTGCACAACGTTGATCCGAACGATAAGCCGAACTAGCCGGCCGATGATATATAAGTGACTTGCAGATTCCTGCCATCAGTGAAGACAATACAGTATATCTGATCCAATCTCTATAATATTGAACATTCCAAATGACTTCCGCCGAGCCTCATCTCTGCTTCCGATCTTTTGTCGAAGCCCTCAAGGTTGACAATGATCTGGTTGAAATTGACACCCCGGTAGACGCCAACCTCGAGGCAGCTGCCATTACCAGACTTGTCTGCGAGACCGACGACAAGGCCCCTCTCTTCAACAACGTGATCGGCTCACAGCATGGTCTCTTCCGTATCCTCGGTGCTCCGGCGTCATTGAGGAAGTCCTCCAAGGACCGCTATGGTCGACTGGCCCGTCACCTCGCTCTACCACCTACCGCTTCGATGCGCGATATCCTCGACAAGATGCTTTCGGCCAGCAAGTTGGCTCCTATCTCGCCTCAAATCCTACCAACCGGACCCTGCAAGGAGAATTTCTTGGAGGGAGACGATATTGATCTCACCAAGATCCCGGCTCCCCTGATCCACCAGGCCGATGGTGGCAAGTACATCCAGACTTACGGAATGCACGTTGTTCAGTCCCCCGATGGATCATGGACCAACTGGTCTATTGCTCGAGCCATGGTCTCCGATAAGCGACATTTGACAGGCCTGGTCATCGAGCCACAACATATCTGGCAGATCCACAGCATGTGGAAGAAGGAGCAGCGTGATGTGCCCTGGGCTTTGGCCTTCGGTGTGCCTCCCGCTGCTATTATGGCTTCCAGCATGCCTATTCCTGACGGTATCAGTGAGGCTGAGTACGTGGGAGCAATGACTGGGTCGGCCCTCGAGCTTGTCAAGTGTGACACCAATGGTCTCTATGTCCCTGCTACCTCGGAAATTGTCTTTGAGGGAACTTTGTCTATCACTGACAAGGGTCCTGAGGGTCCTTTCGGCGAGATGCACGGCTATGTCTTCCCTGGTGACACTCATATCTGGCCCAAGTACACTGTCAACCGCATCACCTACCGTAACAACCCCATCATGCCCATGTCAGCCTGTGGTCGCTTGACCGATGAGACAGTAAGTCCCCTTGGCATACATTAGAAGTCCTCGCTAAATGTAGTCTAGCACACCATGATCGGATCCCTCGCCGCCGCTCAAATTCGTCAGGTCTGCCAGGACAACGGTCTTCCCGTGACCGACGCTTTCGCCCCCTTCGAGTCGCAAGTAACATGGGTTGCTTTGCGCATTGACATTGCCCGTCTACGCGAGATGAAGACCACTTCCGCCGAATTCTCCAGGACGGTTGGTGATCTGATCTTCAACTGTAAGCCCGGCTACACCATCCACCGTCTGGTTCTTTGCGGAGATGATATCGATGTGTACAATGGCAAGGACGTGATGTGGGCATTCTCCACTCGCTGTCGCCCTGGCCTGGATGAGACCTTCTTTGAGGATGTGCGTGGATTCCCGTTGGTTCCTTATATGAGCCATGGAAATGGCTCTCCTACTATAGGAGGCAAGGTCGTCTCTGATGCTCTCATGCCTGCCGAGTATACCACCGGTCGTGACTGGGTGGCCGCTGACTTTGAGAACTCTTATCCCGAGGAGCTTAAGAAGAAGGTCTTGGATAACTGGACTAAGATGGGATTCCGAGAGGAGTAAAAAAGACGAATGAATCTGTACAATAGATTAACATAGAACGTATAAAACTAAAGCATCATTAAAAAGACCCTCATTATTAGCATTTGAACCCCAATTTTCACTCTTTTGGCCTAATTGGGCCTCATATCGCAACTATGTTACGCAAGCATTATTTGTTGAAAAAAATATTAGTGCAAGATCTTCGATTTAGTATGTAGCCCCCTGGTTAGATCAAGTCACTCTAGTTATCCTCCACCGAATATCTCATTCTATCGCACGAGTCACAGGATAAGGATGGGGGTTCTTATGATACTGCTCCTGAATTGAGATATATCTTTGCATGTTGCAATTCATGACTTGCAGCATCTTTAATGACAAAATCTCAACTCCTCTTCGAGATATGCCATTAATGTAGAGCATTCAAACATAGTCCCTTCAATATATATCTCTTCCTATATGCTTACTACATTCCCTGTGCGGTATGGTCCGTGCGTAACGACCATCTAGCTTCAGACACGGCTAACTCGGTGAAGCTTGCCCTTGAAACATTCACCAAGAATCTTGTTTGATTTTTATTCATCCATTATCAAGCCTCTTACTCCTGAAATAATATAAGTTCATCTCGGAATCGGATCTCGGCCCTCGGTATGAGCGTCAACCACGACGAAGTCGACCGAGTACTCCGTCTGAAGCGCCAAGAACGGGAACCCAAAGCCTGTTATCCCTGCCGAAAGAGAAAAGTCAAGTGCGATGGCATTCAGCCTTGTCGGACATGTTTAAAGCGGAATCATCCTCAGATTTGTACGTTTGATGCGTCGCGAGCGCCAAGGCGCCGAGAGGGCTCGCAGGCTGCCAATGCCCAATCGGCTGCTTCGGTCTCTCCTAGAAGGATTCAGTCTGAAGTGCCGAATCCTGGAACACCGACCTCACAATCGACAGCTCTACGGCCTGATTATGCAGCCAAAGATTATAGCTATTCGGGAGATAATTCCCTTGTCTCGATCCTGCGTTCGCGGGCATCAGGTTCGAATGATACGATGGCTCGGGAGGTCGGATCGGTTCTAGGATTGCAGAATACCTTCAGTATTTATCCATTTATGGACCAGAAGACGCCACATGATAGATGGAAGTCATTGCTCAGTGTTTTGCCGCAGAGAAATGAAGTCTTGAAGTTCTTCCATTACTATCGTATCACGGCTTACCCCTTCAACCCTATTTTGGCTGATATGGATCGCTTTGAGTCTGATCTGTGCACGTATCTCAATGCTCATGCCTCCGGGGAGCTACGGGATCAGGGCAGGATCACTGAAAGATGGGCTACGGATAAGTCTATTGGCCATATTAGTCTTTTGTTGGCTACGTTGGCTGCAGGGGCTCATTACTCGGATATTGACTATCCGGAGCGGTTGGAACTTGCAACAAATTTTGGTAAGTTCAATGCATACTCAACCTAAGGAAGTTTACTGATGCTGTATAGCCCGCCGCTCTTTCCATGCTCTCCGTCTGGCAAACTTCCTTTTCCGGCCCTCTCTCGACATCATCCAAGCACTTGTGATCCTTGGCAACACGATACAAAATATGGGACAATCTGACGCTGCCTGGGCACTCCTAGGGACGACCATTCGACTTGCCCAGACAATGGGGTTACACACTGAGCGAAGTACCATCCACCTGCCTGAGTATGTGCAAGCCAAGGTCAGAAAGCTGTGGTCAACCATTGTATGGCAAGATAGCTTATTGTGCTTGTGTTATGATCGCCCTCCAATCGTAACACTGACTGGTTGGCCTCTTGAGAACAGTCTTTTACAAAAACAAGACCTGTCATATCGGGAGGTGATGCACTTCCTCACTCGACTGGGATTAGATATAATACGACCCGAATTCTTCGGTGCAAGTGAAGCTGATCGGTCATTCGAGGCCTTAGAACAGATTGATAACCTATATCAACGTGGGAAGTCACACTTGCAAGTACGGGAAAACTGCGTCACCTTCCAAGAACATCTCGAACACCTCGCATTGAAAATGCATTCTTCGTTCTGCTTGTCCGTCGTTTGTCGGCCTGCCATGAAACAGTCTCAGTGCCAGCCTCTCCTCATGCAGACGGATATTCTTCGCGCCCGTGCGAAGGGGAGCTTGATTGATGCATCACGAGCGTTTTTGGACTTTCAGGCTTTGAGCGTTGTCCCTATGAGAAGCTGGTCAATGGTGCATACAGTCTTGAGTTCCACACTTCTTCTCTGTATATGGGAGGAAACTCGAAATGATCCAGAATGTCGAGACCTGCAACAAAGGGTGATTGATATATTTTCTTCGGTGGACTCACAAGCGTCAGAGGAAGGGGGGTCGGGGTCAGAGAATGAAGGGCAGTGGCTGTCTGCGCGGCACATTCGGGCACTTGTTACTCTACGAGGTGCTTTAGATCGACAACAGGATGTGAGCGTTCCGGAAAACGAGGCATGGACAGGCGCTGGCCTCAATCCTGCCCAATTCCCTGCAAGGTATGTATCTTTCCCTCGAATAATCATCAGAATTAACATTTGCAGTTTGCTCAATGGCTTCTTTGACGTGGGAAACCCGCTGGATACATCGCCTGTCTCTTATTTGGACTCAATTATGAATGGTATGTGGTACACAAAAGTATATGATCATATACGAGAATGTGCTGACGGTATGTGCAAGTGCCAATGTTCGACTTTACACAGGAAAATACCTTCCTATGAATGGCGTCACACCGCATATGATGCCCTTTTCTTTGGTCAGGAACCAGAATTGAGATCAGATCCTAGAAACCGCAGTCCGCTCTGTTTGGCGCTCCTTTCATATGCATTTGGCTCCCTTGCCCACTTCCTCAACTGCTGCATAAGCTCTGAGTGGCGGTGATAGATTTCATTGCGACAAGCAAGAGTAGGTGAGCCATCGATAATACCCATGTCCAGATCATCAACCTTCACCCCAATCCGGCGGAAGAGCCCCAGAAGCTCCTCAGGAACTTGCCTTCGAATGCTCGTAGACCGCACCATCAAGTCAAACGGAGAGTAAGAGGACTGACGGTTGCCAAAGATGTGATCAAGCCGCTTCAGCCGGGTGAACCCTTCCAGACGTTCAGGCAATTGAAGCAAGTTTCGCCAGCCAACATCCCAGTAGCCAACGAAAACAATGGATTCAATGTTTTTCAGAGCCATCGAAGTGTTCATGTAGCTGAAGTTTCTGATACCATTGTTTTTGAGACGCTCGCAGAAGCCAGGGCTCATGGAAAAAGTCTTGGATCTGAAAAAGGCCTGCTTGCCGAATGAGCGGAACCGTCTAGCAAGACCAGTAGCAATCTGCCAGTCATGAAGATGATCGACTTGCCCGGGGTCTACCATTCTCCATTGCCATGGTAGTCTAATGGCAGAGTCGGGGTTGATATAATGTTCTTCAAAGAAATCATCTTCTATTGCTTGTGAGAAGTTTGCTCGCATCAGGGGGTTTAAACATACCCCGGGCGCCCTCTTGATAGCCTTTTATGCAGATTTGAATACAGAAAGGAGTTTTGTCTGCAAACATAAACTCCAAGATCCGTATAATGAGCTCATCTGGGAGGTGAGGCATTGCGAAGATGGTTGAATTGACGATGTCGTTGTCGATATGTTGTCCACTACGTCACCGCCTTGTATCAGCATCAATCTATGCTACAATCCTTTCACCAATGGATATTATTTCCTTCCAATGTAAGTCTCAGTACACGTAAGTAAATTATCGGGTTGCCGATTACCGAATAAACCAATTTTATGATCCACTACGGTCCACTTTCTACCGTTATTTCTTGGTTCTCCGTCGCATCGTGTCTCTCTCGGTGCTTCGGAGGCTCGGCATCGGAGGCTCGGAATGGACTAAGTATACAGAAAACGGTCTGATCCGATTGAAGGACTCGGAGGTCGGCATGCCTATTAGAAAAATATTCATAGCTTGCCACTTTCTGTTATAAAGTGTTTCAACTGTCCTGGAATATAGCCATCATCACTACTCATTATCAGTACTTGCATACCATACTCAAAATATCAACCTTGATCAACACTACGAATCCACAATCCGCAATGCTTTCGATGCTCTCTGGCACTCATACTCCCCAGTCAGTGGGGACTTCCCCTGCTGGTAGCCAAACTGGAGCTTCGACTCCAGCAGAGACCCATCTCGAACAAATCCAACATGCACCTACGCACCCACCAACAAAGCCACGCAAGCGTATCGTCGTGGCCATGACCGGAGCCACAGGCGCAATCCTCGGCATCAAAGTCCTCATAGCTCTCCGCCGTCTCAACATCGAAACGCATCTCGTCATGAGCAAATGGGCCGAGGCAACAATCAAATACGAAACCGATTATCACCCATCCAATGTCAGAGCACTGGCCGACCACATTCACAACATCAATGATATGGCAGCCCCCATATCGAGCGGGTCATTCAAGACTGACGGCATGATCGTCGTGCCATGCAGTATGAAGACACTTGCCGCGATCCACAGCGGCTTCTGCGACGATCTTATCTCTCGAACTGCCGATGTTATGCTCAAGGAACGACGCAAGCTAGTGCTGGTCGCTCGGGAGACACCTTTGAGCGATATCCATCTGCGAAACATGTTGGAAATCACTCGCAGCGGGGCTATCATCTTCCCCCCTGTGCCGGCATATTATATCCGAGCAGCCTCGGTCGATGACCTGGTTGATCAGAGTGTCGGCCGAATGTTGGATCTGTTTGAACTGGATACGGGGGATTTCGCCAGATGGGAAGGCTGGGAGAAATGATTCACGTGAAAGTGAAAGGACAGGGATAATGTATTTACCTTTAAATTGCATGGCGTTGGTGAGATTTCCACATAGAGCAAGAGCCCGGGATTATAGCTGTTTTAACACTGAAATAAATTCAAATAGTCATGTTCTGAGTTTTGTGTGAGTTTCGAGTAGCAGGCCACGTTGGTGAAGGTTTTGATATGGATGAAGCCCCTTGCAGTCTCAACTCCACGAATCATGTCGTGTAGTGTCGGCTATAAGAACGCGCGGGGAAGAAGCACTCGGAAATTGACTTTCCTCCTCTCTTGGATTTCTTTCTTTCCGAGAACTTCGGGGGATGTCAACAGCCACGACGTCATTACTGACCTTATACTCTGATTGGAACAGATAACCCAACTAGAACAAGAAGAGAAGGAGAATGAATGAGAGCGGAAGAGCTTGCCGTGCCAACCGAAGTGTCTCCGAGATCAGTTCGATCGGATCACGCTGACAATCCATAATCAGCTTCATCTCTTCCCCAGAAAGGTAGGGATATTCCTCAACCGCCCAGATTAGCCGAACTTCTGCGAACTAATTGTCATCGTGCAGAATCATGCATAAAAGTGCAAACAGACAAGGATGTGCTAGACGCCCTTGCATCGTCATTTGACTGTCAACACCGCATTCCGACCGCATTCTTGAAATCCATGATCTGCACTCGCACTACCATTTGCAACCCTTCTCGGTGGATTGGCATCAAGATGCTGCGCGTGCATCCAACCAGATCAGCTCGCGTGTTAAGTATCCTGCAGGTTTCTGTCGGATGGCCTGGGTTCGGTAGTTTGCATGCATTACCACCCCATGATCACTGCTCCGGTCGGCCTTCCTGTTTCCTTGCCATGAACTGGACCAGCAGCAAGCATAAATAGTCTGACCCGCTGAAGGGAGCACATTCAAGAGCAAAACCTGTCCATCCAGATCGTTGGTGAACTCATCTGTGGGGAAGCTTGACATTCTATATCTATCCCTTGTCGCCCGACATTCCCAAGCAAGGAGGTAATTTCGATCAATCAAAACAGTAATCATCTGGCCTCATGCCGGCCATGATGCCTTTACTATGCAAGTTGATCTTGTTGTTCGTGTTGCCTATTGTTTTGGCTGCACCTGCACACAAGAGAGCGGCTGGTCCGACTGTGACTATCTCCAAGCCCGAGGCTACGATCATTGGCGCTGCCGGCTTGAATCATGTCGAAAACTTCAATGGTATCCCGTATGCCATGGCCCCGACTGGGGCTCTTCGACTGAGACCACCTCTGCCCATTGCAACACCATTGAAGACCATTCAAGCGACATCGGTAGCACGATCATGTCCGCAATTCTTTTTCAGCACCGATGAAAGGAACCTCCCGGAATCCATCATCACAAAACTAAGCAATATTCCAATTTTCCAGGAGATCAGCAATGCAGGCGAAGATTGTTTGACTGTGGATGTGCGCCGTCCTGCTGGAACGAAACCCGATGCTAAATTGCCGGTTTTGGTGTGGATTTTTGGTGGAGGATTTGAACAGGGTTCCACGGCAAACTACGATGGAGGAAACTTTGTGGCTAGCTCAGTGGACCTGAATATGCCGGTCATTTTCGTCGCCATGAACTATCGCCTCGGAGGATTTGGATTCTTACCGGGCAAAGAAGTCCTGGAAGATGGATCCGCCAATCTTGGTCTATTGGATCAGCGTCTCGCTCTGGAGTGGGTCGCTGATAACATTGAAGCTTTTGGTGGTGATCCTTCTAAGGTTACTATCTGGGGAGAATCTGCTGGATCAATCTCGGTCTTTGCTCAAATGTCCATGTACGACGGTAACAACACCTATAATGGATCTCCGCTCTTCCATGGTGCTATCATGGACTCCGGGAGCATTTTGCCTGCCAACCCAGTTGATTGCGCAAAAGGTCAGCATGTATATGACCACGTCGTGAAGGCGGCAGACTGTGGAGGCACGCAAGACTCCCTTGAATGCCTGCGTGGTCTGGACTACGAAGACTTCCTCAACGCCGCAACTTCAGTACCAGGCATTCTGGGCTATAGTTCTGTCGCCGAATCGTATCTCATCAGACCAGATGGCAAAGCTCTGACCGAATCTGCGGAGATTCTAGCCGCGCAGGGCAAATATGCATCTGTGCCATTCATCATCGGCGACCAAGAAGACGAAGGGACTATCTTTGCTCTGTACCAATCCAACTTCACCACAACCAAAGATATAGTGGACTACTTGGATGACCTGTTCTTTATCGACGCGAGCCGACAACAACTTACAGACTTTGTCGCGACATATCAGTCTATCGACGAAGACGGCTCGCCATTCCGCACGGGCACTTTTTACAACTGGTATCCCCAGTTCAAGCGCCTTGCTGCAATTCTCGGTGATCTGTCTTTCACTTTGACCCGCCGGATCCTCCTGAATTCTGCCATCAAGGCAAAGCCAGACGTCCCATTCTGGTCATACCTCTCCTCCTACAACCATGACCTACCTTTCTTGGGAACCTTCCACGGATCCGATATTTTCCAGGTGTTCCAAGGCATCCTACCAAATTACGCATCCAAATCCCTCCACACTTATTACCTGTCATTTGTTTATGAACAGGACCCTAATGCCAAAGCAGGGAACTATATGGAATGGCCAGAATGGTCCGGCAACCAGTCGTTGATGAACTTCTTCATCGACCATGCTTCTTTGCTGCCCGACAACTTCCGCCAGGACACTTATGACTACCTTGTCTCGAACCTGGCGGCATTCCATATCTAGGCCCTTGGGATTTGGATGATTTACGATTTATGTTTGTTTATACGTGTCTACGAGTTACATATTTTACATATCCGGGAATTGAGCTTTACATCAAGAATCAATTCAATTTAGTGCGGTCCTCATTTGCCAAAAGTAAACTTTCCGGTCACAAAGTAAAATTCGAGCTCACGTCGGTGCCGAGCTACAGCTTACATATAATAGCTGAACTATCGCCATGTAGCAATAGCTGTAGCAGTCGTGCCGACACATCCAGTCGGCACTGTATAGGACCGGTTGGGATCACTCTCCCACTGGATAGTAGTGGACCCAGTCGTCTTCTCAAGGAACTTGTACTGGAACGAAGTTCCAACAGGTAGCGTGATAGCAACCTGCCAAAGAGGGTTGGAAGAATTATAACTGCTCGCCGACAATGCAATAGCACTGCTAGTGTCCCAGCTACCAAGCTGACTGATGGAGCCTGAGATGTAAACATTCTGACCGTAGGTTGTGGTGACAAGCTCCTTGAATAGAACGGGCAGAACCGTGGCCTGGGTGCAGCTTGTACCAGTCGTAGTCAACGTTGTGGTTTGGGTTGCCACGGTGGCAGTTGATGTCGTAGTACTGGAGGCGCAGATACTGCTCGCTGAAGATGCAAGCATGAGCACGCGCGGCAGACCAGATGCCATTGGAACGGCGATGTTTCCGCTGGAATCAACTGTCACCGAGGTACAGGTGTACATCTCCATTAGGTTGGTGCCTGATGAATATCCGCTTCCACTCAATGACAATGTATAGGAGCTGCCGGATGATCCGTAGTTCGACAGCACTGTGATCACTGGCGAGGCACTGGATCCCTTCTTCATGGCTAGTGTATGGCTGTCTTGGTAAAATGGTACGTTCTAATAGTCTATTAGCATGAGCCAATAGGCAAAGTGTTGTGAATAAGTACCTTTGTTGTGATATAGCTGGAGTCTGCAGAGACAGCTGCCTTCCTGATCCTGTTCGTGGTTGCAATGTACTTGTACAACTCTGCGGTGGTTGAATACCCTGAGAGCCAAGTCGCCTCACGGTTCGCAGGATCGGCTCCACCACTGTAGTGCTGTTCTTGGCCAGAGTAGATAATGGGAATGCCATCTGACAGGAACAAGAATGAGATCACATTCTTCGCTTGGGAGTAATCACTTGTATAGCTTTCGAGTAATCAGCGCTTGCCAGTAGTAATGCCAGTTAATATCTGCAGCTCACCTGGCAAATCGGGGGTTGTCATGGTTCTCAATGAAATTTCCAAGCAAGGTTGGATCCGCGCAGTCGGATTTGACAGAGTTAATCATGTCATACAAATCGCTGATACTACCGCTCGAGGACTGGAATGCATACAGTAGTTGATAGTAGCTGGCCAATTAGTATTTTTAAAACAAATTGAGAAGATTGTCATACATCGGATAGTTCAAAACACCGTCCATATAGTTCTGGTAGTCACAAGTGTAAGCCGGATCACCATCAAAGATTTCACCGACACAATAGACGCCTGCAGCGTCATTGTAGCCGGGCCAGAAAGATTTCTGAACGTGCTTGACGGTATCAATGCGCAATCCGTCAACTGAGATTGTTAGAGAAGCCTCTGTGCTTGGATGCCAGACTTACTGGAGTAGTTTGAAACAAGATCCCCAATCCAGTCATACCAGAGAGTCTGCACCGCTGTTTGAGTCGTGTCTACGTCTGGAAGGGACACAATAGTGTCTCCTAGCCAGCAGTCTTCAACATTTGACTGGTCATCATAGTTACTAATGAGACAGTAAGAGTGGAAATATGATGATGAGGAGAAAGGATGGAACACGCTGTATTCAACGCTACTGCCAGCTCCAGCATAGCCCTGTGAAGTGTTAATAGAGGTTAGAACTAGGAGCCAGTATGACCTGCCATGTGATTGGCCACCACATCCACCATAAGATACATGCCCCGAGCATGCAGGGCCTCGGACAGAGCCAACAGATCGGCAGCTGTGCCCAAGTTTGAGTCAACCTCATAGCTAGAAAATCCAGTTAGTAATTGCCAAAGTTATGATTTTCTTGATATACATATTCTGTTGCCAGTATCCATGGTAGGCTTCGCCATCGCCAGTATCCTGGGGAAGTTGTTCTGTAACTGGGGTAATCCAGATAGCAGTGAATCCCATTCCTTGGATATAATCCAGCTAGACAGGATGTTAAAATTGACATCATAAAGGGGCAGGGATGCATACATGGTTGATGATTCCTTGCCAGGTGCCTCCACAGTATGTCTAGACTTGTTAGGGTTCCACGCCAAAGGTCAATTGAAGGGGCAGCATACCCTGTCGCTGACATTACACGCGGCTGTAGTGGAGTTGTCACTACGACCGAACCGGTCGGTCAACATGAAATAGATGGATTGGCTGCGCCATTCTGCAGGGGTGAGACCCAGCACTGTCTCACCCAGCAACAGGGCTGCAGTCAAGGCAGTTTTCTTCCAATTTAGAAACATTGATGAAGCAAGCATCATCGTTAAGCGATGTCAAGTTCCCGTGCAGAGCGGGAAGATAGCCAAATCCCTGGGTTTATATCTTCACCCTGGACTCTTCGTGCAAGCCACCCGGTCATCACAGGACATGAAGATATCCTCGTGCTCATGCAAGATGAACCGCATTCTCCTCACACAGCATCTCCGCAATTCCAATCCAATCGGTCAATTGAACCCACGCAACTTGGCCACTTTGCGGGGATTTAATTTCGCTAATGTTGGTGGACAGCGTCAAGTTCCAAGTTGCACGGAATTTGAATTGCATGCCGGGCCGAGATATCTAATTCGCGCATCAGACAATCTCGGCAATTCATCAATAATCATGCAGGCACCTCAGATGCAGGGCGCTAGTCGGCGCCAGTCTTCAAACGGTCGATCCTCCGAGTCTTAGCACCGGAATTCCTCACGGCCCCGCATGTCGTGGGCAAATCATCGGCTTCTCACCCCAGAAACCCCTCTGGCGCTGGCTGACGCAGGTTGGTCCAGGTTAAGTCGCAGGTTCAGGCAAAGAGTGATGCCAGGTTCACATGCAAGTCATTTCCTGCCAAAACGCCCCTTTGCGGAGGACAGCACGCCAGAACGGGCTTGATCCAACGCGCTGATTGGCCACGGGTTAGCCGATGCACCAGACAGGGGACGGAGAATCTGCGGGGTGACGGAGATGAGTAGATGACGAGTGAGAAGACCGAGACTAAGAGCACCAAGGGCGCTATGTTGATGCTAAACATGACGTGGCTTGAGCGTAATGCTCCCAGTGGTGGAGAGTCGGGTAATAAGCGCATTCGGCAGGTATTGCAACTGAAGTAGTGGCTTCATTTTAGCAAGAGGGATTAATTTGGGAATAACTTCCTGGAGGTGAAGAGGAGTTGAGGCGAAGATCTCCACAAGTTCTCCGCCCCTGTGCATGAAATCCAATATTCCATGCACCATGCGACCGTCATTTCCAAGTGAACTGCACCTATAAAAAGGCTGACCAGCCCTGGTCGATCTTTCCGATCTCATCCCTCACATATTCTTTCTTATGGCTCCTTTCTGGACTGCGCTCTGGGCGCTGACTCTTGGCCAAGCCGTGTTCGCCGCGCCGCCACAAGTGGCCTTGGCTCCTCGCGCCAGCAATGTCGATAGTTGGTTGGCATCAGAAACCACCGTCGCCCGACAGGGTATTCTGAACAATATTGGATCTGCTGGGGCCTATGCCGCTTCTGCTAAGCCAGGAGTCGTCATAGCTAGCCCCAGCACCTCGAGCCCAGACTGTACAAAAGCCTCACCAATCAATATGACTAAAACTAACAAACCATAGACTACTATACCTGGACTCGTGACTCAGCCCTGGTGTTCAAGACCCTCATTGATATGTTCAAGAATGGCGATACCGCCTTGCTTGAGGTCATCGAGGAGTACATCAGCGCCCAGGCCTATGTTCAAACAGTTTCCAACCCATCTGGAAGTCTTTCCGGGGGTGCTGGACTGGGAGAGCCCAAATTCAACGTCGATGAGACTGCCTTTACCGGTTCCTGGGGTCGTCCTCAGCGTGACGGACCTGCTCTTCGAGCGACTGCGCTGATATCCTTTGGTGAATGGCTTATTGTAAGATCGCTCAACTTCTTTCCCCGTAGGCTTACTAAACCACGCAGGATAACGGATATACGACATACGCAACAAACATTGTCTGGCCAATCGTACGCAATGACCTTTCCTACGTCTCTCAATATTGGAACCAGACTGGCTACGGTGCGTATTGCTCTTCCTAGGCAGGACGCTTTGCTCATTTAAACCAGATTTATGGGAAGAAGTGTCAGGCTCTAGTTTCTTCACAATCGCGGCTCAGCACAGAGCGCTTGTTGAGGGCAGCAGCTTTGCGAGTAAAGTGGGCTCTTCTTGCTCATACTGTGACTCCCAGGCACCCCAGGTTCTATGCTATCTGCAGTCATTCTGGACTGGATCTTATACTCTGGCCAATTTCGGCGGTGGTCGCACCGGTAAGGATGCCAACACTATCCTTGGTAGCATTCATACTTTCGACCCTGAGGCTGGGTGCGATGATACGACTTTCCAGCCTTGCTCCGCACGAGCCCTCGCCAACCACAAGGCCGTGACGGATTCTTTCCGCTCCATCTACACAGTCAACTCGGGGATTGCTGCTGGTGTTGCTGTTTCTGTGGGCCGATATGCCGAGGACTCATATTACAACGGAAATCCCTGGTACCTATGCACTTTGGCTGCTGCCGAGCAGCTATATGATGCTCTTTACACCTGGAATAAGATTGGTTCCTTGACTATCACGAGTGTCTCCCTTGGCTTCTTCAAGGATATCTATAGCTCTGCGGCTGTCGGTACTTATACTTCGTCCAGCTCGACCTATGCTTCTATTGTGAGCGCCGTGAAGACATATGCAGATGGATACGTTAGCATTGTGGTACGTTCGAGTTGAAAGCCGCATTTCACTTTCAATCAATGCTGACCAGCCCTGTAGGAAACCTATGCCATGTCAAACGGCTCGCTGTCTGAGCAATTCTCCAAATCGGATGGCAGTCCGCTGAGTGCTCGTGACCTCACGTGGTCCTATGCGGCTCTGCTGACGGCCAATGAGCGCCGCAACTCCGTCGTGCCTGCCCCTTGGGGAGAAATTTCAGCCAGCAGCGTGCCTTCCCAGTGCAGCTCTACTTCAGCCATTGGCACATTCAGCACTGCGACCAACACCGCCTGGCCTACCACCCTCACCAGTGGTTCGGGCTCTGGCACTACCGCCACCGGAACTACTACAAAGGCAACCACTACAACCACAAAGTCTACATCAACAACTTCAACATGCACTGTCCCTACCTCAGTGGCCGTAACATTCAATGTTATTGCCACGACCGTCTATGGAGAGAACATCAAGCTTGCAGGATCAATTTCTCAACTTGGAAGCTGGAGTACAAGCAATGCTATCGCCTTGAGCGCCTCGAGCTACACCAGCAGCAACCCCCTTTGGTTTGCCACTGCCACTTTGCCCGCTGGTACTACTTTCTCTTACAAGTACATTCGTGTGGCAAGTAATGGCGGTATCACGTGGGAGAGCGACCCTAACCGGTCCTACACTGTACCAGCAGTCTGCGGGACCACCTCGGTCACTATCAATGACACCTGGAGATGAGGATCTGTGCCAAAGCTGTTGAATCTTGAAGAATGTTGAGAAATCCGAGATTGTGTTATCTTGACACACTCATGCCTGAAGTATCGGTCGTCAGTTATATTAGTGCGGTATACAATGCAATGTTATTCTACCTTCCGTTCATAAATGACAACCCAGAGGATGAACTACGTGCGGAGACCACTTACTATAGGAGCTACAGTGGGTATATAGTTCGACTATGTAGTTGAGTAGTGCATACGTAAAATCATGAAAATGAGTGTATTGGCGTCTTAAGTCGTGATCATTTAGGAAGACTTATTACCAGAACGCTTCCAATAGACAATGGGTACAAAGCTCTACTATATATTGGAATAGTTGTAGGAAGATAACATGTATCGCATCGTATCGGACCACTTCTTTGTCTTTTTCTTGACTTTGCGCTTGCTTTTCTTGAGCTTGCGCTTTTCGCTCTCGAGCCACTTTTCTAGAGAGGTACAATCTAAAGTAGCAGTTTTTGCAAGCATCCATCGTGCCATTTGTGGATAAAATCATCACGCAGCCGACAGATCATCCATTGCCTCTGCGGCAATGGTCACAGGCAGTTTGAGCTAAGTCGCTAACCACATGTGCAACTAGAGCTATAATATTGAAAACCTTTACCTGTATGGTGGCGCAACTGTACTTCATCTTGCACTGGCGAAACATGGGCTCGCTTGATGTATCGTGATACTGGCTCTCTTTTGGTCGGGAGCGAAAGCAATAGGAACAGAAGGCTGTCCTTATTTTTCTTTTGCGCAAAATCCATTGCCCAAGGGTATTTCAATGCAAGGTCCACCCAATATCCGGGGGCTCGGTTCTTATCCGACGGAATTCCAGTTCCATATACTGGATCATGGATTGACAATAGCCATCCGGATAAGGCTTCAGTTGAGGCGACACCGCCCTGGTCGATGGAACCTGGGTCGATGAACCTCTGGTATTATCCGTTTATGTACTTATTAGTCGGAGTGATCCCAATCAATCAAGTACAAATACCTTCAGCTAGCTTTTCTGGGCTCTGAACCTCCGATGGCCACTCGAATGTCATGCATGTTGGGATGAGATCGCGATTGTCATCCGAGTCGTGATCTGAAAGGGCTGTACACTTGTCAGACAGAATTTTTCCAAGGAAGGGATCTTACATATGTAACTTCAGCTGACTCTGGGCTCTCAGACTTGATGAGAATTTTGTCCGGGGTGGTTCGTTCGTCGCTTCGCAGTTCTTCGGGGAAGGGGGATGGCCTGGCCCCGCCTGACCTTGGTGAGAATTCTGCATTGCTATAAACACGTGAGCAAGTGGGTTGAACTTCCAACCTGATCTATCTTGAGACAAGCGGCAAACTCACCTGGTGGCTGTCCTTGCCTGTTTGGTGGATGCGGATCCATCTTGTGTCTGTGTATGGGATGGCTTTCGATGGAAAGGTGAAATTGACAGAGCCTTGACGTGAAAGGAGAAGAGAACGTTTATGCTCAGATCCTTTTGAGCATTTTCAGTCCAGACGACACCAAAACATCGAAGTGAACACAATGTTTCGTGCTATTTCTTTGCTCTGCCTGACCCTGCTTTTCTTACCCATCCGAAGTCTCTCGATTGATGTACCTAGATCATACTAAAGTAAAGAGATGAAACGAGATATGACTCTTGTTATATTGCTAGTCTAGAGCTGATGATGGTGGATGAATAACCCGGTAAAGGACGCAAGTAAAGAACAAGCAAGAGAGACCACTACGTTCATATTAGTACCAGACAATAAATGAGTTACGTCTATCCTGGACTCACGATATGTATGCTTAAGTCCTCCGATATAAGAAGATATCACAATCTCCCGTATTTTCCCAGTAAGATGGGCAATATAATTCGTATCAGCCATGGCTCGTTTAACAACCTATTCTGGTTAGCAATATTTGACGAAATAGACTGAGTCGACATATACCTTCTCAGATCCAGGCCCTTGGAGATTCTTCCGCAGCTCACGCTGGAACTCCATGCCCAGAACCGAATTCGAAGTCGTTACTCCAGCTGTCATTGAGAAGCCGACTAGAAGCATGTATCCTGCAGTAGCCATGGCTACCTCCTCTGGAGGAAGAAGGGCTGTCATTGCTACAAAGGCGGAGGCGGAGGCAATCCCTGTTCCGAGACCACCTGGCAGGATATACAAAGACTCCCAGAAGCCGCTGTTTCCCTCCCAACGGAGGAAAAGGAGGACGTAGGAAATTGATGCGACAATGCCAGCCGCGATAAGCAAGATCTTGTACCGTCCTGTTCTTCTGATGAATAATCCAGCGACTAGTGAGCCTAGGGTATTTCCAACCACAGCTGGAACGAGATGAACACCTGCTGCTGTTGTCGATGCTCGCTGGGTCACTTGGAAATATAACGGAACCGAAAATAGCATGCCCAGTTGCGCTGTAACCTGAAGGGCTCCGATAGTGTATGCTGCAGATACGTTTGGTCGACGAAGAATGCGCAGATTAAATATTGGTTCGCGGGCAACGTAGGTTTCAACAAGAACGAACCCTACTAAGAGTAATATACCACCACTTGCTAGTAAGATGGTCCACCATGAATACCAAGGGAACGACTTTCCACCCTGGTCGAGCAGAAGAGTCATGGCCGTAATGGAAGATCCTAGAAGTGATGTTCCCAGAAAGTCGATTTTGCCAAATTTACTCTCCTTGGAGTTGGGATCAGTCTTTTCTGCGAGATTCAGCTTTAGTACTACCAGTACTGCAGCTAGGGCAAGGAATGGCGCTTGAAGAATGAACAGCCTAGGACCTTGTCAGAGATGTTTGCCATGGAATTGAGTAAGCATACCAGCGCCATCCTACTGTATCACTCAGCCATCCACCTATAGGACCACCGAGAGAGCGACCAAGGGTCATGGCAATGTTAACATATGCTCTCCAGCTCGCCACTTCGCGCTTGGGGACAATGTCTGTAATAACAATTGAGCTTATTGTCATAATGCCTGCTCCGCCACTACCACTGATGGCTCGGCCTAGGACAACCATCCACATCTGAGAACCAACACCACTGTACCATGTTAGAATAATGACTTGTGACCACATTTTGCCAACCTAACCTTAGAATACATCCCACTGCAAACAGGAAGTAGGAAATAAGCAGTAGTGGCCTCCGACCGTAGATATCGCTCAATTTGCCGTACTATCCTGGATTAGATACTCCTCCAAAGTCTCCCGGGTCAATTCACTCACCATCGGTTGGGCTGCACAAAGACCGAGGGTATACCCAGTGGACAACCAACTGGCATCGCGTAGTCTATTGAATTCGGAGGATATACGCCCTGCTGCTGCCATGACCAGAGTAGCATCGGCATTGGAAATAAATTCGCCTATCGCGCGTTAGATCTTCGAGCGTTCTCCGTTTCTCTGAAGTGATCTTACCAAGTAGCAATACTGCGATAATGGTGGCTACTCCCGCTACGGCCTTGCCTTTTGGCTCGGCGGTCTCCGATTGAGGTGATTGAGATAGCAGTGGGCTTTCCTCATCAGGCACACTTCGGTTTTCAGTGTCGATCGAGTTCATATCTGGAGATATCACAGATTCAGTCGCGCCATCCACCATTCTGAACTGCTGCAGTCATGGGAAAAGATTTTCGAGATCAGAGTAGGGTTCAAGGGTCCGAGACATGCAGGGTAAGCCATCTCGCTTCGGATGTCCACAAGACGTGATTCTCACATCGGCTATAAAATCAACGTAATCAAAGGGAACTCCCGGATGTCCAATTTAGTTGCGTCTGAACTCATCGCAGATGCAAAGCACGCCATGGACCGACCCACTTCAAGGTACCGGTACGACGACCGTGTCGACATAAACACGAACATGAACCAAATAGAGTATAGAGATATAGAAGACAGTTTGATATCGAGTACGTGCCTCTTATACTACCATGCATACCTCAACATGTATAAACGTCCACTTTATTGACAGTTCAGGTGAGTCTCGGCAATTCCAATTCGCAGATCGCCATTGGAGCCACCGGTTGCATCATGTCTCCACTTCATCTCCACGATTTCCTGATAACAGCTCCTTCCCCAATAACCTCATCCTCACAACATGAAATTGGTTGCTGCGTTCAGTCTGCTCGCTGCAGTCGAGGGTGCATCCTTCTCACATCTGCAAGATGCTGTTCAATCCGTTCTATCCAATGAAGCCCATTCCACGCGACAGCCTAATATTCTCTTTGTGATCACCGATGACCAAGATTTGGAGCTTGACTCGATCAATTATACACCGCATATCACGAAACATATTCGCGACCGGGGAACCTTTTTCCGCAATCATTTTGTTACAACTGCTCTATGCTGTCCGTCACGTGTGAGCTTGTGGACCGGTCGCCAGGCGCATAATACCAATGTGACCGATGTCAATCCGCCTTATGGTGAGTCGCAAAAATACAATGAGAATGAACTCAAAGCTAACTGTCCAGGTGGATATCCGAAATTTGTTGAACGCGGCTTCAACGATGACTTTCTCCCGGTTTGGCTTCAAAACGCCGGCTATGACACTTACTACACGGGCAAAATGTTCAATTCGCACACAATCGACAATTATCACAGCCCTCACATCAACGGCTTCAATGGCTCAGACTTCCTGCTTGATCCGTACACCTACTCCTACCTTAATTCCACATACCAACGAAACCACGAGCCACCAGTCAGCCACGAAGGCGAACACACAATCGATGTGATCACCGGAAAAGCACTAGGCTTCCTAGATGACGCAGTAGACGGCGAAAGACCCTTCTTCCTCGCGGTATCGCCGGTGGCGCCGCACTCCAATGTCGACCCGAATGCAATTTCTTCAGGGAAGGTCGTCATGTCTGAGCCAATCCCATTGGAACGCCACCAACATCTCTTTGAGAATGTCACAGTTCCCCGTACAGCAAATTTCAATCCAGAACAGGTAAGCAACTTGCTCACAGTGCGACTCGGCGGTACTGAACCATTCTATAGCCAAGCGGGGTTAGCTGGGTGCGCGATCTGCCTCAGCAGAACCAATCAGTCGTCGAGTATAATGATCATTTCTATCGCTCTCGCTTACGCGCTCTGCAGGGCGTGGATGAGCTGGTTGATTCGCTTGTAACAAGACTCGAGGAGAGTGGTCAGCTAGATAATACTTATATTATCTATACCTCTGATAATGGCTTTCATATCGGTCAACACCGATTGCCGCCCGGGAAGACTTGCGGGTATGAAGAAGATATTCGTGTGCCGCTGTTCATTCGTGGACCTGGTGTGCCTCAGGGTCAGGTGCAGGATGCAGTGACTACCCATGTCGACTTGGCACCTACATTCTTCCATCTTGCGGGTATTCCGGCCCGAAAGGACTTTGATGGGTCTGCAATTCCTATCACGCCTGATTTTGATGCAGAGAGACATGAACATGTTACTGTGGAATATTGGGGCAGTGCAGTCGTGGAGGGCATCTTCAGTGGAATCGGTAAGTCCGATCGATACGTCACAAACAAATCACACAAATGCATGCTGACCTCATTTTCAGGTCCGGATGGTTCAAGCAAGATTCCAAACAACACGTACAAATCAGTTCGCCTTCTAGGAGAAGGATATAACCTGTACTACTCAGTCTGGTGCAACAATGAACATGAACTATATGACCTGTCGGTGAGTATACACAATTATCGCTCTATATAAACCAACCTCTGATCGATTTTCCAGACCGATCCTTACCAGCTACACAACCTGTATCCAGGTGCTACCCAGTCCGCTGGAGATGATCAAATCCTCGGTCGCAGCATCAGCCAAGCCGTCACCCGGCTAGATGCTCTTCTGATGGTGCTCAAGTCCTGCCAAGGAGTCACCTGCATCCAACCCTGGAATGTTCTCCAACCGCAAGATTCGGTTAGTACTCTTTCTGATGCTTTACATAAGAAGTACGATGAATTCTATGATGCCCAGCCTCAAGTTTCATTTGACTGGTGCGCTGATGGGTATATTATCGAAGCGGAAGGAGAGCAGGTGCCGTTGGTTAGTCGGTACGGTGTGTCTTGGGATGTGTGGGTCTAATGGATATGAGATACTTTAAATGATGTAAAATCCAAGACCCATGAATATAGAGACTATGTCTGTAAATACAGGTAAACACTTTCTAGATCGGCTGTCGAATCTAGAACCACCCAGCGCCAGATCAGAGCTACGATAATGAGGCGTGGCATCAGAAATACCAAGTGCCAATACAAACACTGTGAATCAGCGTATATAATTGGCGTTAAACACCCGAAAATATCGGCAATTCTCCTGCACTTAATGTTGTCAAATACGCCATGATTGCGCCATACCTCCCGGGTCACACCTCACCTTAACATTGGCTGAGGTCGAGATGGCTTCGTGTAGACTGACACAATCTTTGATAGGGGTGGAGTCTTTTTCTCTCTCTTCTTTTTTTCTATAAGAATGTCCGATCGGCCGCGAAGAATGCTGTTGACATTGACAGCTTTCCACCTTCTTTTGGGCTTCGTGCTTCTGCATCATGTCGGCTGTGTCTTCCGCAGATAAGGTCTCCAAAAAGATCTTCGATGAAAAAGATATAGTTGATGAACGGGTTTCTGATGCACCTTCTGAGATTGATCATGTTATCGTCAAAGACTGGGATGCAGAGGAGGCTGCTGTGACGCGAAAGTATGTTTTCTATCAAAGTGAACAAGAGTATAGACTGATAATGTACTTTCAATAGAGTCGACTTTATCCTCATTCCTATCCTCGCCCTTGCTTTCTTCTCTCTGCAAATGGACCGTGGAAATATTAGCGCCGTCTTGACTTCGACTATCACGGAAGACTTGAGCATCACAACAAATCAGATTAATATCGGTACACAGCTGCTGTCTGCTGGTATTGTTTTGGCGGAGATCCCCTCGAATATCATTTTGCAACGCATTGGACCCCGCGTATGGCTATCGGGTCAGCTTTTTGCCTGGGGCCTTGTCGCCACTTTCCAGGCCTTTGTTCAGTCCTACCCTGCATACCTGGTGACGCGTATTTTGCTAGGTTTCTGTGAGGGTGGATTCATTCCAGGCGCTTTATATTATCTGTCGACCTGGTACAAGAAAGACGAGACCAGTCTTCGCACCAGTCTCTTCTTCTATGGACAGATGTTTGCGTCTGCCACATCAAGTTTGATCTCGGCTGGTCTATTGAAGCTTCATGGTAACCACGGTATGGAAGGATGGCGATGGATCTTCCTCGTCGAGGGCCTGATCACTCTCTTCATTGGATTCTTCTTCACTCTCTTGGTACCCCCAGCAGCTGGGGATGGACGTCCACTGATCGCCATGGGCAAGTGGAGTTATTTTACCGAGCGCGAGTCTCGCATCATTCGCAATCGCGTTCTGCTCGATGATCCTCGCAAAGCTCGTGGCCATATCCAGATTACCAAGTCTGATATCTGGAAGACTGTCAAGGAGCCTAGAATCATGCAGCATGTGCTTTTGACTTTGGTTTCGATGTCTGGGTTCCAAGGTTTGACCCAGTATACTCCCAGCATGATCAAGAAATTGGGCTTCGACTCTGTACGCGCCAATGCGTTGGCTTCTGTGCCTGTGTACTGCAGCATGGTCTGGTTGGCTATGCTTTCATTCGCTGGGTACGTCTATCTTGATGAAAATCGATGGAAAAGGTCCTGACTTATAACAGTGATCGCACTGGCCACCGTGGACCTTTTGTGCTGCTGGCTATCACCTGGAATGTCATTTCCTATGTGTGTCTCCGCACAAGTAACCCCCACGCCTCTCAATGGCACCAATATGGAGTTATTGCCGTAGCCAACATCTCCTATTGCAGCATGCAGTAAGTTCAGACATTATTGTTGCTGCTGATAACGCTTGCTAACCTTATCATAGCATCCTCAATGTTGGTTGGCTGTCATTCTATTGCCGCACCCCCCAAGAACGAAGTGTCGCCATGGCGTGAGATTTCCCTCCCCTACTTATTCTAGCGAACATTACTGACATGTCTCAGATTGGTTGTCATGGCTGCCAATTGTGCCGGTATCTCCGGGTCTCAGATCTTTCGTACATCCGATGCACCCAAGTATTTGCATGGCCTCACCGCAATTTGCTCGTTGGCCGGTGCTTCATGGGCCCTGGCGGCCGTTCTCTGCGCGCAGTATTATATTCGCCGTAAGAATGCGGTGGCCGAGGATGAAAGCAATATCTAAAAGAGCGTTGAACGCTGTACATAATATTCCGACTCGTAAATATACATGAATAATGAACTACCTGGCAATCCAGTCCTCCAGGCTTCTCTCGGTGTAAATCATGCAACACAAAATGCACAAACTTATCAGAAATTCGTGTTTTTGAGTGGCGAATAATCCCGAGGCTCTGGGTATAACAAGGCTTGGTGCTCTTAACTCCGGGTGACGTCATGATGTCAGCAAAGATGGACATGCATGAGCTTAATTCGACCCTGTCAGCTTCTAACATGGTTATTTGTTGATCAACGAGATTATAAATCATGTTTATATCGGCATGCGATCCCTTTCGTTATGGAGCAACGGGTGAAATCTCTTCGCGGACATAATCGTAAAGGCCGTGATGACAACCCACTTCACGGGTCAAGTGGAACCATTTCTTCAGTAGCCAACCCGATGTCCACAAAGCATCACAAATCGAGTTTTATGAGAATTTTCTGAAACCGGGTCAATAATGATGGCGTAGCTATAAAGAAGAGCTGGAGAGGGCTGGGGACCCTGGTAGATCATTCAATTCAATCTCCATCCTCAATATCATCAAAATGACCGATTACAAGTTCGAAGGCTGGTGTGGCCTCAGCCCTGAGGCTGGCAAGGGCAAGATGGTCTGGCAGGAGTTCGAGCCGAAGCCCTGGGAGGAGATAGATGTCGATATCAAGGTCACGCACTGTGGTATTTGCGGCTCGGACCTGCACACTCTTCGTAGCGGATGGGTATGTTTTCTTCCAATTTCCCTATTCTTCGGGTTGCTTTGTTGGGGTGAAGGCTAACGTCTCTCGTATAGGGACCGACCAATTATCCCTGCTGTGTGGGGCACGAGGTTGTTGGCACAGCGGTGCGTGTGGGTACGCAGGTTAAGAACGGCATCAAACTCGGAGACCGCGTGGGTGTGGGAGCTCAAAGCGGAGCTTGTCTCAATGTCAACAAGGACTGTGAAGCTTGTGCGAATTCTCTCGAGCAGTTCTGTAACAAGATGGTCGGAACTTACAACGGAGTGTACGCAAATGGAGGCAAATCTTACGGAGGATATGCCACGTACAACCGGAGCCCTTCACACTTCGTGATCAAGATTCCGGATGCGATTTCCTCGGCGGACGCTGCCCCCATGTTGTGTGGTGGCATCACGACCTACTCTCCTTTGAAGCAGAACGGATGTGGTCCAGGAAAGACTGTCGGAGTCGTGGGCATTGGTGGCCTGGGTCACTTTGCCATCCTTTTCGCTAAGGCTCTCGGTGCTGACCGCGTCGTTGCCATCTCGCGCAAGTCGGACAAGAAGGAGGATGCTCTGAAGCTCGGTGCTGATGACTTCATTGCCACCGGTGAGGAGGAGGACTGGGTCACCCGTCACGGACAGTCTCTCGATCTGATCATCTCGACTGCCTCCTCTTCCAAGATGCCCATCGCCGGATACTGCAGCCTGCTGCGTTATCGCGGTACCTTCATTCAGCTCGGTGCCCCCGAGGATGGTGGCCTTGAGATCCCCGCTTTCGTTCTGATCATCAAGGGTATCAAGCTTGGTGGTTCGCTCATTGGTAGCCCGGATGAAATCCGTGAGATGCTGGAGCTTGCTGCTGCCAAGGGCGTCAAGCCTTGGATCCAGGAACGCCCCATGAAGGATGCCAACCAGGCCATCTTGGATATGGACAACGGTGATGCGCGTTATCGTTACGTTCTAGTCAACGACGCGTGAATCAACTGAATTGGAACGATATTATGAACTTGGGAGTGGAACGATGTCCAGAAAGCGGCTTGGTATAAGGAAGATGATAGACTAGAAGACTGACGATAGAGATCAAGAGATATACATGTGTGTGTCACCAAGGTCCTTACCCATGTAAAACAATGACGTCTGTAAGAAATAAACGTGCCAGAACTTCTGTTGTTAAAGTCACTTACAATCACATTGAATTGAGGCAAAAACAATTGCCGGCATAATATCAAAGGCCATTTAGTCTCTTGCATATGCATCTGAGGTTTGGGTAGTGGGCGCCAAGATAAAGTACGGTACTGCTGAGCTGTCAGCAGTGATATGACGTATCATAATGCGGTAATAATACAATACGGCTAGCTGGAATGGAAGTTTTTGCGCAATAGGAGACCTCCCTCCCGAGTGATCTGCGATATTTTACCTGTTGGCGAGTACGTAAATTTTACCAAAAGTGAGCCTTCCCGGGGACGCCAGTCTAGAATAGGAATAGCTCGATAGTAGTCTATCTAAGTAGATAGGTCGAAATCATGGAAGAAGGAACACCCCAATTCCTAGTGCTCTCATATAGCACCGGCGGCTATCTATCGTGTACTAAATCGGATATCACTTTATAAAGAAAATACTGATGATCAGAATGAATGGATTCTACAATATAATACTTTGGTAGTCTATAGAAATGCAGCAAAATGAATGATGGCTCTGCCAAAGAGAAAGAACTGAAATCCGGGCTGCGTACGGTGTAGATTTAGCATACCCATGGGTATCTTGGCGCGTTCGTATAATTTTGTGCATTTCATGTAGTATTTCTAGTATTCTTATGTTAAGATTTCCGATGAAAGTACCATGAATCTAGAAGCAAGAGATCACTAATTGAGACGGAGAAGGCATTGGATTTTCTGACAGCCCTCAGAATATAGTTTATAAAGCTACAGCACCGGAAGCTAGACGGCCGTCAGAAAATATGGAGGGTTATTGAACTACGGCATTGGCTTTGCCTGTTGATTGGAGCGCTTTCCGTAATACGCCGATGTGAAGAATAGCGTGACGCGGGGTGCATTAAACATGCTTTTCCAGAACCCATGATGAATCTTGGGTCTCCATCCGCGATCAACACAGAAAGTAAATCATGGTCAGACATCTAAAGCTATTTCAACAGTGCCAGTGCCCAGTCCTGGCTTATGTAGACTGCGTTACCGGGTACCGCGCCGAAGCGTTTGGTGAATATGCACTTCAAGAGCGCGACTGCGTTGTAGGATGTAGTGGATGTGGGCAATCGTAATACGACGTCGATGGAAATCGTGTGAAACGGAATAGGCTTACCCAGTATAGGTTGCAAGGAGCAGTATGGCTTATATTGCGGTATTCTGTTTCGGAGGCACTTTGGCAACGCCAGATAAACATGCGCCCGGACTCCAGTCTGTATCTGTAATCGTCTGACATAATGACGAATGTAGAGCGGCTGCTGACTTTTGCCAACGGGTATCAGCTTTGGGGGTTGAAGCTTCCATGTGACTCAGTGGTCTTTCCTCTCCTTCTCGAACAACCTCGTCCGTCACTTGCCTTCCTTCACCTTCTTCAAATCTTTTACACATTGATCTCAAAGACAAAAACCTCATTACCGCAAAATTGTTTCTTTCGCCACGATGAAGATGATGTCTACGAAAGCTCCGGCATCACCGACATTGCCTTCATCCGTATTATCTCCTTCAAGCCCGACCTCGTTGATCCCCACACTCGCAGGAACCAGCCTGTCGACAACAGCACAACAGCCAAAAAGTTACCCCCTTCCACAAATGAAGGCCGACCTGAATGTGGCGATCAACAACCGCGGAAAGCATTATACCTCCAAGTCTGCTTTGATCGTTTTCTGGGAGAAAGATGACACATTGGCGGATAGCGATGCAGAGACTCTCAAAGCTGTTCTCACGGACTGTTTCGGGATTAATGCCCTGGTCTACAAGATTGAAGCAAATGACAAAACTCCCGCTTGGAATTTGCGTAAAAAGATTCAAGACAGACTGAACTCCCTTCGCTCCCCACGCAAAAAAGGCCAGTCACTTTATGTATTCGCATACATCGGTCATGGTCGAATGGAGGGAGGCGAATTGCACCTATGCTCCGGTTCAGGAAAGGACCTCCGTTGGGGGACGGTTAGAGATCTATTGTTTCGGGACTCTGGGGACCTGGACCATATTGACGCACTAGGATTCCTCGACTGCTGCTATGCTGGGGGCGCGCGAAGTACCGGTACAAGAGCCTTACAAATTCTGGCGGCCACCAATAAGAATCAAACAATGAGGTCGCGCAGAGACGGTATAACCTTCACCCAGCGTTTCGGAAAGGCAGTTCGGTCACTACGCAAGTCAGGGGCACCGATAATTACCACGACTGCGATCCTCGCTGACCTTGAACGCGAACGACCTCTTCATGCCCCCAGGGCAGAGTTAAAGCGCTTAGGTACAGCTGGTACTATTGCGCTCGGCTTCAAGCCTCCACACAGTGCCTCTTACCACGGCTCACCATACCAGCCTTTCCCTCCTCATCCGACGCGAGAAAAACATGTTCTTGTGCACCTAACGATTGAGGGCAATGCTCAAACAGCCACTAATGAGTTCCGCAAAGTGATTGAGGCTTTGCCAGCCGATATGCAAGTTAGTCTCGTGGATGCATTTGAGACCTACGCCTCCGCGATCGTTCTGTTTCGAATGACATACTCAGCGTGGGCTACGCTTTCAGCCACAGTCGATTTTAAGATGGTTGACCTCGTCATTGGCAGATCACTCCTCCACCACGAGCCGACTTTGCGAGTACTTGAGACGGTCAACCTACCTGCTGAGAATAGTCCCTCGCTCAAGTAATTACCGAGGTTGCTTCTTACGTTTTCGTTATATCTTTTGCTTCATCTGTTATTTATTTCTTAGCCGTTGTCATCGCCAACCTGTGTTTGTAACGTCTACTATTGTTACCATTGCTGCCTGCTTTTACTCAGATGCGCTTACTCCATTGACTATTTGTTTGCTACTTCTACCACCAATCCGGCTCCATGCTGTCTACAGTTTTTGTTGCTCTATATCGATTTCCTCCGATATGCTGCTGTCCGGTTGTCATGGTCGGTGAAACAGCTCTTCCTGAACGCTTTGTATCATCACTAGGGAATTTTTACTTTGCTTATGACGATTCCTAAGGACCTCTGGCTCTGTTATCGTAGTTAGCATTCTCTATAACAAACCGCTTTGTGCAAAATAAATCGATCCAGATTGTGAGTGGCAAAAAGATCCAGCCATCTAGCAAATTCGATAAGCTTAAGAAATACCTTTATAGTGGTAATTTGGTATAATCTCTTTCGCTTAGTATTTATTATTTACTAAGTTATATCGGTGATCCCTGAGATGAAGTGCTCAAAAGAAGAATTTTATTAATTGTTTGAACTGTTCGACTCGTGCCAATGCCTAGTTCTGTCGGCATAATTTCGCCTACTGGTCAACACATTTTGTCCATGGCAGCGCCTTCTATCTCAAAGATTGTCAATGTATAAGCGATGCCTCTTGCACCCGTCAAAATTGCAGGACTGGAGGCTGCTGTCGAAAATTTGAACAATCCTGGGAACTCCGAGAGTTCTTGCATCAGCACATTTTGGTAACTTGGGTTCGAAAGGAAAGTTTGAACAACAAAATGTGACATGTAGCATCACAGGGTGATACTAGCTAGCATATCAATCGACAGCTTTCTTAATATCGCACCTTATGTGGAACCATGATGTGTGGGCTCATGACGTTTTGTCAATAGGCAAAATACAGAGACCAGGGGGATTTGTTTTTGCAGAGCAAATGCGAGATTTTCTGATTGAAGGTAGGTAGATTTAATATCAAGTACGTGCAATATATAATGAACCAAGCTAAGACTTGTAATGACAGTGGCTTACCGCTGATGCGGATCGAACGCAAAGATAAGAAAACTCATTGTAGACAGGAGTGATAGCTGGACCACTCGATGGTGGAATACGTCAAGTCAACATCGGGGTTAACTTATCCTGTGAGCGGAGAATAAAGGCGGTAGCAAAGACGGTGAGACAATCTCACTGGGCACGTCAGACTACTCTATCGGAGACGGGGTCCGATTACTCCGACCACCGAGACGGCTTTTCTTGCTGCGGAGTACTTTTCTCACCATTTCAACATGCATGAACATAATGTTGGCAGATTAATATCTCTTATATCGAGAACTACTCAGACAAGATGTTCAACACGCATTGCGCCTTTTACAGCACGATCATGTCTCCCTTTACGCAATGTCATCAAACCTCCAATCCAAATCAATCCCTGTACGCGACGAGGAATAATCACATCGCCGAATAAATCATTACACGTCATGTCAGAGACTGATATTAATCGCGAGACATCTTTTAATCAGGAAGTCTTCAATCTATCCCTTGCTCTATCGCGGAATCGCATGAACGATGCTACGGAGCTGCGCTGCATGGCCTTGAATGCCGATGGATCAGTCAAGCATTCAGACCTTCGTGGCACCAAAGCCGATGTCGCTAAGAGGTATGGCCTGGATAGTCGAGACCTGCGCAATGTTGATCTTGTCTCTGAAGGCATCCCGCATATCTTGGTCCGTCCTTCTACCATATTCATCAGCATGTTTACTCTGAGGCTTCTTGTGAGAGCCGATGGAGTGCTTCTGTTTCTTTTGCCGACCGAAGATTCTGATGTCAAGGTGCAAGATGTCTTCTTGAAAGATCTCCAGAGCAAGTTAAACCTTGATCATGGGTCTGGCTTTGCGACGAGGCTCCCATATGAGTTGCGCGTTGTGGATGCTGCTTTGGCCTCTGTTATTGCAACTCTTGAGGCGGAGCATATTTTGATTAGGCGTGAGGTCAAAGAGAGCTTACGCGACCCAACAAAAGATGATCTTGTTCACTCTGTTCTACGTGGATTACAGGACCACGGTAAGCGGCTGGTGGCTATTGGACAACGTGCGCGACAAGTACGATCCGCGCTACAAGAACTCCTCAGTAATGATGAAGACATGGCCACCATGTACCTGTCTGATAACCAGTCCGGAGAAGAACATGCTATTGAAGACCACCAAGAGGTCGAATATCTTTTGGAGGCATACCATAAGAATGCTGATGCGATCTCTGAGTCTGCTAGTGCACTGCTGGGGGATGTGAATCGAACAACAGACACTACCCAGTCGATTCTGGACGTGCGCCGAAACCAGATCATGATATTCGAAGCTCAACTGGAGATCTGCATGCTCGGATTCGCTGTGTCCACGTTCGTAGCGGGCTTGTTTGGTATGAATGTGATCAATTACCTCGAAGAGAGTACCTATGCATTTGCAGTTCTTGTTGGAGCGAGTGTCATAGGCACTGGGCTCATTTCAAGGTATGGGATGTGGAAGCTTAACAAATACCGCCAGTTACGATTTTGAAGTGTTTGCCAGTCCATGCAGTGTCGCCAACATAAGAATTGTCAACCGATCACGATGACTCTACTTGGGAAGGCACATGGTTGTGATAGCCAACAAAATACTCTTTCGTCTTCCTCTTCTCTTCCTCTTCTCTCCTTCCTTTATCAACTTGACTTGCTTCCATCATGCAATTTCAACTTACTTGATCCATTTCATCAATTCTCATCAACCGCAACCATGCCTGAAGACAACTATGGCAACTTCTACTCAATATTATGTTTGCTTGGAAATGATATTGAACGCGGGGATGCTTCAAATAGGGATGAACGGGGATAAATGGGGATGTTTGGCCATGAACATTGATATTGGAACATAGAAATACCCAAACCAAGACAGCTTCGCTCTACCCCAATTCATCAAATGAATCTCTCAAGTTAAAAGAGGCGACGCTAAACCCTGATTCCCCGCACTTCGGTAAATCCACCAAATCATCGTGAACAGCTTATCAATGTGGCTTGGGAGAAAGATAACCGTCGCATCTTGAATCTCCTCACCTATTCTCTGCACACAATGAGTACACCCCGAGGCTGTTGCGCCCGTTGCGCGCATATTGTGAGTGATCTACCCCCGAGACATCAACCACGCTAACTTCAATAGAAACAACGATGCGATGGCGATTCACCCTGTTCACGCTGCAAACGTATATCAATGCACTGTTTTTGAGCTATCTTTGATCATTGACTGATCTCTTGGCTATAGGTTTAGGACATGCCTGCAAGCCCCGATTTCTAGATGAGGAGTCAGCCTTGTCTCGCGGATCGCCGGCGCGCCGGCCCCGTGCATCGCGGTCCCGAGGCGGCTGTTTGCCCTGCAAGACAAGGTAATATAGTAGAGCTGCTAAGACTTTCGGAAGCTAATCACCCGCAGAAAGAAGAAGTGCGATGAGAACCGCCCCAAGTGCAGCGACTGCCGCCGCCTGAATCTTCCCTGTGAGTGGCCTGCCAGGGCTATCGATGTTGAAGCGCACAGCCCAGACCTGAATGATACTTCCTCACTTCTATCCGTTGCCACCGTGTCTGCTGATGCCGTTCCGATTGACGATTCCGACGGCGGTCCGCCTGCGCTCAGCCCCATTACCCCTTATGACGATGAGGAGTTTATTGTCACGCTCTTTCCCCATCCCTTGCCAAAGAAGAACGCTCTACCCTTGTCATTGGATCGATCTCCCATCTCTGCGAATCCTCATTTGCGGACGGAAGAAGATCGGTCACTCTTCAACCACTATATCCAGGTCGTGTCTAGAGCTTTATCGCGCTCTCAGGATGGAGATCGGAACCCATTCCTGGTCACTCTTTTGCCGCTAGCTGCAGTTTCGGATACAGTTACCAGCGTTATTTTGAGTTTGAGTGGGTGCCATTGGAAGAGAGTCTATCCGACAATCTGGGGGTGCGCTTTGACCAGACAAGGCAAAGGTAGGACCCGTATTGACTCCATAGTTTGATACAGGCTAACTTTTCCTAGCTTTGACACAGGTCAACAAGTTGCTAGGTTTCTCAGACCGCCAATCGATATTCGAAGCTTGTGCTACGGTACTTTTACTATGTCTTACGGAATTGTTTGATGGTACATCTCGTGTCTGGAAATGGCACCTGAAAGCCGCCAGCGCGATATTGAAGTCCCCTGCATTCCAAACTCTGATCCCATCTGATGAATGGACATTCTGCCTAAGTCTCTTCCACTATCTCGACGCTATGTCAACCATCTCTCGTTGCAAGGCACCCTTGTTACAGAGCAATGATAGCATGACGGATCTAACAAGCTCATTACGACGAAGCAGTGTCCCCGATCTCGACAAAACCCGATCATTGGATGCAATTTACGGTATCTCGCCGGCGCTGTTTGACTATCTTGGGATGGTCAATCTGTTAGCGAATCACAGGAGCAGGCGTGTCGACGAGCTATCTGAAGTGGGGTTCAGAGCTGCGGCGGATCATCTTGAAGACCGGATTGATGATTGGCGCGCTGATTATGACAGCAAGTCCTCTGCGGATTTGGACCGCGATACGGACCGCGCTACTACTGCCTTTGAATGGGCAATTAGACTTCGGCTGCATCAGATTGTGGAAGGATATGATGTCTTGCATGAGTTTGTAGAACGCTGCGTTGGTACTATTCTAGAGTCTGTGCAGCGGATTCCGTATGCAAGCAGAGTGGAGGGGTGTCTCTTATTCCCACTCGTCATTGCTGGGTCCAGCAGTATCAGCGTTGAGCGGCGAATGATTGTGAAGGAGAGAATCATGGTGATGGAAAATACCTTGGGATTCAGTCACATTCATCATGCTCGTCAACTACTGGAGACAGTTTGGAAAGGGGGGAACAGTCCGTCAGATCTGAACTGGGCTGCTGTGAGATACAGTCAATTCCCCGGTGTAGTATTTATATAATTTCTAGTTTATGCTGTCATGTCGCGTAAGATTTGTTAAATATCGAATACCCATTGATCGACTATGAACCTAATTTTTATTGCTGTATAAATATATTGGAGAGGGTTTATGACACAGAAGAAACGCGAGGAGGTGAAATGGCAAGCTTACCCGACGCGCTCAAAACAATTTAATCAAGACGCACGTCATGAGTTAGCAATTTTCAAACTTGAGTCCCCTTTTCCTCAGCAACCAGCTCAGCCAGATGATCCCTCATGTTATACCCACAAACCTCCTCAATGGTAAGCTTTCCTGGCCGATCAGTAGAGGAGCTCCACCCAATTCTCTCGCTGAGGTTCTCGCGAGCTCTGAAGCTCGCCTCCTGCACTCTGGTAGCGCGACCTTTGCGCAACTTTTCATAGATCTTCAAACCTTCGGGAACTCCGTAGTCTTCACGGAAATTCTTGTTGAAGACCAGGCCCAAAGCACCCGCATCTTCGAATGCCATGCAAGATCCTTGCGACTGATCGGGCATCATAGGGTGGGCTAACACAAAATCAGCAGTTTGAATTTGAAAGCAAGGTTTCTAGGCTTACCGGCATCACCCAACAAACAAACCTTGCCCTTGACCCAGTATGGATAAGGCTGGTGCTTGTACACTGTTGTCGAGGGTTAGCAAGAGATTTGAAAGGGAACGAACTATACTCACGCCGCCACATCTTGATGTCCTCGGCATTCAACATCAAAGTCTTCATTCTGGGATCTAGGTCTGGGAAGGTCTCTACGAGTTGCTGGGGTGTGGCACTAATATTCCATCCATCGTCACGCACGTTGTTGTGCGACGCGGGATAGAAACAGTAACAGCTTACCACCTCACCGTTGCTGCAGGGAGACATGACAATCTTATTGATGCCGAACCCTCCCCAGTACTCGATGGCTTCGTTGGAGATATAGTCCTCTAAGCCAAGGGACCGAAGCTTGTCAGCCCCGATGATGCAGCGGTAGCAGCAGGAAGTTGACATTTCAAAGTCTGGAGTAATTCCAATCATGTTTCTTGTAAGGGACTGCATTGAACCTGTTAGCTTCATAATTATAACATAATGATGCTTCGCTTACCCGGATGCCATCTGCAGCTACAATGATATCGGCCAATGCTTCGGCCCCATTTTCGAACCGCAGCATACCTTCCTCTGCATTGACTTCAACTGCTTTGAAGTTGACTTTCAATTCACATTTTGGGCCTTCTCCAGGCGCGTCAAAGGCAGACTTCAAGAGTTCTTTGTGAATGTCAATGCGGTGGAAATTGTTATAGTCCTATCTTCTGTGAGTACACCACGGAAGCATAAGCATCAGAGTCTGGGTAAATACTTACTGTACCGAATTTGGACTTGTAATCGCCGAGCGGATAGGTATTTTGCACATTCCCATCGCTCCAATTGTGCATGATGAGTTGTTTGAGAATGACCTGTTCCGGATTAGACTAGTGAACTATGATTGGGGGCAGTGGAACAAACCGGCTTGGCTCCCTTCACATCCACACCCCATTCCTCCAAAAATCGAGAGCCGTTTGAGGCTGCACTCAGTGAGGCACCTACTTCACCAGCAAAATCATATCTCTCATACACAGTGACCGCATGGCCTTGACGGCGTAGGGCGACCGCGGCGCCAAGACCTCCGAGGCCTGCGCCGATAATGGCGACTTGAAGAGGTGAGTCGGTACGAGAAGGCATGGTTAGATCGATGGATTTACTTTACAATTGAGCAACTTGATCTTTCATCATCGATTTATACTATTTTCAAGCTGGGCTTCAGGGCTTCAGAGCTTCAGGGCTCTGGTGGATTGCCGTTCGGCTTCTTCCTATCTCGCGCTAAGACGCGGAGAGGGGCTTTCTCTATCCGACGGTTGCATTAGACCGCGTGGATCTTTGCCGCTTTGAAATTTGCCTCTGAAAGTGACAGCCACTCCGTCTGCGCCTATCATTGTCTGGGGAAGCTCTCGGTAGGTTGGATCCCTATCTCTATTGTTTCTGGTCTGAGCTGGCTCTTAAAGGCAACCCGCCAACCGATAATATGCTGGGACTCGTGTCGTATTCTAATCTTACATTTTTTATTCCTTCAAAGTGACAGCAATGGAGAAGAAATCTGAGCTCATGGGCAAGTATGATGTTGCCGAGGACTGTGCCTTGGGCAGTGTAGTCATGGACGACAAGAAGCTGGTGCGCAAAATTGACTACCACGTCTTACCCATTATGTTCTTGACATATTTCTTGCAAATGATTGACAAGATTTCCATCAATGTGAGTACAGATCAGTCTTCGTGGCCCTAAGGTCTTTCAGCTAACATCTTTAGTATGCAAACGTGATGGGAATGCAGGATGACCTGGGAATGACTGGAAACGACTTCTCATGGCTTGCAACGTCGTTCTTTATTGCATATGCTGTGGCGGAAATTCCTCAGGGTGCCCTTCTGCAAAAATTTCCCATTACCAAGGTTCTCGGAGCCAATGTCTTTTGCTGGGGTGTAATCCTCTGTTGTTCGTCAGCTGCCTCTAACTTCTCTCATATGCTTGCGTTGAGAATCCTCCTAGGATTGATGGAGGCTGTTATTGGTGAGTCCTCTGCATGACTGTGTTATAGAATGCGACTGATGGTCCTTGCTAGCACCTTCTCTTACCATGTACACTAGTATGTGGTATACTCGAGCAGAGTCCACACCGCGCTACGGGTTCTGGTACTGTGGTTTGGGCGTTGGGCAAATCATCGGTGGACTGATTTCTTTTGCTGCTCAACATGCCCCTGCAAAGTTGGCTTTCGGAGGCTGGCGCATCATGTTTGTAGCAGTTGGTGCTGTCAATGTCTTGGTATCTATGCTTGTGTAAGGTCCGACTAAGTTTCTTGTCGATTATACTCTAACCTTGCTTTACATAGGATATTTATTCTTCCCAACAGCCCCGAGAGCGCCAAATTCCTGACTGAAAGTGAGAAGCTACGAATTGATCAGCGTTTGACCGATGATTCAGCTGGCGTTGGGCTCAAGGTCTTCCGCTGGCGGTCTATTCTTGAAGCATTTGGAGATCTGCAGACGTGGATGCTCGTCTTGCTCACAATCCTCATCACAATTCCCAGTGGCGTCATAACTACATTCTCGGCTATCCTCATCAAAGGATTCGGATACAGCTCCAAGGAAAGCGCTTTACTGAACATGCCTTCGGGTATCGTGAGCATCGTGGCAACCATGGTGTCTACATATACAATCTCAAAAGGCTTTTCGAGATGGCTGGCGATCGATTTGCTATTGCTTCCAACCCTTCTGGGATCCTGCTTGATGTCCTTCCTTCCATCTGAGAATCAAGCTGGCTGTTTGGCCGGTATTTATCTCGTCAATACGGTAAGTCAAGCCAATATTTCAAAATAGCAGATAGCTGACTTAACAGACCGTCGCACCCCTAGCCCTTATCTATGCATGGACAGGAGCCAACTACCGGGGCTTCACAATGAAGGTAAATGCTATAGCTCGTTATATCTAGTTCCTTTCGCTCACATTTCTAGGTCTCTGGTGCTGGAATTGTCGCTGCAGGCTTCAGCATTGCGAACATCGTTGGCCCTCAGACTTTCCAAGCCAAAGATGCGCCCCAGTAAGTCATCACACGAACGAAATAACACGGGATTGGAACTAACCCATACAAAAGGTACATACCGGCAAAGATCACCATTGTAGCGGTTAACGCTGCTGCTATTGCGGTTTCTACGGCCCTGAGGATGTTGTATGGAAGGCGTAACGCAGTTGCTGATCGACTTGGTACACCGGCACGTAGTCGGATAGAGACACGATTGGCTAGTAAGGGGGCCGTTCGCGACACGCAAGACGATGACAATTTCCGCTATGTGTATTGAGAAGTCATTTTTCATGTATTCAATGACATTACTGCAGACTACACCCTGTTAATCTATCACAATCTATGCCACAATGCCTAAAGTTCAGATATCCCCGTCCTGTTTCATTCAAGTAGGGAGTTGCAGGCACTGTCCCCATTGGGAAAGGTGTGTAAATGCATCACATTTCTTACTTGCCAACGTAAATTTCCCACAGCTGCCACGGACCCCCTCCTGAGGAAGGAAGTGTATTTCTCAATCGGATTAGACACTGTCGGAATGGCATCTTCTCTCAACCAATACAAAAAGCTAATGATATTTCCACGGACCCCGACGCGATCTCATGAGCTAAGTCCTTGTAGCATATCTATCTACCCGACGGCCGCGCGGGACTACCCAGATACTGTAGCAGCCGACCAGAACGACTTACTAAACTGTTCGAAGTAGATTAAACCTTGTCCAAGGTTCCACGGTTGACCCAGCTGTATTTCTATTCCAAATGCCCTCTAATTGAGCTTGCAGTCAACGTTTACTCGTCTATTTTTACCTAAAGAAATATCGAAAATGGCTCCTGTAGAGGTGGGATCTATGGTGCTAGTGACCGGTGGCAACGGCTTTATTGCCGCCCACTGCATCGCAACTCTTTTATGCTCCAAGTATCGCGTTCGGGCGACAGTGCGCTCCGTTGAGAAAGGAGAGGCTACGCGCAGGTCTCTGAACGCTGGTGGAGTTAGCAATCTTTCTCTCCTTGAAATCGCTGTTGTGCCCGATCCAACCGATCTCAAGGCTTTCGCTGCCACACTCGAAGGTTGTCAGTCAATCTTGCATTTGGCGTCTGCGTTCAATTACGATGCAGTCCCTGGAGAATTTGAAGAAAAGCTCATGATCCCCGCGGTCAAGGGTACACAGGTCGTCTGCGAGGCTGCTCGGTTGAATCAGAATGTTCGCCGTGTTGTGATCATGTCGAGTTTTGCAAGCGTTTATGATGCAAGTCTGGGCCTGCAACCGGGGCGTGTCTATACTGAAAAGGACTGGTGTCCATTGACCTATGAAGACGGCGTGAATGCATCGATGGTGGTGAGTACATAAACCCATATTCACTATTATATTTTCTCTGATAATATCCAGCCCATTGCGTATCGCGCGTCCAAAGTTGTTGCAGAGCGCGCTGCTTGGGATTACATCCGTGACAACCCAGTTCAATATCAGCTGATGACGCTATGCCCTGGAATGGTTTTCGGCCAGATGATCCACCCGATTTCCTCTCTTTCCCATCTCAACGCCAGCAATCAGATTATCTGGCAGGTCATGAGTGCAGGAAAGGATGCCAAGCTTCCACCCACCAAAGCTCCTGGTATGTCTTTTTTCCAAATTGAGACGCATAAACTAAATTTTCGACCTTTAAGTCTGGATTGATGTGGAGGATTTGGCCGAAACAAGTTTGAAAACATTAACATTCTCAGGCACCGGCAATGAGAGGTTTCTGGTAACCCAGGGGTCCTATGATACGCAAGAGGTTGCCGATATTATTCGTTCTAGGCTTTCGGACAGGCATCGTGCTCCAGTGGGCGAGCCTGGGAAGCGCATTGCGGCTACACACTACTCATGCAATTCTTCAAAAGCACAGGAGCTTTTAGCGATGAATTTTCGAACACTGGAGGAGTCAATAATTCCATTGGCGCATCAGCTTTATGACATGGAGGGAATTTGTGCCAGTACCATTTAATAAGAACAAGACCAAACAGAAATACAAATACTGAGCTTTGAAGGCATTACCCCAAATTAGACGCCGCTGCATTACTGGGTCGCCATTTCTTCCATCTCGCCTATAGCACATTAATCTTACCTAACGTTGAAAAAAATACAGAAAGCTAAATTTCAACTATACTTTCATTATGGAACGGTACTAATGCATCCAAGACACGTAGAAAAAAAAAGAAGAATTTATTGTATTGACACCTTCCGTTTCACTGAAATCTTTTATCCTTTCCATCATGCATGCAGCGTAGACTTAATATGCTCAGCCGTCATGTCAATAAACTCCTTAGCTTGCCATAGATCTGAAGAAAGTGTTAGTACAATGTAAGGCCGTGGGAATAAAGCCGATAACATACCCTTATCCATATGCATGAACGGGTGGGGAACACCCAAGAATCGCTTCTGAATCACCTCAGTCCCAGCTTCAATCAACCTCTTAGCATATGCCTCGCCCTCATCACGCAGAGGATCGCATCCGGCGGTATAGATGACAGTCCTCGGTAGGCGTGTGAAATCAGGCGCATCAAGAAGATTGGCATACCACTTCACAGCCCCAAGTTGCGATTCACGATTGGGACCCTTGGCATCAATGCTTTGCCATTTGAGAGTATCAAACCACTTCAATCGCGCCCAGTTGAGTGTTGGTGCGTGTTCCATCTCTTGCATCGAGGGCCAGGGGGCCTCAGATGCGGACTTGTACGAGGCAATGTTGTCCACAGTTGGTGTGCCGACAGCAATAAGCTTCACGGTAATATCGCTGTCACGAGCCAGATGGGCGCATACCAAAGCGATGTTGCCCCCTGCTGAGACGCCACCTAAGGAAATTCGGGTGGGGTCAATTCCGAACCTTTCGGCGCCTTCTTTGTGAATATAGCGCAATGCCGCAAACGAGTCTTGAATACCAATTGGAAAAGCGTGTTCAGGGACCAGACGATAGTCGACATCAATAACACAAACGTTGGCCTTGTTGCAAATATGTTTCAAGATGTGTGATTCTGTATCAAGATCGCCGAGGCCCCAACCTGTTATTTGTGTCAATAAAATTCAAGTCTCATTGTCGATTTTCTTACCGCCGCCGTGAAAGTCCACGTGCACAGGCCATGGCCCAGGTGACTCAGGCTCGTATACCCGGACTGAAATCAGATCCCCATTGTGACCGGGAACTTGCGCATCATAGATACGTGCACAGTCTGGAGCAGGGCCTGTGCCATATGAGTACAAGACTGAGTACTTTGTGCGCAGGATGCTCAGGTCGATTGGCCCCGAAGGTGTGTGTGCAACATTATCGTTATAAAGCTGAACGAACACTGGGTCCAAATGGGGAAGGGCCGAGGGGTGGATAGGATTCAAAGCTTCGTGCGACATGATTTCAGTTTGAAGATGATCGTAGTTACCAGAAAGTACAATGCCCCAGATCACTTTATATTGTTATAGTCTTGCGCACGTAGCGAATAAACAATGCCTTTTCTTAGTGAAGCCTTCATCCGTCGCAGCTTGCCGACGGACGGACCCCCGCTTCTTATCTAGGCGACGGGTTCGGAAGGGTCAGATACGGCGGAGAGCAAAATGAGAGGTAGGCGTGGGTAACCAGGGGTTATATCCTCGGCATTTTCCACCGGTATACGGTTGCTATCTTCAATATTACCAAGTGACTCGCTCAAGGGTCATACTTAATACTCACCAACCCTGAGCTTATAGTTGCTCTCAGTTTGTTAATTTATTCTCCTACCACGACACCATGGATCCAGTGCTCATTGTGGGAGCTGGCATTGTCGGCCTGACCCTTGGGCAATCGCTAAAGAAACAGGGGATCCCCTTTGAGGTAAGCTTGATCAACAGGGTCTGAATCTGAATCAGCGGATGCTCAGTTAATACGGATTAGATCTATGAACGTGATTTAAATCCAGAAGTGCGTGGTCAAGGATGGGCAATTACTATTCACTGGGCATTGGAGTCCATGTTCAAAATGCTTGACAAATCGACCTTGTCTCGCATTCAAGACGTTCAAGTGGATCCGGAAGTGGCCCGGAATGACAGCGGAAACTTCCTCTTTATCAATCTCGAGACGGGAGAACCAAAATTCAAGATCCCACCCAATGTGCGGTGGAGAGTAAGTCGAGAGAAGATGCGTCGTGCACTGATGAACGGTATTGAGGATCACATTCATTGGGGTCGAAGGGTCACTGGTTTAAGTCTACCGAAAGACACCCATCAAGTTCAACTCGTCTTTGAAGACCAGACAAATGTCACAGGAAGTCTAGTCGTGGGTGTTGAGGGCAGTCGTTCTATAGTGAGGCAGTTCCTCCGACCTGACGCCTTTGACAATCAAAACCTCGGAATCAACTTCACCGGGGTCGCCGTGGATCTGACGCCAGAAGAGATCAAACCCCTGCGCCAAATGGACCCATTACTATTTCAAGGCTGCCACCCACCGACTGGGGCATTCTTTTGGTTCTCCATGCTGGAAACGCCGCAAGTGAATGGAACAGCAGGGACCGGTGCAGAGCGATACCGTGCACAGATCTGCATGTCCTGGCCAGAGAAAAGGCCAGAAGACAAGGTAGCAAGCACAGATGAAGCTCGCCTGGTCAATATGAAGAACCGGGCACAAGGATTCGTGCCATTTCTCCAAGACGCAGTCAATCGTATTCCCGCTGGAACACCAGTCACCGAGATCAAGCTAGCAGATTGGGAGTGTCTGGCTTGGGATAACCAGGGTGGTCGAGTGACACTAGCAGGCGATGCAGCACATGCCATGACAATGTGTAAGCTCATCCTTTCGGTCAACATTGGTGGATACTGACTTTTCTAGATCGTGGGGAGGCGGCGAATCACGGAATCCTCGATGCGTACCGTTTGATGCAGGCTATTGAGCGCATCCACAGCGGGTCTTCAAACCCATCAGCTGCAATTAATGAATATGAAAACGAAATGAGAGACCGTACAAGTCGCGCCGTGCTTCTCAGCCGCCAGGCCTGTAAAGATGCACATGACTGGAGCCGACTAGATGAGACATCAGCCATACTGACCAAGAGGGCCGTGTTGGCCACTTGAAGACTTGATTGCAGGTTCATGTTTATTACGAATGACCATCATTCAAACAATAAAGAATAAAAATTCAATGTAAATTGCTAAGAGGGCGCCAGAACTGAAAAGAAGAATGGTATATAAGTCAGATTGAGTCCTAATAGGTGTGCCAATTCTATAACGTAGCCCTAGTTCCAGAATGTTTTCAATTGACAAGAAGGCCCTGACAGGGTGATAAACCTCTGGTGAAACTTGTTCCTGCTTTGGCTTTGACAATACCGATCTAGGAAGAAAGATGGATACACAATAATCCGGCACAAGCATAGAAACGAAACGAAATTAGACCTACCGCCTGATTAATCGGGAGTAAATCTAGAGTGCAATCATGCCAATACCCGCCAGGAGTGCGGTGGCCAGATAGGCACCAATCTGGTAAGATCCGAAGGTAACACTGGATTGAATGCTCATAGCACCGCCGCTGGAGGAGGTCGAAGTGCCGGAAGAGGAGCTGGAGTCAGCAGTGGCGGTGGCTTCAGTGGTGACGGTGCCGGTGCCAGCGGTACCAGCCTCCTTCATCTGGGCGGAGCAAGTACCAGTGGCACTGGTAGTGGCCTTGGTGGTAGCAGATCCAGCAAAGCTACAGGCGGAGGCGGAGCGGTCCTGCTCCACGTAGTACTTGTTCAGGGCGAAGGCGAGCTGCTGCTTGGCAGTGCACATGCTGTAGGCACCGTACTCGCCAGTGGTGGCATTGCGGTCAACACCGCCACAGTCGGTGTAGCCACAGACAGTGCTGAACAACTTGGAGTACTTGCTAGTGGCGAGGTCATCGGCCACAACACAGCCGGCGGCATCGTACATGCACTCGCAAAGATCAATATCGGCGCTAGGGGGCAGAGGAGACGCTTTGGCCAACCAGTCGGACCCAACAGTAGGGCAACTTTGCAGAGCGGTGTTTGTAGGAGTGTATGATGCCTTGTTGGTGCCGGTAGGGTCGGCAGTAGCAATGTGCTTGGAGTAGGATTTAAAGTCGGCCATGGTGCTGACACTGGTGCTGTCGACAACGGAAACCAGGCCTGTATCAAGGAATGAGCGGTCGAATCATCTTGTTATCGGGGAATCACTTACCGTAGTTGTTGGTCTCCTGGAAATACATGTACACGATACCACCGGACCACACTTCAGCCATGGTGTCGCCATACAGGGCAGTTACCTCAGTGAACTGACGTGGAGTGACATCGTTACAACCATATTCGGCGAAGAAGACGGGAACGGAGTAGTCGCGGAACTCCTCAGTGCGAGTGTTGTAGCCAGATTCGGTGTATGAAGAGTTACCACACCATGAGTAGATATTGTAGCCCCAGAAGTCAATAGTCTCGTCGGAGCTCTCGCAGTCGAAGTAGTCGGCCATGTTCTCACGGATAGCAGATACATCAGCAGTGGCGTATCCAACACCCATTGACCGGTAACCCTTCTGCTTAATGTACTTCTTCATATCACGAACGGCAGCCTTGACGAAGGCACTGGCGTCCGAGGTAGCGACGGTGTTAGAAACCTCGTTACCGGCGAAGAAACCAATGGTGTTGTTGTACTGGGAGAGTTCATCAATGACGCTGGTGTACCGGGTGTAGAGCGAGGTTTCCCAGGTAGGGTCACTACGGTCGATCGATTGGGAGGGGTCAGAAAGATCAGAGATCAAGTAGATACCAGCCTCTGACAACAACTTCATACAGGCGGAGTGGTCGGCCGAGGCATTGATGGCGTAGGTACGAATGACGTTGGTGCGAAGCTCCTTCATAATAGGAACATCACGCGCACAAGCAGTGGCATCGGCCAGAGGGTCAGTGTAGCTGTTTCCATCGGCGGTTTCTGTAACATGTTAGTTGGAATATTTGTAGATTAATACGAGAAACCGACGTTGATAGGCGACACCGCGAAGGTAGCTGTGATTCTTGTTAACATAGAGATTGGGACTAGGCATACGATTGTGACTTACAACTGGGTGTTGTTGCTAGAGTAGAAGAACTTGGAACCCTGTACGTGGGAGTCTTAGTATTGGATACTTGTATGTCTCCTCAGGAAAAGGTATTACCTTGATAACAATAGGATCCAAATCAGCCACAGCAGAGCCGACCAGAGTCGCCAGTGCCACCAAAGAAAACCTCATGGTGAAATGTTGTGTGGATCTATGTACCACAGGTGTATATAGCGAGTGAATGAAGCTGGATTGGATTGAACAGAAAGCAAAAAATAAAAGAGAGTTGAGATCTGACAACGAGTGAATGACGAACGTTTGGTACGTCGCTGAAAGAGGAGACAGGACAAAAACAAGAGGGATTCATGGTGGCTTCACGTCCAGCGGCCATTAATAGTCTCAAGACAGCCACTAGATGAACCCGATTTGTTCGCCTCCCCTGAAATCAAACGGGACGCGTATAACTGACCCAACTTGAATCCACTCCAAATTTGGCTAAGTGGATAGTGGCCACCAGTGAATAGCTTTAGGCTACTGACGCCCGGATGTCAATTTTGCCAGACCGGGGTGATGGACCGCGTCAACCGACATTAGGGCTTGAGGTAGAGCGTATCGGTTCAATAAAACCGAGCGAATAAAACTTTGCCATGACCGAGTCCCACATACTAAGCGTATCTTGGTTTCTGCACACTAGGCTAGGTCTGGTGTTCCAAGATGTTACCGGGCGTGTACCAGTCAGGCTGTGTGAGAGACAGCTCGCTCCCAACTCGGGGTTCAAATCTCAATAAGCTCCGAGACACTGCTCTATCATCCTAATAATAGTTGAAATGGTCGGTTGGATAAATGTTATTGAGAACTAGCGAAAAGTGAAAATATTCACAGGCTGACGCGGTGTGGTGGGGCGTTTTTCTTGGAATGGCGCCAGCAGTGCGTGTTCTCTGTCTGGGTATCGCGAACTTCTGGTTTTTGACTAGAACAGCTATAATTATTCTAAGCTAGGCAGAATAGAATATTAGTCAAGTTGAGGCGTTGCTTGGTCCTATTATGGAGTGCATCGCAGCCAAGCACATCTCCAAACCGAAGCGACCCTCGGACTTGTTTTCTCCGCAAGGTAAAGTCCGATCCACTGCAATGACTGGACGAGATAATTGCTTTATTTATTTAGGATCAGATGGGTGGGCCATGGCAAATGCTTAATTTGCTCCTGGGAAATCAGAGCGTGGGATACAGTCGGTCCCTTTTTATACTTTGTTTGTTGTTCGAACACATATAGTTCGAAGTCGGCTATTAATGTTGAGCTATTCCAGGAACTACATGTAGATCTAACGGGTACTTATAAGGTTCTTGTCTCTTCAGCCAGTGACGTATCGATATCGGTCCACCCCGAGTATCAACCGACTCGGTGGATGCGTCGACCCCGGAAGATGTACTAGGAGACCACTTCAAATTTTAGAAATGCAAGGTTTTGTTTAATGATCCACATAATCGGAGATCAACAGGTGGTTCTCTGGTCTCGATCATGAGCTGACCATCACCATTTTCAAAGCCAAGTAGTCTTCTGGATGATTTTAAATATCGATCCCGAGACACGTAGAGTGACCGAAGTATGTTGATTTACATTGACGACGGCGCTGAGTTCTGTCACGGTGTAAGTACGGCACTGACCGTGGGTACAAAGCAAATCGCTCTCGATTTTGGAGATTACAGTGTTGTCGAGGCGTCTCAGTTGAAATGACTGCATTGAACATTGATATCTCCGTGACTCCATATCGTGAAACTGAATAATAACACATCAAAACCCCGTTCGCGAATTGAAATTGGCATCAAAAGCGTCCCTTCGTTCCGTTCTGGCGTGATAATTTTATCCATCCCATTGTTCACATCCTGTTTTGTTTTCGGTGGGCGTCAATTGCTGCATCGAATGACCGAATTGTGTCTAGGGGACGCTCGAGACGACTTCTGGTGGGGTTGGAGAGATCGGGGTCGGCTATCGTTGAGTTAGAATTGATGTCTCCACAGTAAATGACTGGTTCTCTCTTACTGATGATTTTACCCTCGCGATCCTTGTGCTGGATGCTTCTGAGGGAGAATTGATTGTGGGTTCCTGGCTGGGTATTCACAGCAGCTAGTTGGGGTCAGTACGAGTTGCAACTAGTGCGAAGACTTCCAAACATACTGGGTTGCTCTTCATATAGGGCCATGTTGGGGTCGGCCTTGCTCTGTAGTGAAGTCTTGGGGCTGTGGTGTGACTTGACCGAGCCAGAGCGCTCGCTAGATGAGAATGAGGCAGGCATTGTGAATATGAAATGATTATAGTACGAAAATGGTTATAGTGTGAACTTCACTGTATTGATTCTAAAATAATAATGTGCCAATCCAGGGAGGCGAATGGGTCCTATATATAACCCACGGATCCCTGTCCGCTGTCAGGTACCTCTAAGAATAGATCTAGAAAGCCAAGATCACGCAACAAGTGGCGAGATTGGTCATTGGGCCGATCTTGCTCGTCAACCACGGGTGACTTGCATTTTATCCAATTCCGTTATGACGCTGGAGTCCCATTTCAGGGCTAACTTTTAGCAGAATGCTTAGTATGCATCCTGACCAATCTGAGGGCTTCGTGCCTGGGAGCCACGCAAGCTCGGTGGCTGTAAGGTCTCGCCCACTCTAGGCACCCGCAATCTATCCTCCGATCATCCGTTTGAACCCGCGTTGCGCTGCAATTGTGCATCACATGCAGGTACCTTGTAATGTACTTGCGTTGTATATTGTATACACAATAGTGCACAATAGTGACGACACATGCTGGTGGAGATAGATCGACGGTTTCAAAAATGTGACAGGGACACGCCCCATTCTTCCTTCAGGAACAATCGATCCTACTCTGCCTATTAGCCAATTAGAATCACAAGGAGTGGGATCTCACATGGCTCTGCCCTGCAGGGTCCTGATAGCCATATTTCCTAGGGCAGGAATGTTCGTGTCATATACCACTTATAGTTTGAGCAACATCAATCAGCTTTCGAGTTATAAACACATCAACATACTAGATTAATAGAAGGTTTCTCAACTCAATTTCAATTCCACGGCAAACACAAATACTACATTTGTCACATTCCAGAACAATCAGCGAGCAGGCAGCGCTATTCACCTAATTGGTGAACAAAATCTGAGAAGTTTAGTGGGGCGAAGATCATCGCGGCCATCACAGTCGAATTACTTCAGCGCGATGTCACAGCCCCCTATTCCGGCGATGGAAAAAGGCCGAAACTGTCGATCGCCGCATTTGAAACATTACCCCCAGCATTCCAGGCGTCGAACATTCTTTCTGTTTCGCTGACAAGTCCGGAATGTTCATCCGGGCCCCTTGGGGAAGCCCAGCCCTCGGGAGATCGAGAGGTTGGGTCGAACGTACATTCACACGGATGTACTCCGCAAGCAGAGCATTGACGAGTGACCAGGGTAGCGTCTCACTTGTTCACCGTTTAAATGCGGTTGGTGTTAATGGTGGCGTCTTCCAAAGCCTTGACGTTGCGTACTTTTCGCTCATCGCCGAGATGGTCCTCCCGAGAGGCTGGGTTACTGCGTGACTGCGTGGCACGCAAACCGCGACGGTGTGCGCATCAAGCCATAGTTGCTCCTGATTACAATAGCATTCTTCTAATCGCAATTGGGCCAAGCCACCAGATCCGGGCTAATTCGCGCCAGTGCTTGAAGCAATCATTCCGGAGCATGATAGCCAGGATTCTCCATGTGAGAATGCGAGTGTCTCTGGCCACAGCAGCAAAAGTGAAGTGGAGGAAAAAATCATCTCTCAGCCCCCTAGAGTCGGCCTTGGAGAGATCACTGATTCCAAGAGTCACTGAATCAATCTTCACTTTCGCATCACACTCCAGTTCACCCCTTCTTATCCTGGGTGACGACCACATTTGATCGGACGAAAGCTCGATTGTACCGGAACGAATGGAACGGTACCTTCTTTGCTGCGTTTGGTGTATACATATTACATTCTTGCACCCATTGTCACTCCCGAACTGTGTAGGAATCGTATCGGATTCTGCCGTTATGCACTACCAAATAGCGGTCGCTGATCTCTTCTTTAAACGCTGCTCATGTCTTTCCCCTGGCTCGTCGATGAATTGTATCTTGTCCGTAGATATCCAGCCGTATTTCTTGAGCGATGACGCGATGGTTGTTGGTCTCTGCCTTCGCAGCAGTGTTGTTTCAATGATTGTTCGGTAAGCAGGACAATCCCGTCTGAGTCCTCAAAGGTGTTTTGATGAGGCTATGCCGATCGGTACTCATATGATTTCGTCCGTGGCCCTGTGGCCATACCGTCGTTATTCTCTTGGTGTACGGTGATTCTCGCGGTAAGGTCGGTAAGGAGCTGTTTGACATCAATTAACAGGACGCAGGGTCTTCGGGGCATAAAAGCCAAGATGTAGCTGTGGTTTAGTGGTTTTGATTGGCACCAGGCACCTGGTCCTTTCTGTTTTGAAGAGCGTCACTGGGATAAAACTGGGTGGAATGAAGGGGTGACTTGGCACTCAAGGTGGGGGCGGTGGCAATTGCCCAAAACCATTCATTGAGCCACGGAGATATTTTAACTGCAAAATCATAATATAGCAATATTATCACTATGTACAGTATACTTGTTTCAAATGGGAAACAAGGAGCGTGACAGTTTGTTTAAATTAGAACATGATCCAATCGAAAGTAGGTATAACTGAGCTGACGTGGATATATATATCTCGGATCATATTGGATCATATATGTGAATAATCTTTCCTATGTTATTAGAGGATGATTGACTACAAAGAAGGGACTATACACCTAGGCAAGCTAAGATCTATTCGGCAGGTCTCCGGGTGTTACTTGGTCAAGCCCATTGACATCGCGATGCGGTCAGGCCAGGCCTTGGAGTTTCCCACGGATTGTGGACCTGTAGGGTGCAGCCTTGTCTGTTCTTGAGCCAGCGTGGTCATCTCATTGGGATCGGTGACCGTCTCCACTTGAAGCTTGGCTGTTCTTAATGCTAACCATGGCGAGGCTTCTTTTCGTCGAGTTCGATCGGACACAAGAACAACTAGAAGCTGTTGGAGTAGTGCAATAGCTGAGTGGATGCCTTCGTGGGAGTATTTTGCCAATGTATCTGCTCTTGGATCAGAGATGACCCCGAAGAAAGACTGTGAACTGTTTCCACTCGATGCTTGTTTTGTCTTGATGCCAGCCAGCATTTGTGATTCTAGAACCCGTAGGGTATCTTGGCTCGTCTCAATTTCACGGATCAGACACTCTCTTTCCCTAGAGGTAGCCTGGGGGGACGCAACAAGCGCTTTGCTTCTGGCAAGGAAGCCGGGACATTGAGCTATTTCATTAAATGCATACTCGATCAGCACGCCCAGAGGGCAGGATTTGCCTCTTCGCTCTTCATCATTCAGGGCCTCTGGGAGAATAGACCTCCATTCTTCATCTTCGAGAAAGCATGCCTCGCCGCGAGCCAGTGCTTCAAATACCAAAAATCCCCGAAAGGATAATATCAAGGTGCGACCGATCCCAGATGTATGAGCCTTCGGTCCCCGAACGCGGAAGAGATGGCTGATGCCTCGTGAATGAGTTAACCACCCTTTCTGTTCTGTGGCATTGACCATTTCATATATGCCGACAAGAATGGCGGCTGCAAGAGTTGTATCTGCGTAGACAAGAGATGGACTTTTGATTGCTTGAATCAGATGCTGGAGTGTACGTCCATACATCTCTCGACTGGCGAGCATTTGTCGTCGATCGTTATTTGCTTTGCCCAGCTGCCATGTTCCGATACTGCGCAAGGCCCAGTCAAGCGATCTACCGGTCTCTCGTTCGTTTCGAGCTATGTCAAACCAATTCACATCCACAAGACCGAGGTATCCATAAAAGATGCCTGGGAAGACATCATCGACAAAGGCACAAAAGCCCTCTCGCCGACGCTGGCCAAGCACCCCGGCAACCAAGTTCGGAACTATAGCCTCATCCATTGATTCCTGCGCGATTAAAGAGTGGTGCTGCAGCTCATGTGGATAATTGGTGGGGGGATGATTGGTCGAGGTGGTTGCCAGGGAACCTGTTTGATGTGTAGATTCCGATGGCTTGATCTGGCTGGATGCACCATATTGATGATAAAACTTTCGCTCTCTTATATATCCGGGACATGGTAGCCCCCTCTTTTTGCAAGACTGACATTCTGGCTGGTTTTCATCACACTGCGATTTTTGCGCATTAGTTTGCGGCAAGGAAGACAAACAAGATGGAGGCTAACATACTTTGACCCGTCGCTGGAGACATGCCAAACAGCCTCTGCTGCGTGGTACACCGACCATCGCGGCTGCTTAATCCTGAGTGCAACAGGCAGGTGAACAAGAGGCGCAAAGGGGGACACATGTCGAGAATACGAGGCCCCGCGGCTCAACCGTTGCCGCGCCATTTTTTCCCGCATTGGACGCTCTGCGGGGACTCTTGGCTTTCAACAATTGGTGCTTGTCGCGACCCGGTCAATTTAGCATTTTTCCACGAAAAGGATCGCCGTGTTACGACGGGCTGTCGTGCTTCAATAGGGTGAGTGCCCTCCCAAGTGGTCCGACCCATATAGTTGAAGCATGCGCGCAAGGTTGATTGCTACAACGTGTTCAAGATGTTGTCATCATTTTGTTTGAGATATAGGCTGATATAGCCTGCAAAAACAGCGAATAATGTCCGGCGTTGTATATGAGAGGTGAACATATCCAAGTCGAGCATGGCATGTCATTCAAAGCCAGGCTTTCATTTGCCCGACTGGAATCTGAAGGCAAGCATAGAGCAGGACCGTGTGGCATGTCATTGTCGAGTGTCATTGACCTGGCTCAAGACACCGGGAGATGCGACGAGAAAAGGGTCGAAGATCTGGTCTTCGTAAACCCTAGTGATGAACCAGCCCCATTCTGATAGAGAAAGCCAGCTTTTGGGATGGCATTTGCTGACTGGAAACTGAGAGTTTGAATTGTGTTTATGTAGCAAGGCGAGCAGCAAATCCAGGGAAGATGCCAACGTATCACGTGTGATGACGTCTGATTAGGCTTGTTGCGCTAAAATATTCTCTCTCGCTATATAGCACGGAACTTCAGTGATGTGACATTTCTAGTTTCTTTCGCATTGCATAGGACTCTTCACTGTAAACATCTATTGACAAGCTCCTCGTCCGTGACCATATAGCCGATTCGGCACTCGTTGGACCGAACCCTTCCCCCGCGTCGGAACATCGGGAAATTGACACTACAACAGAATATATGAAGTCACCGCTTCTTTAAATAATTTCAAGCGTCCCGTTTCTAATACTGATTGATCATGAAGTCACCTCTCTCCTTCACTTGCCGGCCCTTGGGCCTGGTCCAGTCTGTGAGATTTTCATACATTACTTCGCGTCTATACTCAAATCGCTCAGGAGGTCGTCCTCTTCCCCTTGCTGGCGTGACAGTAGTCAGTCTTGAACAAGCTATCGCGGCACCTTTTTGCACACGACAACTTGCCGACCTCGGAGCCCGAGTCATCAAAGTCGAACGACCTGGTGTCGGCGATTTTGCCAGGCAGTATGATGCCCGAGTCTCGGGACTAGCATCTCATTTTGTGTGGACAAATCGCAGTAAAGAGAGTCTAGCACTTGACCTTAAGGATGAAAAAGACCATGCTGTCCTCATGAAAGTCCTCGGCAAGGCCGACGTGCTCGTCCAGAACCTGGCTCCAGGAGCCAGTGCCCGACTAGGCCTATCTCATGAGAGTTTGAAACACAAACACCCCGGTCTGATCGTTTGTGATATCAGCGGATACGGCCAAAATGGTCCATACATGAAAAAAAAAGCATACGACCTCATGATCCAAAGCGAGGCAGGCATGCTATCAGTGACTGGCACCGGGAAAGAGCCTGCTAAGGTTGGAATCAGCATTGCAGATATTTCAGCTGGAATGTACGCATATAGCAATATTCTTTCAGCATTGCTACAGCGTGGGAAAGATGGCCTGGGGTGCCAGATTGATATCTCTATGCTCGAGAGCATGGTAGAGTGGATGGGTTTCCCAATGTACTATGCCTTTGACGGCGCCCCTGGTCCGGTACCAGCAGGAGCTTCACATGCTGCAATTTATCCTTATGGCCCATTTGATACTGGAGATGGGTCGGTCATGCTTGGCATTCAGAATGAACGCGAATGGCAAAGTTTTTGCGCAGGAGTTCTCTCACAGCCTGATCTGGCCACCGACTCGCGTTTCTCAAGCAACCCCCTGCGCGTCCAAAATCGGGATGCCCTCAAAAATGCAATTCAAGACGTATTCTCGAAGTTAACTTCAGAAGAAACGATTGCCCGGTTGGAGGAAGCCTCTATCGCCAATGCCAATGTCAATGATATGCAGAACGTCTGGGAGCATGCCCAACTAAAAGCCCGCAACCGATGGACCCAAGTGAAGACTTCCGCCGGTGTTGTCCCGGCTCTTTTACCTCCTGGGACGACCCAATCAGCGATGGGTCCGATTCCAAAGGTTGGGGAACACAATGAGGCCATACTCGCGGAGCTGGGTTTGGCTTGATCGATATACAAATAGAATTCAGGACAAACAAGAAATTAAGTCTTAGACTTCTATGGATTTGTATCATATGCACAGGGTATCAGGTTGAAAACATTGATATATGGAGATGTACTACAAAAACCGGTAAAGGAACTCAAGGTTCTGTGGGTTCAGATAATCCGGATTTGATAATGAGCCCGCCATCCCCATCACATCATCACCCTCCATGTTCAACAATTCATACCAATCCATATTTATCGCTGCATCCTCTGTTGGATCTTGGAGAGTCACTGGATTTGTACTCGGCCACAAACCTTCCTGTTGATTAGGAGACAGCAGTCCGCGTGGGCCACTAGTTGGAGTAGGAAGTGAGGCTTCTGCAAGGGTTGGAAGGCCGTTAACTCGTGATGTAGATGGTGAAATTGTAGCATCAACCAGTCGAAGATCGCGAGCTGTGCGATCGTCCAAACAGCGAAAGAATAGATCTAGGACCCAGTTCTCCAAGTCCCAGGACTTCTGTAGTTCCTTCAGTCCCAAAAGACAAAGCTTAGCTCTATGTTCTGCCAACTTGCGGGATGTTCCGGTAACTCGTCCAAAGTGAATGGTATGAATACACAAAGCCGAAAAAGTGTGAGTTATTCTGGTCACATTAGTCCACCTATCGTCTGAGAGACTAAAAGCTAGTCAATAAACAAGACTCACAAGTGAAGAGACCCATGTTGAACCAAGTTCTCCGACAGCATGTCCTCAAGAACGCGCGTGCTTCTTGTTGCGGCATCTAACGCCATATTCCCCTCCGATTTAGTTGATCGCCCAGGGGGCTGCAAGAAGAGCGGTCTGTATAGAAGAATATATAGGTTGCTTCGTTTGTGTTAGCCCCACATCCTCAAAAAAAATACCAAGAATCATACTTATAAGCCATGTGAAGCATGCCAACAAGAAACATGGCTTCCCTAGTCATGGGACTTTGGAACTGCAACTCCCTTGGCAGGTTGGACTTCCATTCAATCAAATCTTGATGAAGCATTGGTCTAGCTGGGTTATCCAACTTAGAATGGCCTGGTAGATACTGAGTGGAAACGATTTCTCGTACTGAGGATTAAATATTAGTGTTTGTGTACTATTGGTGGGATGTAGGACACAAACATAATCTTGCCAGCTGAGCCATTCCCACGACATATGAAACATGAACTTCCGGTGGTGCTCGAAATATTTCAGATTGATTGATGGGCTCACTCTCCTCGAAGTCTGAGGCTTCAAGGTCGGCCGTTTGGCAATCTTCATCACGTATTCGGGGCGGTAGTCCTAGTGCCGCCGACGTTTGTTGATCCCGAACCTGTGATTTAGTTAGTTCTACCAATCACGTTCAACAGGCTTGATATGAAAATTGTACATATAGAGCCCACCAAAGCCTTTTCCAGACTTTCTGATCTCTTGGATTTAAGAATGACAATTTCGACCTGGCAAAATCAGCTGATATCCACCGTCGGCCAGTACTTCCGGTTCTCAGCATACATGACGTGCATCCCCTTCTTCTGGGCCAGGCCAATGGCAGCACCAAGCCAAAAACGGACATCTCGTTCTTCACTCGGAGTTCCACGCCAAAAGCTCAACAGAAATAGCGATTGCAACCGGATGATCGTATCGGTTTCCCATCCCGAGTCGTAGATATCCTTTGCCCGTTCATAGAATTCACCTTTCGCTTGATACCTATTACGGAAACCAGTAGATTCCAAAGCTGTATCTGAGCATAAGCTGACTCCTATGAACAGCATCGACTGTAGCAACAAAGGTGACAATGTCCCATCTTGGTACCCACTTTGAACGGTGGCCCGATCCAAGATTGGGAAGCATGGATGCAGCCAATCAAAGTAAGCCCGAATAAGTATATCACACATAGCTGGTGCCGGGTATATCAAGGCACCTTCACGGGTAAGGCGATCATGGAGTATTTTACGACGAGGGCCTAGCGAATCAGCGTTATTTCCAGGCGCACCGTTGATTTCAGAGATGGAGTAATGCAATCTTCCGTTTTGAATCGTGCGCGCATAGCCTTTGTCTGGTGATCGGCGACCTTCATCCACAACACAAGTAAGCGGGCTAGATTCGCCAAGAAAGACCGTTTTATGAATAGGATCATCTGTTGTGGCCGAGCGGGAAAGTGAATAATCTGAGCGCTGAGTCAATGGCAATGGTCTGTGAGCCCCTTGGATATCACGCTTATTTGCCGCGCTGTTAGTCGGCGTAGCTGATCGAGCCGATCCCTTGTTCTTACGGCGGGGATACCTGCCAGTTCAAGTAAGCACAGATGGCCAAATAAATGGCTCTAAACATACTTTCCACGCCTTGATTCTCCAATTTCACAAGAGAGATTCCAGGAGATGCAATTTTGGCAGGGCTGCATGTCAAGCACGTTGCACCGAACGCGACGGGAGTTACATGCCAGACACGCCTTCTTTGCACGCGTGCGCGGCCGATCGGTACTTTCCGCCTCCATATTGTGTATGTAAGTAATTGAGGAGTCGGCTTTTCAAAATTCGTAAGATGCCAGATGAGCGAGGATTGTGCTTTTTTGTCCTCCTACATACGACCAAGGTTGTGGGGCTTCTCGGCTTCTTCGGTTATATGCATCGGTCTTTTGCCACCCCTGATCTCATGTCCATAAGCTGGCATATAATGTTTCATTTATTGCACTTGGTTTATAACCAAAACTTGAGGGTCTATGAGAGTAAGTTGAAGAATATGCAGAGTTTTTATATGACCAAATTTGGTTTGTAGATTTCCGCACATACCCCGTTGCATCTTTTCATCTAGCATGCTCGAGCTTCTCAGACTACTGACTGTTGCCTTGAACAGGAAGAAGCTGTAGTCCTCTCCTTCCCGCGCTCAACCTCGTCCGTCACTTGTCTTCATCCACATTTATTACGAGTAGACCTCATAACCGCCCGCGAGCCGCCCTCTGAGGGCCGCCTGTAGACCCGCAGTTTTGCGGGCGGAGGGCGGGCTCTTCCTGCCCGCAGGTAGGTTTTTTACCTTCCCTCTAAGAGCCGATAAATATAAAATACGCTAATTTTGACGGTATTTTTGAGCATTTGTTTTATAGCTTAACTCTTTAGAAAATATTATGGGAATAACTATAAAGGTTTTAGTAAATATCAAATAAATGATTTAAATCCATTTTATCCCTAAGCTCTATCGAGAATAGGTTTGTGGTAGAGTTTCGTCACACAAATATATAATTACGGATTAGAATAATAGGCTAGTCGAAAACGAAGATCAATAGAGTGAAAGGTGTGAATATATATCAGAGAATATAGGTAAGATAAGTCAAAGAGGAAGCGGAAATACGGGAAATAAGAATTGGCTTAGCTTGTTACGGACCTGCAGCCGCAACCTACAAATGGGCCATCGAGAGCCAACCCACTTGGTGTGTCCGATATGGTATAACGGCAGAGGCCAACCATCGGCGCTGCAACTATAGGCACTGAGGAACCTAGGACAGGGATTGTTCTTATCCCAGGACCGGCCACGACTCCAAGAGGAAGCATCACACGTGACCCTGACACATCCTATCGTAGGATAGGACCCCTCTCAGGATAGGACGCACGAGGAATATATAAGGACACTCATTTATATACTGTAGTGGTGAATCCCGTGACGTTAGCATGTTAACGGCTTGAGGTATCATAAATGCCTTAGCAGATATGCAGTCTTCCCCTGCATGGAGATCTCAGCATGATCCAACAACCTCAATATGACTACAGTTATTCACCAAACTTCTCGATTCATGATATAGCATCAGGCCCAGTACGATTTACACCTTCAGAGATTGCTCTCTACGTCTAAATCAGGCCATGGGAGCGGTTGTGTGATCTCTTCGTTAGTATCGACCAGTCCGCTAGGTCAGACTGCCATCGTGCCATTCCCATTACAATACTTAGTTGAGTTCTTCGTGTTCAACCATACATTGTTACTTGTGTCTACTGTTTAGAAACCTTTGGTGACTCGTATAACTTGATTATAACTTGACAACACTACGACTAGACTAATACTCTAGTATATATCAATTCGATGCTATACCTAGTATCACTCCTCGATAACCTCAAAAGGATGTAGCCCGTATAAGGCTTACTATGCAACGGTACGGTTAAGAGATAGATCGTTGACATTAGAAGACAAGGAAGCACAGGCAAGTATAACCTAAGAATCTTCTAACTTAGGGGCGACCCGATAGTCGTGCGTAACACCAGCCCTAAGTCTCCCCCCACCTCCCTCCCCATGGGATAGGGATAATTGTTTTCAGCGCCAGTGATTAGATATGGCATATTCCATGAATGAAACTCGGCCCGATGCATGTCCTAGGGCAATAGTATAGCCTTGCACCGTTGAGCAACTTGGCCGATATTCTGAAGGTAGCCACACCGTCTTTTTACCTAGGATCATTACCCATTGATCGTTCTCTATCCAGATTTTGTCCTCTTTCCGAGGCCAGATAGAACCATGGGTTTGAAACCAAGATCGTATATTGGCGTCGTTCAGATCAGTGCCCATGTATGAGCCATTTTGAAAGGGCTCCAGGGTCGAACTTAGGATATTGCCCCTTGATATCCGCTGCAGGCTTGCACCATTAGAGGAATCCCAGAGGATGAGCATCTCGTCATTCGAGATAGACGCCAGTAGGCGCGAGTTAGGGGAGAATTCGATCGATCGAATGCGGTTGGCATGGCCCTCAAGAAGTCGCTGTTCGACTCCGGTAATTGGATTCCAAATCCTGACGGTTTTGTCGTAGGAACCGGATGCCAGCAATTTTCCATCGGGGGAGAACAGGACTGCCCTAACTGACATTGAATGACCATGAAGAGTTCGTTGAACAACCCGTCTAAAAGAATCCCACAGCTTAACTGTCGCATCGCGTGAGCCCGACGCAAGTTTACGGCCATCCGGGGAGAACGAGACCGAGTAAACCCAATCAGAATGCCCCTCAATATCCTGCTGCTGCGAGGTACCTGTAAAGGAATCCCAGAGCTTAACTGTCTTGTCGTAAGATCCGGTCGCCAGCATTTTCTCGCAAGAGGAAAAGACAACAGACAACACGGGTCCTGAATGGCCCTCGAGTGTTCGAAGCAGAGCGCCCGAAGTTGGGTCCCAGTTTCGAACTGTCTTATCTTTGGAAGCAGAGGCCAAAAATCGGCCATCAGATCCAAAGGCTACAGAATAGACCCAGCCCCAGTGACCTTCAAGAGTCTGTAGCAAGAGACCGGTAGAAGGGTACCGTATCTTGACGGTCTTATCGTACGATCCAGACGCCAAAAGGCAACCGTCGGGTGAGAAAGCCACTGATTTGACCCAGTCTGAATGACCCTTCAGAGTACGCCTCAGCACACCAGTTTTACAGTCCCGAAGTATGATTGTCTCGTCACCAGAGCTAGACGCAAGCACACCATGAGACGAGAATGCCACTGCTTGAACGCGTCCACAATGCCCCCGAAGATTTTGTCGTAAATCACCCGTGAAGGGGTTCCAAAGCTTAACAGACTCATCGTCAGAACCTGATGCAAGTAACTGACCATCAGGAGAAAATGCCACAGAGTTGACCCAATCTGAATGACCTTCGAGAGTCTGTCGTAAGAGGCCTGATGATGAATCCCATATTTTAACTGTGCTATCCGCAGATCCAGTTGCAAGACTTTCATCTGTGGAGAAAGCGACAGAATGAACTCTATCAGAGTGTCCTTCGAGGCTTTTTTGAAGAGAGCCCGTGGATGAGTCCCAGAGCCTGACGACCTCGTCGCCTGACCCGGATGCAAGACATCCGTCAGGCCCAAACGCCACAGAATGAACCGAGCCTGAGTGCCCTTCGAGGGTCAGCAATTCTGCGCTCCATGCTTTGTCGATATCCGGGAAGCCATGTATCCGATGAGGTGCCTCTTTTTCAAATTTTGTTCGCAGAATTGACCCTTTAGGTGCAAACATGAGACCCGAACAGTATATTTGGAGGGGTACATCGTCGATCAATGGGCCATTTTTCAGGAAAAACCGTCTAGCATCCTGTAGAAATTCCGATAATTCTACATTTTCTTCGGCCCGACCAAGATGGTTGTTATGATCTTCCCTGGGCGTAAACGACCACTGTAATAGACTAAGGATCCCTATAACTTCAGAAGTAAGGCCCAAAATGCCCATCGCCTCCATCCAGTGAAGACAATGTTGCCGGAGAAATGACAACGCGCACGAGAGTCGGTTTTCACTTCCAACAAGATACTCCTTGCTTCGACTCAGGTGATAGGCCCAATAGCGGCAGGAATACTGCACCTCTGATGGCAGACAGCGATCAATGATTTGACTGTCAATCTCCGCACGTCTTGTGCCCCATTCCAAACCGCACATGTTCTGTTTGAGGCCACTGCATATTTGAAGGCATCGTGTGGTGAGTCTCTGATGTACCTTTGCCTCATCAACCCAGAATGGCGTTTTGTCTTGTGTCTCTGAATCAAGAAGAAAATCCCGAAATGACAGATGAAGTAGCCGCACGGGTTGATTGTGATCAGGGGATGTACTCAAGACTGAGTGTCACGAGCTAAGCCTCCTATCAATTTGCTTCTCTGAAAACCCGAGTAACTTAGATAGCGTTGTAACTGAGAGCGATATCTCAAGCGTCGCGATCGTGCCAATAATGTCATGAAATTCTTGAACAAGCTGTCTCTCCTGCTTCTTACTCTGGCCTTCCAGGAGCCGATTCAGGACTGGTAGGTAAGTCATGTCAAATTGAGACATGTCGTCAAATCGTGAAGACGGGTCGGCCTCGGACTCATCATTCTGATATGCGAGCAACTTCGCGAGGCTTTCTTCTGGGTCCCATTGATGGTCTTCCAAGATACGACAAGCGGTAGCCGCAAAAATGAATTACGGAATAGACATGTTCACAAGAGATTGAATGGCAATGTCTCCAGGCCAATCGCCAGGTAAATCCCGGTCTGCTCTTATCTTTCAGAGCCGATGCTTGAAAAATAGGGATATGTCGTGCTGTATCACTGGTTCCAGAACCTGATCGAGAACCACACATTGATAATGAAAATCTGGCATCTGTGTGAATCCAAGGCGAATTGGCAGCTCGGGCCTGCTTGTTAAAAATACTCGCAGACGAATCGTGTTTGATCCTTGCAGAATTGGCAGCAATCGGAGAATGGATCGTATATCTTCGTCTTGTGCACATTCGTCTAATGCATCGATCACAATTATAATAGCCTAATTTCGGAGAACGTTTGAAGACAACAGCTGAAGGTGATCCGCGTTTTGAATGGGCCGGAGAACCAATTTATCAAATTGTTCCTTCAAAGATTTGCTTGCTATCTCGGGTTCCTCGTCAAGAGTTTTTTGAATTGCTGGAGCCAATTGGGGTATTCGAATCACAAGCTGCCTTATGATTGTCGAAAATAGTTTAATCGCATTTCCTCGGTCGGCTTCCCCTCTTTTGAAGAAGAAACTCGCTCCTAGAAGCTCCGCTTCCTTGAAAGACCTGGCAACTGTTCGAGAGATAGTTGACTTTCCTGTTCCTGCCATACCATTTAACCAAAGTATACATTTGCCTTCGGCTGATCTTGCCCATTCAGTTACCTGACGTATAATCTCAATTCTAGTGCCTGTGAGACATTCGTCCTCATGTTGATCTAAATAGGAGTCAAATTCGGCTCCGCGTTCGACCGGAAGTTTGTCGAGATTGAGGATCTCTTTGGTGGAGTCCAAATTTTGAGCGAAATCGGTCAACAGGACACTAGACAAGTGATTAGCTGGCTATAATGGATTAGAAGGGCTCTTTCATATTACATACGTCTGGTCAACCTGCATCGATAAAATAAAGGATGATTTATATCTCTCGAGGGTTTCAACGAATCGATCCGCCTCTGGGCGCTGAATTGGCCAATTCAAGGCTCGTATGCCAAACTTTCTCATCACTCCCGTCTTATGCCCTGGGTTGATTTTCGTCTCCAGAGCCTCGAGATCTGAAATGCAATCGTTTATGTTTTCAGCTAGGTTCGAAGATACGGATAACTTCGAGCCATGGTCTTGGAAAAGTTTCTTCAGATTCATAAGAATATCTTCAAGACCTGCTGCACTTCGCTGCAAGGTAATGATATCGTCTCGCGCATTTTTTACCTCCGTAATATAACGGCCACATATTTTCACGATCTTTCCCGTCAGTTCAATAGCCCCGAAAATGTTCGCTGCAGTTGATAGTCCATCCATGAAATAGGATGAGTTGCTAAGGCTAAGGAACTATTTTGGGGGCTGGGGCCAGACTTGCAACTGTGTGAAAGCGGTGGCCAGCCTGCAATTTTCGTGAGCCAATCAGCGGGATGAGGCAGTGCTGCTCTCGAAGCTTCTGTCTTTTCTTCTTTAAGCCTTTTGATAACAGCAATCGGCCTAACTAGATTGTATAATAGTCTGGCTTCAGCCCTTCACAATGTTCGTTTGTAGGAAAATTGGTGTGGTAGGGCTGAAGACATTGGCCATCTGACAACACTTTCTCCACCACAAGCGTAGGCCTGTGCATTTCCTAATATCCTCACATACCCCGGGCCTCTGCAAGAAATTATTTTAACCAAAGACTACCCCGCTACGTCCGGAGCCATCGGGCTAGAACTGGGGACCCGGATCTACAGTTATCATGCTCTTCTGTTGTTCATTGTATCATTGTACTGTAGTAACTTTACACGGGGTACATTCGCAAACAAAAATATAGTGTAGTGGTGAATCCCGTGACAGTAGTATTTTGACAGTGCTGCATTCATGAATACGGATTGAGAACCGGAATTATAGTAACTCCGAATGAGCGGATTACTAATGATGAGCATAGCATAAATAGCAAGAAATAGCAAGTAATAAAACACAGAGATTTCAATGCCCTCATTGGCTGAGCAAGTTACGGAAGACAGCAAGTTCCGACATAATGCCTCAGGAGACATGCAGTCTTCTCCTACAGAGAGGGAGGAGCATGATCCAACAACCTCAATATGACTACAGTTACTCGCAAAACTTCTTGATTCATGATATAGCATCAGGCTCGGTACGATTTACACCTTCAGGGACCGCTCTCTACGCCTTCAGGCCATGGGAGTGGTTGTGTGATCTCTTCATTAGTATCGACCCGTCTGCTATGTCAGACTGCCATCGTGCCATCCCCATTTCAATAGGTAATATTGAGTGAGGTGTCTAGTATCTGAAAAGAATACAGAGCTCGAGTACTTCGTTATGGAGGAATACTCAATACGGGAAGGGTTTCTTGGAATATCTATTGATTTGAGAGCATACATGTTTCATGAAAAAAGTTTCAAGAGCCATTTAATGCCAAAAATCCCATCTTGTGACATGAATTGTCCCTTGTAGGCCATATTGTCCCCCGTCACCCCAATATTTGCGAACGGTCGCATCTCTTGCGCAGCGAAAGAGTACTCATTTATATGGAGCTCCAATGCCATAACAAAGACAGGGCCCTAGACCCTATGCCGCGCGGAGTCAGGGGCTGACTGCAGGTCCGGCATAGGGTCTAGGCTTATGGGCAAAAACATACTCCTGTCTTGGTATTTCTGAGTCCTCTTCTGCCGTAACAACTCTAGTTCTAATTTTATCATTAGGTGTCCCGGGTACCCAGACCACTCGCAAAGAGACAGCAATTGTCTAGGCATGTTGTGAAGGTGCCCCGATTCCCACATAGCTTGGCGCTTTCCGCAAATGTAAAAAGTGGCAAAAAGTTGTAAAGGACGAGGGCCGTCAAACCATTCGAGAAGAAATACGGTATTTGTAATAATGATTTCACTAAATGGAATACTTAGGTAGTCATGGACTGCGCTACTCTCTGGCTTTCGTGCAACGTTTGTGTTAGAGCTTGAGTATACATAGGCAATATAGCTTCTCCCTAGAGCCGGGGTTCGTATAGGGCTCATATATTTGCTAGTGCAAAGAGATATAACTTGTACCCTTTAACAGTGGAGTAAACACAGCTAATGATTTATAGAAATTGATGGTTTGTTACGCCGCGTCATTTGATAGAGCAATCTAACGCTCTCAATTCTACATTATGAATTACAGCCCTCTAAGTCGGTACCAAATAAGTTGTAAAAAAAAGTCGTATCGCTTTCTTGTAAAGGCCATTCTGTAATATTATTTAGGGATGAGGTCCCAAACGCTGTAAAATGACAGCTCGTAAATTGCGAAAAAGTATCATTCACTCCTATCGTCGAGTGGGGTCCAACCTGGGGTTTACTGGGGCCCCAGTACGGGGTCCGGGTTAGGTTTTGGATCGGAACCTTCGACCCAACTTGGATCATGCGGAAGTCTAATTACCAGCGCCTCGAACTGGTGGCTGCTCTATCACTAGAAGTGAAAATAAGCAACTGGGTGGACGTGGCAAGTAGCAGCGACGGAGCCGTGCAGACTATTACGCTGAAAGTCAATTCCGCCCAGGTCAATCAATATTTTTCTAGGGACGCTGTTTTGCCTTTATGTTACTTGGCCTAGAAGATTGAAGAAGAATATTCTTTCTCTGATTCGTGCCAAAAGACCCCTGTTTTCACGTTACTCACGGAGCTGTCTGCCAAACCTGCGGTGTTGCAGTCATCAATGAGAAGGAGATAGTCTTAGCTGTAGTACATGGCAGAGCTCTTCACATGCCAGTAATACATAGTCTAAATCAGCCTTCGTGTGAATCGCCGAGACGCAGAAGCGGACTCGGGCTAGTAGCAACGGAGTGGCAGGATATCCGACAACAACCACGGAGATCCTTCGCCGAAGCATCTCACGTGAGAAGGCTGGCATCTTAGCCGGATTGAGTAGAAGGACAGGCACCACAGGGGAGTCCTCACTTCCATAAACTGAAAGCCCTAGCTGTTTGAGTCCCCGGCGAAGATATCTGGAGTTAAATAGCAACTGTGCCAACCTGGTGCCACCTTCACCTGGCCCTTCACCACGTCGGGTGATGATTTTAATTGAGGAAATAATTTGTGCCAATACAGCTGGAGCTGGAGCCTCGCTGTAGATGAACCCGGGGTCGGTTGCTCGTAATTTGCAGATCACTGCGTGTTCGCTCGCGATGTATCCCCCTATCGCGCCAAACGACTTGGTGAAAGTGCCCATCAAGACATCAACTTCCGCCGTATCCACACCAAAGTAATCGCAAACGCCTTTCCCGTTCGAGCCAATTGCACCTATTGAATGGGCTTCATCGATAAAAAGATAGAATTTGTAGCGCTTTTTGAGGGCAACGAGCCCGGGCAAGTTGCACAATGATCCTTCCATGGAATAAAGCCCTTCAACGACCACCAGCACCTTTCTCCACTTTGGAAAAGACTTTGCGGCATTTCTAAGCTCTCTTTCCAAGTCCGCAAGGTTATTGTGTTTGAAAGTGTGGATTGCGGCGCCAGAGGCACGTACTCCAAACCGGATTGATGAATGATTGAGTTCGTCCGAAAGAACAAGGCATCCTTTGCCAACAAGTACGGTGAAAACACTTGAATTGGTACCAAATCCCATAGAAGAGACTATGGCGGCTTGTTTGCCCACGTACAAGGCCACTAGCTTCTCCGCTTCAGTGTGAAGGCTATGTGTTCCTACTTCGGCACGGGTGCTCGCAGAACTGATGCCGCAAGTTCTTATCGACTTGTCCACAAACGCTGCACATGGGCCTTGGGAGTCCGCAAATCCGAGGTAGTTATATGAACTCAAATTCAGAGTTTTGACGGGTGTACCCTCGGCCTGGTTGACAAGTGCAATATGCCGTCCGGGGACGCCTGTAGTCACACGCTCGAAACAATCGTCCATTCGCGAATGGAGTCGACGTAGGTAAAAGTTGTCGAAACCAGAGTTGAGAGCTGCGTATCCATTCTGAGCTTTGAGATACTGATACCTCCTGGGACGGAGAAGTTTTCCAAAAAAGTCCCGAATGAGACCCGCGAAGATCAAGATGCCGAAGCTGATGTATGTAGAAAAGCGAAAATACAGTGGAACTCGGCCAGGACACTCAGTATATTGAGGTTGAGCCGATGGTTGACCTTGCCTGACAGTTTTTTCTGCCTCTTTGTGTGTCTTGTTGTCGAACAGGCCGAGTGCAATAAACCGCACATAAATCAAGATGCGCGAACACTCGATGATTGTTACAATCACAAGATATATAGACACAGACATTTTTCCTGCGATTTTAAGGATTCGTGTTATAGATTATGAAGTGCACGGATCAATTCTAGCCAAGACAAGTCTTTCTCTTCCTACCCCCAATATACATCTACGGCGAGAAACGCCGATACCTAATATTGGAGACCACTTAAATGCTACATTCGCCCGCTGAAAGGTGATACCCACAATAAATTACCGTCAGAGGAATTACCAGACCTATGACTCAAATTGAGGTTGTGCGTCCGATCGGCCAAACCCCTTACTTCGCAGGTTTTCACTTAGCAAAAATAAATGTACCGTCCCCGTATTTGGCATTATTGCAGTACATACATTCGAACGCACCGGGAATTAGCCTATCAGTGGAAAGCAGGGTATTTGGTTACTAGATTAGCTATAATGGCCTATATCGAAAAATTGTGGTAGCAGCCTAATAAGCACCAAAGAAGGCGGAAGCGGCAGAAGATCATAGTTTAGGCGCAGATAGGGTATGAAAATAGGAAAACCCACCAAAGAGTAGCTAAGGGATCAAGCCAAAACTGCAGCAGACCTTTTCCGAAACTCTTTCAGTGGTAAATGATCGATCGCCAAAATGGAAACCTGCAGCACGCGCAGGACCTGTCACATTGAACGCTACTATCTTTCAGGTTGCTCCACTATGTCCTCAGTAGAGCGGCTATGGGGATACTCGGAGTGGAGGGAGGGGACCAGTGTTGGAACGAATAAGAAAGCATTGGGCTCGATGGGCTTTAGACCAGACCCCAGGAGGGTTGGTAAATCACGGCGAGATAGCATTTCAAATATTCGTCTAGACTTAGCCAACGGCCTCCTGTAGCAAATGGCTAGTCTCAAGAAGGTAGACCGGTGTGCCAGAAAAAATTTGCACTGATCACTCAAATCACCGAATAAATCTTTGGAACGCATAAACATCATCTTACGGTTTGCAATGAAAGAAAATATCAATTCGTTTTCACTACGCGAGCTACCGACTCTATACCTCACATTTTATGGTTCTCTGGCCGAAAGAGTCTTCAGCCTCACAAAACAGTTATCCGGAACACGCACAATCCCTTCCACGGCCTGATACCCCGACAAGCTCTCTGGACATTGCTGAAACTCGTAGCTCCACACTATCATGGCCACAAATAATCGTATCTGCAGATAGGCAAGCCGACGACCCCAGCATCCCCGAACACCCGCGCCAAAAGCCAGACAATAACAGGCAGTAGGATTGAATACGTGCCCTTCGGCGTGGTTTTCGGACATAGTGAGCCACCGCTCAGGGGCAAAAATATGGGCAGTATCTTCGTCGATGGTCCCGTAGGACTCCCACCTTTTGGCAGGCTGTGACGAATGGCTGTTGTGGGTGTTTGTATCGTACAGTGGATACATGACACCGGCGCCCTGATTTAGTGTGAGGACAATCGTACCCTTTGGAATGACCCGACCGAGGACTGGTGTGTCATGGACTGTACTACGACCTACCTCGACGATCGGCTGAAGGCGTAGAATCTCTTCAATTGTTGCATCGAGGTAAGGCACACGAGCGCTTTGAATTTCTGATGCAGTTGGGACACGACCCTGTTTCATGGCCGACGGAAAGCTTGCTTTCAGGGCTTCCCTAAGCCTAGACTGCGCGATTTGGTTATCGGCTATCTGTTTAACAGCCCAAGATAGAGTTGTTCTGGTTGTGTGATTTCCAAATAGAATAAACCCAAATATCTGCGGTCACGTCAGTATGAAAATGACGAAGACTAATGAAAGGTAAATAGAGTCACTTACTTCATCTCTTACAGCGCTCGAGTGAAATCGGGGTGGTCGATCTTCCTCCTCTGAAAGAGCCTTTTCTCGAAACACGATATGGTCCGTACCAACGCGAGGAACTGCGCCTTGTTCGCCCAGGTGTTGTATGGATGCATCGATTGATTGATGAATGAAAGCATGTATGTTTCGAAATCTGCGGATCAAAATGGGATTCCTTCTCATGAACCAGCCGACCAAACTTGGAAAAAGCGTGGAGGTAGTCCAGTCGACAGACCGCTGGATCTTTGAGAACGACTCGGTCAACACATCAACATCCACGAGCGGGAATGTGAAGACATTTCCGTTTTTCTTGTTGCCATCGTCGCTATGACATTTGTCGGATGAACGAAAGTGTGCAGATTTCTCGACTTGGATCTGAGTACCACTTGGGGCACTGGTGCCAAATGTCATGGCAAGCATGGCATCCAGTGTACAGATTTCGATGTCTCTAAAAGCCGAAAATGCGCGGCCATCAGCGAGCTTCTCCTTGGCTGCCCACAATTTGATCAGGTTAAGGTTTGCTGCATATATTGCTGGCGCTGCAACCTGATCCAGATATTGGTCTGTCATCATCGTCTGTATAAGCTTTCGTTGGGTCCTCCACCTAGGACCACTGGGAAAGATGCTGTGGTGATTCGGTATCACCCAAGACAAAAATATGCCGACCATTGGAGTACGATCGAAATCTCGACTGCGGTACAGCATAATATCGAGAGCCTCTCTTGCATCGTCAAGGAGAACAATTGGCGGTGTTAGGGGCCCGGGAAATATCTGGACCATACGAGCTCGTAAGGATCTTGCGCGTTCATTAAAAGAGACTCTTAGCTCGGGCTTTCGAGAAAGCCCTGACAACACGACTGGAACGTCACCAAGCAGTGATCTGGCTGATTTTGCCTTGTACGGGATGCCGGATATAGGCTTTGGTAACGCAAAGAGGTAGAACTGGTAGACGCCCACGAGAAAGAAAAAGCCCAAGCCTACCCTAAACCACGTCACGTAGCAATTCAGGCTCAGGTAGAGGCCTGGCTCTCCTGTAGTGCACGTCATGGATGGGGTACTCTGGTCTCCAGAAAGGCCTGCTGAAAAGAATCTGTGTTTGGACTTGAACCAGATGAAGATTATGGTTGATAACTATTCTCTCCGTCGTTGGAGTTTGGTCATTAAATAATTTGATCGAAAAAATATCTCACGGTCCCCAGTATTTCTTCTGAAGGAGATAAACCATCCATTACGTTACGTTGAATGGTAAGTAATCTTTCAGTGATGCAGATTAATATTCTTTTTTTTTATAAAGAAAAGAGAAAAGAAACAGAAAAATAAAAAAAAACCTTGTAATTGATATCTTGCACTTGGAAAAAAAATTACCTGAAGGAAAGGCTATATGCATTGTGAATTGGCTAAAATAGTCCTCTTCTCAACACGCATGGGCCTTCTCTGTGTATGGGGCTGTTCTGCTTGCAGCGAAAAACTGTAAATAGTATTGTAGCGTTCACCGACGGTGTGCAGCGATTATTCGTAACTACCTACACCATGCGATAAAATTTGCCTGGCGGTGGGTCATGCATGATATAGGCTAGAGTCGGTCGTCACTCGCTTTACTTCCCTGTTCAGCCCTTACCTATCATGGTCAGGTGTGCTCCTAATAGCATGAATACCGCACACCAAGTTGGGCTTTTCTGAGCGAAAAAATCCAGAAACTCAAGTAGTTGGAAAGATGACAAACCTTAAGAAGGCAATATTCGGAGATCGAAGTGGGTCTCGATCTCAGATGTATTGAACGTGTCCGAAACCTAAAATCAGTTGCTCCAATTACCAATCATGTTTCCCACTTACGCAATCCATGCAATCCTGGTTCTTTAAGAATGCTAGAATGCACTCCCAGACCGCCACTCAACGAGCGGACTTCTCCTATGGCGATCCATACCTCATCTTGATTAGCGACTGTATTTGTCTTGGCATCATCATTGAGTAAGAGCAAGATATAAAAAAGTACTCTTTCTTTCTCACATTAGTATCGAAAGTCTAGCGTTGAATCGTTCGGCCGTCCGCAATATGGAAAAGGTTGTCGGCCCATCAAAGGTTCCGGCTACTTATGCATGCCCTGGGAGTCAGGCGTCAAGTCGGACAATCAGCAGACAGACCGGTATGAAGAAATTCCATTCAAGTTAGCCTGGTTGATTTTTAAAGTGCCAAATTGTGCATCCACAGAAGCCACAATGCCATGGAGTAACGCTAACATGAATCGTCAGCACAGGCAGTGATATTCTGTTTTTTATCGGGCATGGCTTTCCTGCTGTGGATGATACAGGAAACAAACATGCCGTTTCATTTACCATACTATGACCCGTCTACGGGGAAATATAGCCAAGGCTTTAAAGATCTATATTGCGTTGCTGCATTCACCATTGTACTAACAGCGATGTGGGCTATCTCGGTTTCCTGGATATTGGAGCCGATGGCCTTGCGAATGGGACTGTCCAAAGGAAATGCTAGGAGATTCGCAGAACAAACCTGGACGGGCATCTACTACTCATCGATGTGGACTTTGGGAATGGTCAGTCATTAATACTGTGGCATCCTTTTCGCTTAATCCTCTTATCTCACCAGCTGTTAGAGCGTTTGGATGCAATCGAACTACTGGATGAACTTGCGAGAGCTCTGGACCACATTTCCAACCAAGGAGCTTGGAGGAAATTTGAAGCTCTACCTTCTGATCAGTCTTGCATTTTGGTTTAATCAGATTATCGTGGTCAATGTGGAGAAAAGGCGTTACGATTATGCCCTGTACATGGCACACCACATTGTCACCGCAACTGTTATGTGGTCTGCATATGTCTACAGCGCCCATGAGCTCTCTCATTTGGTCTCGAATCTGATGGAAGCCGCAGATGTCTTCCTATGTGTACGTCGACTCCCGAAACAAAACCCATCAAACCTGACTCTTGCAGATCGCAAAAGTTCTTCGCTACGTGGATTGGCGAACCAGCGGAAATGTGGCACTGGGCACATTTGCTGCGGTGTGGTTTGTGTCTCGGCACATCATCTATGTGCGTTTATGTTGGATCTTATTTCATGACATCCCGAGCACAAAGCCATATGGGTGCTATTCGGGATTCGACAGAAAACCCAGCCATACGGTTATACCGGAGGTCTCCTGGGGTAGTCTTGGACGCCCTTTCATAGACGCAAGCAGTTTGGTCTGTATAACCCCCTTTGTCAAATGGGCATTTCTCTCTACATTGCTGGCATTCCAAGCTATGTCAATCATTTGGTTTCAAATGATTGTCAAAACCATTATGAGAGCTTTGAGCAAAGGATACAGCGATGACATAAGAAGTGATGATGAGGGTGAGACCGACGAGGCTGAGGGGAAGAAATGAGGAACAAGCGTCTGAATGGTTGATTTATCTAACATACAAGAGCTACGGTGTATCGTACGTTCGCCTTGTCGAGAATCGCGCAAAATACAACCGCGTGCATCACTAGTGGCGCGTAATGCAATTACGAGATACACCAGAAAAATTAACTAAAACCCGCTGTTCACCTAAGATTTCCGTACCGTATGGTAGTAGCACAGTCAAAACAAAAAAAAAGTAGAATTGTAGCGCCAATGCGCCAGGTTTGTCCGCTCCAGATGAATAACGCAACGAATAGGCAGTTACTGAAAATCTTGGCAATCCTATTTTACGGGGCACGATTGTTCATGTCGATCTCAACAACATGGCTGACGCAGATCGACCGAGAATTCCCGAGAAGATAGATAGCTTTTGAATAAAGGCGAAAACATCAATCGGTAATTGAGGAGCAGTGCTGCTCGTTGGTTCGGTATCGAGTACCTCATATGCGCCCTTGAGGTCGTGTGTTGTATCACATTCAACCACTAGTCGTGCAGATAAGCGTCATCAATCCCACTTATTCGCCTCCATACATCCCGCTGACCAAGCCATAATAAAAATCAAGTAGAGCAGACAGCTTATTCTGCACGGGGTAACTTGATTACTGAGGGGCTGCGGGTGAATACGATTCAGCTCTGGCCCTAGTCATCCACAGGAGTTTTTGTCGGTGTGACATGGCCCCCTAGACTTTCTATCAGTGGGCTAGACTCAGTACAGATATCTATTTGCGAGTTGCGGTGAGAAGAAATGTCGTCAAATCCTTTATCGTATATTCATATTGTGGATCGAGGCATGCCAAAGCGACACATCAGATTTTGCGCGAGCAATTTCAACGAGGCTATGCCAACAACGGGTTTGGTAATTTAATCATTAAATATTCATTCGCTGTGTTTCGGGGCGGCTAAGACAAAGGATCCTGCTTGGGCCCATTACATCAAAATCAGATATACAGCCCTAACCGTTCTCTTCCAAAAGGACCCTAATGTTGTGGCCAGGTATCGCAACCTCCCTGCCTTGCCTACTTTCTGTAACCGAACACATTTGCCCTCAGTTTTCCGCACGAAAATGTCAAGCATCGGCAAAAAGTCCCTGTTGACGCTATGCAATATTTTGAGTCTGGGGTCGCTGGCCATGTTTGCTTGCGGCTTCTTTGGTGCCAAGCCATACCTCACCGATCTTAAGGAATCTGGTATGTACCAGTTGGATATTCCTAATTCGCCGACGTCGGTACCTTTTGACAAAATTGTGTTTATGGTTGTCGATGCACTCCGGAGGTAAGTTTATCTCTTGCTCTTCGTCAAATATTTAGCCAACCGATGGCAGCGATTTCGTTTACTCGGAGAACTCGGGGTTCTCCTTTACGCGTAGGTAGGTGGCAAATTGGTCTTGAAAACAAGAAACCTTCAAATTTGAAGATGTTAATACATCTCTCTAAAGTCTTGTTCAATCTGGTGAGGCTTTGCCGTTTACAATGGAAGCGACCAGTCCCACTTTCACAAGGCTGTGTATCCAGTCCATGACAGTCGGTGCCAGCCCTGCATTCTCAGAGGTCTTCTCAAACACCCAAAGGCTGGTGAAAGGAGAATCAGATCGTATCGTCGAGAGTTGGCTTGGCCACCTCAAGGCGACAGGTCGTGGAAAAATGACGTTTTCTGGTGAGGAAAACTGGCTGAATCTCTTTCCCAAAATGTTTGATCGGAGTGAAGGCTACGGGAGTCATTTCCTTCCTGTGTGTAATTGGTAACCTACTTCCAGCAGATTATCAGCTTAAACTAACTTCTTTTGTCGTTAGGATTTTACTTCTATAGATCCTGCAGTTGCTATGTTCATTGATAAAGAGCTAAAAAACGATGACTGGAGTGGACTAGTTGTACACTTTCCGGGAATTGACCACCTTGCACACATGGGCGGCGCGTACAGTCCATACATGCAAGCTAAGCAGCGAGAGATGGATGATGTAGTAAACAATGTTTATCGATCAATTCAGAAGGAGCCTCATCTCAACAAAACATTGCTGGTACTCCTAGGTGATCATGGAATGAATGACCTGGGAGAGCACGGAGGGGACTCTGTTGAGGAGCTATCGACGGCATTGCTATTTATATCTCCACAGTTACAGGTTCTGCCTTCAGTTTATGACAGACTTGCTGAAGAAAGGAAGATCGGCAATCGCTACCAATATTTCAACTCGATGGGTCAACTGGACATCGTCCCTACTATCTCTGGGCTTCTGGGTCTTCCGGTACCACGCGACAATCTTGGCAGCTTTATACCCGACTTCCTTCCTTTATGGAAAACCCCTGAGGAGCGACGGTTGTTGATTTTACAAAATATAATTCAACTTAGCCATGGAGTTGCGAATCAGGATCATCAAGTGGAATGTGAAAACAGCACCCTGACTGTCGACTGCCTGTGGGAGCATATCGGCACATCACGTCGAGGTCACAACGTTGACGATGAATTATCACTTCTGTTCATGGTAATCGACAATCCTGACATGCATCTCGTGAGAAAGCAAAATAACTAAACAGTCGTAGGACTCGAAGACTGCCCAAAATCGAATTCACCAAGCAACGGTGCGGCAAATGAACAAGTTCCATCTCCTCGGTGGAATAACGATTTCACTTGGGGCCACTCTCCTTTCAATACTGGCCTGTCATCTATTCACGGGGGCCAATAGGTTTGCAACTGCTCTGGTACTTTTACTAAACATTGCCTACTGTTTATCGATGCTTTCGCGCCGAGGTGCTTCAAAAGAATCTGATTTTTGGAGCTTAGCTTCCTTAATATGGCTTGCTTATCTTATCATGAAATCTGGTCCGGGAAATAGTGTGAAAGCGTCAGCCATATCAGCTCTGAAGCCCCTTACGCTTCAAATCGTCTTTTATCTCTGGGGCCAATACGCTGAAGCACATTCTCTGAATGCTTCTTTGTGGGTTTCCACTGTCATCTTGACACTATGCACTGCCACTTACGTGGCAACGGCCGTCCAGCTCATCAACCACACTTGTCGGGTCTTTGATCACAGTCCTTCTAGCGCTCTCGCAGCAAAGTCAGCAGCGCTCATTCTATCTCTGGTAGCTTTCAGCTTTAAGCTAGCTTTTACTGCCGAACACACTCCCGCATTGATACCCTTGAATTTTGGAGAGTTACACATCAAGTTATGTGCCCTCGACCAAGCTTTAATGGCTCAGACGACCTTTGTGGGATGCTGTGGTGGAATTGTTTTCTTGGTCATTCATTCTCGTGTTAACAAACCAATTCGTGCCGACAGCAGTATGTTACAAACAGGCATAGAATACCATACTCCAGTGTCGTATGAAAGCTGACCGTGGTTTCTAGCTGTCATGTTGGCAATTTTGGAGCTACTCAACCTCTACTTGATTACCATGGCAAAGGTCTCAGACATTCCGATATTTCTTCTATCTCGAATACAGATCCATTTTTTGAGTATGGAGTGAATGGACACCCTTGACGTGGGAAAAAAATGGCTGACTAGCTTGCTAGAATCTATTCAGCCAATGACATCATTTGAAGCCAGTGCAACTGCCATAATACTCGGTGAATGCTCACTTTACGCCACTGGGCGCCATCGCGATCTTAAGACACTTGATTTCAGTAACGCCTGGAACGGGATGGTTGAGCACAACGATGTGGGTACTGCGATACAAGGGTTTGTCACCAATGTGGCAGGGCCTCTTTGGTGGACTTGCAACAGTATCTCCTTGGTTCGTGGTCATACACTACAAACATCGGGAGGGTGTGTTCGGATGTGGTTTTCAGCGGAAAGATTTATCTGTCAGTCTTTATTTATGTCGTTTGGTATACTCTCGGTGATGGGATCATGCATGGCAATGATCAAAGATCCGAGATTTCTGTGGTCGGTATCCGCGCCTCGCCTAGCCTCGACCTTGATCACATCTGCACCTTTTCACCTGGTGATAGTCATTGGCGGTACTGCTGTTATTTTGATTTGCGATCGACTACTTTTGTTCTAACTCTAGCAAGCTACGTAAGCCTTTGTCCACCAGGTTTTGACCATAGAAAAATGAGCCAGCATGAAAACTTGATGTTGACTCGGCGATAAATGAACATAAAGATATTTGAAGCAGAAAAAGTATCCAAGATGTATGTATGATGTTGGGGAAATATACACGAACATATGCGATTATTTCTCTTGTAGAAATACAATGCTCGATTCGTAGAGCGGCATTGTCTATCTATCTCAAAATAGAATTCAATAGTCGCGTTCTTAGATCGAAAGGGGCTGGCTGAACATTGCAAACCCCTGCATTCCGGTAGCAAGCTACGCTGACGGTCATTGGTTTACTATTAAGGTACGATCGATCCAGTTTATTTTGTTTCTGCGATTTTAATTTGGTTTCTCACCCATCCCTTCATTTAACAAATCACGAGAATCGAGTTGGTGACTAGAGAAGAACGTAAACTCTTGACACCAAGACATTTTCTCATCTTATAGCCACGTCTTTCATTACCAAGGAGCGGCATGGGTACTTGGCTCGCTCTACGGATGGGCCAGTCAATGTGTTCAGTGGCAGCTCATACTAGGTTCGGGCCCATCGTGGCCGATGAGTGTTATAACGGGCTTGATTTCACTTTACTCTTCGAAGAGGGTTTTATGTGCATCACCCCCGCTATCATCGGTATCGTGTGGATAGCTGGCCGTATCTGGTACCTTAGAACACAAAAGGTCATAGTGGCACGAGGATGGTTATATTGGACTAAGATGGTAGGTATGAATCTTCAAAAGAGGTACCATCAAACGAACTGACAGTGCAATCAAGGCTGTCTATGTTGCGCAATTGTTTATCCAAGTTGCCTGTTTGGTATTTTACGCTTCCAGTCCCCGCACCAGCCTCACTTTTCCCTCTGTCATCCTATCAATCTTGACCACGACTATCTTCATGTATGGCTCACACTGTGAACACCGGTTCGCTATCAGGCCTTCGACGATTCTAGCTCTGTACCCTGCTACCAAGATTTTATTCGATGCAGTCCACGTACGAACAGTGTACTCAATCGAGGGCCTACATCAAGTGGTAGTCACGAGTCTTGTGCTACTTGTGCCTAATGCTGCCTTATCAGTGTTGGAATCCTGGCCGAAGACCCGTTTCGCATATCAAGGAAATTTTGCTCACTGCCCAGAGCAGCTCGAAGGCCCATTGGGGCGGGCGCTTTTCAGTTGGCTCATTCAATTGTTCATCTGCGGGATGAAGAAAAATCTCACAGTGCAAGATTTGTTTCCAGTGGAGCCCAGCATGTGTCCTTCAATTGATAAGAATCATCTTGCGTCACTCTGGGCCCGAAGTAAGTCAATCTATTATTCTTCAGACAACAAGCCATTATTAAGCAGGCATATAGGCAAGGAAAAGAAGAAGCCCAACATACTGGTATATCTTATCATGAAGGCTTTCTGGTCGGAAATTGTATCCTGTGTTGCGCCTCGACTAGCATACATCGGTTTTGTGATTGCACAACCATACCTCATCCGTCGCGCAGTAACAATATTTGCCCGTTCTGATGAGAAGACCGCCCACGACCGCGGTGTTCTTCTCGTTGCAGCCTTCGCATTGGTGTACGGCGGGATGGGGGTTAGTTCACAATTGGGCCACTAATTCCGAACTTTGACTTACGATACTTCTGAATTAGATCTCGTTGGCCGTATCAAAACATAAAGCAGCGCGTCTCATCACTCTGATACGCGGTGGCTTAGTTGGCATGATATACGATAAAGCTATGCGTTTGCCCACCTCGAGTGGCCAAGATGAGGTTGTCACTGCAATTAGCACAGACATCGAACGAATGGCTTTAGGTCTGTACACATATTATGAGTGCTGGGCGGCTCCAATTGAATTAGGCCTGTTTTTTTGGTTCATTTACCGAGAGCTTTATGAAAGCAGCATAGCAGCGATGCTCCTTTCAGTTGGTTAGTCGATCCCCGTGGAATCGATATTGATCTGGTAACTTGAATAGCTGATGTGAAAACAGTGGCAATCGTTGGGGTAGTTTTACTGGCTCCCTATGCTGTCCGATCCCAAACTGCCTGGATCAATGCAATACAACGACGTATTGTGATCACGGTAGAGCTGGTCAGTGGAGCTAAAGGAGTCAAAATGTCTGGCATTGTTGGCCGGCTCCTTACAGTCTTAACATCCCTACGTCTCGACGAAATCTCGGCCTCCAAGAGGTACCGTTCCATTGTGACAGGCATTTTCACCTTCGGTATGCATTGTAAACTTCTGGTTTCGTAAATTGCTCATGGATTCCCCTAGCTAGCACGCATTCGATAGTCACTCCAACTGTGTCATTTGCCATCTACATGTTTGTCTCTCGGTCAAAACATGGAGCGATTGGAACTCTTGACAGCCCACGTGCCTTCACTTGCTTAGCGATACTCGAACTCATGGGTGAATCGCTTTTGTCCTTACTCCAGGCTATCTCTAATATATCATCTGCTGTCGGATGTATTGCTAATATCCAGGAGTTGTTGAACAAACCCGAGCGTGAAGACAGCCGGGTTCAAGAAGACCACAAAATGGCCATTCCTTCTCAACACCTACCTTCTTGCCTTCTTGCCAAAGATTTCTCTGCTGGATGGCAGAACCCCATTGTCAAAAACCTGACATTCGATATTCCCTTTAATTCCTTGACAATGCTCGTCGGCCCTGTTGGATGTGGGAAGTCTACCGTTTTACAGGCCATTCTTGGAGAGACATCATATAATGAGGGAACCATCGTCATCCACTCGCCAGATATTGCCTACTGTAGCCAGACGCCCTGGCTGGTCAATGGGACAATTCGGGACAATATACTTGGGGCAAACTCGTACTGCGAGGACTGGTATAAAATGGTCATCAAAGCATGTGCTCTTCAGGTGGATATTGCGGGCTTCATCAACAAAGATGACACTATCGTCGGTACGAAAGGAGTTGCTCTCAGCGGAGGGCAAAAGCAGCGTCTGGTTAGTGTTCTGTCTCAATCATTGATCCGTCAATTGGCTAAGTCGAGGAGGTTCTGGCACGTGCTGTCTACTCCAAACATAGTCTAGTTATTCTAGATGATGTGCTCAGCGGTTCAGATGCTATTACTGAGGAGCATATGTTTGAACAACTGCTGAGCCCTCGAGGTTTGCTTCGGAAATTCGGGACAACCGTGATCCTCGTGACAAGTTTAAGTTAGACTGAAATGCCCTAACGCAAGAAAAGTGCTAACTAAATTTTAGCTCATCGACTTCAAAATGCTGATCTAGTCATAAGTTTAGGAGCAGACGGATCACTTGCCTCTTTGAATCGTAACAGATCTCTACTTGACCGGGATACTGTAATCAAAGGTCATTCCGTGGATTCATTCAAAGCTTTAGAAGACAAAGCCCGGTCACAAATCACCATTGCAAGTCTTACTAACGATTCAAATTATTCCCTGCATGTGCCTGGTGAGACTTTCACATCGGAAGACTCGGGTGATCCGTGTTGGACGGGTGAGTTGGCGACGTACAACTACTACTTGACTGCAGCCCCCAGACTCGGTTGGCTACTGTTTGTTGCGGCCTTATCGGTTGGAATTACTTCCAAGATATTCATGTGTAAGCATCCTAACTCGCTTTGGAGGCCTCGCTAATTCAAAGCCGCCAACGTTAGCCACCTGGGTGAAGTGGTGGGCCCACGATAATGATATTGAGCCTAATCGCAACATTTCAATGCGAGTAGCTGTTGATTGCGTTCTTTCTGCGGTATACGCGATGATGTTTTTGGTTTCCCAATGGTATGCTCTGCTTCTGCATGAACGAAATCGTACTCACGCTATTCCTGTAGGATCATGATTCATGGCGTCACGGCGAAGACAATGATGACTTTGCACCAAAGACTGCTCAAAGCAGTTATTAGGTAGGCAACCAAGGAGTTAATAGCTACTAGTTCCTTGATCATGACTTCTATAGGGCCCCAATGTCCTTTTTTGCGGAAAATGATTCCGGAGCCACCATCAATCGGTAATCCAAGTGTCCAGATTTAGTTTTCTCGTCTCAATGTTGTTGACGCCCAATCGCAGGTTCAAAAACGATTTGGAATTGATCGACTTTGAGTTACCACTGGTCGTTTTTTTAACAATTGCCAGTAATTTCATCGATCCCCAAATACTCCTTCATTCTACATGCTAATATGTTCGCATCCTACATTCAGATTTCTTACAATGCATTGGTGGAATCATCGTGGTAATAATCAACGCACACTACATGGCAGCCGTAATCCCTGTGGCAGTCATAACCATTTGGGCTGTTGAGACCTTTTACCTTCGGACTTCTCGGCAACTTCGTGTTCTTGACATCGAAGCGAAGGCACCTATCCTAAAGCACACTATCGAAACAATTGACGGTCTTGCTACCGTACGCGCATTTTGTTGGCAGGACCAGCACCGAAAGGCGGCCAATGCCAGTCTCGAGCTATCACAGAGACCTTTCTACTTGCTCATGGTGGCGCAGATATGGCTTGGTCTCGCATTGGATTTTGTTATGACTGGTGTCGCTATGGTTCTAATGGGAATTGGCGTTGCCAAGCTTGGTCATGTTTCTGCCGGTGATATGGGCCTAGCACTTACTAGCACGATTAATATCGGAATTTGGATGAAAACCTTGATCAAGTTCTGGATGAATCTTGAAACATCACTCGGTGCTGTTACTCGCCTGAAGGAGTTCGATCAGAGGCTCAAGCCAGAGGATTTACCATGCGAGCGCTATATCATGCCAGTTGGCTGGCCATTGCAAGGCAATATTCAATTCAAGCACGTTACCGCTTCCTACGGGTATGTTCCTTATAAAAGAAGCATTTTCGAGACGGTGACGAAGCTGATGTGTTCTTTTTGCCTCAGGAATCCATTCAATCCTTTATTAAAGGGGGTTTCATTCAGTGCGCAGAGAGGGGAGAAGATTGCCATCTGTGGTCGTACAGGAAGGTATATATACCCGGACCTCTAGAAAACTCGCTGATCTCACATAGAAATTAACACTCTGTAGTGGAAAGAGTACACTTGTGTCAGCACTCTTCCACATGATTGAGCTTTTAGACGGCCAAATTATTATTGATGGAATCGACATATGTACCATCTCTCGACAAAGCTTGCGAACCTCTCTAAATGGACTACCACAAGACGCGTTCCTACTCAATGGGTGGACTGTCCGTGACAACATCGATTTCTTCGGCACTAGCTCTGACAAAGAAATGGTTGACGCTCTCGTGGCCGTAAACTTATGGCCGTCTATTGAGCATAAATATGGTTTGGACACTTTGGTGACCGACAGTACCTTCTCACATGGCCAGAGGCAGCTGCTTTGCTTTGCGCGAGCCCTCACTCGGCAAGGGAATATCCTTGTTGTGGACGAAGCAACGAGCAGGTGAGACGCATCGCGTAATCTGAACTATGAAGCCAAATGCTAAAATCCCATGGTATCAGTGTTGATGCAGACACTGAAAAGTTGATGCAGACACTAATTCGATCGCATTTTTTTAATCACACGATCTTGGCTGTTACACACCGTCCTTCCACCGTCCTGGATTTTGACCGTGTCCTTGTGCTCGAGGGTGGTCATATTGTCGAAAATGGACATCCGCAGGAGCTTTTGACGAGGGATAGCTGGTTTGCTGGCCTTTACAGAAGTTCGGAAACCTGATGGACAGTAGAATAGCGCTGAAAAATACCGTATACCTTGAATTGAATTACTCCTTCCTGGCTGCCTGCATGATGTTGATGTAGATAAGGCAAATTACTCCTCATTATGATTCAGGTTCGAATGATAAAAGGATATACACACCAGCCCTATAGTGGCCACTGAGTATGTCGCTTTAGATGCTACCGATGCAATAACCAATGATTATCAATTCCTACAACGCGATGAAGCCCTTCATGCGGGTGAGTCCCCGGTTTAAATCCTTTGGCGTACATGAGACGCCCTGACCCATTCCAAATTTCCTTCCGCTTCACTTTAATATGGCCCAGAGAAGTGGCTCAATGCATAAAAAAATGTGTTCCAGCGACGTTTCGATGCTTTTGGTTGTGAGATTTTCAGTAACCAAGTTGTCAATTCGCATGCTCAAGTACCCCAGGTTAAAATATTTCCGTCCTCCCCCTCTTACTGTCCCTTTTGTCAGAGATAAATAACGCTAGCATTGTCGATAAGATGACCTCATACTAAGGCTTCTCAGCTCACCATGGCATGCTGAATTTGCTGATTTTCATGTTATAACTTTTCTTTTTTTAGCTGGGTTAGTCGAGGTGAGACTTCCTCAGAACCCAGCTTAACCCGGGCCTAATACGGGCCCGACTCAGTACTGGGCCCGGGTCAGGATTTCTAGCCTAGTGCTGGGTCTGGGCCCCGAAATAGACCTTGACATTTCCTATGAGGCTAGCTAAAATCTAGTCCCATGGGCATTCCTACCGAGGTCTATTCCGTGGATCCACTCCCATAGGACCAAGTTTAGTCCCTTGGGAAATGTCAAGGCCTACCCTAACTTTGGTTATAAATAATGCAATTATGCTAAGCCCGTGACCACATAACTTGTGCAGTTTTTGGCTCTATATTTGGGTATTTGAGAATATGGTCATGCGGAAGTCTACAGATGACGGAGCAGTTCAATGATTAAAGTTACGCCAAAATTGGGTTGACTTGGGTCCAAGTTGGGGTTTACTAGGGCCTTAGGATTAGGTCCAGATTAGGTCCGGGTTAGAGAAGTTCGGCCCGGACCTAGGCTTGGTTGGATTCCGGGTCGAGACCTTCGACCTGAATTGAGTTTTGCGGAAGTTTAAATCGGACCAAGATACCATTTCTTTGATTGATATTTTGAAATTTTTTGGCTAAAATGTTTTGCAAATCTGTTCCGAGCCATGCGAAGCAATATCAAATTTACTAATGAAAAACACTTGATTTAGTCGGGTAAATTGGAAGAATTTCGGATATGATCTTTTTATGCATCATTACCAAGTATCATTGCGATTCAAATCTTGCCACCTTCTCATTATTAGTTACTCGGCTGAGCTACGAAAAATATTACCCGTCGGTGTCAATATGTGTTGGCAGACTAGGTCGGCCCTTTCGCTACGAAAGAAGCACTCGATGGTATAGATGAATAGTTCGGCCATTGTTCCATAGAAAAATTTTATACGATAGACATGGGTTGTGAAATGATGGAAGCAAGCAATAAAAGCATGCAAATACACTTCTTTACATAGGTCTATCATGGATCTTGACTCTATAATACATTTCAAACAGCACGAATGTAACCATGGAGCCAAAGACGACTCGGAATTGGATGATTGAAAAATCCACAATCCTTCAAACCACAATTACCAACTTGGCAGGCGAGCGGTCCACTTGTGCAGTAATTGGATGCGCTTGCCTTCCATGGTCAGCGGGCCCATCCCCCATGAATCGCCCAGCCACATTGTATTTTGGGAGTTGCGGGTAGTAGGTTTGAACTGCGGAAGCACATTTCCGTTGAGGTTTCCAGTACGAATAAAGTTTGCCCTGTAATTGGCTAACTTGTTCTCGACAGCATAGTTCTCGCTGTTCCAGGCAACATTGGAGTACAAAGCGTAAGCAATGTTGTTGAAAGTGTACCAGAGCTCGGAACCGTGGTATGCACCTTCATCACGGTTCTCGTCAGGTGTGTGGTTGAAGTAGTAAGTGTACACGTTGCTCTTGGCACCACCGGCAGCCCAGTCCACAGCCCAACGCTAGGTACCGACGTGGCTGAGGTCGCGATAGAATTCCTTGGCACTTTCCGAGGCCTGAGTGCTGTTTGCGCCGGGTTATAGGGTGAAGAACTGATCCGAGAGGTCGCCAAAGAGGTTGCTATACAGATCGTGGTAGTCAGATGCAGTGTATGAGAGGTCCGGGCTAGCACTAGGCTCGTCCTTGTTGTTTCCAGTAAGAATGGAGATATCGACATGAGAGTTGTTGCGCAAAGCCTCCGAGTAGTTGTCAGGGATGACATAGCCGTCGATATTGGGGCGCCACATGGGGGGTTCCATTAATTTAACGGAGAGGTTGGCCAATGGGGTTCATTCCCAGATAGTGTCGGAGAGCGAGTCATACTCAAGGAGAGCTTCCGTGGACACATTGCGCAACTGGGCAAGAGATGCCACATTCATTTCCTTGAGAAATTCGACTCCCTGCTTTTCGGCAGCAGCCTTAGCGCGACAGCTTGTGGCATCAGTCCGAGTCATAGTATCGTGTGTGCCCCGCGCACCACTCTCAGAGATAATGCGTGCGGCGAGACCCTTGGCTAGCGGGCTCCACATAACATCAAGGGCACTAGCCGAGCCAGCAGACTGCCCACCGACAGTAATTCGATCAGGATCATAACCAAAGAGCTGAATATTATTATTGACCCAGTGCAGAGCGGCCTGTTGATCCAGAATGCCGTAGTTTCCAGAGCTGTTCCGTCCCGATTCGGCGGATAATTCGGGATGAGCAAGATGTCCAAAAGGCCCCAACCGGTAGTTGATAGTCTCAACGATAATATTGTGCCAGACCGGTACCGTCGTATGTCTTGAAATCACTACATCCACCGGTGAATCGTCCACCATAACTCCAAAAAAGCACAGGCAGCTTCTTCGTGGACATGGAGGTTTGGTTCTTGTAAGCAAGGGTCCAGACGTTGAGGTACAGACAGTCCTCGCTGGCTACGGCCTTTCCACTGGAGAATATACCAGCATCGCTAATTGCTTGGGCACATTGTGGGGCCAAATTCGGTGGCGTTCAACTTGCACCATTTCGATGGACCAGAGACCTGCGTCCAGCGGTTTACGCCTGTGGGAGGCTCTGCATAGGGGATTCCCTTATAGACAAAGGCTTTATCACCTCCACGGAAAGGCGAAACACCACCGTAGATTAAGTCGTAGTGGGTGTCGATAACAGGGGGACTGAGCGCAGAGGCAAGGGACGAGCCGCAGGCTGCCGCACCGACGAGGGTGAAAAACGGCCTCATGGCAGCTTTGAAAGGGTATATGAGATTTGGAAACGAATGGAGAATGGTTTTAAATGAGAACGAGAGCTCGACAGATTGGCCATGTTGCTATTATATAGAAACATGCAGATTCTCCCAAGGGATGGTACGCAACCTCCAAGCAACGATCTACCGTATATTTTCCTCATCAGAGACAAGAGGTGATGATCACAGTCTGGGTTCCACCCATATCTTCACGGTCTGTTTGATTTTGAGATTTAAAATTAGGAGCGAGCCTTCGGATATAAATGTGGAGCCGCAGATCTTTCGGGGATTCGTCTGCGCGCGGAGGTCAGTAACGTAAGCCCCTCAATTCTCAGATCGCTTCTCGAAATATGTTGCTTGATAAAGGATGACGAAAGAGACCAACAGAGTCGTTGGGAGAATAAAATCAAAAGGTCTATCATAACGCTTCGGTCTCCCGCATTTAGTTCATATCCAACACCAGCGACTCAACCATTATTTAGATGATTGCACAACAATTGCAAAATTCTTGTCGAATATGACAATGAAGGTCTACCACTTCGACTGACCAGCATCTATTATGGCAGTACTTATAACCAATGCCAAAAATGCGCCATGTCTAACAACGACTATTTCAGGTCAACTACTGCCCATCAATTCTTTGAATTTCTCCTACAATTGACGCTGAAGTCGCGCACCTCGCAAATTTCAATTCTCAGGGTCATCCGCATAGGGATATTATTTCTTTGGAAATCTGAAAACTAAGTCTAGAATTCCCAGGAGTGATTATAGAACTCCATTCGCAAAAGAAATATACCAGAGCCGGTGTCACAAGGTCGAGCAGAGTGTGCCTAAACATCAGGCTCTAATACAATTTTGGCGCCGTTTTGAAACCCCGGCGCCGGAGTCTTAGGCGTAGTACTTTTATCCAGGGTTGCTAAAACCCTAAACGGGCTATTTGAAGAGTGCGTCGAAGTGCAGATGTCAACACCAAGCCAACGGCGTCTTTGTATGGGAAGTCTCGGCATAGATCCTGAAACTGTTTGATGCCCCTAGTTGTCAACTGTGAATAGAATCTGGTTGTATCGTGGCCTGGGTTGTCAATGCCTTTTGCATGTCGGACGAGATGTGACCGGAAAGACATTTTGGCTCGGGGTGGTCGCGTAAGTTGGGATCGAACGAAGAATTATGTCGAAAGCACTTGAACGACAATGTCTGTAAATCCGGTAATGATTTTTATTATGTGCTGATTCTAATGAGTGAACAGCTCTGTAGATACCTCCATGCTTATACCCGAGCTTGATGCGACCTCTCTTCCATCTCATGTAGTATCAGCCGCAATGTAGTCGGAGAGAGGGTCTCCAAATGATTAGTTCTGCGGATAGGAGAACGATACTAAAATTGTATCGATAGCAACTCTGACATGAAAAAGCGCATAGTATATGTTCTAGTGTAATAGCTATAAGAGAACTAACTATATAACGAAATGGCTCTCATACCATAGCTGGAAAAATCACCAAGTACAGACCTAGCAAGCCTAGTACTGGTGCAAAGTAGACATCCAGCGACGGAGAAAGCTAATGCGTTTTTTGGACGCAGCGATTGGTACCGCGCCGAAAGATTCACCGAGGTGCATGGCAGAGTATATGCTAGATGACGGGGGGAATTGAATCAAGCCGTCACCATTGGGGTTACCAGTGCGAATGAAGTTGGCCCAGTACGCAGAGATAACAGATTCAATCTTGTAATCGGTGTCATTCCAGGTGACGTTGGAGTAGTCCGAGTAGGGAATGCTGTTGAGAGGCATACCAGATCTCAGCACCATGATAAGCACCACCTTCCTCATTTTCGGCAGGAGCCTTGGTGAAATAGTACACAAAGACATCGCTCTTCGCGCCACTGGCAGCCCACTCAGAGGCCCAATCCCAGGTTCCAACACGTGCTATATCAAGGAGCACAGCATCGCTGTTGTCACTGGCCTGGGTGTCGGTCTTCGCCGGGTAGAGAGAAAAGAATCCGGAAGACTAGTTACCAAAAACTTTTATCCACAGGGTCTTGTAGTCGGACACGGTTGAAGCGCCGCCGTCATTCTCGTTCTTGTTGTTGCCGGTCATGATGGGCACATCGGCATTGGCACCCAGCTCAAGGGATTCACCGTATCCATGACGAAACACATAGCCGTCAATTACGGGACGCCAGCGGGGAGGTCCAGATCAGAGATCAGAGAAGGCAGTGCCATCAAAGTATTTATCTTCCATTAGTTGAACATCTCCGATAAGGTCCGCCATAGGATGCTTGCGAAGCTCGGCAATCGATGAGACGTTCATAGTTTTCAGGAATGTGACACCAAAGTCCTCAGCGACGCTCTTCGTGTTGTAGCTAGTAGCCACACTACCTGTAGCAGTATCATGGGGGCCACGGGCACCGCTCTCAGCAATAACGCCGTGAATCAAACCACTACTGAGAGGACTCCACATCATGTCCAATGCGCTGGCACATCCGGCAGACTGACCACCATCAGTAACCTGGCTAGAATTTCCACCGAACTGAGCAATGTTGTTCTGAACCCAGCGAAGAGCAAACTGCTGATCCAAAATACCGTAGTTTCCAGAGCTGTTGTGTCCAGACTCAGCGGATAGGTCTGGGTGAGCAAGAAAACCAAAGGCACCGAGACGATAGTTAATCGTAACAACGATGATATCCTTGGAAGCAAGACCAGTTCCATCATAGGTGATGACATCTCCGGAGCCACCTTCAAAACGGCCGCTGAAGATCCAAACATAGACTGGAAGATTTTTGTTCTTGATCTCAGTGGCATTGGTGGTGTCGTAGGTCGGGGTCCAGACATTCAAGGTCAAACAGTCCTCACTAGTTGAGTTTTTTCCAGAAGAGAAGATACCGGCGTCAGAGTATGGCTGAGCACACTGGGGGCCGAAATTGGTTGCATTTAGTGTCTCTGTCCAAGAGTCGGGCTTGGTAGGAGGGGTCCAACGCCTCGACCCTGTGGGTAGCGCCGCACATGTGTCGTGTGGCAATGCTGCAGAAACTTGCTTATTCAATGTGTTAATTCAATGTCAGTGGCTGTGGTATGACCCAACGATGTGAATAGGTCTCAGCATATGCCGCATGTCCGATACGCGCTAGGCCCAATGTAGAAATCCCCACCGAAGTAAATATCATCTTCGGCTTCTCGGCTAAATGTGGAAGACCGGAAGGTTTCACGAGGAACATCGGTTTGTCTTCATAACTTGAGACGCTACATGATATGTTATAAAACCAAATCGAATCAATATTATTGTAGATTCTATTGTCACCGCTGCCATACAACGAGCTGATTATATATTTAGAGGTCGCCAACAGAAGGCCTGGTGGGAAAATCTCCAACGCCGATTCATTGCAACGTGCTAGGTGATGCCGTTTCCCAACTCGCATTCTTTTACTTCAGAGGGACATACCGATCAGACGCGGCTCAGAAAATACTATTCGTGAACTAGTTACCATCTCGCGGTAACACGCATGCTTTTCCATGCACAAATGGTACATCCCCGCCTTTAGTAAAAGCGACGGCATTTTCAGAACTTCTAAGAAATTGATGGCGGTATCAATGACAATAATAAACACTCAGATTCAACTACTATCAATGAACTCTGAGCTTTCCGTAATCCTCTGCCGATTATCTATATGTGCCACTCCGCTTCCGCCTCTTGTCGATGATAGGATCATCTTTCCCGCCAATACTCTGTGGACACGCGTTCTACTTACTAATCACGTAAAAGTAGATTCGCAGCTCCAGCTTCTAAGAAACAGGCACCTAAGCCTCCCAAGCCTTGAGCGTAGACCTCGGTTACGACTTCCCAGCCATTGAATTTAGTCGCAAATGAATTGACCGGGACTGAGCAATAGTTAACGGTTTCGACCTGCTTCTGCTGAACCGGCTAGACCTTTGCAGAATAGCGGTCCGTTTATCGCAGTAGTTACTTCTACTATTAGTTACCTCATTATGTCTTCTGTTTTAATTTATCAAATGTCTAAAGTTCCATGGTATCATTAACTTTGCCCGACTTACCCCTATATAAAATTATATTCCGTAGTAACTATAATATTGTCTCAGTCATAGGGATACTATTGAGAATCGTAATAATCGATGCTTTAGAAGCTTCCTCTCAACGCAAAGCTTTTCCTATTATTGGATTGTTAGATATCTCTCTTTTGTTACATGGCAAGCGGGTACTATATTTCAAGGTGGCTTCACTAATATAAAATTGTCTTCCATATCTTGCCTAAAAATCATACAAGTATCGAATCTCTGGCTAATTCTTAGTTGGAAGTTTGAACCACTTCCTGGCAAAGCTCTTCTTAGCAGACCCCTCCTCGTCTCGTGGGGCATAGAATCTTCTTGAAGAATCAAGATTGATATCTTCAAGGGCCTTCCATCTTCTGCCGCGGTAGTAAATCTTTGCACCAATATAGAGAACGACAATAGCTACCACAGAGAGGTAGTTGGCGAAGAAGTTCTTGGCACTGGGTGAATCTCCTAACGGAGACACAGCCAGGTAGAACTCAATGATGATCAGAGCTACGCACCAGAAAAGCCCCCAATATGCAGCCCAGGGGAAGGCCCATGACTTCCATGGAAGTTCTTCGACGGTGCGCCCTTGGGCCTTCCACGCAGCCCGCATACGAATATGAGACAGGCAGATCATGCCCCATCCGAAGAGGGTAAAGAGAGAGGTCAGGTTGGAGAACCAACCAAATACGGTAGCACCGCTATTGCTGACGTTCAAGTAGGCCAGACCTCCTCCGATAATGAGGGTAGGTGCAAGGCCCCACCAGGGACGACCCCAACTATCGGTCCTCTGTAAGACCTACAGGTAGGGATTGCATCCTGTTAGTAGTGCTCGGACGGGTGAAACAATCAGACTAACCTCTGGGCCCATTCTGAGCTGTGAGAGACCAACCAGCACTCTGGACCCCGCATATCCAGAGATCCCACCGGTCGACAGAACTGACACCAGAATGACAGCGTTCATGATGTGAGCCAGTGGAGTCACGCCAGCGTTCCTGTACATGATAACAAAGGGACTGGCATTGGTACCAGAGCCACCAAAGAGATTTTCGTCCTTCGGGCTAACGTTTATAGTGACGATCAAGCTTCCTAGAATGTAGAACAAACTTAACCGCACCCACATAGACTTGACAGCTTTTGGAACGGATCGGCGAGGATTGCTAGTCTCTGCTGCAACAAGTCCGGCATTCTCGGATCCAGATAGGGCGAAGATACAAGTCGGCATGACTGAGATGAATCCCTTGAAGCCGTTTATGAAAGCCATCTCGTTCCAAAACTGGAAGCCAACTGTACCGTGCGGTCTTGCTGGATAGCCTCCCAAAGGCCCTCCACCTGCGGAAAGAACAATTCCGGAGATGATCACAACAAAGATGAATCCAAACTTGATTGCGGCAGCCACGACTTCGATCTCTGCAAACCATTTGACTGCTCCAACATTCATCAGGACGATAACGAGCCAGAAAATAGTGATTAATGCGGCAGTGGGGACAGCGCTCGTCCAAAAACCGAGAACAGTGATTGCTCCTTGTACCTCGTTTGCGATGGTGATCCAATAAGAAAACCAGTATGCCCATCCCAGTGCAAAGCCGGCGGATTCGTCGACAAAAGTATTAGTCCATTGCACAAACTAGTGGAGGCGTCAGTACTTATCACTTAATGCTACAGAAGCTATCAAACTCACGGCACTAGGAAGAGGATACATAATCGCCATTTCTCCAATACTATGACTGACACTCCAAATAATGGTTCCCGACAGGAGGTAGCCCAGGAAGATACCAGCTGGGCCAGCATTCTTCAACGAGGTTCCCGATCCCAGCCAAAGACCCATGCCAATGGATGAGGCGAGCCCGATCATACTGATGTGTCGGGATCCCAGCTGGCGTTTGAGCCCAGAATCCGCGCCATGGTCAACCACCTCATAGACCTCTCCTATGATTGTATCCTCGGGGCTTTTGCTTGGAAGGCCTTTGGTTTCGGAACCAGGCTTTTGAAGTGATGGGTCCGACATCATGCCGCTGAGTTCGGGAACCGAGATGAGGGATAAAGGGGGAGAAAGCGATATCAGACAATTCTCTCCGCGATTGCTGCAAGAGAAGGATTGGGGGAATTCCAATCTATATACTACACTCTCAGCGCTCAATCAAGTTAAAGGAGATCAGTGACGGACCATAGAGCGCCAAGAAGAAATCTACCCGCTGTGGGTGTTGGTTTGGTGATTGGTCACAGGAAGGGTATATGCTGTCTTATCAACAGAAAAACCTGACATATCCTGCCAGATGGATTTTGAGGCGTTCATGTGGTGACCTGGATGGGCAAAGTCGGGCAATAGTTGATCATTGAACCCAATTGGCTTGCTTATCTTTGTTATCTGTATCACGGGGCTGCCCGATTAGGAAGCAACGCCTTATGTTATCTCTCGCCATTGGATACTAAACGAGATAACCGTAATCGCCAAGGTGGCCAACCTTCGGATTTGAGCTTGTTATCGCGCCCAGACAGTTCCTATGGAGACGTATTCACGCCCCGTTAGAGCAGGCCATCGGATTAATGAAAGGCTGTTGATTGGATTTCACGCTGAAACTACAGCCCCAGACTTTGCCAAGCCACAGCCAAATGCTACCTCAGCCGGTCAAGATCATGGATAGGAGCGGTTGGAAATGGGGTAGGAGGTGCTCGCTACGCGATCGTGACCAAGTGATAGAGGCTGGAATTAACAAGTATTGCTGTAGGCTGAAACGTCGGTACGCGTACGCTTGTGTCAGGATGTAATCATATTTAGGGGCAAGATAGCCAGTCCCAGCAAGGAATCTGACGTTTATATATTTTGCCATCTTTCACATATGATGTTTTTTACGCAGTGAGCAACGTCGTTTACCCAAGCTATCCCTGGATCTATCCTACTGGAGGACAAATGAGAGCGTCATTGTAACCGGTCGGACCGGGTAGAACCCGAGCTAGTTAATTACAAGTCCTCGTTAGGAATAGAAGCATCTTGCTCTTCCCCTTCCTTGCTTACAGTGATTGAAATATATATTGCGGGACAGGTGGTGTGGCCGATCGGTGTAACTCATACCACGGGGATCTTGGCCTATGGCATTGAAAATTCACTGTATATTGGGTCGAAATATTCATCAATATCGGAGGCACAATTCGAACCTTAAACTGGCTTTCAATACTGGAGCAGATTCGGCCAGCGGACCATCCTCAATCATAGAACTGGCGTGAGTGTACACGGAGTGCCAAGGATGAAATATTCTAGGGTCGATAGGTAATAGCTGCCTGAAAGAGAAAGAGGAGAGGACTGAAGCAGCAATTTCATATTCAATATCAATACAGAGGACAGGAAGAGAAGAGCAATCCAACTGAGCTCAGCTACCTACGAAGGCCTAAAAGGCAGGCGGTGAAGACGAGCGGGATCGCTGACTAATACCTTGAGGCGAGTGCATCCTCAGTCGTGCATTATTTCCTCTCTACTGCAGCCTTCTCTGGCCTCTTTTGTCCCCACCTTCTGCCTAGCTCGTGGTCAGCTGTATACTAATGTGCCGTGAAAACACTTGCGGTCTCTATAGTAGACCGAGCGGCAAGGCTGCAGCATAGGAGCTCATGATCGCTATCTTCGGTTTCATCAAGAGCAAATCGACTGCTATACTTCCTATAATCTGCAAGAAACTATTTAAGCTTTTCAGAAATGCAACTGAATTTGCACGGGCTTGCTCATCAGCAAGCCTCCCCAGGTCCATCCCACACAAACAGAGATGATAGGTGGGTCATACGGTACTCCAGCTAAATCGCTTGAATGTATCACCCAAGGCAATGGACATAAAGAGCAGAATTCCCTTCGCACTTTGCGGTCTATGAACACATAGCCGCAAATGCTCTAAACACACCCTACAGGAAGGATGGCGGGGATGCACCTCAGCTTAACCCAGGATCCTAGGAAGTGCTGGTTTCGGCTCAGCCAGCAATTATTCACTCACTATCTTCTTGCTAGGACTGATACGATAGATGCCCTTTGACGGTATTGTCTTCCTCTTTATTTCTCTCTCCACTCTCTCTCCTCTCCCCATCCGCCTAGCTCAGAATGACCATCAGCTGCGCTTTCACTTCGTTTTTTCTTGGAGGAAGATTACTGAGGCCACCGAAACTAAGGCGGCCGCCCTTTGCCCGAGCCGAAAAGGTGCGAAATTAAGCACGTCATATCTGTGAGTTTGATTTTGACGTGCAGGTTGGACAGAAAGAGGTCGATATTTAGGCTCTGCTCATGGAGGCTGTTCGTGAAATGGCTACCAGCCTCTCCACCACCCCCCATTTGGACAGGGAAAACTTGCGAATGTGCCGCTATTTCCAGCCTCACAGGAAATATGCTGCGTTTCTCTGATTTCACTTGGAGAGAAAATATGTTCCAGTGGAAGTTTCAACAAAAGTCCAGACACAAGGCATTCTCCGTGCTGGTCAATTTCTCGGATAACAGATTGGCCACAGTAACGTAAGGTTGGGGTCAACGGGGCAGGAGGCGACCAGAATAAAGCTAATTATAGCTGTCTTTGGGTTACCAAATGAAACTTTGAATCATTTTCGGGCTGGGGTCAGCAACCACGACGAGAAATTGGATTCTTTGGTACAGTCATGTAGAGGTATTTGGTCAATTTACATCAGAGAGTTTCAACATGGGGGATTTCAGCTTATTTCGAAGAGGCCCGAAATTAGACTGAGATCCTAAGCTCGTCAAAAGGCTAGACATGGGCCCTACAAGGATAGTGAGTGCTGTACTCCGGTTTGCTTCAAATTGTCCCTGGCAAGTTCAAATACTCGCGACAGCGTTCCACTACTGCGTGAGAACTTGACAAAGAAAAATTATGGAGTATCCATCATCTCATTAAAAAACTAAGTTGACGGTTTTTTTTAGATCCAACAAAAAAAATTATTTAGCCTTACTGACTTAACAGCGGGTCAACGTTCCAATGCGTGAAAGCTATGTTCCGGGATCTGGAAACACAGTGTAGTAATATGTTTCTGTGTCTTCCCTGATCATCACAGAATCTTAACTTTCCGTGTGTTCCGTGCTAATGTACGCATTATTTATTTTGCAACTAGCCTGACGGATGTATCAAAGAACGAGAAAATGAAACCTTCATTAAACACCTGTAGAGCGAAATTTCTTGTAGAAGTAATGTCTCTTCCGTCGTGGAGCTACCGGACTATCATTCCCAGCTCAAGACTATATGAGTGAGCACCTATATTTCCAGATGTGCTCAAGTCTACGAAAATCCCTTGGTCTCCTTAATTTGAAGGAACCAGGTATAATCGTAACTCGAGTGATGGAAGTGACTAAATAAAGGTATGACTCGAAGTAGGTTTTAGAGCACTGAATGCACCAGCTAATTTGGTTTTTAAATGAGGTCTTTAGCGGACAGCACTAGCAAGCGTGAGAGTGCAATCGGACGGGACTTGCTGCCAAGGTCAGCGCTCTTGGCACGTACGGGGATCACCAGTGCACCCAAGTAAGAACGGACCTCTTCCGACACCATGAAGACGGAAATGGTCTTATTTGGTCGACACCTGAACATGCCAAGACGGCCAATGCTACCAATAAAATAATTGTCGCCATCCAACAACAAGTCGCAATATCAGCCAGTACCCCTATAACAGCAGGATCCCATTCCAAGCCTCTTGGCTGTGGTTCTGCCATCACCCAGGCCTTAATTCCAAGCCTCCAAGATTGGGATATCGCACTGGATCCCTTGGCATTCAAACAAAATGACGAAGAAACCAATTTCGATAGTTGGCAAGCTCCTTGGCATAGACTAGCAGTCATGAAAACTTGTCTCTCGTCCACTACCAAGTCTGGTGAGCTGACTCCGTAATTTTTTCCATCCTACTCATCGCTTGTGGCTTTCAGAGCTGTATGAGCCTCGCCAGAATTTCAAGGTTCACAAGTCGATTGCAACTTCCATACAACAAGGGAAATCATGATACACCAATATCTCACGTATTACCCCAAGAAGGTTGCACGATGGATTGCACCTCCTCCTCAGAAATCAGAGGATGGTCGCGATCAGTGGCCCTCTAGGGCAGCGTTCCTGCTGGCTGCCATGGGAGGTTGCGCTGGCCAAGGAAACTTGCTGCGATATCCGTCGGTAGTATACAATAACTATGGACTACAATGGTTTATCCCATATTTACTAGCCATCTTTGCGGTTGCCATTCCTGCCTTGATTCTGGAAATCGCCATCGGACAAGCCTATCGTGGTGGAGCGGTGATCGCCTTCAACAATATCAATAATCGGTTGAAGGGCGTTGGCCTTGGTCCAGCATTGGTCAGCTTCGTCGTTGTGCAATATTTTACAGTGAATCTAGCGTGGATTATGAAATATTTTCGCAACTCCTTCCGCAGTCCCCTGCCATGGGAAGGCAGAATTGAGGGTTTCTACATGGGCGACGTTGTCGCAAATACCGACCCAGTAGTGGGAAATCTCACTGCAGGAAATGGTGTTGTCGAAAATTACACTACTTACCCCGGCGTGGCCTTGATCGGCGAGACGGTCGGCTGGAGCGCCTTTATTTGGTTTCTCATCTGGATATCCATTTTTCGTGGAGTGGGCCTGACCGGCCGTGTTGTGTACTGGACAATGGGTCTGCCGATTGTCACAACCATTATCATCGTTGGTCGTGCTTGTTCCCTTGAAAATGCGCGCGAAGGTATCCGGCTTCTATGGGCAACCTGGAGGGACGACCAATTAGCCTCTGGGACTGTCTGGCAAACTGCAGTTGGACAAGTCTTCTTTTCCACAGGAATCGGCTTTGGTTATTTTACCTCGTATGCTTCATACAATTCCAAGCACTCCAATGCTGTCATGGACGCATTTCTCATATGTGGGAGTAATGTTTTGTTTGAAAATTTTGCCGCCTTTGCCGTCTTTGGTATCATAGGCTACCTTCGACGTTGGCCACAAGATGACGAGAGATTAGGCGCATTTGTGGTTGGTTTTCTAACACTTCCCGAGGCGGTGCTTCACATGCCCGGTGCGAATTGGTGGGCTATTCTTCTCTTCTTCACACTAGTGGTTCTTGGGTTCAGCTCTGCCTTTGTGATGCTTGACGTGGTGGCTACCTTGGCTGTGGATGCCGGCGTTAAACTTTCACGGCCGGTGATTGTGACTGGTCTCACAATACTCTCATTCCTCATGTGCCTACCATACTGTACCAAATTTGGATTCTATCTATTAGACGGAATCGACCGATGGATAAACAACGTGGCCCTGATATTCGTTGTGTGGTCAGAACTGGTCGGAGCTACAACGGTATACCGGTGGCACGATGTGGTAAGCCAGACTGGATTTCCTGCTTTTGTTCTCTACAACTTTGGATATTTCGGTGCCCAAATCCTCGGAGTTGCAGTTGCACACGGAGTCTCCAGTCCAGCAGCTGGTGCTGGTGCAGGTTTTGGACTATATATTTGCTGCTCAGTAGGTTCAACTTTGGTGGCCACAACTCCAAGTATCAAAGGTGCCAGTTTCTGGGGACGAAGGCCACTGCTCAGTCGGTTTTGGTATCTAGCTTTCTACTCTGTGCGTCATGCTTCCCTTTCCCACCGTTATATTAGACATTAACAATTCCAGGGTAATCAGTTGAGACGCGACTTGAACGATGTTGTTGGTGGCAACGGAAACTGGAATATCCCTCGTTTCTGGCCTGTTCTCCTCCGGTACATCAGCGCACCTATTCTAGCCATAGTTTTCAGCTTTGCATATCCCGAATTCTATTCCCTGCGATATGATCCACTGATGATTGCGGGATTCATTCTAGCACATCTTTGCCTGCTTTTGATCTTGCTTGGTGTGGTATTGCCGCGATATTACAATGTTTTCATCCCGTATCATCGGCGAGGCGAGGGAAACCAAATTACGGTTGCCAGTCGGCCCAAAGAGCAGCTCGCAGATACTGGTGGATTTGACGTTGAAGGGGGCGTGCCAGGTCCGTTTCCTTTGAGGATGAGTTCCGACCTGACAACTACCGAGAATACGATAACAACGCGGAAGGTTTAGCTATTCATTCTTGAATCCTCCGGCGACTGGGCCAAAGATCTATTCCGACCGGCATTTTGCTGTTACAAATTTCACACTGGGCATACATTCCCATATCGCCCGATGTCATACCACATATTCCAATATTTAGCAATTGTTCCAGCATATGATAACCATGACTGGAAGATGGTGGCCCCGTCGCTTGAGGAACTGAACAGCTATGCTGAAAGTTTCGGATGCTGTGCATTAGGGGTCGTTATTTACAGCGGATATACTGTCGAGGTCAGGGGATAAGTCGGGTCTAAATCCAGTTCTGCATTAAGTAAGATTTTACTGCCTGTAATGAAAACGCAGTCAACCATATATTCTCATATATTGTCTTAGCTTTTAGCGCTAGCGCTCGGTGTCGGTATAATACTCGCGCAATGTTAGGAAGAACCGGAAGTTGGAAGTAAATTCCGATAGGTCCTTTCGATTTTGGTGAGTTATGTACCATTTCAGTCACACTGAACGACAAATTTTGATTTATTTGTCTCATGTCACTATCAATTGATCTTGCCATATTTGAAACCCCCATGACACGGCAAATGGTGCAAGGGATCCTCTACAATACAGCGACGGAGCTCCCCGCTCACATGATCGGGGTAAACTCCGCTATAAACTCTATAGGTGACGATGCCAGTAAATAATCTGCGCTAAGTCATTTTATGATGCTGGATCGTCAGGAACTTGCGGTGGAGCGGAAAGACCGGTGTTTTTCCCGGCGGGTCCATCCGCCTGAGCTGTATATTGGAATTTTGGAGTGACCCTCCAAGAAGAGATCGCGTGACCGGACAATAAAGCATCAATCAAGGTCACGTATAAGAATCCGGAAGAACTCTGATGCTTGCAAAACACAGGCCACATTCTGGCTATCTTTGCTCTGGTTATTTATCCAAATTGTCTATCATGGCATCAACAATTTCATCTCTGTTTGGTTATGCCCCCAACATACTAGGGATACCAAAGCCTCCCCCGGTACCACCAAAGGCTCTTCCAGCTTCTTGGTATTCCTCGCCTGAAATGTACGAATTAGAGCGACGAGCGATCTTTTCCAAAAAGTGGATTCTAATTACCCACACACTACGTTTTGAAGAGCCGGGAGACTTTTATCGATTTGAGGAGGCTGGCTTCTCTTTTGTGCTCTGCCTTGATAGGGAAGGCAACCTCAATGGCTTTCATAATATTTGCCGACACCGCGCGTATCCTCTGATATCACAAGATGAAGGTAACGCTAAAATACTTTCTTGCAAATATCACGGGTGGTCATATGGCTTGAACGGAAAATTGGCAAAGGCCCCCCGGTTCGACGACGTACCAGGCTTCAAGAAGGAGGAGCAAGGCCTCTTTCCAGTACATGTCCATGTTGACAATCTAGGGTTCATCTGGGTGAATCTTGACTCATCGAAGAATCCTATTACTTGGCACGAGGAGTTCAAAGGAGTTGATACACAAGAAAGGTTCCTGAATTTTGACTTCAGCCAATACAAGTTCAACCATACATGGCATATGGATGGCAACTATAACTGGAAAACACTTGCCGACAATTACAACGAATGCTATCATTGTACGGTTGCGCACCCAGATGTGGCGAACCTTGCAGATCTTTCCTATTATTACACAGTTTCGACTCCTGGACACATTCAACACTTCTCTCGCCCGAAAGAAGACAAGGTCGAGGACGATATTCAAAACGCAAGTACTTATTATTTCCCCAATGCTTGCATGACGGTTTCGTGAGTAAACTTTTGGTTCCGTGACGGAGCACTACAGAAGAAACTGATCATCCACACAGACCTCATTTCTTTTATTTGATGCGATGTGTACCAACTTCTGCAGGCACCTGTTCCATGGAATACGAAGTCTACCGTCACAAGGATGCCTCTGACAAAGATTTCGAGTATATTGATGGTTTCTTCAAGCGAGTATTAGACGAGGACAAGCATCTTTGCAATGCGGCTCAGAAGAATTTGAATGCCGGCGTGTTTGTGAATGGACAGCTTCATCCCGAGCTTGAGAGTGCGCCGCTCTTCTTTCAAAACACTGTCAGACGCGTCCTGGGGACTCATCGTGAGGAGGAAAAACGCCATAAAAGGGAAATATGGCCAGCTCGACAGCATTCAGCAGGCTCGGCTACCGCGGAAGATATCGAATTTTGCTCTGGACTAGCATGCAGTGAGGGATCTAGTAATTTAGAGTGGTAGTAGAGAATAAACCAAGTCTTTAACAGAGTGAGACCGGGAGTTTCAATGCAACAAAAGTAGGCCGACCGAGCCACAGAGGTTTGGAGATAAGGTGGGATCAACTCCGTATGGCTACGTGTGTGTGGAACCTTCCGGTGACCCCGCACCTGGCCTATTTAAATCGATCTATAGGCCTCGAGAAACATTGGTCCTTTCTGCATTTCCCAATTTTCGGATATGTCTCTCACAGATGGTCGTGTGAGCAAGCGATCCCATCAAGCGTGTGAGAATTGTCGGTGAGTCCGAGGCTGTCTAGCAAGCCCAAGGTCTCCGAAAGGATATTTGTCTGATGGGGGGCGGACAGACGGAAGAAAACACGTTGCCCGGGAGAAAGGCCGGCGTGTTCAACTTGCACTCGCCTTCACCAGATCTGTCAATATAGTAGAAATGTTGACTCGGTGGAAAGACATCCCGGCGGAGACCGAATCTTGGTTGGTTCCACACCTGTCAATAATACAGCGGTATGCAGAACTGATCCTGGATTCAGGAAGATCGATTACAGCATATCGAGGACAAAATAGAATTGATGCTGGAGAGATCAATGTAAGTCATTTTATTCTTGGCCTAAAGAAAGGCTAACGAAATCAGAAATAGCAACCAGACTGGTACTCCGAAGTCATTCTCATGTGAGAATATACATTCACAAGCAGCGTCAGAATCTCCGCCGAGGAAGGTACATCCATCAGGCCTTGCGACTAGCCAGGAGAACCCTAGTCGCCTTGAAAATGTTGCAGCACAAATTATTCCCCCTACTGAGGTCATTTTCGAGTCATTCGATCTTTATCGGCAGTATTGCCACAAACAACCTTTGTGGCTTTTTGACGAAAGTGATCTCTTAGCTCCCGAGATATACTCCCAGGAGATCATGTTTGGGATACTCGGGCTTGCTTTACGTTATTCCAACAATCCGTTTGTAGAGGGGCGAGTGGATGAACTGTGTCAACAATACACTGAGGCAGCTCGTGGCATTATCATGCTTAAAATAGCGCGGGGGGGCGTTCAGCTTTCCACAATTCAAAGTCTTTGTCTAATCGCACTGGCAAATTTCATTGGTGAGTGGATTATGTCACTTTAGATCTACACAGCAGAAGAAACTAATATGCAAATAGGGGATGATGCGCGTATGGCTTGGCTACATATTGGGCTTGCAACAAATCTCCTGAAATGTGGAGGGCTCGATATTGAATTGCACAAAGACACGCGCACAATAACGACAGAGGTACACCGAAAATTATATTGGAGCATTCATCTCCTAAACCAACAGTACGGCCCACGAAACATGCAATTGGATATTTTGCGCGACATTGGGCGACCCAGATACATGGGCGTCAACCGTTGTTCTATGCGAGAAATGGGAGTCTCTCCACCTCAGGTTCCTGAGGAACCGGGAGGCTCAACGCACATTGAGGGTATATGGATATATATGGTGCAACTATCAACTCTTTGGAGCGAGGTTCAACATTATGTTTCCCATTGTGCTAGTGGCGATCCAACACCTCCTTGGTCATTAGAATCAGGGTATTCTGTCATTGGGGCGCACCTCATGAATATTGAGACAAGATTCCCCACTCGTCACAGGTGGGACTCTGTCAGATTCATGGATCACTCCAAAGAGACCATACATCAGAACCGCGGCTACTGGAGTCCCTGGGTATATCTTCAATTTACATATCATGCTATACACAGCGTGCTGAATCATCCATTCCTTTATTCGTGGAGACCGCAGCAATCTGCGCAGCTTGCGATTCCAAACACATTTTGGAAAACCTCATCTGAGCTCGCTCTCATTCATACGACTTGGACAGTTCGCCTCATTGATATGGTATCTGAGAAAGAATATCAAGTCTCCGATCCATTTCTCGCTCACCTAGTAGCAATTTCTGCAACAATCCATCTTTATTATTGTCGAGCAGCTGATCCATCGGTCCGGGAGTCTGCTCAGAGTAAACTGGATGCTTGTATGACCTTTCTAGGCGCACTTGCAGATAGGTGGCCAAGCTGCAAGGTGATAGTATGTTCGATTTCAGCTTCATTGAGACTATTTGCTGACAAAATTCAAGCACCAAAAGCTAGAAAGACTCCTTCGCTCTGCCTTTGCCCCCAGTCCAAGTTCCAGCCTACAGAATATACCGCGAAGAACCATTTCCATCAATACTGCTCTTATGTGGGACATACTTCTCCAAACCTCTCCCAGATCTTCCTCGAATTCATCGGGCGCGGGTCTTTTTGATGCTTCTTTTTTTCAGGACGCCGAGGAGGCAAATAACGAAAAAGAAACCGTCGAAACAGAGATATTTCATCATTCTACGAGGACTGTCGACACATCAGATGGGGGACAAGCTTTACCACCGTATTCGAGTGTGGCACAATTTGGGCCTTCTTCAAAAGACCTCAATAATGATGCTGGACCAATAGGAGATCAAGTCTCCTCCACCATGATAACAAGTGACGAGTACCACGTCCCATCGTTGCCAGAGACGATGATGTGGCCGGGACCTGGCTTTCGTGGAGATGTTTCTTTGATGGATATAACTCATGATCCATTCTTCCAATTCCAGGACCATCAAAGTCCTTATCTTGGTGTATGGGAGATCGGAAACCTTTGATAGTGAATACCTAATGCTTAAAAAAATGATGTGTTTCGGTCAGAATGATGACATAGTAGCCAGTAATCTTCCGTTGGTAGTTTCCTTTGAAGGATCTCGGCATTATACGAAGTGAGAGAAAAGCAAGGGCATATTCCGTCCTTGGGTACATTCTGGGTACTTAAAGTAGCAGGAACATTGCAAAGGTCTTCCAAGATCAGAACGAACGAATATAGATTGTACACAAGAGGTCAAGTAGATTTGAGTCTACTTTAAGGGAAGAATAAGAACGGGTTTACGTACAATTCTCGCTCGGAAATGAGACCTGTGGATACTCGCGCCAGTTCATTTTGTCGAGTTTCTGGCTGTGTCAAACTGCTTTGTGGGCAATTTCAACTTTGTATTTCTGAAATTTTGATTTGAAGTATGTATGCTTCCTCAAGGTTGGTTGATGAGCATGGGGTTTTTTTAGATGCTTCTTCTTCCGCGTGATTCGAGTGGAAACATTATGGCAAGTATACCACACAAACCCAGCAGTGCAGCGCATACATAAATAGGAATTGAACTAGAGGTCGAGGTGAAAGCTCCGATCAGAGCTGATACCATTCCCATCAGTCGATTCAATGCAACGGCTATACCATTACCAGTTCCCCGATGGGCCGAGGGTAGAATCTCGACCGTATAAGCGTACAACGTTGCATAGTATATGTTGATGGTAACTGAAATCGCACATGAAAATCCTAGATTTTCTGCACCTGTGCGCACAGATGTGTAACCGAAGAAAAAGGCCACTATATATGAAGTTAGACCATCTGACGCATCTGAAGCATATCCTATCTTACTTGTAGCAAAGGCACCAAATCCCATTGTCCGTTTCCTTCCAAAGATAGGCATTTCGCACATCCCGGCTGCGATTATGGGGCCGGGAATTGCACACAAGTTGGTAATGGCATAATTCCTCCAGGTCACATTTTGAGATGACTCGCCCGCGGATGCATCCCGAGATGCTAGGTACTCAGGTAAGTAAACATAGTACAATGCATATCCGAGTCCGATTAAAGCCCAGGAAATCCATACTAAGGACGTAGAGAGCGCCATTTTCCGAGTCACAAACAACCCTCGAATATGGAGTACCACCTCAGAGAATGAAGCTTTGCTCTTTGCATGAGCAGTATTAATTTGACCGCAGCTTTGCAGCTGGTCAAGGGTTAGACTGCATACTCGATTATGTTTCTGTGCAAGAACTTGAAGGGTTTTGACAACCGCCTCGTCATGGCCTTGACATAAAAGAAACTTCGGTGTCTCGTGGAATCTGATTACCAGAACACGAGCAATGCTCAGTATGAATACAAGAGCTCCACAGGTATAGAAAAGATATCGCCAGCCCATGTTATTTGAGTTGGTACAAGGAACAGATTCATCCGAAGGGCAACTGTAGTTTGCTGTCTCTGAGTTAACACAAGTTGGTTCCCTGAGTAAGAAGAGACAATATACCCATGAATCCCCATGCCACAAGGCCAGCTACCGTTTGCCCTACACCCCACCATCCAGCTAAGAGAGTGAGAAGCCATTGCTTGTTGGAAGGTAGATACTCCACGAAAACCGTTGTGTCAAGGACCAGGTTTCCACCGGATCCAAATGCTGAGAGTGCAACAAAAGCTGCCCATGCCGTGTAATTGGGGGCAGCCCCAGCAGTTATCGCGAAGATTGCACTGATCAGCAGGGAGAAGTTGAACGCCCATTTCCGCCCGATGACATCTGCAGTACTACCCCAGAATAGAGCCCCCACCAACAAGGCCAAGTAGAAGCCGAGCTGTGCACCCCTTGTAAATTTTGGAGGGTATTGAGCGACGACTTGTTCGGCCGAAATACTCATTAGGAACAACAATAAGGAATCGACTCCGTAACTGGTCATAAAACGTCAGTATTAAGCAATCAAAAGACTTGTCTCTGTGGCTTTACAAACCCAAATCCATTGAGAAAAAACAATTTTACGTGGTACCGCGTGAACCCGATTCGATCGATTGTCTGCAATAGTCAGTGGTGTTGAGGTTGCACTTCTTGGAATAAACGGACGTCATTGACAAGATTCATTTTGGCAGCGAGGGCCAGATCTACTTGGTCAAGTGAAATAACATCCCCTGGCCCAATTGAGCCAGAGTCTTTCGTCGGCTCATCTTGGTTCCTTTGCTCGGTCTGCATAACCCCCACACTATCAGGGTCAGTAGCCATTGTCACGGTAATTCAATGCAATTATAAAAGTCTCTGTATATGTTCAATGCGATGGAAGAGCGTGATAACGATAATTGTAGAAATAAAATAAGGAATTCGAAAGAGCGGACAAAACATCTTGGGCGGCTTTTATAGCCTTATTGGGCCGCATATCAGGTCAACCCGTGCTCCCTATTGTTCAAGCTTGACTTCTAAAGTGCACTGTTCTCCAATTCAAAACGCAGTACTCAAATTCCCCCTCATATCGCTGATACTACACCTTGCTGAGGTACCCGATTGGCAACATGTATATGTGGGCCAAGATAGGGAATGCGGGCACGAATCAGAAGATCTCCAAATAAGCGTAACTCTTGGGAGAATTTGGCACATTGTGTGTGTTTAACCGTTGGTTTGAAATGGCTCTTTTTTGGTTGTTGATAGGCAACTCCCCGCTCAGCTGACCGGCGCGTCGGCATTTGCCGAATATTCGCCCAGGAATGCTCGAACGACCGTGGGGGTAAAATACCGACAATGGTACCAAACGTTAGATTCATCATCTGTCAATCCGTACCACACGCCTCAGGACTTTTGTTCCCGATGGTCAATGCGCATAATGTAGACGGACTTTCCAAAGCACCTACATAACGCTTCCAGCTTTGATTCATTGATGACTGCATCTGAACCGGTACTCCAATTGTCTAAAGCTATAAAATGAGTCAGGGTGAAATTTCGATTGCTAGATATTTTGAAATTGATGATATGGGCAAGATACCAGCCCGTAAACACGGAGTTCGGGATGCTGCAAACACATTATTAACAGACACACTAGCAATGACCATTTCCATTCCCTTCTACTGTGCTTTATCAAATGATGTCACAGTACTAGTATCAGCATATCTGTCTAATGTATGTCACAGGCTTTCCATTTTGGCACTGCATATAGCCCTTTCCTAAAAGAGCATCACCCGCACACAGCTCTTGGGAGACCTGCTCTACAGCATACTACCTGGGGTTTCGATATATCACAGCCCCAAGTAACGACCAAGTCAACTCTTGAGGCAGGAACGCTATCCATGGATTCGACTTTTATGGAGCCAACGGTTGTGTTTGTGGTTCTACCTGGTGATACTTTTCTCACCGATCCCATAATTGATATCCACGTGCTCTTTACCATTTCAAACGAGGTGTTTCAGAAGTCATCGCAGACGCTCGACGGTCTGGTATAACCAACTGGCCAAGTAAGGATTCTGATGGTAATGATAGCTCTTTTCGGTTAGATATTCTCACAAACCAGGGCCACGCCGCCCATTAGCAGTAATTTGGTTCTCAGTAGTGATTATATGTCAGTAATTTTCCTCACGATGGCAGTTCGGCATTATGCACTTGGACCGTAGGACGATATTTTCGAAAGTGCTCGCCAAGAGTAATTTTCCTACCGGTTCCAGCAAACCAATACTCCGTAGTTGCGCATGTAGTGTATGCGCCGATAGAAGTTTTCTTCGATTCGGTCATCAGCCAAGTACAAATTGTAGTCAAGAACTGAACAAAAGATCACCGCATTTTTGCCGTTCTTCAGAACAAAGCAAGAGCAGCCGAGCACCCAGGGTTCCAGCCAATCAGGACCCGGGAAAGGTAGACATTGCTTGTTTGTGACGTTTGCACTCTGGGTTACTGTTTTGTTTGGAATGTTTGATGAGTTTAGTCAGTTTAGCCAGTTTAGCCAGTTTAGTCATGTTGTGGTATTGTTTGGTTGTTTTGGTCGGTTGATCAACTCATCCAGTTTAGGACTGAATCGGCGCCCATGTCGACCTCGGGAAGCTAATGCAACTAGTAGCTGTTTATAAATCAATCAAGGCTTTTGATAGCCATTAACTGACTTATGTCAAGTCAAACCCGCAGCACATGGTCAAATTGCGACATGCAGACCGTCTTTCTTCACCTGTGAATATCCCAATACCAATCTACCTGACTAACAGCCTCCTGGCAATAATGTAATGAGAAGACGACTTTGGTATTATCTCAGTCACTTGAAAAAGTTACCCTCCTTGGGGATGAAACTGGCTCAACCTATAACAATTGTGCTTCAGCCCTTGTCATCTGAGGGAGAGACGTATATATATTCACCACACCTTGTCATTTCCTATGGCGAAATTCGTAAACCTTCAATTTCGAGCTGTTTTATTCAATAACGCACCCACAGAACATTCCGAAGAGCTGGGTGTATGTCTGGTAGCAAATCCTGTTGCACAAATTTGCCTCTAAACAACAAGTGGGGGGAGAGCCGGGAGGCTGCTTGACCACAATGAATATGAGGACATTGGCACAAGTTCCCCATGCGCACCATCACATTCACGTAGCCTCGCTTTTCCACTTTTTATTACTCAACAGCCTTTCTCGAAACACTGACAAATACCACAGTTACCATCACAGTTACCAGGTTGTGCATTCAATGGGGTTGCATTTGCCTACGATTGTTGCAGAGAATGAAGGGATGTCAGCAATGCGAATATATCAAATGATGATCTCGAGGCCGGAATGCGAGGCAAACAAAAAATCCCCTCAATTTTAATAAAGGTAAATAGCTTTTGGGTCTCGGCTTGATCTCATATCAATGCAAAGCACATTCATCTCCTAGGCGGATAGTATTGAAAACCATGCATCTCTTCGCCACCTGGTTCAGCAGCCTGGCGATCTTACCATTGGCTCGAGCCTCCTGGCCTATGCTTTATGGGACCGAAGTAGCTTTAAGTCCATACAGCAACAATGAGCCCAGCGTAAAAGTTGAGACGCTCTTCCAATTCCCAGAGAACGGCTCCTGGGTCGACAACATCGTCCTCCGACCCGACGGGAACCTCTTACTGACGCGTCTGGATGTTCCTGAAGTTTGGTCTATCAACACCACTAGTGGAAACGCGACTCTTGCCTATTCATTTCCCAATGTTACCAGCTGCTTTGGAATTAGCGAAATCGCAGATGATATATTTGCGGTGGTAGTCGGCAATTTCTCAACAGAGACTTATAAGCCCGATGCTGGTTCTTTCTCCGTTCAGAAATTAGATTTCAGCAAGATCGAAAGGAAGAGGGACGAGCATGCCTCAGAATCCCCAGCTGCTTCCCAAATCGTGGCACTACCGGAGGCCGAGGCTTTGAATGGAATGACCACTTTCTCAAAAGACCCAGATCTGGTTCTCATTGCGGACAGCCCCAAAGGTGTCGTATGGAAAGTCAACACTAAAACAAGCAATTATTCTATCGCACTGAACGATACAACCATGCTTCCAGCAAAGGGACAGGCACTTCCTTTGGGAGTCAACGGCCTAAAAGTGGTTGAAGATTATGTGTACTATTCGAGCACAACACGCATGGAGTTTTGTCGCGTTAAGGTGGACGCGGAGGTCAGGCCGGTCGGAGAATACGAGGTCATCGCCAGCGGATTTCTGCCTGATAACTTCGACGTGACCGAAGATGGCATCGCATATATCGCCACAGATCCCCAAAACTCTGTCGTCCGCATTACTGCCTCGGGTCAAATTTCGCTCGTGGCTGGCGGGCAGTTGTCGACGGAGATGCCAGGTCCCACGTCAACCCGGCTGAGCGAAGATCGAAAGTCTCTCTTTGTTGGAACTAGTGGGGGACAAGTGGCGCCAGTCTTGGGTACTTTTAAGGAGCCAGGCAAGGTAGTCAAGATTACTCTCGCATAACGGAACGTTGTTATGAGAATCTGTTGGTAAAAGGGTTTGTATCTAAAATGCCTCCCATGATAATTAAGGAGTGATACTTGGCTACACCATGGAAAATGCTTTTTAAATATATTCCCTTCTGTTAAATTAAATCAACAACAAATGTGGCTACCTTGATTGTAGTTGAATGTAAAGAGCGATAGATTTTGCGATGCCATGAACCCACACGAGCTATTAGTCACCAGTATTGCTACCTATATGAGCTAATACAAACCAGTCATGCAGATATGTAGAAATTCTCTTCTCACTTTGCTATTTTCACATTGGATGTAGAAACATACACGCTGTACATGCTAACGAGCCATGCGAAAATTGGGTGGCAGCAAATGTGGGATAATATTACCAACGGGGAAAGAACAGTGGATACTGAGCTATCCTGAGCAATACAGACCAGGACTCGAGGCTGAGATATCTGTATAGACAAAGCCAACTGATGACCACACAACAACGACCTAGCTACAGGTGGATACCTGAGGCATGAAATGAGGTAATCAGGATCCTGACTCATATGACGTCATCACAATAGCTCCCTGGAAATTTGGCAGCCTGTTATGTCGACTATGAATTGGGACTTGCTTGTTTCACAATCAATCATCAGCCAAGATGCCCGGAAATTTTGGCCAAAAAGTTCTCAAAACCCTTGGTATCGACCCAAGCGCTCGCCATCAGAGCTCTAAAGATGTTCAGCTTCCAGGCAGACCAGCAGTGAACAACGATGAACGTGGATTGTCTTCACCTCCGAACAATGGCACATACCCTCGTTTGTGTAGACTTTCAGATGGTTCTATCCTCTCCTCTTTCACCAGGTTCCCCGACGGACAACGCTCACTGCGTGTTGCCAAAAGTACGGACAACGGTCGCACGTTCGTGGACTTCGCCGAAGTGACTCGCGCTGCAGGCGACGTGGATAACATGTTTTTGTGTGAGGTGGTCCCTGGAACTGTGTTAGCAGCCTTCCGAAATCATGACATGGGCCCGAATGGTCCCACCCATTTCCGCATTACCGTCTGCCGGTCTACGGATGGTGGCCGAGTTTGGCGATATGCCTCCCAAGCCACAGAAAAGCGGCCTCCGATGGGTGTTTGGGAGCCTTTCATGCGGCTCGGTCGCCAGGGTGAAGTACAGCTTTACTTCTCCCAAGAGTTCGCCCCCAACAATCAATGCACCATGCTCGTCGTTTCCCGGGATCACGGAAGTACTTGGACTCAACCGACCTGTCTCCATGGTGCTCAGGATCCGCTTCGTGATGGGATGAGTGGAATCGCACGAACTGTTGACAATGGCCGTGAGGCTCTGGTCATGGTCTTTGAGACCACTCGATACGGCCCATTCAACATTGATGCACTTCTGTCATATGATGACGGTGCAACTTGGGGTTGGCGCCATGAGGTTTACTGCCCACGGCAGGGCCGTAACGCTGGTTCGCCGCAGATTGCGTCGTTTGCTGATGGGTCACTAGCTGTGGTGTTCATGACAGACGAAGACGCCATCCACGTAGACTGGGTGAGGAATGCTTCTATCAAGATTGTGTTTGCTGGGCCGCCACAAGAAGGACGGGTTCAATGGAGTCAAGCTTCGCTTGTCTCGCCAGCGTCCAGTTTCTGGCCTGGCATTATGGCTCTCGATCACCATACTGTGTTGGCAACTTATGACCGCGGTGGGCCTCTGGCCAAGACCGTTACTTGGCACCCGTCTTAAACGTGCTCTGGCCGATTATATTTTGACTTGAAGCATCAGGGGATGTGCGCCTTTGCCTCTGGATGACGCCATTCTGGAAATTAAAATTAGACCCAGGTGCCCAATACACCGAGAGGCTGCACGTCGACAGAACCCCAGTATCACAGTCACAGTCGAGGATGCTTGTGGCAAATAATCTTGTACAGTAATTTTTCCACTGAGCTCAAGTGTCCCGGTATGGTACAAAGCTCCAATCACTGCGACAATCCATCGATGCTACGACCAATGCTATAGGTGAGAAAATGCAATTAATTAATGACGCGGTTGCCATTCTGGCAACACTGAACTGTCAGACATATTGCGAGGTTCGATCAGGTTCGCTCTACTTCAGCCCTCAGTTGGAAACATAAAAGCGACCTCTTCTAGATAGGGAATCAATTATCTGTCTTCATATCTATTTCGACGTATGAAAAACTTGCTATAGGTGATATTGACGTGGATTTTCAACCGATACTCCCAATCTCTCCCACATGGCTTCCACATTCATATCCTCTTGACCACTGGAATCAAGTCAGTTTTGGCCAGTCGATAGAACCAAGGAGATACTTACTCATCCTTTGGGTTAATCCACGGCTCCGTCTGACCCTCAGCAAGATTGGGGTTGCGGAAAATCACGTTATGTCTCTGCCAACTTGATTAGCAAAAGGTCTCAAATCATTAGTTTAACGCCGACATACCATGCCTAGCGTCAAATGAATAGCACCCGGCCCCTTGACAAATGTTTCTTCCGGTGTACGGCCTTCTATCATGGCCTGGATATTCTTCACGACAACCGCTGCCTGTGCTGATCCGGGGCGCGCCGCCTTCTGAGCACCTGTGTCTGCGATATCCCCGACAGCAAAGAGATTCGAGTACTTTTTATCTAAGAGCTGCATCGTTGGCCTGACCCGAATGAACCCATTTTGTGGGTTAACAATTGATTCAGCGTCCGAAGAAGACGGTTCCAGATCGGCTACCAGCTGGTTGTTCGGGGTTTGCCCGGTGGCCAAGATCACAAATTGAGTCGACTCGGTAGTGCCATTTGTCAGCTGTACCTGGAAAGTGCTACCGTCATTAGGGAAGCCCCCTGGCGGAAGTTTGACGCGTGAACCAGTAATGAGTTTGATCCCTAACTCATCGAATCGTCGCTTGATAAGCTCGTGCAGTTGCGGGTGGAAATTCGGCATCACCTTCGGCCGTGACTGTACTATCGTAACCTCCTTATTCGGGTAATATTCTTTGAGATCAGCTGCCATCTGAACACCGACAGCACCTCCGCCAACAATCAGAATTGACTGTGATGCTTTGACGCCGGCTTGGTGTTTCTGCAGGTACTCGACAGAAGAAGGCTTATCGTCATGTTCCATCCCAGCAGGCTTCGAGAGCCGTGTACCCGTAGCAAGAACAACATAGTCAAACGGAATTTGTTTTGAGCCCTGCCAATCACGGTCAAGCTCTACATGAGTTGGCTTGACAGATAGCACTCGAGCTGGGACAACCCCGTGAGACGTTGGGTTTGGTGCGCTGTTGAAAATTCCACTGTACGGGATAAAGGCTTTGTGCTCCTGTCCTGGAACAATTGCAAATCGAGGCTAAAAATAAAGTCAGCAGGGAACATTGTCGGTGGTACAGACTGAATTACAAAGGTGAAGAGATGATGAAAATGACTATGATTTTCGGTAAGAAGCACCTGCGCACGCAATAAGCATTCTGTCAACTGAGGTTTCTAGCCTGATCACAGCTTACTCGATGAGTTGAAGGGATTACACGGGCTAGTTCTTGGGCCGTGGTCTATCATAGAATCATTAGTAGATGTTGTCACAAGGTGAGGAGTAGACTGACCCGCCCCACAAACGACCCGCCCACAACAATGATGTTCTTTACTGGGTTCATTTTCCGCTTTCCTTAAAGAGTAGTGAAATGAGGATTCGAGAAAACCGGGGTCTTTATAGGGATCACCCCGGTAGATCTTATCAGATTAACTCCGAGGGGAGTTGCCACTTTGGGGGAAATGCCGATAAACCGGAATAGGTTATATCCGGGTAACGCCACATTGAAAGTTGCCATTGATATTCGTATATCCGTTCTCAGGCCTACATACTTTACTCAATCGGGATGATATTTCACAATTGAGAAATGGATGGCCTTACAAACTATACTTGGGGGGGGGGGGGGGAGCTATCCGCGCCTGAGGATGAGTAGGTTATTGGTGGGTCTCTCCATATGCTCGTAATTCAGAGGCTAAGAGCCCAGGGACTTCTGGAACCTGATTTCAGAGATCTTCAACGATTTCTTAGCCATCTGTAGGGTATATAAATACCACGGTCTCGAAATAAATCACGAATTAAACGCTTGTTCAAGGCCTTACTGCGTACGCTCGCAATTGCCCAAAGAAATTCTGGTTTTCCGCGCGCTGCAATAATCTCCATTAGGATAGCAGTTATTTTCCTTCCGGAAGTGCAGGTTACAGCTCAAAAAGAGACTGCCATATATGTTTTGAATAAGGCAAAAATGGAATGGTGTGGTAATGAATTGCTCACAATTCATAAACAATTCAAACGTGAATGGCAGCCATGACCGTCAAAATAAAACGCATTTCCATGACTTTTGATATGTTGAGATTCATGGCGCATCCAGACTAGATACCTGACACATCAGGCATGAATCTAGTGATTAGCCGTAACATAAATGCTTCCCTCATTCAATAGACATAAGTTTAATGTACGTAATACAGTCGCCTAATTGAGATGATCAAGCCATTTACTAGGCAATTCATCAAAAATCTAGCCATTCTGTGATATTCCAATTGTAGTATTTGTTGATACAGCATTACTACCATGAAACTAATTTTTTGGTAGATGCCGGGGTGCCTTTGAATATGCAAAAAGGGATCATGATCCAACCGCCTGCAGTGATACACCCAACTGTAGATAATTATTTGTATGCCCTGCTTCAGCAAATTGATGATGATACTAAGTGTCATAAATGACAATCTTATTAATGCCGTTGCCTTGTTGGAACTCACATTCATCGAAGTTGTATAGTAAATGCGGTGCGAGGTCTTGAATAACCTGTGTGGGCTTCTCATACCACGCACTGAGAGGCCCCTGTGTCCAGCGTCAACAGGCTTCGAACCTTCGGCCTTCAGGTTCACCGGTTGAAGCTCAAGAGGTTTGTATGTGTTTTATAAACTCATATGCTCTCATATTGCTAGACTCTCGTCCTGTTTAGCCCTGCAGTATTCCGGACGTCACTGGCATATTGAAATTTCACGTATATGCAATTCAGTGCCTCAAAGCATTCGCCTGATGATTTTCAAGGGCCTTTTTGACCTGTGTAATAGTAGTGGGTTCCTGTGTACTGCGAATGCGATTTCTGGTGTCGGTGCTCGCCGCCGTAGATCGGAACGCCACTGCTGCGTACATTCGCGGCAGACCCGGGCGGCGGCGACCATAGCGGCAAGTGTTCTCTCTCGGGAAGGAAACGAGTCCTTGGCCGACCGGTAACTCCATTGACGGGCTCTTGGCCGGACCATACCTGCTCGGACTAGCCTGCTCCGGAGTCATCCAACGTCTGAACTTCGCCGAGAGCAGCGTAGCCACACCGAGTTTCCTATAGTCCTCAGGCTGTCCCCGCACTGACCGTCCCTGGAGACCCCGATAATTCACCGAGTGGAATGACGCCATTCACGCGCGGGTACTGCTTCTTCCTCTGTCCATGTTGCTATCGGAATGCTGTATACCGGGATTTCTGTTGCAAATTCCTATGGGAAGTCTGGATCGGTGGACTGCCAAGCCCGAGATAACTCTGTTTTGGCCTCCTTAGGTTGGACATTCAATCCAAACCAGACCATCGCCAAGATTAAAGCAGAGGTAGCCTCACAAAAAAAGTTCAATCCCCTACCTATCTCTTGTTTCCCCCCTTTCTACTTTCCTTTTCTTCCAAGAAAGAGAACACTCAAATCAGAACCTAATGGGGTTTTGAATCCGGCAATATTAACGATTTTTCGTCAATGTAAAGCGCCAACCGTGCCAAGCCCCCCCAGAAGCAGATTCGCGGGGCTTAGAAACCTTCCGCGTGTGTGGAGACATCTCCAAAGGGAAGCGGCCCCTATAATACAAACTTCCATTGGCTTAAAGCGAATCGCAGCTGAATCCTGTAAAAAATTAGTTGCTTTCTTATTTGCCAGTGGCGTCGCATCCTGGGGCACTGAAATAGATGCGTTAAGTGGCACATTTAGGTTCTGAAATATCGCGAGGTAGTTTGAGTGTTCAACCCCTGCCGTATACCTAGCAGCAAGTTTTCATTTGTGCCCAGAACAAGCTCCACCATCATTTCCGTGGTAACTGGTTGCGAGAAGTCTGGATGGCAGGAGTAAAGAACATTGGAGTGGCCATTGTACCATTACCACTCTGCTGAAGGCAACATTTGGAGGGTTGATGGTGCGCCATTAGAAACCTCCCCCCCACACGACTATCTTGGCGACAAGGCCGACCCACCGCAATCCCAATTACCTCCGCAATCCCAACTACCTCCGCAATCCCAATCAGGGGCCTGAAGTGCGAGGTAATGATTTCAGCCAAGTCTGTCTTTGCGCGTTGGCGGGTTCGCACACGAAACCCACAGCATGCCCCTGAGTACTTAAGGCCATTAGTCCCTGCGCCCACCGTCACATTGGTCAGAATAGGACAAGAAGAATCTCTCTTCCTTCCTTGTTGGACAATTTTGAAAACCATTAGTTTACTAAACGACAACTATGTTATTCAAAAGACCCCCCGATGAAAAGGGAGCCGCGTGGCCAGCCATCTTGGTCGGTTTGTTCGCGTCATTCGGCGGCATTCTCTATGGATACGACACTGGGACCATCTCAGGTATCCAGACTATGCCCTACTGGATCGAGGAATTCAATCGCCCTGACGCAGGCCGCATCGCCCTAATTGTTTCTATCTTGTCGGTTGGCACGTTTGTCGGCGCACTTGCAGCGGGTATCATGGCAGACATTACCGGCCGAAGATGGGGAATCATCTTGTCAGTCATGCTGCCTTTCAATCTCGGTGTGGCTCTTCAAACTGCCGCTACCTCGCAGCCTCTGTTCATCGCTGGCCGCTTTTTCGCCGGTCTCGGAGTCGGTCTAGTTTCCGCCCAGGGTATGTTAAATCGGCGAAAATAGCCTGACAATCCATCGCTAAATTGCTCATAGTTCCCATGTACCAGTCTGAGACTCTACCCAAATGGATCAGAGGCGCAGTTGTTGGATGCTACCAGCTTTGCATCACAATCGGCCTGTTCCTGGCCGCTATTGTGAACTGGGCAACCCAGAACAGGAACGACAGCGGTATTTGCCTGCGCTCGTTCGAATCGATAAATCAACCAAAAAGGCTAACAGGCTCGCAGGAAGCTATCGTATCCCGCTTGCGATTCAATTCGCATGGGCTTTAATTCTGGTGAACTCCCCCTTTTGGCAAAGTGCAATACGAATCAACCCATAACTGACTGAAAATAGGCTGGAGGCTTGCTATTCCTCCCGGAAACCCCTCGTTTTCTAATCAAGAAGGGCGATGAGGCCCAAGCCATTAAATCTTTGGTTTTTCTCCGCCGCTTAAGTCCTGATGATCCAAATATTGCCTCCGAGCTTGCGGAGTTGAAGAGCAACTGGGAGTATGAACAGTCTCTTGGCTCTGCCTCTTACGTTGATTGCTTCAAGGGTACCGCCGGTAAACGCACAATTACTGGAATAATACTCCAATCACTCCAGCAGCTCGTCGGTATCAATTTCATCATTTATTATGGTACAAGCTACTTCGCTGAGAACGTTGAGGGCCTGCCCGACTCTTTCATCTTGCAGGTGATTGTCAATTGTGTCAATGTGGTCATGACGCTTCCAGGTCTTTGGGCAATTGACCATTTCGGACGGCGCCCAGTTCTTCTGACGGGGGCACTGGGCATGGGTATTTCTCAATACATCGTTTCGGCCTGTGGCGCCGCAACTCCGATCTCGAATTTTACTTCACAATGCGCTCAGTTCGCTTTCATCTGCATATACGTCTCTTTCTTCGGTAAAGTGAACACAATCATGATCTAGAGAACACTTGCTAACGTCCACAAAAGCATCCACATTTGGTCCCTGCGCTTGGGTTGTCACGGGAGAGATTTTCTCGCTTCAGACGCGTGCCAAAGGTCTTTCAATGACCACTGCGGCGAACTGGTTCTTTAATTGGCTGCTATCCTTTATTACGCCATACCTAACTGGAGCACTCAACCCAACTCAGTCCAACGTGTTCTGGATCTGGGGAAGCTTCTGCTGGATCGCATTGGTGTTCGTATACACTATGATTTATGAGACCAAGGGAATGGCCCTTGAGCAGGTCAATGAGCTCTATGAAAATGTCCCAAAGGCCTGGAAAAGCCCTGGTTACCATTGTGCCGAACCCCGCACGCTTTCTGTTTCTGAGGTCCACAATAAAAAATGGGTCAATGACGATATGAAGCATTCAGAGCTGGCCCTTGAGGACGTTGAAAAAGCCTGATCAGCCAATCGGTCCCGGAATGGATTCTTGGAGGCTGTCGCAGTCCAAGGGAATTATAGAGCCTCCTTCTATACAGACCAATTGTACCTAGCCTGTTTTATTTGATCAGTGAGCCCTGGACTCTCAGCAGTATATTCGAAGTGTCTGTCAATGCTTTATTGGGAGTTCATCGATAATAACTTATCAGTGTAATCATCTTCTCTCACCCGCTGTCCGCGGGCTATTTTCCATTGTAGAATGTTACTACTATCCACCTCAGTTTTGCTTCCGGTAGAACTTACAATTGTGCCAAATAAGAAAGAGACTGCTGACCAACTCAACTCCAACCTGAGGGGCGGCGGGTGTGAATTCTGGCCAAGTTCAGGTTAGGGGCATAGTTGCTGCAAGTCGCGGTTGAGATATCGTACATGGCTCAAATGAATTGGCTTGAACAACTAAATTATTATACTGGAATGCATTTCCCGTCCTCATTATTGGAATCCTGCTCTAAAGAGGGAGCTCAGGCTCTAACGACATGCTTTTTACCCATTCATCATCCACCACCTGCCCGAAGGTCTCAGGCGACCCGGGATTCTGTTACAAAAGGGTTTCTTTGCACTTTCTAGACAGTCTTTGTGGTTCTTTTCAAAAACAGCGCAAGAATTTATCTTTTGGAGAGAAGTGATTCGTTCGGCCGTTGCCTGGAATGGTTTGGGTAGAGGCGGGTATGGCGCAACGAGGGAGGGAGGAGTGTACTTGACGTTCAAGGCATCCAAAATCAGTGGTGTGATATGGGCGGCGGAAAGTAGAATACGTGGCATGCCTTGAACAATCCATGTCAGTTTGACAAACCAGTCGATCTCACACAGGCAACACGTACCGTGGCCCGAAAAGCCAGCCGTAACGAAGTGTCCATCCCTATTTGGAACATCACCTACAAAAGGAAATGCGTCTATACTCATCGACTCAACTATCAGTTTGTTAGTGCACGCTTCCAGCTCCTAAAGAACTACAGGGACCTACCACCCGACCAACAGCCACCCTCGTCAATATTCTTTGCTAACTCTGCTGGATGGTTCCCAGGCCATCCCACCACGTCCGACTCAGGCCACGATTGGAAGAATTCCGAAGCACCATCGAATTGTTTATCCTCTTCGTCGTTTGGGAAACAATCTTGAGGAGAGTGTGCAAGAAGAGATCTTGCTCCGCCAACAATGATGCTGTTGTAAGGTGGTGGAAGTTGAAGGTGATAATTCTGGAACAGTTAGTTACTCAGCTTATTCTCTGCCGCGGCCTTGGAAGTGCACAAACGTTCACGATACTGTCCCAATGTTGGGCACCTGTGTGTTTGATAAAACCTTCTGGTGCTTTGATTGATGCCAAAGTTGCTCTACTCCCAAAGATGAGATTGCCGAATTCCGGTAGGAGGTGAGAGGCCCATCGATTTGTCGCATGCACCACGGCTTTCGTTCGTACATCCCCCCTCGCCGTCTCGACAGTGATCCAACCGGAGTTGTCTCGCTCTGAGACATATTCAGCTGGCGTATGTGCTTGGAGGTTCAAATTACCTGCTTTGAGGACTATGCGGAGCAGGGCATGAACAAATTTGTACGGCCATCTGTGCAAAGTCAGTCTCCTTTAAATAAAAGAATATAGGCTAGAGAATATAGCGAGAGAGCTCACAATTGACCGGCCGGATGCATCACTGCCCCCAGGCATGCTTTCATCTGGGTAAATTCCTCCGCAGCTTTGGTGTCTTCAACTAGCCTGCAAACCCTGACCACCTCATTGTCCTCCCCATGGTCCTTCTTCATTGCTTCATACGCGCCTTTCAGTCGTGCCCAGGCTTCATCTGACATGGCTGCATCAAATGTCTCACCTAGCCGAAAGCACACTTCCTCAGCTATGCCCTCCTCGGCCAGAAGATCCTGAAAAGCTAACAGGTGCGCCATTTCATGTTTGATAAGCCCCATCGCTTCATCGGGCCCGAATCTAGCAGACCATGCTGGATAGCGTGAGTAGGCATGCGGCCTCAGTTGCCCTCCTGAGTTAACTCTTTGTTAGTTCCGACAACGCTAAATCCGCAATCAAAGTCTGTGGGAAGACCCTACCATTGCGACCTGTCGCGGAACCGCAAATATCTCGAGCCTCCAGCATGAGAATTCGGGGCGTTTGGGCATCGTTTTCCGTATACTAGGAATTTCATTTAGAACATTGCTCAAGCGTCTTGGGCATGTAGCTTTCTTGCCTTGTTAAGCCAGTATGCCGTTGTTGCACCTGCATATCCACTACCTATGATTATGACATCTGTCTCATTTGGTAGATCTTTCGTTGACCGAAAGTCTTGGAGAGCAGAGCCGGCCTCCTCGATCCAGAAGGACTTCGTCGGGTTATTGATTGGAAGAACCATTTTGGCGATAAATTAACGGAAGAGAGTCTGAATGTTGCTGCATTGACTTTGCGGCTGGACTTATAATCGAGTTCAAACGGTATCATTTCGTTATCAAAAATAGTACGGCTATCAAGAGCCTACTTCGTTCTTCATGTTATCTGGACCGGTTGCCAGAACAGGCAGCTAAAAGCCGGTCGCCGAAGCCGGTCGCCGAAGCCGGTCGCCGAAGCCGGTCCAAGTAGAACTTATGCCCACTATGTTTTAATATGGTTGTACCAACTATTATTTCTTATTTGGGACTTTTCAAAATAACCATTTTAAAGCATGGCGATGAGATATGATTGCTGATCGTAGAAGGGATGAGCAGGCTCAAGCAGCAACGAGATCCTATTTCCGTCAGTTAGGTGGCCACTTCTAGTATCTGTTTTTCGAGTCTAGATACTTCAAATCCGCCTTGCGAAGGCAAAAAAGGCTTGATTGAATGATACGCCGTCACCAGCGTCTGATTGCCAAGTTCAACGAACGACTTCACCGACGAAGAAAGCTAAGCGCGTGCTACAATGAAATAAAAGGCTACTTCGGAATCTTCAAGAACTAGACTCTCTATATCACTGTGTAGAATTTCATATTCAGTGACCTACGGATGCCAACACGCTGTTATTCCAGCAACTTGAAATCGGTGAGGGAGACTCAAATCTTTTCTGAAGAAGCTATTCCAAAAGACCCAATAAACTTCAGAACTATTCTTGAAACGGGACCGATGATGTTTCGACGCGCAAGTAGTAATCGCAACATAGGGTCATGCAAGGAAAATAATTTCGAAAAGCTTGCACGGCTAGGGGCGTAATTGTGGAAGGAAGTAGACCAGGTTGCGTATGAAGTGAGCTGGTCTTGAGACGTCAAATATTGTTTCAAAATATCTATGATGGGGGGTGTTATGATTAGGATTGTACCAATTTAATTTGTCGGAAAGATATTGCTTTGATCTGTGATTTTCTAGGGGGATCCTACAACCAGGGTAGTATTGAGCTTGGTACGATTTTAAACGTTATAGCACATAAATTCTGCTGGATGATAGGACTATAAGCCAGTTGACTGTGTAATCTGAAAAACGTGGAGTGCACACGCTGCCCTTATAAATGTCCTTGACCATACAATCCTCAGTCACCTCAGATGGCTTACTTCTGGTCCTTGGCTGGTATACCATCAATCACCACGGCATTTTCTGCGTCGGCATCTGTGCTATATGGAGTCTCTGGCACCATTCTGATCAAGAGTATCATACAAGGAACAGTAATGATCAAGATGGCAAAGTTGACATAGAAGGGTATTATAGGGTCGGCTCCAAAGGTTGAGTTAATGGCGTACGATACAGCCTGGCCGGCCGTTTCGAATGCACGAAACAAGCCACCTGTTCGGGAGGAAGATCCGATGTCAGTAGAGAAAGTGCCAAGGATCCAGTATAAACAAAGTTGGGTCCAGTAGCCAGTTACGAAGATGATCAGATACGGAACGTAGGCCTCAGCCCATCGTCCACTATTTCTTGCAAACCAAGTACGTTAGTATCTGAAGACCACGAAGCGCGCGAATGAAAACTTACTGTTCATAATCCAGTCCCAGTGTTGCGGCCCCAAACCGGCTATATTCTATGCCGATCCAGATAAAGCAGGCGGCCTGAGGAATGGCCCAGAGGGCGAAAGCAATCCATGCTCGCTTAGGTTGGGACCAGCGCGAGAAGTCCAACAGCTTCCCATAGGCGATGACTATCGGAATGGTCACCGATGCTAAAGTACGAATTAGAAACTTTTACCGATTTTGGCGTCCAAGGTACTAACGGGTAATCAAAGACGATAAGGCGCGTGTTCGCACTGAAAAGTGAAGTGAGAGGTATGTGCCCATGGTTCCGCCGTAGAAGAATGAGTAGAAAGCTGGTAAGAAAATGAGCCATGTCTGAGGTTCCGCATTAGTCATTGGCTGGAGAAATTCTTCATACAAGTATACTAACCTTTTTGCGCTGTAGATGCTTGAATAGGGCAGCGAATTCCTGCTTCCAGCTGATTCTACTGGACATGGCGATTTTGGAACCATCGTGACGTCGAACACGTTGAGTTGGCGACAGAAGGAAAGCCCAGATCACACCGGTACATTCTGTGTATCCCACGTTCAGCAGCTACATCATGTACATACACATGCACAGAGAACTCACCAAAGCCCACAAAAATAAGGTATGTAGACCACGCAATGCCTCCTTGATTGGATTTGGAGTAGTTCGTGGAGAAGTTAATTGCACCACCCATGACGCTGCCCGAGCTTCGCATGGCAGACCATATACCTAAGCCAAATAGTGAGCATTCATGTCTCGTCCGTAAGGATCGGGAGTTGCTTACCCAAGTAGAAACCCCTGTCATCTTGCTTCGGATATGACAGCATTGCCGTCGTCTCGGCGACGTAGAGAAAGGCCGAAGTGAATCCTCCGAGCAGCTATTAAATTGTTAGGCATACAATCGCCTTGGGGGGCATTATGAGTTATCCTCACCTTTGAGAAGAGGAGGTACCAATCTACACCGTACTTTGCACTGACGTAGTAAGAAGACCCTGCAAGAGGCATCGTCACAGCAGCAATCATGCAGGACCACTTGATACCAAACTTGTTTATCAACGGGCCCCCCAAGAGAGCTATCAAACACGAGGCCGCGTAGTCGAGTGAGTTAGCCAAGTTTCCCAGATACGGGCTGGTGAGACCGCCACCTCCGAGGTTGGATATTGCGTCGGACATAGCTGGGCCAACGAACGAGAGGCTATGTACAAAGTTATTCCATGTGCATGATTCTGAAGATAGTATAATATGGACTTACGCTCCGAGCAGGATCATCTGGCACAGGACACCCCTGTAAACTTTTGCAGATGTCGAAGCGTGTAAATACGCATCATCATACCCATCACTCTGACCTCTATCGTCGGTATGGCTGGTGATGTTGGCGAGTTCGAGGGACGGAGAGGCCTTGATGTCGTCACTTACCGCTGAGGTTGCCATAGTGAGCGACGGCGAAGAGAAGTGTCCGGAATACGAATTGACAAACAAAAGATCCACAGATATCGAGTAGTTATATTTATACTACTGAGGGGACGGATATGAGCCGCCTGTATGTTGGTATGGCTGTCGGCAAGCGCCAAAGTAGTCGACTTTATTATCTAAGCTCTATCAACTCAACCTACATCAGTGAAAGATAGCGGTTTTTGATTTGATAGACAGAACCTTATCTAGATTGATATACCTGGCACTTGAGGTCTAGGGCAATGGATCAATTCCTCTCTTATTGGCACCAACGTGTGCTATTGTCTTGACTACACCGGCTGTTGAAATATGCAATTGCTCGCAGACACACCTACCTGCATCCGGCTCTAGATGCTGTACTTTATGGGAAAATCACCATTATGATCGACTTTCGTCTCGCTCAGTGAGAATCTAAGATGGGGGATGGGATTGGGTTACTTCCAATCTGACCCATATAGGAAATTTCATTCCGGTCACTAACCGGAGATAGACCGGCTTCTTATGATTGGGGGAAGGAGGGGTTGTGCTGGTCGCCAAGCAAACTATGAGTTCATCCAGCGTGTTCACCGATTATAGCTCTGCACGAATAATATGAGCTGTTTGAAGCCCGCGATTCCAGCGAATCGAGTTGAATTCGGCAGAATGCAGCTCACCTGGTCAGTTGAAAAGTGGGTCTCTCACAGTTAGAATATTTGCACTGTTTGTATTATAGTTTATTGGCTAATATATGGCCGCTAGTATTATATTAGCTTGGCAATACGTTCTAAAACCTTTACCTTTATTACCTTTACCCCCTACCGCTTTTCCTTCCCGCCTTTCTCTTCCCCCCCTCTGAAACTACCCCCGAAATTACCTCTTTTACTTCCCTAGTCTAGGTAACCCCACCCCTAATTCTACCCCTCCCCCCCGGCGCCTCCCGCCTATTACCTTAATATTATACTAGTTAAGTACGCACTTTTTATTAAATTTATCTTATAAATAACATTTTTAGTATTAAAAGTAATAATTTCTACCTTATTAAGATAGTTAAATTAGTAAATTATTTCTATGAATAAGTAGATAGTATAAAACAAAGCTAAAGTTAAACATAAAAAAGTACCACGATAGAAATGTATATCGAGGTAAAACGTATAGAACTTAATTAAGACACAACTTAATCCTGTAAATACTATAATATTTTAGTTTAATTATAACATATATATTTATTTTACTAATAACTGATCATTAAAAGGTAAGAGAGATAGAGAAAAAGAGGAGAAAAGTGATAATTGTATAGTAGAGATGAGTTATACTTATGGATTTTTCTGCCGTTAAAAGGTATTAGTATAACAATACCACTGAATTTCGGATCAAGTTTCAACTGTGGCCCGAGAGGGTGGACCCACATCCAACTGACCAGGTCACAGTTGCTCTCTGAATTTGGAGGACATCGGTTTTGTAGCATTATGCTTGATAAGCTTGAGGACGGACCGGAGAAAGCTCCCTCCAGAGGGTGCCGGGGTCAGGCTGACTCCAAATTGGGGCTTTTTCTTTACTATGGGAGCAAACTCTTGGCATACGTAAGGCTACAAGTGCCATATTACGTCCCACTGTTTTATCCTTCGGGAATGATAGACCATTCCACCTTTTTTTTGTCCGTACGCCCGCAGTAAAGTGTCCAGTAAATGGCGGAAACCTGTTCTGCCATTACACGCAAATAATCTGTATGTTTTTAACCAATCACTCCATGGGCCAATTGATCCTTAAGCTTACGCTGAGAAACACAGCTTAGACCAGCTAAGACAATTCCAGCTGATTCTTTAGGCAATCAAAATTGCCATATAACGCGCTCTATGAGATCTGAATGAATATCGTAGTCGCACCTCGTCGTCGAAGAGTGCTGATTTCGAGCCTCCTGACAGGTAATATCCCTGAGGAATTCAAATTCAAAATTAATATATGCCGATCAGCCTTCCCTGCAATATTCGACTTTAGAGTGACTACCATGGCATACTTTCGATGGGCGATACTCTGGGGTAAGTACGGTAGGCAGTGCAATTTACGCAGATTCCCGCAATCTATACACCCCTCGTAGGAGAACTGATGCACGCTATGCTTATGCTTGATACATGTATGTATATAAACGCGAAGACTATCACATAGGGTGACTTTATTCTCTATCGAGCGATTTTCCATAGCGAATGTGAGGGCAAAAGTACACTCGTAAGATCCAAATGCTCCCTGTATTCTGAATGATCAATTATAACCCCGCAAATTCTGTGATCTGGCACTGAAACCCACTTCCAACCCCTCCACATGTCTTAGAAGATGGATAACCCAGGTGACTAATGCACAGTTTCCGTCTCCCGGTTTATGAGGTTACAACTCCCCCGAAAGTTCCTCAAAGTCTATTAATAGTCACCCTACTACGTCAAAGCGAATTTATAGTCAGCAGAATAGCTAACGTTCAGAAATTGGCGGGGTCACGGGGTGGATGCAACGCTACCCCGCGCGTTTTTTTTAATGCGGAGTACATGCAGTGGCGGTGATGCGCATGTCTCACCTGCGACTTGCGTTGGTTGGACAGACCCCGGGCGGTGGCCTGATAATCTAAGACAAGGAATGGATGCCTTGTCTTAGACCAAAGGGTGTCTTGAATGTACTCCATCGATGCATTATCGATACTACCTGTGGCCCGAGCAGCAGAGCTATATGAAGACCGCCAATTCCTTCCTTTGTCGGGAGAGAAATTGTGAATCCAAGCTTCTTTTGCTAAACGAAAAGGCGAAATACAAACTATGAAGACCTCCCTGGTCACATTTGGTGCCCTTGTCGGCCTGGTCTCGGCCCAGAATGCCGTCGTGCACAACCACTGTGAAACCTCCGTGTACGTGCAATCGTTCCCTTACGATGGAAGCGCCCCGGGCCCTCTCAGTACTGTTCCCAAGGGGGGAACTTTCTCCGAGAAATTTAGAGTATCTGGCTCGGTACGTTACTCCGTCCTATTCAATCTACATTATACGACATATAGCAAGGGAAACTGACTAGAGATGGAATGTGCAGACCGTTAAGATCGCCAAGACAAAGACGCTCGATAAGCCTCTCTTCTTTGGGTATTCGTTCTCGTCTAGCCCGGACTATGCGTACTGTGAGTGCACCTAATCACTCTTTTAGCTAGAAACCTTTTACTGACCACAGTTCTCTTCAAGATGAACTGAGCACAGAGTGGGGCAACCCCTTTGCGGCGAATCCGAACTCGCTAAGTCCCGGGGACGGCTGTGAGGTTTTTGACTGTGCGGCCAATGACGCCACCTGCTACAGTACTCCAGCTCATAAGAAGGTCTATGGGTGCCCCGAGCCAGTTAACTTGACGGCGGATCTGTGCCAGTGACTATGTCGCCTACACTCTGTAGTGTGGTAGGGGTCTGGGGATATCCGTCTGTTTTCTTGTCTTTATTTCAACCTGTCGCAGCCCACCTCAGGAATGACTACGTTTGATAATAAGACAGTCATTCATCGTGACACTGGTTTTGACAGAGACTATAAACAATAATACTGAAGAAAAATACAGCACAAAATCACAACACTATTAAGAGTTTCACGACTTGACCGCGACAAGAAATCAAAATCCTTAAAGCCTCAAATATTCCTGCAGATACCAATACCGATTTTGGAACATATACCATAGTTCCAGGTATCTTAATTAGCCCGTTTTGCCGTAAAGGTGCGTCAAAGTTGACAATATCTTTCGGACTCGAACTCGCTGGACAAAGATGAGGTGGTGTCGCTGGAGGACTCTAACCAATCATATTTCCCTGTGCACTGGGTTTCTCCAATCATGAATTTTACGGACATGCAGATGCAGCCATGGCTAAGTACTCGTAGCGATTATGAATAGATCTATTTCCCATCTTTGGAATAGTCCTTGTAAGCCACCTGTAGACCAGGACATTCTGGTCGACGCCTCGTTACTGTAGATATATTCTGAGCCCCGCGACCAATAGCCAGATTCAACACTACCTCTTAGGTGGATTATGACCAATACGCAAAACACCGAAACGACTTTCATAGAAAAACTTTGGTATCATTGGAAAGCTCACATTGATGCGATTCAGAAAAAAATTTTATCTTTTCCCAACCTTCCAGGCTGGTAGCGGTAAAAGAAGAGATGCTCCTGGCCATTAATTACTCAAAGGAAAAATCCGGACCAAGGTCATGTGGCCAAAACATCAAGAAACCAATTGTAAGGGGCCACAGCACTTGAGACCTCTTTCTGTGGAGAAAAGAAGGCCATAGCCACCCCCAGGAGATTTCTCCGACACTGCATCATTTCAATACTCGCAGCCAATGAAATTCCCATCAGTTACGGTACTACAGATTCAAGATTATGTGAAAACGGCAAAGGTAGGGAAAGCACCAGGAGAAAACAGTATTCAAAACTCCCTCTGGCACAAGTGGATCGATGTGCCGGTCATTCTGAAAGTGCTCGGCCAATCATTTAACGTCTGCGTACCCACTGACTACAACCAGGCACATTCCAGCGTTCAATCGAAGTTGTCCTGAGAAGGCAGAACAAACACGATTATTAACTCGCAAAGTCTTACCAACGCGTTGCATTGCTCATTAACCTTGGAAAACCCCTATAGGCCATGCTTGCACGACAGACTAGCTACGCTGTTAAACCGAGAGGTTGTTCCCAAAGACCCGCGAACCGCCACGTTTAAGATTGGCTTTTCTGGTGATCGTAAAATTGCATATCTTACGGCAGATACACGCTGAGATTGTAACCTTATTGACCGGCATGCGGTCAATTAGATCCAAAATTCCAATCCGAAACAATGACAGCAATTGCCGCAGCCTACACCACAAAGTTAGAAATACCTTAGTAGCGTCATTCTCGCAATTGAGACTCACTAATGAAAAATCCACACTAGGCATGACGGTCAACTCAAGAGTAGACCGATGACCCTGTCCGCCCGACGATCTCCTTAGATTCAAACTATTAGTGTGCTGGGTACTCTTGCGCAGGGATCAATATATGTATACAACACCCTATCTGCCCCCTCACTCCCGGAAGAGCCCCTCCTACCTGTTCTACCCCCTGTACGGTATCAGATGACCTGTTCTGGGTGTAATAAAAAAAGGGGTTCTTTTAATAAATGCCTCAAGCATGATTTAGTGGAATATATGCTATAATGGTGTTTAAAATTTGAGATTACCAATTGGGTGCTCGCTCGCTTGGGTATCAAGTTTATGCATGAAATCCTCAGCAAGACGCGCTGTAATGGCTGGATTCGAGAATTGACAGGTACATAATTTAACTACCTGTCAAGAGACTTCTCTATAATGTAAAACGGCAATTTACTCCGTGGTCTCGCTTGCCGCAATTCTCATCTTCCTGTGGGAAGCGATACTGATTATTGTAGCTCAGAACTGTTCCTTCCAAATTATGAGGAGGAAAAATGCTGTGCTCACAGCCTCTTCCATTCGTTATCATAAAGTCATGTGGCAAGCCAGCTGCATCAGCTCGAATCTGTGTGGGTTTGTTTGTGCCACAATAGCCACGGATAGGATCAACATTATCCCAGCCATCAGCATTAGCGTTAGGTTTGCAGATACGTATCTGCACAAATAGTTTGACTTAGTAAAATTTACGATAACGGCGCCACGGGAGACATGTAGCAAAAAAACTTACCCACGTATCAGCATAATGATCCTCGTTCTCAACGTCGGAGTCTCGTGCTGCTGTGTAGTGCACGACGAATTCACCCTTCGTAGGGCTATAGTCATCCTGGTCATCGCATACAAAAAGTCCAGAAACAAGGCTAGGTGTGGCGAAAAGCGCTACTATGGCTGCCATGGTGGGAGTAAAACGCATAATGAAGAAGCCCTTATAAGGAAAGTGGTGTTTCGTTAAATAATGATGCGTTGTGAGATAAACAAGTTGAGCTGATAGTTGCTGTGGAAGTCAATATCCATGGTTAAATAAGATTTGCTATGTATGGCTAATTATAACCATGGCGAGGCGTACATACCACGTCAGTAGCTAAAAGTTGCCCATCTGTTTAGGGAAGCGATCGGCAACCCACAGGGGTCTTCTTCATCTGAGCCACCCCAAGTATAATTAGATATCTCATATACTAAGGTAATTGGTCAGTTGACTAATACGATATCATCGCCGGTAAGGTAATGGCTCTCTTGAAGCTCCGTACCTCCATGGGAGCGGCTGACCCCACGAGGAATATGTAATTATGACAGAAGTGAAATTTGCACATGAAAGCCCTTTCTCGGAATTAAATTAGCCAAGGCAAGGAACATGCCATCATGAAATTTTTACATAGTATTGATAGCCCATAGAGAGGAGGAAGTATCAGGCGTCCTGCGTACATGGCAGTCCTGTACCATCCCGAAAATGCCAGAAGTGCAAGAACGTTTTAGGTTGTATGGATTGTATAGCGTTCGTAGAATATCGTCCGTCGAAGCATTTCGGCCCTCACGCTTTGATGCATCTTAATTCCTCTCTTGCCTGCGAGAAGTCTTGGAGGATAATAGCTATAACGGATCTAATACGAGACATTAGACGCTGTCCATATTTTTTCAGAACAAGAAGACAAGCGACGCAATGGAGAGAAGGTAAGAAAGAAAAAGTGAGACAGAAGGGAAGACATACTTATATTATTTATAGAAGTTAAGCCCTAGATAAAGTAGACTAAGAGTATCCTATACTTGGTTGATACTAGATAATGTAGTGGTCAATCCCATGACAGTAGCATATCAACGGCCTGAGCTATCATAAATGCCTTAGCAGACATGGAGTCTTCTCCTACAGGGAGATCTCAGCATCATCGAACACCCAATATAACTAAAAGTTATTCACCAGACTGTCATCGTGCTGTCCTCATTTCAATATCTTTGGTAAGTATTATGAATATATATTCCTACATAATAAGGACTAGATTTTGGCTAGTCCCATGGGAATTTCTACCAAGGTCTAGTCCTTGACCCACTCCCATGGCGGCAGTCCCACGGGAAATGTCAAGGTCTAATCCAATACTGCCGCTACGCCGACACGCATGACTGGGATCGCTTCGCCCCGCTTCGCCCCGCTTCGCCCCGCTTCGCCCCGCTTCCGTAAGGTGTAAAGCACTTTAGATGAAGCGTTAAGAGATTAAATGGCCAACCCCTTATGAATAATTTAGCGGGATCGCAGCTGTGAGCCGGAGTGTACGGAGGTCATCACTAAAAGTGGCAAAAGGTCTGGTATTCTATGAATATCTGCGGAAATATCAATATCTATGTACGTGCATAGAAAGTGACTATAGTGAATGAGTGAGGAGGGACTTTTCAATGTGATTTATTTGGTTGCTATGTTTCGAATATTGCGCATATTCTTATGCGGCTAACGTCGGACCGGGTAGGGGCTAGGCGCTTGAAATTGGGTGCCCCCCGGCCGATCCGGATTCAGGAGGCCTGGCACGGTTTTTAGACTCTAGTCAGAGGTAATATCTAGTAGGCAGTCAAGTAATATAAAGCTTAGACTCCTCTCGTCCCTCATTGCTCGCTCACTTTGGACATAATGCGTCAGGTGGACGGTATAAGCTTCTTTTGCTTTCGCACGGAGGCACACATTACAATGAGACATTACGTTCGGTATTTCCAGTAATCACACAGTGATTGTTTGATTCATTTTTTGTTATGTTTTAGAAGCAGACCACCCTCGAGCGCATGGAATGTATAGTTCAAGCATGTCTCACTAGAGCTTTGATTGCATGCATGCTTCACTCCTGAGTAGCAAAGATAGCCCCCATGAATTGATAATCACTCAGTGTGTACTGATCCAAGTGCCGTCGGATTCAGACTTCAGCCTTGACTTCTTCCTTCATATATTCGTTCTTCTCACCACAGAAATCCATTTCCGGTCGGGTGACGAAGTTACTGGCACGGAGAGTCTTGCGCATGCGACTTTCCACGCGAGGTGGGTCAAAGATGTTCTTCGACTGGGCAAAGATTTCATCGATCTCCTCAAGCGATCGTCCCTTCGTTTCAGGAAAAAAAAAGATACATAGATGGCACAATTATGGCGTTAATTGCCGCGAAGACAATGTAGTACTTGTCGTGAATAGTGTTGAAGCCGATGGGAGTAACTTCAGCGAGTAGGAAATTGAAGACCTACACCATGGCAGTGGAGAAGGCACTGACGGTAGCACGTACTTGTAGAGGAGCCAACTCGGCAGCGCAGAGAAACGTCAGACCCGAGTATCCGACTGTAAAGATGAATTGGAAACAGAAAAGTGCGATGACTGCCACCACCAAGGCAGCACTGTTGTCCTGGGCCTGGGATGATTTGTACCGGCAAGGATAGCCATACAGATTGCCATGGCTCCTACACTCCATGTCATGAGCGGCCGACGACCCACTCTATCAATAGTAAAAAAGGCAAGGAGGCCGCCGAACGGCTGCATCAAACCCATGGCAGCAGCGAGGATACGGGATTTCAAATCATCCATGCGAAGATATTCCTAGATTTCTGTCAGGAAATTGTACATTCAAAAGAATCAATAAATAACATATAATGATTCAACGTAACTTGGTGTAGAAAAGTAAATGAAAAGTCAACAGGGCGAACTCACCTGGAAGGTACTGGTCGCATAGTAGGTAATTAGATTTACGCCGCACATCTGCTGAAAGAACTGGCCAGTGCAGGCAATATATGCACGATGGAATAGCCGCTGCTCATCGTTTATAAACATAGCGGTCCAGGAAGTATTTCCGGAGACAGCGAGAGTAGTTTGGACATTATGGATGACATTGGTGATCTCGTCCGAATTGGGTTCCAGCTCTGAAAGAGCTGACAATACCTCCCGAGCCTCTCAGATTTGGCCAGTCATTATCAACCAACGGGGAGCCTCTGGTAGCACCGGGATAGAAACCATAGCCAGGATACATAAGATGGCCGCGAAGGCAAGAGGGAATCGCCATGATGCGGAGTTGTCCTTCACGAAGAAAAATCCGAGATCAACCTAGAGTCCTAGGGTGACTCCGATGCCGACAAAACGCCACCTGCAACGAAATTTGAGCCTCGCTTGTGTGTTGGTGAGATCGCAGACTGCCAAACTGGCACGATAGCGGTGTATCCACCAATGCCGGCGCCAAGAACTAGCCTTGCAACGATAAACTGGGCGAAATTAAAGGATGTTGCCATCAGAATACAGCCAATCATACAAAAGAAACTGGCCCAGAATATGAACTTCTTCCGCCCTAGTCGATCACCTAGATGTGCGCATGACAAGGCTCCGAAGATCCCGCCGACAGTGTAGAGAGCAATGACTGTGCCTATTCATTCAGTACTCATTAAAATATATAAAACACTATAATACTATTGACCTACCTTGAACAGTCGAATTTTCCGCCTTCAAGTCTTCCTCCGTGTTGAACGTGTCCATGCGAGAGAACTGTTTGTTGAAAGCGGGCAGTGTTAAAAGACCACCAGCCACGCTCATATTATAGCCATAGCAGGTGAATATTGGGAAAACGACCAGTGCGACTGCTGCTCTGAGGAGCGAATTACCGCGAAGGCCAAGATACGGCTTCAAACCCATGGTGGAATTGTACAAGAGACACACAGAAGAACGGGCGCAGTTTATTGAGAGAAGAAAATGTGATAATCTGTGTTACCCGCGAAAGCATGCTATATATCAAGAGTATTGTGACACGGTGAAGATATGCGGGATGGTGAGTATTGATGCATCCTGTATGGTCGCTTGGAAATCTGAGGCCGAAACTCTCCAATTCAAAAGTCTCGACCATCGGCGGCCACCGTCAAGCCAAGATCTTTGGTGTGATTTACGGAAGCTCGAGTTAAGAGGATAGCTAGGGAGCGGTAGGTCAAGTATTGGCCCCTTCACGAGGCAAGCACCATCCAGGGCATGTATATCTTTCTGTCCACCCAAATTAAAACAACGGCAGACGAAGAAACGAATGTTTTGACAAAAATTCAACCGATTGTGAAATTGAGCAGGTTGGATGGGTTACCTTCATATGGCGGAGAGCGACTATGTACTAGTTGGAGCCGCCCAAGGCGTCCAAGATCTCCTGATCACCCTTTTCAAGACGCCAATGGCGCGAGTAGACGCCAAAAGTCCCATTTTAGCGAATAGTGGACAAAACAGAAGATCGCTGTGGCGCTGCGGCCCGCATCAAAAAAAATAATGGTTCGTCGTTCGATGCATTTTCCATTGATATCCGCCGCCGAGACCTGCAGCACTATTTACTGACCACGCTGTCTCTTGAGTGCTTCTTTCAAACTAAAGTGGCATTCATACAATATGAGGAAGCGACCCTTTCTACGGCGCTGAAAATTTTGTTGAGGCCCGAGCGGAAGTTAAAAAGTTATCGTGATCTCGGAAGGACTGGCCTCCTTCTTGTACCTGCCCTTCTGATGGCTCTTTCATGCGCATCAATCGGAGGCAGCCGATGAGTTTGTCGCGATCTCCCGTCGCTGCTGGTAAGGTCAATCTTTAATCTATACAAAGAGCTTCAGCGATTGTCAAATTATGTTACAGCGGCGAAGACCGCCATTCAGTGCAATATGCGCCAATTGAAATCACTGATGTATCACCTCCACTGTTGATGGTCTTTTAATACCATATTGGGGTTCTTTAGTTTCCCGGTCATCTCCGGGCGTTGATAAAGATATATCAACCTGCGTTGTCCCTGAGATGGTGGAGTATTCCAAGTCGTGCGCATTGGTCTTCATTTCACTATGATGAAAAGACTCTTCAGATCCCCAGTGGGGGCTTTTGCTATTTTTTTGCATTCTGCATTGTTATTTAATCTCAGCGTGATGGCTGACGCAATGCGATACACCGTCTATCGTGGTACATTTGTTCAACTTCCACGCCTTAATTCCAGCTCGGCCAAGCCGGAGCTGGTTCGAACCCAGGGTGTCCTGTGGGTCTCTTCAGAGGATGCCCGCATTAGAGGATATGATTGGCAAATCAACGATGATGCCAGCTTTCAATCGTTCCTGTCTAGTCAAGGCTGGAATGATGCCGACGTTACAGTTGTGGAGTCCAATGATGAACAAAACGAGTTTTTCTTCCCTGGATTCGTTGATACCCATATCCACGCGCCGCAGTATCCCAACTTAGGGCTGTTCGGGTCAAAAGGCCTCCTGTCCTGGCTGAATGAATACACATTTCCAATGGAAGCCAGCTTCGGCTCCAAGTCAGATCCACACAACAAAGACAACGATCCCAAACATACATCACCGGAAAGCCTCCGGGCATATGATGAAGTAGTTGCCAAGACTCTTGCCCACGGCACAACTTGTGCATCTTATTTCGCTACTATCCACGTTCCTGCCACCAATGCCCTCGCGGCGCTTTGCCACAAACATGGCCAGCGCGCCTTCATCGGCCGCGTCTGTATGGACAACCCTGATCAGTGTCCGTCCTACTACATCGATCAAACCGCGGACGAAGGCTTAAACGCAACAATCAGGACCATCGATTACATAAAAAAGCTGGACCCGAACGGAACATTGCTCAACCCAATTGTGACACCCAGGTTTGCCCCAAGCTGCTCAAACCACTCCCTCGATGGCCTTGGAAAGCTAGCTGCATCACATGACCCGCCCCTCTGGATCCAGACGCACATCTCCGAAAACTTGGACGAGATTGATCTCGTCCAGCAACTGTTCCCAGAGTCATCCAGCTACGCTGACGTCTACGACAAGGCTGGCCTGCTTACCAAACGTACCATCCTCGCACATGGTGTGCACCTCACTAAAGATGAGATTACTCTAATCCGCGAGCGCGGCTCCAAGGTTGCGCACTGCCCATCATCAAACTCTGCCCTGGGTTCTGGACTTGCTCCTGTCCGCTTCATGCTTGATCAAGGTGTCACTGTTGGTTTAGGCACGGATGTGGCCGGCGGATACAGCCCCAGTATACTTGAAGTTGCGCGACAGGCCAGTCTGGTGTCTCGTGTGGTTCAATATAGCGCGGAATATCAAGCACTGATGGGCAACAAAACATCCGATGGAAGTGAGAAGCTTTTGGTCGATGAGGCTCTCTATCTAGCCACGCGCGGCGGTGCAGCAGTCGTTGACATGGCGGATGACATTGGCGGCTTCGATAGGGGTATGATTTGGGATGCGCAGCTGATTAGGTTGGGTACTAGTGTGAAAGGCACTACCACTAGCCCGCTTGGTGTGGCTTCTCTCACTGATCGAGCTGTCCAGTCTGGCCCAGTGGGAAATATTGATTTGTTTGGAAATGAGACTTGGCAGGAGCAGATTCAAAAGTGGATGTGGAGTGGTGATGATCGAAATGTGAAGAATGTGTGGGTTCAAGGCAGACTGGTCCACTCCAAAGATGAGTGAGACCTGTTTTGATTTGTATATGTAGTTTGTCTGATGTCCATTGAGTGAATACGAGGGGTTGGGGGAGTGGGATGTTGTCGCCGTCAGGCACACCACATTACAATCGAGGATTGAGTCACTCTATTGATAAATCTCCTACGAAGGCCAATTTAAAATATGTAGGGGTTCTAATGTGGATATAGCGAGGTTTTTTTGAAACTTGTTTGCATTATCCTTTCTGCGTCATGATTATTGGCCAATATTCATAATGACCGTACTTCGAAGAGACCTTCACAAGGAGGCTCCCTTGTCTCTTTAAAGCCTCCATCTGCTTTCTCAACTGAATTGGTCCTCCGTAACTGAAAAGGCCTATACATCCTTTGTATATTATATCAACGCCTCAGGAATACCGACCAATTGCTATCATCCCCTATGCCCTGTCGATCCATTCATCAATGAATTGGTCGAGCATTCGGGCAAACTGCTTGAGCTGCTAACACTCTCGAAAAATAGCAAATATCGTGGCAGCAAGTGTTATTACCTGGCTCTCGGAGCTTCTGATTTGACTTTCTTATGGTTTTTGCGCAGCATAATCACGGTGGATATTGCTGCTTGTCTTTGACAAAACATGGGAAAGTCCCTTGATTGACCTAAAGGTGCTCAGGAGTGCAGCTTGAGCGACAAGATGGTGTAATTTGGGCCGACTTTGAATGTAAGTTACACGTGCTTTAACATCAGGATCCCAATACTTTTGAATTTTTACCCATAACGCAGTGAATTATGAGGAAGTCTGATGATACGTCTGTAAACTGATGCTGTGTGGTTTGACCCACTTCGTCTCAATCCAGAATGGCATGCATGGAGATGACTGTAGTCTCGTTGTAGATGTTAACCTTCCCTGACAAGGTTTACGGTTGGTTTTGTACATTCGGCTGGACAAGGTGAACTCCCGAACGCAGCTGAAAGGATATGACTCGATTCATGTTTGGGGCTGACACTTTCTCTTTCTTGTTGCTCTCTTGCCCGACGTCCTCCAGTAGGTGGTAGGAAATTTAAGTTTCTTAGGATGCGGCCTAGTTTTCGGCTGCGCAGACGGCGACAGCATTGGTCAGCGGCGATCCGAGTGATAGCAGTCTGTGTAACACTAATTAACTACCTTTATCGGTTTTACCTTGGCCAGGCTGGTACTTAGTTATAGAGCGCTACGTGGTGGCTTTGAGTCTAATTGCTTTGTAACCCTATTTCAATGGTCAACCGCTTGATAATGATACACTCACGTACACAAGCACAGTTTGTTACATGATGGCAACATGTATCCCAACATAACGTAAAAGTTTAGCCAGAGCGAGTCTAATCGGACCCTTTACAACGAGACCAGGAATTCCAAATACGTCTCTCGTTGTACATACGCCAATCTTGACCATTCGGTGTTTAATAGGCTAACAGAGAATTACGGCTGATTTGGAATAATTTATTGTGGGTGATACAACCTATAGATTAGATGTGAAGTGCTACGCTCGATGGCCATTCACATTTGGTTATCTCAGTAGCCTTCTTGCCTGACGGCCGGCTGCTAAGGTCCAGCTCTGATAGAACTATGTCTCCAGGAGCCAGCGACAAATACTGCTGCAGACGCTTGAGGCTAAAACATCAATCTTCTAGTTGAAGCTGACTGAGGATAGTTTATATCTTATCACCAAACTAGGTCCCCTTAATTTTCATCCCAGGGGTAAAGATCAGTCATTTTACTCAAAAAAAAGTGATCTAAACAATTTTATGAATTTAGGGCAGTGCATTCGGCTAAAAGACAATAGATTATTACGGCTTCTTTCTAAATCTTACTGGTACTATCTACAACGCAATACATGTCAATTTGTGAACTAGATCAGGGTTAAGGATACGATTAAAGTGAATAATAAAGATAGAGAGAACAACAACGTAGAATTGCAACAAGGCTAACCCTTGATTGGCTTCTTTAATCAACATAGGCACATTTTTATATCTCAAGCTTTAGTTAGGGTTTATCCGTGTGAGATTGCGGGAGTTAGGGTCGAAGCCCAACAGATAACAAGGCATCCCTCACATTATCCCGAGACTAATACCAATTGCATCTCGAACCAGCATCGGAAAGATCCGCTATTATAGACACGTTAACCTATTTCACATGCGAGCTACGTACCCCTATGCCTCGGCATGGCGCGGTTCACAAAATAAATATATGTTGAAATGGGAACGGCTTGATGGCAGTCTGGCTTAGCAGACAGGTCGATACGATACCGTAGAAGAAAGGCCTCGATACGCTCCCAGGCCATGTGTATAGCTCTCGAGGACTTCTGTCGCATTCACCCTGCTATTACTTCAAGTGGAAAGAAACCGGTGGATGAAAGTGATGTCTTATTCTCTGCTGTCCAGCTGACTAGATTCTAACAAGAAGAAAAAGACTGAATGCTTGCCAAGACATGAAAGGTTTGAGACTGTTGGCGCATCCAGGCCATATGCCTGACACATTAGGCATGAATCTAGTGATCAGCATCAGACCTACCAAGTAGAATATAGTTCAGGAGAAGCGATCTCATTTATAGTCTCTTTCACTCATTGAGAGGAAGATCAAGCTTAAACAATCTCGTCAGCCCTGACATCAATGCTTTCCGATTCAGAAAACATACCAATTTTAACAAAGACCTCTATATGCGTTACCGGGTCAACCGCAATAATAGATATTGCAGTGGTGAATCCCGTGACAGTAGTATTTTAATGGCCTAAGGCATCATAAAGCCTTAGGAGACATGCAGTTGTCGGAACTTGCTGTCTTCCGTAACTTGCTCAGCCAATGAGGGCATTGAAATCTCTGTGTTTTATTACTTGCTATTTCTTGCTATTTATGCTATGCTCATCATTAGTAATCCGCTCATTCGGAGTTACTATAATTCCGGTTCTCAATCCGTATTCATGAATGCAGCACTGTCAGCAGTCTTCTCCTAGAGAGAGAGATCAGAGCATGAAAAAACAACCTTAATATAACTATAGTTACTCGCAAAACTTCTTGATTCATGGTATAGCATCAGGCTCGGTACGATTTACACCTTTAGGGACCGCTCTCTACGCCTTCAGGCCATGGGAGTGGTTGTGTGATCTCTTCATTAGTATCCACCCGTCTGCTATGTCAGACTGCCATCGTGCCATCCCCATTTCAATATATATCTTAGCGAACATAAACTTAGTTAATCCGAACCTTCGAAATTTGGTAGCTTGTCTTATATTGGAGATATATGTCCCATTTACAGTATTGATTAGGCTTCCAATATTGACTTTTAAGGTTATAAATTATCGTGTTTACTATGGTGTTTTGGGGTGGCGGCTCGCGTGTGAAATACGTTAATAGTAATTCTTGACAAATGAAAGGAAGCAGCAATAATAACTTCGTATTATTGATGAAGAAGGACGGAGATAGGAAGAAGTCCTGCTCTCCAAGCTTGCTAACTACTCTCAAGTCTATCCTGGATCACTTAATCATTGGGCTATGTGATCTCGACAGTAATCTATTAGTATTATCCAGCAGTTTTATATATGCCAAGTCCATGATTCTATACAAAATGGATTCTGCTGGGGCCCCAATGCGGTACCACAGTGGTTTGTGGTTTGGGTGCGGTTTGGATTTTGGGGGCAAGGTTTGCCGCCAATTGTAGTTTTGGCGCACTCTACACACGGGTAACCCCGCGACGGGCCGCAGCCACACAACCACGGCAAATTCACTTTGGTCTCCCCAATTACGATTAACACCGGACACCACGAGAAAGTAAGAATCCATTGTTCCAATAGCAAGAACTGCTACCTAGAGTGAGGTCATAGGGTCTCTGTCTACAGTAATTCTCCAAATTGGCTTGACAAATACGCACTGAGCATATCTGTTGTCGCCCCAACGCCTTGGCATTGGGGGCCTTATTCAATAAAAAAGATGGGGTCTATGTAGTATCACGATCGGCAACGTCCATTTCCAAGATGTGATGAGCCTGGGAACGTGTGCCTATCAGAGTCAAGATTTGAGAGTGCTGGTTGGAACCTTACTCCACTCCCCTGCAATACGCTTTCAATCAAGTACCTCTGCATGATCCTCCTTCATGGTTGCCTACCTCCAAATTTATGCCCAGAACTCTTGGCCACTGCATCAAAGAATTTAATATGCAGATTAGGGCGTCCTAGCTACTGCATTAAAGGGTCTAATGTGCAGAATAAGGCGTCCGAGTCACTGCAAGGCGTCCGACTTCCTAGGCTTGCCAAGATGATCTTCATTCTCTTCCTAAACAGTAACCATAAAAGTAGGCAGCAATGTTGACTCCTAATAAAGCATTAAAGGTATAAATATCCATCGATATATTTCCTACGGTTTTAATTTCTCTCGTTATCAATCCTCTCTAATAATTCATCTTTCTATCGGGTTCTTTATACAGTACTACAATCTTCCGGTATAACATTCCTCCTCTTCAAAACACCTTCTCTAACACTCTTAGTCTATCAAAATGAAGTATATATTCTTGATCGCCTCTTTTGTCAGCCTAGCTATAGCCGCTGGTAACTGTCCTGATTTCCCTTCCTGCCATTGTCCCGGGGACCTCTGCAGAATCGGCAGTGGAACCCCCGGCGACGGCGTTTGCTGCGAAGGCAAGACTTGCGTCCGGCAATCCGGAAGCGAAAACTGGGTATGCGTTTTGTCTCCCCCATGACATATTTAGCAATGATGCTGATATTCTTGGTATCAGTACTGCCAGTAGTAAGCTTTGTCGAGTTACTAGATAGTGTCATAAACTGGCTAGTGGGTTTGGGTTTGGTTGGCACTACACTTTTGGATTCCGAGATCTACAGTGGTTCCAATAGCAAAATCAATATCACTATCCTTATCCTTTTCTAAGATTTTGTGTGTAGCTTAGATAGAATCCTAGATTGGAAGTTAGTTTTCTCCCAACGTTCATCTATATGCTCTGAATGAATGGCCTAGTTAGACCTTGACATTTCCCGTGGGACGC